CTTCTTCTTCTTCTTCTTCTTCTTCTTCTTCTTCTTCTTCTTCTTCTTCTTCTTCTTCTTCTTCTTCTTCTTCTTCTTCTTCTTCTTCTTCTTCTCTTCCTTTCACACTCTTGCCATGCGCTATGGATGGTGAGGTGGGTATTGGGGGAAGGGGAAGGGAAAAACTAACCTCGCCTCGATCGTCAATGCCCATCTTCCTTCGCCCGCCCTTCCGTCCGAACCCTTCCTCCTCGTCGCCAGACGACAGGAGACCCTCCCGAATGCTATTCTCGCGATCCTCACGCGACCATAGCCTGTCGCTGTCTGCTCCCCCGACGGGCCTCAATTGCCCGTAACGAGCGCCCTCCGAGCCCTCGTAGTATTTGCCGTCTTCGTCGACGTACTGGTACTTTTGCGTGTCCGAGTCGTAGCCGACACGGCGCATGCCGGCGGGTAGACGCTCGTCGTCGCTGTCTCGGCGGGAGAAGCGCGACATTGTGTGTGTGTGTGTGTGTGTGTGTGCGTGTGCGGCAGTTTCTGTAACAGGCAAATCGATATATATATGTATATAAAGGTTTCGGTTTTTTCCTAGGTCAAAGGGTAAAGGAGATTGTGCAACTGGAAGAACGAGGTGTAGAATGCGAGTTCCGGGTGTTGCTATTATAACTTCAGTGAATTGTTGGAGCAGACCAGGGCAGATCATTAAGCGCACAGCGTTCGTTGCGTGAGAGAAGTGGAGCGGGCGCTACCGACCAGACGCCAGAAAAGGTGGAGCCTCGGATGGCGGAGCAGGGCTTCAAAATCATGTGATTGGACGTGTCCGTAGCTTTAACTGGTAAAGTCTAACAAATCTGTTTTCCAATGTCACTTTTATCATTCGACACTCGTTACAAGACTTACCCCTTAATGATAATTACAAAGCCTCATTGTACAGGCGCTTTGTTAACCATAGCTTCTTCTTCCTATTCCTTTCTGCTATTTTAATACCAGCATGTCGCTGCGAGACACTTATTGAGGAAAGTCCAGGGCGACGGCCTCCAATGACTAATCCGCAGGGCCCAGACCTCGGCGCTCCGAGATGTTTCGATGAATGCTCAGAGCAACAATGATTGGACACCAAATTTCAAATTTTGAATCGTTCTTCCTGCAGCTTTGATACAGAGTTTTTTTCTATCTTGGGTATAGTTTCCCGTCATAGTGAGTTCATGCACTATGGCCGATGCTCTACTCTTCGCAATATCTTCGCGTCCTCAATTGTAGCGTTCTACCCTTCCTTTACTCTGTGGGCGTTTGATTGATCCCTGGACTGATTATGACTGTCTTCCATACTGCGACGCTGTCCTTCAAAAGCTCGCGGCTTGTCACGGTTATTGGGCTTTGCCTGACATCAGACAATATCTTTTGGAGAGTTAAGCCCCTATCTAAATCTTGGCCCTATCGTTTTACAACGTTCGTGATTGGAAGCTAGCATATATTCACTGTGCAATGGATTACAATGGCAAGAGATATCAGTCCGAGATAGTGAGCTCCAGGGGTTTACAGTCTCGAAGTGCGACTCTCTATTAATGGATATCCAGTATACCATTTCAGCGCATGTAAGCTGAACGAGTCTCTGCGTTGAGATAGGCTCTTGCATCCGGCAAGTATCCGGACGGCGTCAACAATTACACTAGACTTGGTATTGCGACTATAGCTATGGGCGTCCTTCTGTGACTGCTCCTACCCTTTGAATTAGGTCACTACGCATATCAATACCCGATCGACTTCAGGCAATGCTCGAATTTGTCTACATGCTCTACCACTGAAACGGATATGCATCTTCTTCACTTCAAAGCGAACTGAGTCGTGGTCTGTGAGAGGCCATTTGATGGCTTAGAACTGCATATATCTCTACGTATGCTCACATTCCCTATCATCAAAATCAACGTGTACATCCATGCCCTAACGAACTCGCCATCACGACAGCAAAGCGACCCTTCACAGCAAACATCCGCAAGCATATATAATCAGCACTCACATACCCCCAAGTCTCTCAATACCCCCCTACCACTGCCTCCACACACCAAGCCCTCGAACCATCAACAAGCATTCCCAATCTTAAGCAACACTCTCCCACAACATGACTCACAACAACAGCAACCACACCGACGCCCCCGTCAACGCTTCCCATGACTTCGGCTGGTACTGCCACTGGTGCGGCAGGCGTAACACGTACACACACATCTGCGTAGAAACGCCGGGATGCGACCACCTGAGGTGCAAGAACTGCACGTCTATGCCAAGCTCACAGGGACAGTAGGAAGTTGGAGAGATGGGTCATTGGAAATGGGGTTATTCATGCGTAGCTTCTGTTACGCGGGTATTCTGCTGTTAGGTATATGACAATGACAATTCCTTGATGGATTTGGGACAAGTGTGATGTCGAGTCGACGAATACTGTGATGTTTGGTGTGTGCATGTACTTCTATATTTTTTCATCGGAGTATTCCTTTGCCGTCCAGGGACGATGACTCGGAGTCAGGCTCTAGATTCGTATTACAAGTGGCTCATGCACGACAGATATCTGTACCATGCCCTGAATGTGCTTGGAGCTCCAACAGTCGTTTTCGGAAACGAGACCTTCTCTGGGCACATGCTGATGTCTATATCTCGGACGGCGGTCAAGCTCATGAGGTGGTACGAAAGATTATAATCGCCCTGAAATTCGATTTAGTGATAACACTCATATTAGGAATGATGCTTTTCCGGCTGAATGTAGAATAACACTGAACTATAGCAATGGAGCCAATAGGGGTTGTATTGAGCTAAAGTCAATCCGCGGACGTATGTTTTGGTATTGAGAGCTAGGGCTAGATCTGCGTGGAAATGCATCCTCCGATTGCATGCTTAGGGCAGTCCGGTTCCAAATGTTCACTTCAAATGCTCATCGCTCAATACTCGCCCTGACAATGGCAGACTTCACCTTTTCCTGCGCCTCCATATCCTGGGAATCAAGCCCATCGTCTCTGCTATCTAGTGTGCCCGCCAGCTTTGCTTCCACCGGGACATGCTCTCTTACCGCCACCAACGTCGGATACACCGCCAGCCCCAAAAGTATAGTATTCACGGCGAGGGGCACCCTCCCACCTTTCCAATTCCTTGTATTGATCCCATACGCCACCGCCTGCGCAAAACTCTCCTGACCCCTGAGAATACCCGAAAACCTGCTCAGCTCGGAGATGTTATCCGTCTTAGTGGCCAGGATGTAGTACAACCAGTTCTGAAGTGCCTGTCTGCTGAACTCCCAGAGGATGATGACAAAAAAGCCCTCGACGAAGCCTTTGTCTTCCCAGTCATATGCCGGGGGATTGGCGGTGTATTTCTCGTTAATCACCCAAGCGTAGACCCATGCTGTAACGTGCAGAAGAATAACGTAATAGAAGCCGATGATGATGCGCTTCTTGACGGAGAACGGTTTGTAGTCGAGCAGAGTGGACATGATTTGCGAGGATAACAACGTGGGGAAGTTACCTACAAAGCCCATAAGTGCACGCGCACGCACACCGAAGTAGTAAGTCTGGTAATTCCCGCCGAACTGGTTGAAGTAGGCGGCCCAGAAGATTGGAAGAAGCAGGAGGATGTCACGCCGCTTACAAGCATGCCACAGCGCGATGATTTCCTTTCTGAACGAGGACTCTGCGCGGATAACGACTCTTGATCTGTCGGTCCGCTGAACCTTTTCCGGAGGCGTGAGCAGTAGCGCGATAGGTATTGACAGGCACTGTAGCACTATGAACACGAGATATGTCTGATACCCGACCTTGCCCTTGGATTTGGCGCCAGCGTCATTGTTGAGCCCGAGTGCGATGGCGCCACCAAGGATAGGTCCTCCGGTGCGGAACCACAGCCATATGTTCATATACTTCCCGCGTTTATCGGGTTCGGGATAGCCTAACGCAATGGCGCCTTCGGATGCCCAGAAGAGACCGGCAGAGATGCCGCATGTCGTCGCGCCGACAAGGACGAGCCAGACGTTACCAAACCGATTGTTGCAGTATAAGCCTGCGGAGTAGATTGGATACCCGACGGCACCGAGGAGGAGGGTATACCTAAGGCCAATCCTGTTGGAGATAGGCCCACCGAAGAGGCAGAGAATGCCCATGAGGCCAAAGACGAGGGCGTTGGCTGCATTGACGAGAAAAGGCTTTTGGGCGCCCCCGGCACCAAGAGAGTTCATGGCATTCCAGAGTCCAGGGGCCATGAAGCCGACGCCGCCGATGACGAAGGCATTGAATAGCGTAGACCGATACCAGAGCCGCTGGTTCGTCGAGGCATTCCTCTCGATATCTGTCATTGTGAGTGAGGTTCAGTTCGTGGCCGCGAAAGCTTATCTGACGAATTCTGTTCCTACGTGGTTCTACTTGATTTTTTATATACTCACAGTCTTGCGCGAGTCATAAAGAAAATCAGGAAACTCTGATAAAGGACGTTACATCTCGAGACAGCTCATAGTGTGCTATTATGGCGAAATCGATCAAGTGGAGGTAATTGCGGGGCAGACATGGCCCTCGAGAAATGTGTGGGTGGATGACTGTTCCAAGGTTGTTTTATTCATACTGCCGCATGAAGAGCGAATGATGTCCAGAGGAAGTATTAGGCTGACTCGATTCGTGGCAAGTGCTGGTGATTTCTTATCTCCCATCTGTCTCGTACATGTAGATTTTTGTCGACGTCGCATGCGTTGCGACAGATGCTTGCTCGATTGGGCTAGTTTCCTGCCCTGCAATGAATGCTGCACTTTCGTACGCAATCCTCGAAAAAAAAAATTTGGTATGGTCGGCAAACTACATGCAAGGAGTCCAGACTGAGTATTCAGTGTACCCATGGGTGTTTGCTTAGATAGAGCCTGTCTGTCTAAATTGCTGTCTTGTATTCTAATATAGACGAACAGCTGTGCATCAGGGTTACGATGAGAATACCAGTTGTCATGTGCAATCTAGTCATTGTATAGTCGAGCGAAAGTTGCAAATAAATGTCGTGATGTACGTAGTCCCAAGTCATGGACCCTGGGCTGGAACAAAATATGGTAAGCAGTATGGACGGAGAATTGTGTACGATCGCAGTCCATAGTAGCTCGACTGACTATCAGAACGAAAGGTTGCGAGACTTCTTTGGGGTCAATCCTCTCATGGATTGTCAACCGGGTGATTCGAGACCGGGCCTGGATGACCTTGATCTTTATTGGGGACTATGAAAGATCGTATCTGAGGATTTGTTAGCTATTCGGCAGCTCCGAGAGGTTTTACTTCGTAAACTCCATGAGATTGTTGCACCAAAGCCTTGAAAAGGATTGACAAGGAATATACCATTATTGACAATTTACGGCACCTGATATCGTCATCTGCGCGAGAAAATGGTGACATAGGGTTTTTACGGACGTTCAAATATGTTAGGAAGGAAATGTGCGGCAGTTCACATATCTTGAATAGCAAGCAGTATATCGTATCTACATGTGGCTCCAAGCGGTTGCAAAGGGACGACGTATTACTGGATGCGCAAAAAGATGGTGCGACAATTGAGTGAGCAATTCGAGGAACAAGATTGCTTGAAGAATGCATCGCCAGAAGAAGCATAAGGTCAACCCATAGCGCCGGATTAATAGGTCAACAAGGTCAACCGAATCTTCCACTTCTCTTGTCAAGGTACACAGACGTAGCTTAATGAAAAGATGTAAATGTCAGGCAGGTTGATTATGACATACGTGCGCATGAGCCTACAACACATCTTACATGCGCCTCTTTCTCGGCTTCTTGAAAGGCCCGGATTGTGACACGGATGTGTCTGGTGTATTATTTTCTGCATTGGAAACACTGGCCTTGCTGGCCCCTCCTTGCAGCGAAGTAGAATCTTCTGTAGATTGTGCGACAGAATAGCTCTCGAGGTCCTGGGAAAGGCCAGTGTCCTGGAATTGAAGATCGCTTTGCTGCGACATCTCGAAGCTCACGTCTGCTGGTATCTTATCGATGACCGAGCATATTCGCTTTAAATGCTCGGGCATCCAGACGTCATAGACGTTCTTAGTAAACTTATATGTCGTCCATTTCTCTTTTCCATCAAGGGCTACAAAACTAAATTCATGAATAGGATGCCGGTAGAAGGATGTTTTATCCCCCTTGATTACTGGATAGTGCCCATAGATACGAACGTTCCGATGGTCATGCGATACCGAGAAGGCTAGAATCTGCCGGTTAAGCTCCTTTTCACGTTTAACTAGCCGGAAGAGCTCAACTATACCGCGCACCGCTAGTGTCATACTATGTGCGTTCTGCCGGTCAGCAATATCTAGCGCTGCAGCGCCGCACTTAACCTCGCATGTTAGGAACGGGAAATACATGTAGAAAGTCGCTATAAACATCGATGTATCCGTTAGCTTTCCTATAAACGGCGCCAGCCTCGCTAGCTGTTCATCCGTAAACGCCGACCGGCCGAACCCTACCGCGTAGTCCGGTTGAGGGCGGGGCTTCAGAAGGGGGATCGAGTTATTCCAGCCTTCGTTAACGCTCTCGGTCAAACAATCCAGGTGTTTCGCGCCATGAATAGCGAGATGACGGGCAGATGGTACAATAAGACGAGCAATGTCTTGAATGACCTTCGCTTCGTTCCTGTCCTGCACCTCCTCGCACGTACTTTCAAACAAGTCATCACTAAACAGGCTGTCCACAGGACATGGCTGGACAGCCTCGAAGAGAGATTGGCAAGTTGCTTTGCTTTCTTTCGCTATACCTTCCCGGTCCTTCTTCAGGAAACTCCCATATGTTTGGAGAAGCGTTGGAAAACCCGGATGTATATAAACGGAACTCTTCGACTCTCGTGGCTTCTGGTCGCTGGGAGTCGAAGTATCAGCTGATGAGCCAGCATCTGACTTCTTGCGCCGCACAGAAGAGCTCGACCGCTCCCTTGCGAGAATAGATGGTATATGGCCCAAACCGTGCTTTGCTTGTTCCATATTCGGTATGAAGAAGTCCCTCAGCCAGCGCTCCTCATTCAGGTCGCGTGCGATATATGCGCGTGTCTTGTCGTCGATTTCAAAGAGCTGCCGAGGCCACCGTCCTTCTCTTCTCCAATACTCTATTGGATCAGATTCTTCCACAGCTGAAACCTCCACGTTTCTCCCTTCCGTATCCGATGCCAGCAACGCTTGTGATCGCTTCTTATGTCCGACTATCGGCGTAGCGTCTTCGATGGCATCCTTTCGCTTTCGTTTGAGGCTTGAATTTCGCGGCGGCAATTGAGTCTGAGTTTCTTGTTATCAGTAACATAAAAAGATATAATGAACATTTGACTTACTTGCACCTCTCTTGTCGGGCACGTATGAGGACTGTCCAGCCTGTGGCACTTTACGTTGTCCAAAAGGTTGCTGCTGGGCTGTGCGATTGTGCGTGTCTTGTTGGTACCACGAGGAGTGTTTCCTGTTCATGATCAGTGACCCGGCTGCGTCGTTTTTCAGATCTCCCAAACCTCTCGAACCAGGAGAGAGTTCAGCTCTACGGGAGAAAGCTGCTCGAGTTGTTGCCATTTTGACGGTGGTGGATAGGATGAGGTATTCATAGGTGGCGAAGCGCTGATAGAGCGCTTAGAAGGGACAACCTTGGCCTAGCTTGCGACCTTGTTTGAGTGAGTCGTCATATTTCGAAGTGGACTGGAAGCCATTCAATTCCTCGAAAGAGAATTTAGTTGTCTGATGATCTCGTTTTAGCCAAACTAGACTGGTCCATAACATGAGGTTCGGAGCGAGCCAACCGTCTAGCGCCGGGCTCCTTTCCTGAAACATGAACGAAGTCAGCCAATGAAAGCGGCCGTACTACTGGGACTAGGAAGCAATAGTGGGTACCATCTAGCGTACATGGGGTTCGAAGGTTCGAGAGAGAGCCTGTCTGTCAGACATGATGTTTTGGAGTCTAGTACCAACGAACAGCTGTGGACAAAGGAGTGTTCGAGTATTGTTAGTCAGTTATCCAGTGTGACACCGTCCCAACAACGAACATGGGGGAAACGCGAGGGTCTCGTTTGAGGGAAATGTTGAGAGTCCATATCACCCGTTGTGGTAGGGGTATGATGAGAACATCAATTGTCATGTGTAATCCAGTCGTTATTTAGTCAAGCAAAAGGTCCGAACGACTGTCGTGATGTGTGAGCAGTACCGACGGAGAGATCTATACGATCCGATTGGGGTCTATGGTAGCTCGATTGACATTCAGAACGACGGGTTCCGAGACTTCTTTGGGGCGAATCTTTGCATAACTGAGAAAAAAAATACTATTTTGATGAAGCAAAAGACAACGTATATTCAGCTAGGCGATAGTCTAACAATGCTATATTCGTGTAAGTCTAAATCCCGAGCCGCCAACGACAAACAGTAGTCTTGCACTTCGATGGTTTCCAAGATCCGCCGATGTCGCAGATGTTATACAGGTATACAATCACGGTATTGGTGGATTCCTTGAGGTTTCAAGAGCATCCGTTCGAATCTGTTATCACAATATCCCAATCACTAGGTAAATACCTTTATGTGGAAATATAACGTGTCTAGTGGTAAAACCTATACCAGAGTTAACGATATAAGCTGCTTGCGTAAACGCGTATGACTGTAAGCGTGTTGTCAGCTAGGCAGATGACTATAACTGTGCTCGCTTGTTTGACTCCCTTTTCCGGCGGAATTCCATGGACACGGATGTAGCATATCATGCTTGGACTTGATTATTCTTGGGCTGTACAGCCCAAGGCTGAACACGGCCACCGAGAGTTGCACACTTTCGTTGCTATTTCAATACTAGGACATTGGTCTGTAGCAGGACCTTGTTAAACGTGGTTTAATAAGGATCAGCCGGCTCAACGCTGTGTACTAAATCTTGTTGTTCCATTTAATACACCACACAGTCGTACTGACTTGGTAGTTGATTGATGGGAAGGACAAGAGTTTAATGATAGGGATGAAGGATGGAGGATGAGTGCTAAATTTGAGCTAATATGTAAATGGACTAGCTCCAATTCAGTCCACCTGTCGGCTATGCATGGATTCTCTCTGTTGTATGTCCTTGCAACCAGACCTCTGCACCATGGCTGATGCTCACTTACAGCAGCTTGATCGATGATAACGAGGTTTCTTTGAGCTTCGGTCGTCACTGTTTTCTCTGCCTAGCCACGATTTTTGCGCTCATTGCAAGTAAGAGCCGTTGTGTACACAAGCCTTATCTGATTCAATTGTACAGCGTGTCCTAGTACTGGTCCATGTATACGGCCTCCATTCGATGACTAACAGAGGTGCGAATAACGAAGACAACGTTACGTGATATCTGTATCTCAGAATCAATTATCGAATTGAAGGGAACCTATATGAGATATAATCAATGGTCGTTCAGTGTGGAGGGACACATGTGTTTGCTGAAAGCCGCGAATCAAGACTTAAAGAGCTGTGCTGGAATATGATAATGCCCCTTCAATGAGCATTCTTGATGCATCTCCGATGACTGTAGACGCCTGACCATGCGCGTAAATACTAACCGCATTTCGCCAACACCACGACGTAGATCAAGCCTGGAAGTCTCATCGATGATACTGTTCGACTCTATATCTCCACCTACTCCAAATTAGCAAAGTTAGCAGTAAAATTAATCCTCCGACTTACTCCTGAGCAGCAGACATAGACCTGGTATCCGAGTGCTTTGGCTTGTGCGACTCTTTGGCCTTCTTCTCGGCCTCAGCAGTAGCCTTCTTCTCAGCCTCAGCAGTAGCCTTCTTCTCGGCATCGGCAACAGCATCGCTCATCTCCTGCTGTTTGACCTGCCGGTATCCTGCATACCCCAACGCACAGCTCACAAGCCAAAGCATTGCACCGACGAACGCAAACGCCAAGTCTGCTTTCCATTTCCCGCAGAACCCGCCGTCTTGTATGTCACTCCAGGTAAATGCTGCCCCGCAGACTTGTATATCGTTCAAGTACTTGACGAGGAGTCCAAAGGCAACAAACCACATGCCGGACCATAAGAAGTCGACCCAGAATGGCAAATGCATGTTGATGCTCTGAGGTATCGTAATCAGGGATACGAACAAACAGAAGATGCTCAGGAATATTGAAACTAAAGAGAGAACGACGATGTAGATTTCCGTGTCTTTCGGTCCAATGCGCCATCGATCCCAGTAGTTGAGGAAGTAACATGTGAGACCAAGGGTAACCTACATGAATCAGCCGTCGTCTTCACCAGTTCTCACGAAGGGCATGCTTACCGTAGCGCAAACAAACTCGCCGAATCTGAGCAGGATCTTCAGGTCGCGCGAAAATTCAACCATGGCAGGAATATTTCTTTGTTGCTATACAAGTTGGCAGCCAGTCAGATATAGCAACGAGCAGGATGTGTATATCCTGGAGAACACGACAGACAGCGTCTCAAGCGAAGCTTTTAGTATTTACACACCATGGTGACTGGAGTTCCTGGGTGCATTCCGGGTGGCGTGCATTGCGTCGAATAGGTTACACATCCCTTGCTTGGAAGATTGGAATGTTCAGCCTCCGGCAGCCTTCCATTATTATGAGCAATATCGAAGAATATGGGCAAATAAGCTTATTCTGAAGGTCTAGATCATGACCGCACGACCTGTTGACTTGTTGATACCAACGCACACGGCCTACGATTTCTGCGTTTGTGAATTAATATGTACTGCTACGTACTACACCCTCTTGTGCCACTGATTCTGCTAAGCCAGAGCTGCTTAAGTTTGAGGCAGGCAGAAAGACCAGCAAGGATATCAGTGCTTCAAAAACTAAGAAGCCTTTGCCAGCTGCGCGCGTGTGGCACAGTTTTGTCTACGAGAGAGGATCGCAATACCCTCACAACAATGACTCCAATACAATCCTAAGAACAATTAGACTTATCACGCGCCTTGCATAACTTAGCTTCTCGTACTCACTTTGCCTATTGTAAAGAGACACAACATACTTGACCTTGCTATAAATATCTGATATTGCTTGTAGTCTGTCGAAATCGGTCTATAATCTATAATCTATTTTCTATTTTCTATTTTCTATTGTCTAATGTTTTGGAAGTCTAAAAACGGCAATGAAAGTCAAAACAAAGGAGACTTCCATCACATTACCCCGGTCCCTACACTCCAACCCGCACAATAGTGCGTCCATTCCCGCTGCGCATCCCCAAATCCTACCGCCTCAATTACAAGCTGTATAACTCACCCTAAAGCCTCTGTAGGAATCTTCTTCTCCGAAATCGACGCATCCGCGTTCCGTGTATATGCAAAAACGTCACTTCCGCCATTCCAAAGTAGTTGCGGCGCCGCTGTCGCCGCAACTGCTCCGCCAATCCTATACCACGGCCCAAACGCTCCATTCACAGACGTCTTCGCCCAGAGCACATTGCCCTCGTGGCTAATCGCAGCAAGTGTGATCTTATCGTTCCACGCAACTGCTGCAGGCTTGTACATTCCACCTTCGCCTTGCAACTCCCAGGATCCCCAAGTCTCATTTGTCAGAATGCGACTGTTTACATTATTCGTGCGGTCGCGTGCGAAGATGGTGATGCTGTTGGGACCGTTGCTGACAGGGACAATCTCTTCGGCGGCGTCACCGCCAATGTCGTTCCATCTGGTATGGCTTGGGCTCCAGGACCAGCCCTCGCTGGCCGTGCCTGTCATCGTCTTGTGGTAGACTTTGTTGTTGTGCCCACGGATAAACACGTCGACGCGACCATCACCCGACATGACGGCTGTTGGCGAGCTTACTGCTTGTCCACCAATGTTGAACCAGTCACTCCACTTCGTGCCGTCGTAGACCTTGTGCAGAATCTGGTTAGTGACGGCGTCGCGGCCGAAGACGTCCACGCGCTCCCTGTTATTGCGGAATAGCGAGACGATGCTGAGCTCGCCGATGAACTGACCGCCGAGCGATTCGCGGTTCCAGCCTTGATTGCCATTTGGATCACGGTTCCAATAGTAGTGCTTGGCCTCGTTCTTGGAGCCACGGCCAATGATGTTGGCACGGTTGAAACCTAGGTCGAGGGCGGAGATATCGCCGATGAATGACTCGCCAATAGTCTGGAAATAGCCAGGAGACCAGCCGGAACCGATGTTCCAGCGTTGAAGGAGGGAGTTGTACTGGTCAAGGCTGAGAATATTCGCGGAGTTTGGACCGCTGGAGCACAAGATGAAGTTACCGCGGTGTTCGCCGCCTAGGTTGGTGACCTGAGCCATAGTGGTGAGAGCAAGAATGGGGAGTAGAAATGCTTTGAGCATGGTAGATAGGATGTACAAGCAGATTAACGAAGTCTATTCAAAGATTTGAAGATGGGGTAGAGATTGAATGACTGGAAAAGAAGCTGTAGTAGACCTGTGTGAGCTGAAAGTGTCTGGAAAGTGAGATGTTTATATAGCCTTTATGGAATGGTGATCTGGGCTATTCAGAGTGTAAACACGAGCGACCAGACGAAGTAACATTGTTGGTAAGATCAAGCCACTGGTGACTGTGTTAAGGACCTTCGATATGTAATGACAGTAATTGACTAAAAGCCCACAATGATAGAACACTGGGAAATAGCAAATTAGAAGTATCATTCTCGGGAAGTGCGTTTGGACAAGATGTGTTGACGATACCGACATGCTCGTATATGCAAGATCTGACAAATGGATTGTTGTAGTGGCGCGAAGCCTAGTTAGTAATGGGGTTCTTGAAGTGTAACCCAAGCAAAGCCACGAAATGGATCAAAAAACGTAAGTTATCGGCCAGTGGTATACCATGTTCGGAACTTCTTGAAAGATTCAGGAAACGCTGATATTTGAGGAGTAATTCACACAAGCAATTTCCTGGAAATGACTAACAGGTTCAGACACAAGGTGACAGTCTTGTTAAATTGCATGATGCAAACCAAAAATCGAGAAGAACGCCATGATCTCATCAGTTGCAAAACATATGACTTAGAGCAGTATGCTGAACTCGAGAGGAGAGAGAATTCTAGCATGAGAGAGTACGTGATGAATAAGAATGAGTTGCTTGTTGACATTGCCAGTCAGGCAAATGCACGTGCGCATAGCTTACAAGGAGAGGCTTGCCGACTTCGACTTAACACACCTGAACAAGAACTGTGAGCGCTCAAGTTTTTGTTTCTGCTGGTTCAAGTCTTCCGTTGGCACAGCCTCAGTTCGACTTCCTACGGACCTGTTGGCATGTATGAGCTCGGTAGGAATCGAGCATGGAAATGAGAATTTGATTCTGGTATCAGCTGGGCTTGGCCATTCGAATTAATCTGTTCTTACAGCGCAAGTACAGTCTTCGAGGACAAACGGAGTGTAATTGCCCTTCCGCGCTGTTTCTGGCTGAGGCTGGTAATGCCATAGCCACAAGAGGCCGTCGCAGTTGTCGTCGCAGTCGTTAGGCGTCATATCCAAGCTGTTGGTGTAGAGACGGATCCGGTAGCCTCAGACGTACTATTGCTCCATGCGAGGTGTGAGGCAAAAGTCGTTGTGTTTCATCGGGCCCATTCAATCCTAATGGAGGAGGCTAAGGCAGAAAAGGAGGCCTTGATGTATTTTTAGATGCGTGCAGCAGGCCTAACGTTGGTTTTTTTGGTCACGCATGGGCTGCCTTAGGCTCTTTGCGGGCCAGAATAGTAAGCCTTATGGCCTGATAGTGAGAAGATAGTCATATGGAAATCTCAGAGTAGAGCGCGTTCGATGATCTTGCGGATATTGTCGTGCGAATTGAGCGACCTCCGTGAGTGCAGGTCTTCACCTACTTTACATGCGGGAATGCCACTGACTCGTCAAAATGCTCAGCCTCGACCCGCTCTAGGGGCCAAATCCAGATCCAACAACCCCCAGCCTCTTGCCCATCAACAACATACAGTTCCATACATTCCAACAGCATGGCCTTGGATCTTCATGTCGCAAGGCATGTCGTTGATTCATCGCTTGCCTTACATACTATGGTTTTGGCATTTTTGCACGAATTGTGCCTTCTTGTTTCAAGACCAGCTCCCTGCATAATCGATGCGGCACATACGCTCCCATGATTCATCGCGTGTACTTGGGATGCTATGCCATGGGTGAAAACAACCGCCTTGACTTTAGCCCGATCATACACTTCCTTCATGCACGGCCCACATTCATATTCCTTTGGTTACCCACTACGTTGTGGCTGCGACATGGGACTATTGGCTGCCTTCCATAGTGTCAACTGTTGCCGTCCACTTTAGGGCTGCTCGTCAAGGCGGCAAAGAAGCCTCAGGGATCCTCCGTGCGCTGTACCTACATATTATGGCCGCGACAACTTGAGCCGCCGCCCCATCTTGTCCTACGATCTTTTTGCGCCGCATGGAAGTGGCGGACACACAATCGTTGCAAGGTACTTATGGCTGGAGTCTTTGGTTTTGATAATAAATCTATCCCATATTCTGTAATAGAAGAGACCGGTAGGATCTATTACATTGGCTATCTAGACAAACGTGCTGACGAGGGCACAGATGGATCGGACGCACGAGAACCACCACGAACGAACGATCCGTCGCTGTCAGGAGGCCTACGAAGAGCACCATCAAATAAGTCTGAGACGAGATCATTGTTCAGTTTCGCCCGATGGCCAAGCGGGATAAGCAGGTATCGAGCGCGAACGTCGTCCGTCGACAATGGCCTGGCTTCACCAGTCAGCACCGAGGCTGCTAGTGATGATGGAAGTCGACGATCGATATGGAGTCCAACAGTCAAAATGTCCCCTTTCTTCATGGCGCGGTTCAGCTCAGCACGAGAGGTTCGGTTCGCACGTGTTATGGGAGCACGTACTGTGACTTCACACAGTCGTAGATCAGACCAAAACGAGGACGCAGACGTCACCCTACCTACGATTGAGCCAGGACCGACGGTGACAGCACCCATATCTCGGACGGAACGTCGGTCCCAGTTTGAAGAGAAGCACGAGCATTCCGCCCGTCGGAGTGCGTTCCCTCCGTCAACAACACCAAGCGATCCACTTGTGCCTCAGATTCTATTGCCTTATGGACAGCACTATCGCATGTGGAACTCGAAATGGTTGCGTCGAAGAATGATATGGGGCTTTTTTCTCTTTTTTACTTTTTCTTTCATCGTCGTCATGGTACTCTATGGGTTGTCTAATTCGAATCAAGGCATCAGTACACCATCGTGGAGCGCCTATTACGGCTGGACTATTGGACCAGCACTAATATTCGTAATCGTAACTTCATTCTGGAGACTAGTTGATCTGGACTGCAGAATATTGGCGCCATGGGAAGACATGAGACAAGGATCTTCGCCTGCAGCGAGGTCATTGCTTGCCGATTACACTTCACCGATCCTCCCGGTAGTCTTCTGGAGGGCTGTCAAGAACCACCACTGGGCCGTGGTCTTTTCAAGTCTCGTACACGCCCTACTGACTTTGACGACGGTCTTCTCAACTGGGCTATTCATGTTAGAACCAACACGCATGTCCACGATCCCTGGCTCGCCAGAACAAACCGTCAATCGACTACAAGTAAAACGCCTCTCGGTTGGATTAATAGGGACATCACTTCTGGTAATGGCCATATCGAGCGCCTTGCTTGCCATATTTCGGCCGCGCGAAGCTGTCTCATGCGACCCTAATTCTATTGGAGCCATTGCATGTCTGCTCGCCAGCAGCCCTGCCGTCAAAAGCCGTCTTTCCGGTCTGTCAGCATGCGGACCTAGAGAGTTCTACAACGAATTGAGGTTTGACTCGTACCGTTGCAAGAGCAACGGCAACGACGTTCCCGAATTCGAAGTCTATCCTACACAAAGGTCCTCGAAAGAGACGTACAAGTCGAGATTTCAGCATGAGGTAGTGTGGTGGAGGCCAAGCGCTTTCTACCTAGCAAACACATTAATCACCATTATTGCCCCTATAATCATAATCGCGATACTCGAAGGTGTACAACGAGTAAGCGATTCGAAGGGTGGGATTGTTAACATCAATTCGTCCAGCGAGGCTCACGTATTTGCGGCATACATCCCTGTACTGCTGATGGTGGCGATTCTAGGCCTCTTCTCGAGTTTAGACTTTGGTGTGTCCGTCACATCTCCATTCATTTCACTGAAGTCCCAGGCGAGTGCTCGTGCCAGCAACACGATCATGGTCGACTTGATCGCGCGTTTCCGCCCCGCCAGCCTGTTCAAATCAATAAGGAACAGGAACTTTGTCCACGTGCTTTCAGTCACCTGCGTTGTGCTAGCGAGTTGGCTCTCACTCGCCGCATCTGGTCTATACAGTGCACGCACGGTGAATGACGGTCTAGAAACGCAGTCTATCACAATGGCGGACAGCTTCAACTTATCATTGACCGGCAGCATCTCGCAGGACGATAAAGGTGCGGGTCAAAGGACAGCTGCCCTACTCTCTGATAACTCTACTTTCTCTAGGTGGACTTATGGAAATCTTGCCTTTCCGAGGCTGGAGGAGCAGCTACAAAGACGTTCTGAAATGTCTGGAGTCGCGAACGTCCAGGTGCCGGCCACACGTGCCGCCCTCAACTGCACCAAGATCCCTATGGACCAGATAAGCGTTGAGTTTTCGACTTCACTTCTAATCAACACCACTCTTCCCTGGATGTGCGATACTCCCGCGTCGGCACAAATGGAATCCTGGGTACAAGAGTTCTGGTTCAACCCGCCTCCAGAAGGCTCGAAGCTGTATTTTGGCAACGCTGACCAGATGTTCTGGAACAGTAGTGGCACGGTCCTGAGTACGGGAGTAGACCTGAACTACTACTTCGATCCTACATGGGGCTGTCCCAGCTTCGCATTGACTCTTGGAACGATCAATTTCCAGCCCAACCGGACAACAGGAGCACTGAGCGCTTCCGTCGAGGACCTGAGCATAGCAGTGTGCTCGCAACACATCGAGACCGTCGAGACCGACGTCGAACTCGACCTCTCCACCATGACTATCAACACCCATCCCAACCCTCCAAAGGCCCACGAAGACACCGTCACCACACTCTCAAGCAACACCTCTCCACCATCCCAAAACTTCGGCTACCCCGTAAACACCCTCCTCTCCGCCCTCGAAGACGCCAACAACACAACGAACCGCGCTCTCTCACCATTCTTCCGCGCCCTCGAATGGCGCCACAACGGCGCCCACCTCGCCTCCTACACAGGCGCCGCAAACTCAGACAAACTCATCGCCGCCGCAAACACCATCTACTCGCTCTTCATCGCCCAGCTCCTCGACGCAAACGCCCGCGTCCCCTGGACGCCCTCTCCCGCCCCTCTCCATCCCCGCACCACACACACAAACCAAACACTCCCCATCCAACTCCCAAGCCTCAACGAACCCACACATCTCCGCATAGCACAGAACCGCGGCCCCAAAATCACCCTCCAAGTCATCCTCGCCCTCCTCTCCGCCCTCGCCCTCACAATCTACGCCCTCACCTACTCCGCCGTGAAAACCCTCCTGCCGCGCGCCCCGACCAGCATCGCCGGCCTGGCAAGCCTGCTCGCAGACAGCAGATTCGCGAGCCGCGACTTCATCCCAGCGGGAAGCGAGTGGTGCTCCAACGCACGCCGCCGCGCAGATGGCGTCTTCGACACGCACACATTCAGTCTGGGCTGGTGGGACGCCGCTGATGTGCGTTCTGCTTCTGGCCCTGCCGCTGTCTCTGCCGCACCAAACCCGCACATAGATACGCACCCGCACGACGAGCCCGCACCCTCGTCACCCCGTACTCCCGCCTCCCCCTGGACACACATCCCCACGCTCCTCGCGCGCCTACCTAGCATCCGGCCCAGCAGCCCGTTCCGACCCTTTGGCGGCGCAACAACAACGACCACTCGCAGCAGCCAAGGCAGCGACCCAGACACCACGACAACCAGCCTGCTACGCGCCAGCTACCCGGCACCTACCCACGACGACGACGACGATAACCCCACGGCCGCAGACGAGCACCACACCATCCGCCTCGTGCATTCCTCCTCCTGGGTCGTCGATAGAGACGACGATGTAGATGTAGACGCAGAAAACAACATATACGAAGAAGGCGAAGAAGGCGAAGGAGGCGTGGAAGGAGACGGCCCCGCAATCCTACCCGACGACCGGATCGAGCCGCATCCGGGGCTGGACAGGCGGTTGACGGAGCCGTTTCTGAATGATATTGCAAAGAGCGAGGAGGCGGGCGGGTATATGGCTGTTGGCGGGCCTGCGCTTGTGTCTGTGCCGACGGGGGTTCCGGCGACGGAAGCGCAGCCGGAGCAGGAACCGCGACCTGAACTGGAACCACAGCTGGAGCCGGAGCCGGAGCCGGAGTCAGAGTTGCAACCTGAACCACGACCGGAACCGCAACATGAACCTGAACCGCAACCTGAACCGCAACTTGAACCGGAAACACAGCCGGAACCACGACCGGGACTACAGCCGGAACCACAACCTAACCCCAAACCCAGTCCCCTTCCCAAACCACGATCCCATCCACAACCCAAACCCCATCCCTACATACCAGGCATAAGAAGACGATACGGCGTTGACATCGGCGTTGCGGCGCAGACGGCGGGTGTCAAGGTGCGGTATGTGCGGACTCCAGAGGGGGGGGGGAGGGGTGTAGGGGCACGGGAGTGAGTTAGTAATTTAGTTGATGCGGATTGGCGATGCGTGAGGAGGTCAAGATACCAAGGGGTGGGAGTCATGAAAGGGGCACCACGTGTCAATACCACGAGTCTTTTCTGTATATAGCATTGCGAGGGGCGTTATTCTTTTGTATGTGTGCGGTCCACGGGCCGTTCGAACTTTTCATAGTCAGATATTCGCAATACCAGGCAGGTCGTGATACCTTCCCCCTCCCCCTCCCAAGAACACGACTGCGCTACTCTGAGACTCTGAGATGATTCTTCATCGCTTGGGCCCTGAGCGCCTTTGTCAATTCGTGGTATTGCTGATCTACAGCTAGTAATGGTCTACATTACAACAGCCTCGCTCTTCTCAAAGCGCAAAAAACTCCACATAGGTCGCCGCCTAGAAACGCTCAGATTCGTGTCGTCGTCGTTGTCGTCCATACTGTACACTCCGCGTGGCGGATTTTTCTAATGGTAAAAATGGTGTTGCTTCGTTCCCAGTCCTGCATCCCCGTTGCGCTGCGAGCGCGAATGCGGCGCTTTTGATCATCTTTGAGTTAGTTTGGCGATAATTGTCGGCCACCTGCACACCCACAGACTGTAAAGCCTCTCCTAGGTCCTTTTCTTCAGCCTCTACTGTTCTCTTACAGGCATCTCAACCCATCGTCCCACCCTGACTTTGTCTCCTGTTGCCATTCCTCACTCCCAACCTCATTCCCATCCCCAGGCTGCTCCCACTCTTTCCGCTGTGTCCACTCTTTCCAGTCTTGTTAGTTCTGGGAGTCGTGCCATTCTTCGACAAGCGGGCAGTGCCCTCCATGACAAATATACCAAGATCTCGGCCTCTTACGCTCTCCAGGTCACCCCTACATGAACGACAGATGCGGAGCGCACACCATGCGCATGAATATCTCTCCTCGATGCCCTCGGAATAACATAACATACATGGCACGGGTGCGTACGTATTTCTGCTAATATGAAACTTTGCGTGTTGGTGGAAGCAGTTTACGTGTAAGGCTGTGAGTGGAGGCGCGGTAGTGGTGGCAGGTCGAGAAGCGTTGAGTGAGGACAAATTCGGAAACGTGGAGGTGCGTGCGCCGATCGTGGTGGCTTGAGAGGAGTAGTTCTGTCGTGTTTGACGTGGAGACGGCGACGGGGAGAGCACAGGATGAGACGGCGACAGATGGAGTGTGCGAGGGGGTAAGATGTCGTTGGGCGACGACGACGGCGATATAGAGGGTGATGGAGTGATTTTATTGAGGTACGCTTGTGCACTGTTTAATGCGGATGTTTTCTGCATATATTAGTCCTTCGTTCGTCTGTAGAAGAGCCCCGAATGCTCACCCTAAAAATGTCGAGGCCGGTGCTACTCTTGCCCCGTGAATGCATCCCCTGTCGTATGCTCTCTGCATCACCCGGCGGCGTGTCTGCACCAGTAGATCTCGGACATGACACGCCATAGTCGGATGACGTGTCTTCACCGAGTGAAATTGCAGCGGGCAGGACGGGCGTGGGAGGCGAAGGCGGAACATAGTCTTCAGCAGCGCTATCGCTACCCGCAGACAGGGACGGCTCGCGTTGATGATCCGGGCTTGACTTGTGATGTATGACGGTCTGATCGGTGTTCTCAGTACGTGCCACCGACGGAGCGGTATCTCTCGATATCCCAGTCGAGGTAGACTTGACTGTACCCACAGCCGGTTGTGTCGCACTCTGTCCAGACGTGATTCGGTTGCTGATGTCCGAGAGCAAGCTCGACCGCGCAGGTTTCTGTTCCGGTTTTTGCCTCCGCAGACCTCTGGCCATGGTATCTGCCAGCGTTGGGCGTCCAGCAGAGGTGCCGGGGCGTGTTTTCAGCACAGACTTGAGTTGGCTTGACACGCTCTGCGATGCCATCGAGTCATCGCCGACAGCGCTACTGCTCTTCAGTGACGCTGTCTTGGACAGTTTGTTCCCCATCTCGTCCAACGTCTGCACCAGGCCCACTTCGCTTGTCCCTACTTGGTTCCTACTTGGGGCCTTGGGTGGGACTGGCGGCGGGAGGTCCCTGTCTGCGTTTGCGCGTTCTCCGCTGCCAACACGGCTAGATGAACGTCCTCGCTGTGGTAAATCTTGGGCAGGGTTGTTGGCGGGGCCTATGTCGACAGTCTCAAAGGGAAGATCTGAAGATGGCAAGATGGTGGTGGCGGTGGTGCCGTTTGATGACCTGAGTTTCAGCGAAGCGGGTTTCGAGGATCGCGATATGGCACGGAAGGGTATGCTTGCGGGTGAAGACGGGCGGTTCTTGTCAACTGTGGCGGGTGTGAATTAGTCTTAGTCGAGGGAATGGTCCTATCCATACAGTGAAGAGGTTGGGAAAGATGGGAAGAAAAGAGAGGAGGCGAAGACTGAAGCAGTTGAAAGTGATAAAGAACCTGCAGGCAAACCGGTACAGACACTGAGCAGCAGGGACTTTGATTTGAGTGAAGGGACGCGGGCTTGACGAGGTCGGGAAGTGAGAAGAAGGAAAGCCAAGCTGCAGGCACGATGGTACAGATCGGGGAGCAGGAGCGTCAAAGTGAACAATGTCCATGTCGTGCCATGCTATGCCATACCATGCCATGGGTCCACCATGCGCTGCGACACCCAACGCAGCCCCTTGCCCCACACTGCAATACCAGGACTGGAAAGTTGGATAGATGAAAAAGAAGAAGATTGGAAAGGCATACATACCTCTCAGGTGAAGAAGGCCCAGCATCGGTTTGGATTTCCCTTCCAGACCCGATGGCAGAAAGGGTTGACCGTGTTCTGGCGGTGGCGGCTCTGCGCTGTACAACACAGGCGACACGTCATCGATATAATCCAGCTCGTCGTCCATGGCAAAATAGTCGTTCAGGATGGTACTGACGATATCCTCGCGGTTGACGGGTGGTTGAAGTAACGATGCCATCTCGCCTGCGATCCGGCGGCTTGATGGTATTTAAGAAGTGTGCAAAAATAGATGGTTGATTCGAATAAACAGCCTCAATTTCATGCGTTGACTTTGGTCAAGTGCGGGCGCATTGAATCGTGAAACTTTATCAGAAGTATTGAGGTCCGAGGTTTAGATGCCAAGATGGTGGTATGTTGGGGAATCCTGGGGCAGCGGTTTGAAAGAGAGTGTCTGTGTGGTGGTGACAAGCAAGCATATATCAAACGGGGAAAAAAGAAAGGCAGAGACTGGCAATGGCAGTTGCTTGGACGGAAAAGGAATCGAATGTCAAGATGGTAATTAACGAGCTGATGGACGAACGACGAACAAAGGAAATGCAGGACAGCGCGGTAGGTATCAGGTGTCAGCAAGAAAAGTGAAGAAAAAGCAGAGAGTCAAGGTGGGAGTGCGAGGGAGGAGGACACGAGTACTGTAATCAGTTCGAAACGCGAGCTCCACGCGTAAATAGACCTTCAATCTTCCAGAAGCCCGTCAGGATGAGCAAGACGAATATGGAACGCGAAGAGATCAAATATCGCAAAGTCAAAAGAGCAATGTCGCGAGACACACTCACTACAAGAAGAGATCACTCTCGCAGCACAGCAGGACTGAAGTAGACATCACATTCACACATATTCGCCGACAGAATAGCCTCCTCCGTGACGCATCGCTCGTAATAATAGCAGCGATGACGGACATGATAGGGAATATACGTGGTTCCGGCAGGGATAGCGGAGGATGCTGAAACTTGACCTGTCCCACATGATGGTCAGCCCTACGATGTTGCGATCCAAGCGGCGGCGGGGAGGTCAATGAGCGATATACACTGCCTCGATTAACTTGGAAGAGTTGTGAGCAGTGGGACGTCTTTGAGTGATTAAAGATAGACGATGGTGGGAAAGATGGCGGAGAGCGAGTGGGGAACAACAGAGAAGTGAAGAAGAAGAAGGGAAGTAGAGGTTGGATAGAGGGACAAAGGGGATAACCCGTCACGATTGCGCAGATCGAGGACCGACCGACCCATAGTAGTGAGGGCCGCGGGCATCTCATCTCATCAACATGCACGAACTGTTAATTACATTACCGGTCACTTTCTCAAGTCGTATGTATCCTGTAAACCCCCGAAAGAAGACAGTTCCGCCTATCAGCAGATCTAAAATATGGCTAATCAATTCTCCAGAGTCAGTCGACAGTCACGACACTAGCGACGACGACGGGAGATGAGCATGAAACCTGCATCTTTAGATCTTGACCCGCAGGACGCTACGTCTCATCTCATCTGCCCCTCGACGTTTCAGACATCCGGGGGCTAGAGAAAGGCACCGGCAGCTACTTTAACCACTTTAGCTGTCCATGGCGGCTGGCCTGCAAGAATAATCCCATATGTGTATTCCCGCCTTGCCTTTCAACTGTAATTACTTTGCAACTAATAATGATGCCATACCCATCGCATGCATCAGATGCCATTGCTCATCACGATGGACACAGGTACTAGTCAGCAGCCTGCCCAGCCCTCCGGCACAGTCTCTACCTAAGCTACCTCTACCAAGATATGCCCCTACACCGCCACAGACCAAAGATATCAACACCTCCACATACACACCACTTATCAATCATAACATATCCATAGTAAAGACAAGTATAGTAATTCCTCACGACGCAAGGAGGACTCTTCACTCACTCACTCACGCACGCACGCATGCAAGTCCCATGGGCCAATTGATACAATGAATAATAAGAGGGTCTAGCCTCCCTACAGCGTAACTATTATGTACAGTAATTACCTGCCACTAATACCTGCCACTAGCAATCGCGCCGGCCAGGAACAGCCGCGATTAGCTGCCCTAGCTGCCCTGTCTAGCTGCCCTAGCTGCCCATGCTACTCTGGCTGCCCTGGCTAGTCAACCAGCTAAGCAGCAGCTAGCCAGGAACGCGTGGCATTGGGTGGTCGATGACTAGGTAACAACTGATGGGTATATTATATACACAGCCAAATACTATAAATACACAAAACACACAGATAATCCACACAGACGCACCCAGACACAGACACACATAAGCACATTGACAAGATAATGATAAGGCTAGCAGAGAACGTGTTCTGGATGACATACATACCATGCCGTAATACTGTACCTGGTAACTCCAATCTATCTATATACATCCTAAAATACATAATCCATCAATCAATTAATTACTCAAGAAGGATTCGTTGGCCCGGTGCAGGTTCAGGTTCAGGTCAACAGCAGGTAGTAGGGATCTTGCATTATTGCCGCATGTCGCTGCCGTGCACGTTGCGTGATTGCGTGCGAGCTTCGAGGATTGCTCAGGCCTCAAGCTCGACCTGGCGTGCACCAGAGTAGTCAGTAACTAAGGAATAGTCAGAGTACCCAGTAGTCGTAATCGGTAGTCACAGTCGGTAGTCAGGACGCTGCAGGCATGTCGAGTGCTGATGACAAGGTATTATTATCGATATATATGTCCGAATATCTCTCAAGTCTACATCGTTACAACAAAGATGTAGGATCCCACAAAGACCCACGAGGCCCCCTATCCCGGGTCTGTACATGAAGAAATGCTCGTGGTATCGTCCGTCATCGGTGCGCCCCGCCCCAAGTGCTATCTCGGGGTGTCGTCTTGAAATAGAGATTAAGAGTTACTAAATAAAACTACTTTTAGTCGTGTGCTTGAACCGCTTAGATTCATGCCAGTAGAAGGTGGCCGGTCCGTGCATATCTGTCTTGTAGATGCCAGCCGTGTGGATGACGCGGGGGTATAGTCGCGACGCTGCCGTATGCAGTATGTAAGCATCTTTGCGATGATGCGTGGTGCTGTGGTAGCACTGCCATGTGCGGAGTGTGTTGCCCTATGATGGAACGAGACGGGGGTTGAGGTTGTCGTCCAAGGAGGAGGCGATGGGTGTATTGGAGGCTCTGATTCAGATGCTGCCGGGTGCTAGTAGTGATACTGATGAGGGTGATAATGTTGAGATAGCGTGGTTGAGTGTCATTATATGAATAGTGCCAGCAGGGTGACTGCAAGGGCTAGTAACGGTGCGCTGCCTCCCACGATAGGCTGTGCTCCAGAAAGTTGTGCAATGGTCGCGTTTACAAAGCTGGGGCCGCAGCCCAGGTTGATCTGGCCAGCAGCGGCAACATATGTCTTACTCAACGGCTGTGTTTCGTTCGCGGCTGCAACATCAAACACAGCCATTGTGTCCGTCAGACAGGAATTACATGTCGGTCTTGAGCCACCAGGCATGTTTGTGCCGAGCGGGAGGTAGTATATGTACGAGTCGTCGGCAGCGTCTGCCGAGTCGTTCGTTATGGCGTTTGCGAAACAGTAGTTTCCTTCCTTGTCCTTCATACAGCCAGCTGCATACAGTGGCTGGTATGCGATGAGACCGCTCAGCGCTTGTGTGACTGAGGGGTTACCCAACTCGAGGTCAGCTCCGCAGGCTGTGTCTTTCGGTATTTCCTGCGCCAGATGGTCCATGAGCGACGAGCATTGTTCATAGTCTACGTTGCATGTCGCATCGAGTGTTTGTGTGACGCGTAGGTTGGTCTTGGTGGCATCGAAGAAGGAGACGGAGTTCTGGGTTGGATTAGCAATGCCTCAAGAGTGTACAGGTACGGTAGCCTACATATAGGAGCAGCGACAATGGTGTGCATGATTGGAAGGTCGCATTGTTTAGGAATGCAACAAAGAAGTCGGGACAGCTCTGCGCTGTGAAGTTGTTTCCCAGACTGGTATCGAAGGGCATGGGGATCGCTGTGAGACTCGAGTCGGGAGCGTTGCTGGTCGCAGACGGCGTCGAGTTCTCGGTAGGTGTTGGTGTAGCGGAAGGCTCGGACGGTTTATCCTCCGCGTCTTCGTCTGTTTCTTTCCGGAGGGCAAGATGGAAGGCTTGGGGAGCAGATCCGGTGGAGCGATCAACCAACAGATGGCCAAATTGAGCGGAGATGGCACGCGAATGTCGATCAGCGTGTACCCTGGACAATGCGGCGGTGGTACTGTCGGCCAAGATGGACAGGAGAACAAGAAGAACGAAGGGAATGAAACGAAGGGATTTCGTGGTCGATCGGATCGAGAGAGCAGGCCGAGTGTGCGATTGAATGAGTGACTGAGGGGATTGAGAAGAGACAGTGTTTGCAGTAGTATTAGTAGCAGTATTAGAAGCAGATGCGAAGGCGAGAATTAATGGTTCGGGAAGCAGAGTCTGGTGCGACGGCAGACCAGCATGAGAGTTTGGCCTAAGCGTTGTACCCTGTCGGCATGCGGTGTCATTGCACGACTCGGCGTCCGGACAGCTCATGATTGAGAGGCACAAAATCCACCTCTGGCATCAAACATGACCAGACAAAGATGGGTTGTTCAAGAGCTGGGGAAAGGTGGAATAGTCGTATCGATGGTGATGGCTGTCCAGTCCGAGGGCGCGTGAGAGAAGAACAACAACGGGCAAGGGTCCTTATTATGGAAGCTGGTGGTTGGAGTTGGGAGTTGCAGCAGACCCGGGCTTTTGCAGGCTGACAGTTGCAAGGTGGTGCAGGTCGCTTGTCTACCGGCCGGCAGATATCACAGTCTGATGGAATAGCAAGTGGTAAGGAACGTGGTACAAACGAGTGTAAGTAGAGGCGTGAAAAAAGTGTGAAGAGTAGAGAGATGAGAGTGAGTGAGTGAGTGTGAGACTGTAGATGGTTTTACGAATCCTTTCAGGTTACCTACCTACTACCTAATCACCTACATACATACCTACCGACCTTCCTGGTAGGTAATACTAGCCATGCCACGATACTAGAACTATACCAACGCCTCCGAAGCGGCTCCACCGCTCAAAAGAAGTCTAGTTCTGCATCTACCAGACCAGAATAGGCGCACCGGCTTGGCTGGCTGGCGGTTCTGGCTGTGCCGTAATACAGATAAATTAATGAAAGCCCAAGAATAAGAACGAGAATGGTATGTGATTGTAGTGTATTAGCTGGTCCTTGATCCACCGGAGTGCATAGCAGGGATAGAGTCAATGAGTAAACGGGGGTGATAGGAGGCTGATAGGAGGCTGATTGGGGGGAGCGGCTGCTTGTTGGCTCGGGGGGGCTGCTTGGGGACTTCTGGGGGCGCTGATTCGGGCAAATCGGGGGGGAGGGAAAAAGGGACTGGACAGCGGCATTCAGCCCGTCAACCCGCCAAAACCAGCCAAAACCAGCCAAACCAGCTAAATTCCAAGCAATACAGCAGCCAAAATGCCAAAATGCAACTTGTCCCGTTTGTCCTTTCCCCCTTCCCCCTTCGTCCCTTTCTCTGGCCCCTGCCTGACTATTTGCGCTGCGTTCTAGCCCGTTCGCCCCTTCCCAATCCGGACTCGTTGCTGCCAAATACGGCTTCGGCCTTGCACCGCTCGCCCCTGCCGGTTTGATTTGTGGCGTCGATCAATACTTCTCTCGCTTCCCTTTTCCATTCCATTTTCCAATCCCCATCTTCCCTCACCTCCATCTACACAACATCATGACAACAATCACTGCCAGCCTTGCCATTAGCATTGAATCCCTCAATTAACTTCTGTTTGCACGCTCAACGCCTTCAAATCTCTCACAGCAAAAGCATTTGCCTCTTGTCATGCTGCATTCCATCGTTCCGTTCCTAGCACGCATTCATAGCCTGCCTACCCATTAGCTATACACGTTCATGGGTGGATGTAGTAGAGTGGATACACGCTTCGAGAGGAGTGCTCCAGTGGTTCCCGCCAGCCAGCAGCACGACTGGACTGGACTGTCCTTCAACGTTTAGTTTAATTGCGTTATGGATGCCATTGTCCTGCTGCTGGCTGACGGGTCCACTTGTTGACTGGGCCGCATGCATTCGTCTGATTGGCCGGCCGGACTGACTTTCACTTGCACGCCAATTTGCATAATTACCAGTATCATTTTCTGCTATGCTGCCTGCCTGTAAGGTTCTCCACCACTTCGTCTTGTTGTCATCCATCAACAACGCCATCAACATACCGCGTACGCCATCTACGCCGCTCTGTTCTTTTATCGAATCTAGACTACAACCTGCCTGTCCTGACGGGTGTGAGAGCCAATGGATGTCTTGCGCTTGTTTTCCTGCCACGGAGCCTCGAGCTGTTTTGAGGCGATTTCATATCCCTTACTCCAATAAGCCCAAAAGTGTACCTCGCCTAGTAATTACTGTGCGCTCGAATAAGATGTTTGCGTGATAGCGACTAAGTATACACATGAGTCACTGTCTGTACCGAGACTTGCAAAGGCCCGACTAAGGGGCGGCCTGGGTGTAGTCTATGCATGACTCGTGGTGATATAGATACTCCTGTCTAAAAGTCATCACTGTTGCGAATGGATGCATGACAGATTCCTCCTTCCTTCTGCACGAGACCATATCTATGTAGTGTATTGTTTAGAAGGCCATGGACATGCCCATTCCAGCATCCACAGACTCTCAGTCCACACGCACTTCCATCCCCGCTGAAGCCCAACGACGACAATCATCATCGCACCATGATGCTGCCCATCTGCGTATGTGTACATCTCCGCATGGCATCTATTGTCGCATCCATGATACCCACCAGTGAGGAGGTCCTCAAGTGTATTCATGACAGTGTCTATTTGAGTGCCGAATATCTCTCTCGTAGGCAAGGCGGGTTGAAAGGAAAGATGGTTGTAATAAATACTATCAGAGGTCACCATGACAAAGTGTCGGGTAGCGACCTGGATATATGTGATGGCTGTGTGGCTGGGGTAGATGTTGTGAATGTTGTGGTCTGCTTCATAGTGGAGTGTATTGTTGGACTTGATGCTTGAAGAGGGCTGTTATATACGTCAAGAATATGAATGCCGGGTAATAGTCAATCCCACCTATGGCAAAAGAACATACCCGCCAATCCATCTACAACCCGCCCTCAACTAGCATCTCCTAAAGCACCTATATGATTGAGTCACTTCGGTCACTTAGGACATAGAGCAATCGTGTCTCGGGAATACCCTCAGAAAGCTTCCTGGAAAAAAAGTAATCTAGGGGAAAAATGCGGGTCAGCTCTGCCCGGCAGTGCTCTGAAACCATGGGTCGTGCTGGTCGCGCTGGTGATGATGATGGTGATGATGATGATGATTGTCATTATTCGATATATCAGATGGACGAGTGGGATTTATATCTACATTAGTTCATGTATCAGCGAGCTTGCTCTCACATCGAAGACCAACACTATCGTTGAAGCCTACAAGAAGTGCTAAATACCATACCCCCAATAACATGACCGTCCACTCCACAAACAAACGCTCTTTCTCTCCGTACGCCCAGCTCCCATCAAAACATTCACCACCATCACCTCGCAGCACTATACCCCATCATCCCTCCTCCACGCTGACCACCACCATCACAACAACACCCACCGGAACCACACAACAAACAACCCAGAACACACGCCATGCGTACGTCTCAGGTCGACAAGTCGACGACCCACCAACATGAACGTCGGCTTCATCTTTCTGCAGTCTGATCGCGTTGCCCTTTGAACCGCCGCATGTGGAGAGCATGAACAGGTTGGGCAGGGGAAGGGGGACGCTCATATATATACATGAACACAGGTGCGCAGGTATATAGGTAGGTATACGTATCCTCCGCGAGTTCATAATGCCGGGTACGTCACACTGATATCGGGAGGCTTGCATGGAAAAAGGAGGCGTCAGTGAAAGGAGGTATACTACACCGTCACGGCGCTGCTTCTCGTCGGAGGGTTGCTTGGTACATGGTTTACACACTTCAGTTCAGTTCAGTTCACATACTTCGCTTCACATCCTTACTGCACTGATCTAGCAGCACATGGATAGCCCGCAGGACAAGCAGAAAGCGGCACTCTCACAGCAACACACAGCAGAAGATTTTTTAGCAATAACGAAGGAAAAAAAAACCCCGTTGCAAATAGTGGTATCTCTAGCGACCGTCCCTGAACCCAAAAGAAAACCTTTGATCAGAGGGAAACAAAAGAAAAAAAAAGAAGCGCGTGGCATTCCCGCCATGTCCATGCGTGGAAGTATGGAAAAGGGAAAAAAAAAAAGAGACAAGTTCCCCCCCGACGCTGTTCGAGTCGTTCGTTGCCCCTGATGACAAAACGATTCTCCCAGAGATGGCCGACCGTTGTATTCGCACCGCCCACGAGTGTTGATAGCCTTAAAACGCGGCAAACAAAGTGTGCGAGAACATACATACATACATACATACATAGGAGAAGGGATATCAAACGTGAAAGGAGATACAACGTAGGTCGGAAATATACAGGAATTCGATACGCGATGCGGACGATGTGCGCAAAGCCACGCAGGGAGGTGCCTAGTTAGAGGATAAACGAAGAACGTAAAAAGGCGTGATGGAAAGGCAGGCTGCTCATCGAAACTCCAGCCGCTCGCCCACACGTCGACGGCGGCCGCGACTGCCGCCTTCGGGCCGCTGCGCCAGCACGTCGCGCAGCTGGGGATCGTCTTTGTCCTTGTCGATGTGATGCACCCTCACGTGTCTACACAGGTGGGGAATGCAGTCAGCGTTAATGCACGCACAGTCGACGACGACGAACGATAACGAGAAAAGAACTTTTCTTACCTCTGCAGGTTGTCTGGCCGAGGGTATTTGTGCTCACGGTCGGGACAGAACGGGCATACATAGCCAGGACTGTCGTGCACGAGGCCGTGACGGATCATTTCGTTCTTCCGCTTGAAGCCCTTGCCGCCCTCTGCTCGTGGACAGCTTGGCACGGGGCAGTAGTGCGGCCGGCTTTGCGAATGGACGTTGGCGTGAGAGCTACATGTACACTGCATCAGTGATGGTCGTAAAGATGGTAGGGTATCACTCACTTCAGAAGATACTGAGTCTGGAAAGGTGGCGCGGTGCAGCCGGGAAACTCGCAGTTGAAGGCTCCACCAAGTCCCAACGACGGCAGCGAGTGCAGGCTTGTAGGTTGCTGCTGGCCCTGCGTGTGTGGCGGGGGTAGTATAGGTCTCATTCCGTCCATGCTCAGTCGCTGCAGGTTGTCATTTGGTGATGGCTGTGAGGTGGGACTGAAGCTTTCAGAGCTCGAGGAGAGGAGGTATAGATTGCTGGTGTCGGATGGGTGTGACGGGCGCCGAGTCGTAGTATTCAACGTGATCTGTGGACCCTGACTGAAAGGATCGCGTGGGGAGAAATCGCCCTGCATCGTGCTGGGCGATGTATGGCTGCTGATCGAAGGAAGCCAAGTAGAGGTGGGAGAGACTTGGGAGCTGATGCTGAAGGTTCTTCTGGCACTCGTTGGTGACTGGCCCGCTCCGCCGGAGGGTGAAGAGATGGATGCACGCTGCTGGTTGAGGAACTGAACGAATGCATCGGCGTCCTTGTTCCTTGCAGCTGCTTCCGCGATATCGCTAAGTTGCCGGAAGCTTGGCAGGGATGGGTTTCTGGCTTCGGGGCTGTTGATGCTGGGGGTGGGAGATTGTGGCAGCTGGAATGGCGGGAGCGTGTTGGCGTAATCTATCGCTTGAGGGATGGATAAGGATCGCAGTCTTGAAGACATTGTAGAATCATGTCGCTCGCCGTCATGAAGCATCCTCCCATCTGTTGGTGAGCGACCGGGGGAGAAGTGCCCTTTCCAAGGCGGAGACATCCTCTGCTCGTTACATGTGTTTACCATGGCAACACCACTGATCAGGTTGCCGATCTCGGAGTCGTTCCGAGCTCGACTCATTGGAATTGGAGAAGTTGGAGATTGTGGATCCGAGACACGCCTCATGTCTAGTTGGAGAGCAGGAATCTCGGAGCGCTTGACCGAGGCTTGGGCGATAGCTTTCTGTGCAACACTCACAAGATCAGACGAGCCTGGATCGATTTTCGGACCATCTGTAGAGTGTCGATTGCGCCGCTGCTGGCCATGTCGTTGTTGCTTGGATGCGTCGTTTTCAGGTTGTGATGCTGAATCGAGCACCTCAGTCGCAGCAGTTCGAGCAATGTCCGGGTGGTCAGGACTCATAAACCCCAGCAATACTTGGTCGGCCTGACCAGGTGATGATGCACGATGGCTATGTCGTGTTGAATCGGTATGCTCAGTCACCGGACAAATATAAGGGTTGAGGATGGGGAAAGGGGGTGGTGGTGACGGGGATGGGATAGCTTTGACTCTGACTGCTTCAAGCAAAGGTGACTTGTGAAGCCCGTCCTCGTCCGAATAATAAGAAGCATTCATTCAGAGCATCCGGACGGAGGCCAGGCGACTTTAGCCTAGCCTCTAAAAGTCAGGCTCGAGAAAGTGGAGATGTGGAATGATGGACAGCCTGGACTTAGTGGTCAGTAGAGCCTCAGCGAAGCAGCAGAACCTTGGAAGGTTCCGAAACACCGAGTGGCCACAGACACCGATCGCGATGCAGAGCGGTATTGCGGCACGACCACAAGTTTTTGTTGCAGGAGAGACAGGGCAGGAGACGTCATTGGAGGTGAGAGAAATGTGATAGTGTAGAAAGGGATATGTGGGTCCATGTATGGGATTCGGTCCTGCATGTCGGATAAATGGTCGGACGGCGGGGTATATCTCAAGCCCAAGACCTGGAGGTAGAAGGCAACGAGGCTATGAGAGGTGACAAATAACAGTATTACTAGGGGAAGAAGAAGATGATGAGAACAGACAAGTGAAGACTTGATAGAGAGAGAGAGAGCAGGTTGTAATTATTCACAGCTGAAAAGCATACATACCCGGTACAACGAGCGCTATAAGTTGAGCCTCATAGACGGGCGGGAAGGTTAGTGTCGATCGAAACGTGCTCGTATACGGACAGGGCAGAATGTGGCATTTGAGATAAGCCGAATCGCAGTCCCGAGCGAGCCACAACAGCGGTAGCAGGACACGCAGTCAGTCAGTCGGTCAGTCAGTCGGTCAGGTATGACAGCACAACGCTGAATGGGGTGGAGGTATGAAGTGAATGATGGCAGAACAGGCGAGGGTGTGGAAATTCGGAGCGAGGAGGCTCAGCGGCGCGGGGATAAGGTGGATAGGATGAGGTTGGTCTGTATTATAAGCTGCACGGAGCTGACAGAATAGGCGATCAACTTCCTTGCAGCGAAGAGACGCACGACAGAGGGCGCGTCGTGTAAAAGGGCAAGGATGGCGCAAGGCCAGGACAACAGAGAGTCGAGAGTTGAGAGTCGAGACAAATAAGGAGAAAGGATTGCGAACGGAGTTGCAGGAAGCAGCAGCAGTACATAATGTGAAGATGCGAGTGATGAGACGGCTTGAGGTGCGGGAGCGGCACAGCTTTGGACGAAGAGGCACAAGACAATGAGCCGTCCGTATCAGAGCATCCATCCATCCATCCATCCATCTGTTGCTTGTCCATCAGCATGCCGCCGCCGCCTTTTTTCCCTCTTCCCTTTTCCCATTTGTCGAGGGGCGGGCGCAAGGGCAGGTTATCCTCTCCGTTCTGCATCCACCTCTCGAGGACCCAGGTCCCACCCAGGTGTAGTAGATACCCCAGTGAAGTAGAAAGAGAGTGTAGAACCTGGCGTGCGCGAAGAAGAGAGACTCATCAGTGGAGTGAGGGCACGGAGCACAGCCTATAAGGTAGTAGGTTGTGGAGTCGACTCTATTATCGCCAGGGGGTCCTCACTAGTGTTTGTGTACTAATGATGTCCAAGTATGTGTGTATACTATATCTTGGGTGCATGTCAAACCTTGGCTAATCGACGGACAGTGACATACTCGTCATATTCTCAACATATCATTCAACTTCGTCTTTACCTTGTGTATATATATATATATAAAGGTTTCGACGAGCACACAACCAACTAACCTTTAGAACAGATCAATGGACTATTCTTCTTACTACATCTTTTCTTAGGATCAGTATTACATAGTCGAAATGCTAGTCTCTCTAATGCAGGACACAGTATTAGACTACAAGAATAATACTCTAACTTAAAGAGTCTATCAAGCAGCTATGTGTACCTACGGTATCCCGATAACTATGGACGAGCAACATTTTCGGGAATGGGTCCATCAATATATAATGACTATGGAGTTCCATCCGGTGGTTTTGGAGATTGGTTAGTAGATGTGAACTGCCTATACCCCGTACTGTAGTTAGTAGATGCGAACTGCCTAGACCTTGTATGGTAGCTTAGTTAAGCACTTCTCTCTATAAGACTCTTTGAATGCTCTAGATCTCGGACAATCTGACTCATACAACCGAATCTGCCACGCCAGCAACTTTGCATCACATGGTTTAAAGGCAGGCCTGTAGTATCAGGGAATTCGCAGGCTGTATAGAGCTTCTCGACGTAAGGACCGGCATCTATTCGCGATTGATGCTCATGGTAAGGTGGTCTACCTGTCACAATCTCATAGATTGTACAGCCAAACGCAAAGATGTCTGTAGCTCGGCTGGTATAGGGTGTAGCTGGTCGGTAGCTGAACCACTCGTAACAGGAATCGCCTGGTCTGCCGTCAATACTACAGCCTTCAAAATCAATAAGCTTGACCCCTTCCATTGTTGAGATCAAGTTATTACACCCTACATCACAGTGGATGATGCCGCATTCGTGTAGATATTGATAGCCTTTTGCGGCATCAATTAGCCAGTCAATTTTCGTGACCAGCGCTATCTCAGTAGCAGATTGGCATAGAGTCCTGAGGGCTGTCCCACGTTCAAGCACAATAGAGCCATCTGCTCGAATGCATAGGAGCTTCGTGATATTAGGATGTGAGCCAAGACGCTGATAAGCCTCACGCTCAACTTCCCCATTCCCGTCCTCAGGTGAGTGGAACTCTTTCAATACTCTCTTTTCATCGATGGTAAAGATGATACCGGCCTTCCCGCCGGCTATAAAATGTAACGCGCCTGGGGGTATCGAGTCAACACCGGGTTCGTTTGAAATTTCCTCGAAAGGCGAGGGCTCATTTATGGGTTCCTTGGAAAGTCTGGTTTCGTTCGACGGTGTGTTGGAAGGCTCATTTGAGGGCTCGTGAGGAGGTTTATCTAAGGACTTGTGCGAAGATATGTTTGGGGCATGATTCGGAAAGCGGATATTACAAGTAAGAACTCGGAGCAGGCAGGTAGAAAGGTAGCTCCGGTTGGAGCCCATGATGAAACGACTTCGCAAAGTTCATAACAGAAAGGAGAGTTGCGCGATGAGAAGAAGAGGGCCAGTAGAGAGAGGGCCAGTAGAGAGAGAGTGGGGCTTCGAGCCATCGCTAGCAAAGAGGACCAGGCATCAAGGCATCAATCATACCACTGCATGTGAGTCACTCAGCGTACTCTCATACTCTTTTCTCTCTCTCTGGATAATTAGAATCAACAACTTGGAACTTCTTTGTTGCTTACTAAGTCGTTACTGAACCTCATTTGTGACATGTCTGTTCTACTCGCTAATACTACTCTGCATCTCCATGAGCCCCTCTCTCTGCTTTCCGCGTTCCGCTCTCCTGGCCCTGGCTCGCGGCTATTCATTCATCAACCACCCATGCCGCATCTGCAAATCAGCAATATCCAATTCCTCAACCCGCCTTGCTGGCGACTAGCTGCTGTCTCGCACACGACTTTCTTTCCCGATCGAGTTTCCAGCCGCATGCTGTGTTCATGCGCCTCATCCCGTTGGCTCTAACCGTCCCAGTCTTATCCGACTGCATTCGTCCCTCCATGCTATCTATCCTAGAGCCTCCAGATCACTTTCATGTCATTTGTCCACACTATCCAAATACTCCACGTGTACATACATGATCCTAGTATGCCAGCCTGTACGCATATATCAGACAACGTCAACAAGGCTGGCTGATAGGCTATAGAGACAGTGATCCATCCTGCAGCCTCAGCCCCACATTGGATTAGAACATGTAAGATGCGGACCGATCACATCTCTGCACCATGGATTCTTCTTGCCGGTAATACAACATCTTCTTCGCAATCTATTCGCTTGGTCTCACATACGAGCTCGCCCATAATACGCTTGGCCGTCTAGGTATGAGCCGATCGATTTACGAATCAGTAGTAGTATCCACCATCATTTTCTTATTTCGCGTTCTACAGTCCACGGTGGGTGCCAGCGCGACCATGACAATGGACATGAGTGTAGGCTTCTCCATTGGATTGGGTATCCCTCTCTCGCTTCAGACAGTATGCGCGACCCCAGCCGGCAGTTCACAACCATGCTCGCAGGCCTTCTTACCGGAAACTCAGTACTGCGTACGCGGATAGATAGACAGATGCATGCCAATCCCGGCCTCCCCGCGTCGCCATCAGGCTGGTCACCTAATGCACACCACAGTATCATATTGGTTGTTGCGTGGCGCACAAGCGGCTCCTCGCGAAGGGCTCGCCCCGCTTGTCCCCAGTCAGATAACTGGGACATTGCACTTGGGGCTGAGAAAGGCCATCGAAATCAACATGCATGCATGTCAGCTGCAACTCGTCACTCCAGCACCAATCGCATCACATTGAATCCCATATATTTACCGTTGTATATGTATGTTGTAGCAGCAGCAGCAGCAGCAACACCACACCGGTCGGTCGGCCATATATCCTGAACCGATGTGAGGAAACAGAGTATCATGAAACATGATACCACATCAGATACCCGATCGCTTGAGCAAGTAGGTCTTTCACAAGAAAGAACAAGACTGGGTCCTTACCACATGGATCCCACGCTCCACTTTCCCCCACGCCCACTTTCCCCACAATTTCCTTCTGTAAACACTCCAATCCCATGCCCACGCCTATACTTGCACATTTCTGACATTGACATATTACTCCGATGCACCCAACTGAGACGCGTATGCACTATATCCTACTATTCAGAACCACATGCGATCTAGGTAGCATGCGGGAAAACAGTGTCGTAGACTTGAAACTAGACACTAGGAGTGGGAAAAGCATTCGTTCGCTGATTCATCTATAGAGGATAGATAATTGATTTTTTAGATACTTTTCCCATTTACTCATAAATAGTATCCCTTAGTCTGTAAACAGTAACCCTTTGTGTGCAAACGGTATCCCTTCGATTGCTCAAGCCACTTCTGGGCACTCAAACTAACTCGTAGAGTTATTAGACACGCACTGAACGTTTTGCTTATGAGACATTACATTCCACTCAGGCGGTGTGAACGTACACGTGCCAAACAACTTGTAGATAGTCACTGGCAAGACACACAAAAAACAATATGGAAGTATACATCTATCTATATGTATTTCAATATGCATGCTCTCCCTTTTGGCCTCATACCTAACTTACTGCTCGCTCTATACACATACCCTGCTTGATACTCAAACACACAAACCACACACGGGAACATACTCACACCAACAACGTCTAGATCTAAATCTATCGCTCTTCAAGACAGCCAAGACAAGGGTCCCCAAAGGAATGAGAGAAGGCTATGATGCCGCCATATACAAACGTTCGTTCTAGCCTTCCGCTACAGCCACACGCTCATCAGACACGCGCATCCAACAAGAGAGAAAATGCATAGAATAGGGACCAGGTATGCGTGACCAAGGAACTGAAAAGCATGCCGAAGCGCGACCATGGGATAGTCTCCGGTCTTGTCTTTGTTTGTGGGTTCTGGATTGGGTTGAAATGGATTGATATGCTTTGAAAAGTCGATCGTGGTCAATGTAACTGTTTTTTTTTGGGCGTTTCCCTCCCATCAATAGCCGTCTCTCCCCCCTGATCTTTATGTCTCGCTCTTGGTTCCGCCCATCATTCTAAACGGCGCCCATGCCTTGCTTGTTTCTGGCCCCTTTGGCCGCCCGAAATTCATGTCTAAATCTAGCAAGATCTTCAAACTATTTCGGCTTCGCAGGTACGGTAGAGGTGCGCTCGCTGCTTGCAGTCCAACCCCAGGTTCTGTGAACCCAGAGGGGCCCGCCTTGTCCTCGTCCGCGCCGTGCCCGCCTGGCATCGGCAGCAGGTTTTGTAACACTTCGTATGCAGCGAGCGTGAAGCCGAATTGCGGCGAGGACCGAAGGATACGCGCCGGACCTCCCTTGAAAAATGCCTTGAAACCCTCTTGTTCGTATATCGTTCTCGCGCAGTGTCGCAGCCCGTTGTATGTTTGGTCACCCTTTCGAGCCTCAACTTGCAGACGCGTCTTAATGACGTCAAATGGAGTCGTGAGATACGCTGCCGGCATACCAGCGATCGCACCAGCGGTGAGGAGATGTAGAACCCCGAGCTTCTTCGTAGGCGACTCACCAAAGAGGTCGCGTTTGAGATGGGCGTATGTTGGGAAGTAAATGGCTGAGAAGGGAACTGAAGATTCAAATTAGTTAATCCTCGTACGAGGTATAAATTCCAGTACGTACCGTCGCGAGAAAGACAGGCTGAAGCGCCCTTGTAAAGACCGACGAGACCGAGATTGCGAACGATCCACATCGCAGATCGCTTTGGAGTACCCTCAGCTGATTTCATCATCTCTCCCTGTACTTGTAACCGGATCTTGACTATTTCTAGAGGGTTGGTAAAGATCTATACACAGCGATGTTAGCCTTTATTTTGTACATCGACCATCTCTGAGCGAGGTCACTCACCACTTGGCAAGCACCAGCGGAGCCACCGGCCAACATCTCTGCCGGAAACCAAATCTGACCAGTCTCCTTGTTCATGAACTTCCCACGAACAATGTCGTTCACAGTCAGCTTTATGGCCTTCTCAGGCGCGACACCAACAAGCTGAGGCAGGACTCCGGAGTAGAGACCCTTGAAACCTTCGTTGCGAATGACCTTCTTTGCACAATCGAGCGAGTTCTGATACAGCAGCTCACCAACGCGTCCACGCTGATTCTGCATTCGCGTCTTGACCAAATCAATCGGGTATACCATGAATGCTCCGAATGCACCAGCCAGACTTCCAAGAGCAAAATGATGCGCTGCCTCCAGGACGTCGTGGAAGAAGCTTTTAGTTTTGGAAAAGGTTTCGGCACCGGCCTGGCCTACAGCAGAAACCAGCCCTTGCCCGGCTCGTTTGTAGTAGTTGTGCCACGATGCATCCAAGACTTTTGCAAAATCCATCAAGCTTAGGCGTCCTGACGTATCATCCAGGCCAGCGAAGTGGAACAGGATGTCGGCTTCCATGGGAGTGATGAGGGAGAAACGAGCAATACGAGCAGCTTCATTCAGGAAGTCGGTGCGAGTAATCTTTCCATCTGGACTTTTCGCAGTTGCGTTGCGGAGAATGAGCTCGACCAGATCCATTTCGCGGATCATGTTCTGGAATGCGCGAACATTGGCGTAAGATATCTTGCTTCCGGCGGAAATGTTACAGAGCGTTGGAAGGTTTTCGAGAAGATGGTCGGAAAGCTTGTGGTGTGCAGTCTCAATGATGATACGCTGAAATTGTTCGGGCTCAATGTAACCATCATTGTTCTTGTCGAAATGTAAAAATGCCTGTCGGACGCGCTCACCTTGCAGACCTCTCAACATCTGCGAGAACTGTGGGTATGTCATCGTATGCCTCTTGTTATTAGAACCAATGTACAACGCCGCCCATTCCGACGACCAATTGAATGGTAGGGCATTTTCCGACTTGTTCTCATTGTAGATCCGCTCAAAATCCTCGAATGAAACCAAACCAATGCCTTTGGTATCAAACACTCGGAAGGCTATTTCATATTCGGCGTCGGGTTTGCTGAGAAGGTTGTCGAAGCTGGTCCAGTCGGACAGGGTCACTTTGCCTTGTTTTCTTCGATCGGCGACTTTGAATAGTAGGGAGTATTGGTCACGTTTGATCTTGTGCTGATGGCGATGGAAGGTCAGTCTTAGCTTCAAGCTTCAGCTTGTCAGGGATACCAACATAGTCTTCATTCTCTGGTGCAATCAGGTTGATGAAGTCATCCTCTTCGAGGAAGTAGTCTCCTGATGCTTCGTCGAGCTTTGCGTGTTTCATGAAGCTTTGTCTGCTTTGTTCCGACAGACCTGGCTCCTGTGTGGATCCCAGCAGAGCTTCCTGCACCGACTCTTTCAAGGCCGCCATGCTGTATAATACGGGTTCTTGATACAAACAAAAGAACCGTCGATGATAGCAAGGTTGTCAATGGAGAGTGTATGGCGACGTTGACGGGAGGCTCAAGTGTCGAGAAATGGGAGAGCGGTGTCGCAAGGGTCACAAACCCGAAGGCGCAAGGTGCAGTCGAAGGTGGATCTGACCAAGAAGCTATCGCCGATAGCTCCCCGATGCGGGAGACGGGCGTGGGGAAATTAGACAGAGGGCCCACGGACAGGGACGAGATGATAATTGAAGCAGTGTGTAGGGACAGAGTGGAATGTGGGTGCGTGTGTGTGTTGTGAACAGACAAAGGAGAATGAATGCGACGATTGGTGAAATGAATACCCTACAGAGTAGCAAGGTTGGCAGTTCTCCGGCAAACGAATTTTTCGGGCATTTTGGTTGTCGTGTTTGTCCTACTGTGGCCAGCCAAGCACCAGCCACCTTGTTGCGATCGATGGCTTCAAATACCTCGAGTAGCCCATCACCCATCCACGTACTCTGCGGGCACAACTCATTTCCCAATCTACTCTATTACACCTACACCTGCGCCGTATCTACACGATTACATGAATTGCACCTTTCAACGGCGGCTTGTTGGAGCTCATCGTCCTTTGCGCCCCGCGATGAGGGAGGCTGGCAGATACCTTAGATGGCATTCCGGCCTTTATTCAAACACCTACCCTTGTATGGAGACTATTCATCAGAGATGACATCGCGCAGCAAAAACAACTCAAGACGTCGCCAGCCCATCTAGACTGGTAGCTGTTTCATTAGCCTACGTTTCATGTGCCAGCAAATAGCCAAAATAAGCCGTCGTGTGATGTGGCAGCAGTGACCTATTTCTGCGGCTCTAACATCCAAGTATTAATGTACCTAGGCAGACCTAAACCGTTCCCTCGAACTACAAGATGCAATACTTCCTTTGCCGGCATTAGAGCTCAACATCTGGCATTTCATGCGGATAGCCCACCCTGAAAATTGCACGGGCCTCGTATATAATTAGGGACTCGATGCTCTTTTTGTCTCTCCCAGGTAAGAGATAGTACGACGCTGTTCATCAACACATTCATGTTTTCATTCCCAAGATCATCGAGCAAGCTTGCCTACGACCTCATGGTTACTGAGTACATCGCTGCCGCTGTTTGCTGTTGCCTTCACCATAGATCGAGCGAGGAAGTCATTTCTTCAGAACAGTTGACGCATCTTGTCAAATCACTCTACCCGTTGCACAGGGCATGTTGTCCCAGATCTTGTTCTTATGATAGTCTTTACCTCATTCAGGTCTGAATTTTCAGTATAAAGGCCTGACTTACTAGCACGATCGATCCAATAGTCACGGACTATACCACTATGCATCTCATCAACACGACCTAGGTGATGCGAACATCCAGATTGACGCGCACTGAGAGGCTTTGCAAAATGACACCTTCCGTTCTCAAGGTTTATCATCGAGACGCAACGTCTCTCCAGTTGATTCCAAAAGCTGGGTACGTTCAATCCTTGTTGTCCAGACATGTAAACAACTTGATACCGCGCAACGAAGGATCAGACTACATAATTAGTGAGTGCTTTTTGACTTGCTTCTACATTCCACAAATCAGGCCTGCTTGCCCGACAAGCTGGATCGCTATTCATCACCGTCCCGCAAATTTATTTTCCAGTCATGGTACTACCATGACTTTCCTTAGCAGCGTAGGTAGAGGTAGGCAGTATCGGCTGCTTACTAATGTCGCCAGTGTTTACAGATCAATATATACTCTCCCTAGATATGCCCGCGCAGAACGGTCCTTACAGGCAGGCATCAAGCACAGTGGCGTGGTATATCGTAGTCGGTTCATTTTCTTGAGTTGTTGTTACACCAATAGAAAGGAGCGTAAGTTACACTCATTTTTGGAAACTCTAAAGCTTTTGTACTATGACTTCTCCATTTGGCCTATGCTTTGAACTTACGCTGATTGACACCTGTCTCTAAAGTTGTGCAGGACTTTGATGCTCACATTCAAGGTGGCTCTCTTGAGTTTCTTCCAGCTAGTCGCAACCCATCTAAAATGGAGTAATATAAGTCTGGATGCCTGGGACCAGATGCATTACTCCCAAAAAGGTAAACGTACTAAACGATCTAAGCTTATCCTATATAATTAATAGATCATAGGGCATCTAGGTACGTCAACAATAATTATAATTGGACCAGACTTGGACTAAGAAGTAAGCTACCAGAAGAGCGAAAGCTGGTCATGAACCTTGCACCCTGCAATGGATCCGCCTCCGCTAAAGCGATCACAACGACGTCACTTCCCGGTCAGGTTCTGAGGTTGGCCAAGCTTGACCATCGCAGCCTGTTCACTTCTTAGAACTTCTGCCACCTCTGACTTCTTCTCTACTTGGAATCGTTACATTGCTACAGCTCTTCCATAGTCTCACAATGGCTGCAGAGCAAGATCGGTATGGCGCTCACTTTGCTCCTAGCCAGGACAACATCGACAGAGCTAAGCAGACTGCTGAACAAGCAGCTCACAAAGTAGGCGACAAGATCTCTACTGGAAAGCATCACCTCGGTCACTACTTTAGACTCGAGCAGACTGCCCTTGAACAAGCTCGTTCCAAGATGTCCGGAGGTTTAAGTGGTGCGGAGCAAGACACCTGGGCTACATACTTCTCCATTGGCAACGATGGTCTTGAAAGAGCTAGAAGGTTAGCTGGCACTAAAGGAGTTGGTTCTGAGCAAGACCGCTATGGACAGTACTTTCGAGGCCCAGACGACGCAGCGCAAAGACTTAAGAGCACTTTCAAGGATGCTGCTGGAGATATTGACAATGCTGCTCATAGAGTTGCTGGTAAAGCAAAGGATGCTTTCCAAGATGCTTCTGGCTCTGAGCAAGACCGATATGGCAACTACTTTAAAGGATCTAATCATGCAGCTGAGAGGGCCGATCATGCTGTTATCAGGACGAAAGATGCGTTCCGTGGTACGACCGGCGCAGAGCAAGATCGCTATGGCGGTCACTTCGATGCTGCAAGCGGAAAACTGACTGATAAAGCTCGACGAGGTCTTCATTCATTTGAGGATGCCCAGTATCAAAGACGCGAGGCTTTCGATAGAACTGGCACATTCTCTCCTAGCGACAGAACAGCTAATCCTCTTCGGACAGCCACCGTTGGCATTCTTCAGTCAACCATACTCCCATCTCTATCGCTCCATGGAGGTCTAGCCGCAATCGCATATAGCGTCGCTCGTTACACAGGTCGTCTCGATGTGAAAGACTATCTTTGGCCCGCCGCCCAAGTTGCAAATGCATGGTACAGCGCTGTGGGCCGTCATCTGCTCGCTGGAGTCTCCCTCACTATGATCGTGGAGACGCTCTCGTACCCCGAACGTATCCTCCTTGGTGGTATCACTGCCTGGGGTACTCGTCTCCTCTACCGTATTGCGACCCGCAGCATCGCTCGCGGCCAAGATGATGAACGTTATATTGAAGCTAAGAAGGAGCCCGACTTCTGGAACAAGGCCGCCTTCGCCATATTCCTACCTGAAGCACTCTTCCAGACTATCATATCGCTCCCAGTCGTTCTTCCGTTCCGCGATGGTGCTGCAAGCGCCGCTCTAGCGCCTACCGCTGGCCTCGCTCATGTCGCTCATTTCGTAGCTGTTTTCATCTTCGGCACTGGGTTTGCACTCGAAACTCTTGCTGATCGCCAATTAGCCACACATAAAGAGAAGGCTACAGAAAGTCTGAACCGAGGGGGTGTATGGAGCATTGTTCGGCATCCAAAGTGCGTACCCTTTTCCCACCCCAGTCCGTATAGTACAAATTTATTGACTTGTTTAGCTATCTCGGCGAAACTCTCATTCATGCCTCCTTTCCCATTCTTCTCTATTCATGTGGTCTCCTCCATCCTATCGCCGTTCTTGGTCCACTCGCCAACTATGCTTTCTTGCGCTATATAGGCGGCGATGCGCAGACTGAGACATCACAAGAAGAGAGATACAAGACTGAAGATCCCGCTAAACTTGCTCAATTACAGCAGTACAAGGCGAAAACCAACTCGTTCTGGCCAAAGGTTGAGGAGTTGAAGAACTCATGGGTATGGACCGTGGTAGGTGTGGGCCTAGTAGGTGCAGTAGTCGAGAGCGGAGTGAGGGAACTCCTCTTACACTAGAAATAACACAAACGAGTCGTATCAATACCGTGACCGAGCCAGTGCAGTCACTCGAGAAGTTATGCCTTCTATAACATAGCTTCTATTGAAACGACGGATAGACTATCAGAGCATTACATCCTAGTCTTATCTTACAACTGGTTTCAAATGCACCCACAGCGGGGTTTTATCCCAAACTACATATATCTTCTGCTTGGGAAGCTCCACATTATTGGGTGCGAGAGCTATGTCAAAGTGCCAAAGAATCTATAACATGTTAGCATACTGATCTTCTCCATTGAGCCCGTCCATGAATGAAGAGCGCAAACAGGAGGATGATTGTTACCTGGGCCATGATAAGGCGCATCTCCATTCTAGCTAGACTACTACACAGTTAGCATCCCGAACGTACGTAGTACCATTCTCAGAGGGGGCGGTAAGTACTTGCGACCAATGCAATTCCGTGGCCCAACACTGAACGGCTGTAAAGCTTCCTTTCGATCACCTGACCACTTCCCGGTCTCATCAGGAAGAAACCTTTCAGGGTCATATACCTCTGGGTTCTGCCAATTTTCTGCGCTGTAATTCATAGCATACATTGTAATTCCAACACCAGTCCCGCCAGGAACATGCTTTCCGCAGATCATAGCGCCTTCTGGGGGAGTAACACGAGTAAAAGTACCAGCACCGGGTGGGTACATACGTAGGCTTTCTTCGAGAGCAGCTATAAAATAGGGCATCCTACCCATCATGTTCATATCGATCTCGTCGGCGCTCGAGCAAGTCTGTCGGATCTCTGTTGTTACCCGCGACTGTATATCCGGATGAGCGCCAAGGAAATATGTGAAACCAGTGAGTAATGTTGCTGTCGTCTCTGAACCTGCAACAATAAAGACACGCGAATTAGTTGACAGATCTCCAAGGCTTAATTTACCCAATCTATAGGCATCGATCATGTTCTGCATCAGGTCCGTATAGTCTGGATTTCTGTCAAGTCGGCGAAGCAACTTCTCATGCACAAGCTCGTGATGATCAGTACGAGATCTTCTATCCTGGGATCGAACCAAGACTAGCCACATGAGCTTCCTAAGAATTCCAAAGCGATTGACAGCGAAGATGTAAGCCGCTGCGCGGACATATAGTCTCAGTACTCTTATCCAAGGATGATATGTGGAATTCGATAAACAATCGAAAGATTCACTGTACGCGAGATGCCCAATGATATCGAATGTGATGAACTGGTAGGCATTATTACGGAAGTTTTTCAAGTATTGTTTAGCGATAATGAGCAGGTTTAAGGCTTACGTTATACCAGTCCTGAACGTTGATAGCGTCTCCATGTTCTGCTTTTTCTTGTAGTCTTTGTATTAACAGGCTGACATAGCTGTTGACGGTTGGCTGTTGCTCTCTAAGCGCCTTGTCAGAAAATCCATGGGCCATTAGCCGGCGAAGGAAACTGTGATGCTCCCTGCCAGCGCTGATGATATCATCTTCTCGGCTCTCACGAATCAAGCTCTGTTCATCTTTCGCGTTCTCCGGCTGTCCTTGTCGGTGACCAAAGATGTCCTGCCACGCTAAGGGATTGATATATCCTAGTTCATTAGGAGAAACCCTAACAACTTCTCCATACTTATCGTGGGCAGCCTTAATTTCAAAAGCAAGTGTCCCATTGAGTAAATGATATTTGTACCACAAGTCGGTCACTCTAGCCACCAATGGTCCAGGATAATTTCTTAATGGATGAAGAAAAATATTGTATGTAACTGTGGTAGCTCCTGCTAGAAGGACCTAAAGAAGTTTTAGATCCGAGGAAAATGAAAATGGTGTAAATTGGCAACATACAATTGTGAATATTCCGAGCAGTGTGAACGACATAAGTTTCGAGTATTCGAAATGAAAGAGGCTAGGAGATCGTATGTTTTCTAAGCGACGTTTGAAGGACGACCTAAGGGATCTTAGAGGCAGAACTTTACAAAAGATCAAATTCACTGTAGGATATGATTATGACCGATATAGGCTCACTTTACTATGATCCGAGATTTTATTATCTGATGGGAAATCCAAAGGAGACGATATGGCACATTTTGGAGGTTACCTGCATACGACAAAACAGTAGTGGAGTGACGGGAGAGCTATTGCAGGGGTAGTATGCGTGACTATGCATCGGCTAAAAGAAACAGCCGAAGAGGATTTGATGCTACATTGCGTCTAGAGAATTGGATGATATGATGTGATATGTTTCCCATAGAACAATACATTCCAAATACAATGTCAAGCCTAGAGGTGACCTATATGATATGATAGGAGGGCATATGCGACGTTATGCATCAGCTGAGGGAAACGATGAAGGAGATACCATAGACCGAGGTGTGAAAGCTCTAGCTTCAACACTGTCCAGGATAGCTGTCCATACCGCTATCAGAGCTTCATTACTCCTTTGATAGTAGTGCAGCAGTTTAAACAATGAGCTTGTTCGTGTGGCAAACTATGTCATGATGTATATACGCAAGATAACAAGAAATGCGCGGCTGCAGCTGCATGTATCATCATCTGATGTTGTGTATCATGATGCAATGCGATGCGATGCAATGCAAGAACCACAAAACTGGAAAATGCAAGAACCACAAAACTGGAAACAACCGCATACATGAGTCTCGTATGATTAGCAGGCCTGACAGCGATCATACCATGCTGTGTACGATGTTATATGCTAAGTCAGTAAGATATTTTCTAGGACCACAGCGGGTAAATGATACAATACATGACCTTTCACTTCAGTAAAGGATCCAGCAGATTCTATACTGTCACGCTCGGACAGTGAAACCATGGCTGCAACTGATACACACCATGATGCTGTCGAGATGCCATTCGATCCCAACAAAATCCAGGCCATATATGATGAGCAACGCAATTTACGCCTCAATGATGAAGATACCCAAAGGTATCGCCATGTGACAGGGGGTGGCTTCGGTGTTGCTCAAAAGCACGGGAATACGGAGTCCAAATTCATCAGGGACGGGATTTCTGCTAAGTACGAGGTCATCATCGTAGGTGGAGGTTTTGGGGGACTTTTAAGTGCTATTCAGTTGCTTAAAAGCGGCATTCAAGACTTTGCTATTATCGAGCAAGGTCGTGATTTCGGGGGTACGTGGTAAGTCTGCATGAATTGACCTTGAAATCCTGCGATCACATCCGTAACAAAGCTCGTAGATTAACTTTCTTCAAGGTACTGGAACAAATACCCTGGAGCGCAGTGTGATGTTGAGTCATACATCTACTTGCCTCTTCTGGAAGAGGTCAATTACATGCCGAAAGAGAAATATAGCTACGCGCCGGAAATTTTCCGCCATGCGCAGACCTTGGGTCGCCATTTTGGTCTGTATTCAAAAGCATTGTTCCAGACTACAGTTAAAAGTCTTCACTGGTCAGGGAGCTCCCACCTTTGGAAGGTAGAGACGGACCAGAGCGATCACCTGTCTGCGCGATGGGTGGTCCTCTGCCCAGGAAATCAAAGCACTCCTAGATTCCCAAACATACCAGGGGTTGAGTCTTTCCAAGGAGCAAGCTTCCACACATCTCGGTGGGATTATTCATACACGAAAGGCGAAGGTGATGGCAAGCTGCTTGGTCTGAAAGGAAAACGGGTCGGTATCATCGGTACTGGAGCTTCGGCTGTAAGTATTTATCATGTCGAATTTCAATCGCAATGCACCGTATATCTCAGCAATCACCGATAATACCAGTAGCTGTGGATAGGATTCAAGAAGCATGATGATAGTTGACATGGTTTAAAGGAGGCACGATTGGGCGAAATTCATATCTGAGGCTGATTATGATACAGGTCCAAGTTGTGCCAAACGTAGCAGATTACGCGCAGCATCTCTTCGTGTTCCAGCGCACACCGTCCTCAATTAGTGTTCGCAACAACCATCCAACGAGCGAGCCGTGGGCGCTATCACTAGGATATGGGTGGCAGCGTAGAAGAATGGACAACTTTCATGCCATAACTACGGGCATTGCGGACCCGAACGAAGGTGATTTGGTCAACGATGCATGGACTACAATGTTGCGCAAGGTCGCCGGGGGTCTGTCTACAAAGAACTCTGGAAGCAACGGCAATCCAGCCCAGCCTGATCTTCAACAGATGGCACAAGCATCTCAGCTTGCAGATTTTGAGGTCATGGAGGGTATACGAGCTCGCGTCGACCGAGTAGTCACAAAGAACTCAGATACAGCTTCAGCATTGAAGCCATGGTACAATTTGTTGTGCAAGCGGCCGTGCTTCCATGATGGATACTTGCAGACGTTCAATAAAGAGAACGTCACATTGGTGGACACCTCAGGCAAAGGCGTCGAAGCGGTCACATCAGAAGGCGTGGTTGTAAGAGGCCAACACATAGAGTTGGACTGCATAATTTACGCAACAGGCTTCGCATGGCAGACCGAATGGACAGAACGTACTGGCATACAGATTTTTGGCCGCGACGGACTCCCAATAACGAAAAAGTGGGCTGAAGGCATGTCAACATTTCATGGCTGGGGCACGCATGGCTTTCCAAACTTGATATTGATGACACATGCCCAGTCTGGCCTGTCAGTAAATTACACACACACGATAATCGAGAAGGCAGAGCATATGGCATATATCATTGAGAGTTGCCGAGCTCGGGGTATACAGGCAGTCGAGCCGACTGGTGAGGCTGAGAACGCCTGGGTTCACGAATGTCTGCGCGTTGCTGAGCCAAGGAATGAATTCCTTCGTCGCTGCACCCCCAGCTACTTCAACTACGAAGGGCAAATGAGTACTAAGCTGCTTCGGTCGAACTTTTACTCAGGCTCTCCTAATGAATATCAGCGCGAACTTACTAGATGGAGAGAGAATGGTGAATTGGAAGGGCTTATCCTCCATTATTAAGACAACTACATAGACTTACTCGTATTTTGTCTAAGGACTAATGAGACTATTATCTAATTTCTCGTTTCACAACAAGGTTTCTATGTCAAAAAAGTCTCTCATCAGGCACCCAGCGTATTAAGGTGTAGCCAAAGCTCAGACGAATGTTAGTCTATTACTGGGCATGTCGAATTGGTCGAGCTGCCATGCAATACTTCAAACAGAGAGATAAGTTAGGTATATTATGAGCGGATATATTGTTTGACTTTTGAATATTAAATTCCTGGAGTTCATCATGTCTGTAACTAACTCGAGGTACACGATCTAGACCTTCAATAACTCTAGCAAGGATTGAATGGCTTTATTCTCAATCTCACAGTGCTTCTCGATCCCCGCAACCTCCGCCAATATCTGCATGCCTAGTTTGCTAAGCATAGTAATGGTGTACTCGACACTACCAGACTCCTGCAGATATTGGAGGATGAGTCTCTTTTGAGCCTCGGAAAGTTTTCCTGTATTGTGCCGCTGTGAAATTATATTTTCCAGCAGATGAGATTCCGAGTGAGTAAATGCATATATCAGAGCAATGCTGAGTTTCCCTCCATCCAAGTCTTCACAAAATCCTTTTTGCTCCATATACTTGTTCCGGTCAGTTTTGATTTCCGTCTACGAATGTATCATGAACAGACATACCTCTGGTAAGTTAAGGTTTGCATAATCGTCGCGAATTTGGAAATACCTTCCGAACAGGGTCATAAGAGGTATAAGATTTGGCACCAAAGGCAACCGGGCTTTGGCCATCATGAGTCTTGCAAGTAATCGGAAAAGGCCACCAGTTTCTAGAGATGGCAATTAGTAGGGGTTATATTGATTGGATCAGGACTTGGAGGCATACTTCCGTCAATCATTACCAAAAATTGTTGCAAGGTCGGACGGATCCCGTTCGAACTCCAGTACAGATCATAGCTTTGGCCAATAAAGAGATTTCTTATTTCTTCTGTAATCTAGTGTTAGCGAAATGCTGACGGGCTTGAGCATATCTTATCACTCGGAGATAGCTTACCACTGAAGATATCGAGACCTTGTGTGTCATCGTGCTTTCTGATAATGCTCATAGCTTCGAGAATGTAATAGCTGGCCGAGTTGATCGTTTGTGGGGCACCAAAGACCATATGAGTCGATGGCTTACCACGACGGAGACTTGAGTCATCCTGAACATCATCGAGCATCAGTGAGGCATTATGTAACATACCAACTGCCTGATTTATCCACGACATATCGTCTGGTGCAACATCTAGCCATACATTGATAGCGTTGCCGATTAATTCTCGAATGTTTTTGGATGGAAGCGATGCTACATACTCGGCTGGCGCCGAGAGAACCTAGAAATCTGTCAGCATTCCTCTCAATCTGACATGACTATAGCACTGGGGTACATACCGTTCCTGGCAATTCAGGGAGTCTGGTTGTAGATACTATAGTGGCATCAATGGTGTCGCACATCTCTTTCTCTGGAGCTATGCTAGCATTCGAGGATGGTGGTGTCGGAACATTGTGGTCGAGGGATCCTTCAGTTAGCATAAGTTGCGAGAGCTGTAGTGTATTTAACTTCTGCTCTGGATGATACCTCGGGCATGAATTTCCCCACATAAGATTACCGCTGATCATGTATCCCATAGCCTCGATGAAAACCCGCGAGTCGAGTGAGAGCTGTTCATTTGCCTTCACGTCTTTTATCGTGTCAACATATGTAGCCACAAACTGCTTTACCATCTGGAGAATACGACACTGTGCATCTCCAAGACTCATAGACTCCTGTGTCATCAGGATCCAAAGGCTATTGGTCATACTTGATTTGTTAAGCATTTTTGCCAGCTTCTGCTCCTTCTCCCACGACTGGATATCGTTCGTGAGTACTGCAGCTAACCACACAGGTCGAGTCAGTTGTACACATAGATCCATCTCCTCTGGAGGGATCGTTATAGCCATGCCAAAAGTGGCTATAGCGATCAAGAAACTATAGTATCGTCAGTTTGTATGTATGCCTCAAGAAACATCAGAGCGAATAGACGTACTAGGACCCACTATCAACTACCCGATAGTTTAGATAATCATCCAATGACGGAAAATGCGACGGGTCACGCTTTAAGTCGAGATCTTTCTTCCAATAGTCTATAACATTCTTCGCTCTCACGGGGTCGATAGCGGACAGCTCTTTGAAGATGTTGGCTAGGATTTTTCTTTCGCCATTCAAGTCGACGCTGACTTCGCCAATCTCCGGGCTCCAGTCCAAAGCATCCATGACCTGAGCGTTTAGCTCAATGGCCTATCACGGCAGTTAGTAGCTAGGTAGAATTGGACAACCATTGGTCGAGTCATAGCAACCTTTGAGATCTTAGCTACGTCAATAACATCGTCGTGAAGAAAGCCAAATTCCATGATATAAGCAACAATTCCTAACCGTTCTGGTCGACATTCTGGTATGGCTGCTGAAGTGAAGTTGTACAATGGCCCCATATTCCCTCCTAGTGATGTTGCAGGTAGCGGACCGACATACTTTCGCCAATCATTCCGCAGTCGGACAGTAGCAGCATCGTCCAGATAAGAGTAGCGGCTCACGCGCACAGGAATTCCAACGCAAAGCCCTTGATTGTCATATGACTCTGGATCAATCATGTATGAGTAACGGTACTCCATCGTTAACAAGCTCGGTCTGTCTTTTAGTTTAAACTTTGTGTTTCGTGGAAAGGAAGTGTGATGCGACGGCGTTTGCAAAGCTGGATAGTACCTAGAATTATATAACCTCGTAATGTTACATTACGCTTCACAAAGGGGCCAGTCAGTGATGCCCAAGTTCCCTAGCATACCCTTCCAAATGCACTAGCGTAATCCGCGTGGGATTGACATGTTATCCTACAACTTAAGTCGTACCATCATGACCAAACTGTAGCTAAAGAGTTTGTGCATACAGACCTAGCGTCAGCACCGGAGTATGGGAACGCTATCTGGGTATAACCTTTCAGCGCAACTGCTATCAGACACCTACATATGTGCCATCTGCATTTCAGATAGTAATCATGTATTATCAGTATTATTGGTCAAAGTAATACTAACATAAGATACCTTATCCTGTATATTATCTATGTTACTATTACTCTTATAGTTAAGTCTAAACTACCTAGACTATGTATGAAAACATACCTATAGTATATTATAGTAGTAGGAGAGTTTATTTTCATAGATAATTTGTAATGTCTAATTTTTTCTAAGATAATACCTTCATTTCTATAGATAACTAATAGAAGTAAGAGTAAATCGTAAGCCTCAACAAATTTAACACGATATTTAAGAATAATATAGTAAAGTAGAAGCTAAATGTATACACGTACGAATATATATATATATATATATATATATATATATGTATCTAGATAGAGTATCCTTTCTAATTAATGCTTAACACAGTAGCGATACTTATGTATATACTATGTAGTACTATATAATTAGAAGAGATGTATTAATACTTAGTGGGATACGAAATAGATCTTTATAACCGATTCTCTTATCATAAAATTTCTTCTAATATTATCTATTTGATACTATAAGATATTCTATATTAGTACACAAGAGAATAGTAGATTAGAGTTGGAGTTAAATCTACTATAGATAATCTTATAGGTAGTTTCTTATAAGTCTCAATATATAGAAAATTCTAGATATAGTAACGACATAAAATACTAAATATATTCATATTTGTTTTCGTATATATAGGACTACTATGCAGGATAATATCTCGTATACCTCATTGACTATGGTGAATAGAGGTGTCGCGTCTGGGCAAACATGCTAAAAGATGCGCTGAAAAAGTTACAGACGGATAAATGTTAACGGCTTCCCTCCGAGGCTTGAGGCTGCGGGATAAATAATGTGACCGAGAGATGGGTGAAGTGAAAGTCATCGAAGCTACAGCACTAACGCATTGACCCATGTAGCTAGAAATGATTTGACACTCCGCAAACAGTTGCTTGCAGTTGATAAAAGTAGCTTTGACATCTCAGCTGAGAACTGTGGATTATGGTGTCAGCTGAGAAATATTCGACGTTTGACGCATGCCTACCTTCATTTGTGGCGTATACCCGAAGCCGATAACTATGAATCATATCGACAATCGACGAATAGGTGATACCAGAAGGTCCGTCTTGGTATAAAGCCTCTGGCTGGTCCTTATCAGCGAAGTAGATTGATTTCCCTCCAGACACGAAATCTCCCATATCATGGCTGGCACTCTGTATCATGATATTTCTTCTCTTGGTATTCAATTGTGCCGTTGGGCACAAAATCGACCATACGATTTTCTACTCACACTTGGTGCTTGGTTGATTGGATATGGAATCTCAGTAGTTGTATACCGCTTGGTATTGTCACCTTTAGCAGGAATACCCGGTCCGAAACTTGCCGCTGCTACAGGGTGGTACGAGACTTTTATAGACCTCTGGAGCAATGATTTTCCGGAGGTGCTCAGACGACTACACGAGAAATACGGTAAGAGTTGAACTTGCGAGTGCGTTCGTCTAGACCGCAGAACTGAGATAACCGACTATAGGTCCCATCGTACGTGTCACCCCATGGGAGGTCCACATCAATGATTCCCACTTTTACGATAAGCTCTTCGTGACAGCACATAAACGGCGAACGGATATTAGCCCTTTGTCCAATCCAACAACATTCAGCTTGGGTTGTGAAGACTCTATAATCTCCACAAGATCGCATGACCGACATCGCCAGATGCGTAAACCTTTGGAGAGTTTCTTCTCACGCCAAGGTATTTCGCGCATAGAAGATATCATCCATGGCGAAGTCCGCCTTCTCGATACAAAGTTCCAATCTCGAAAGGGCACTGGTGAGGTAATCTGGCTAAATGCAGTCTTCGCGTCCTTCGCGGGAGACGTGATTGGATGTGTCACATGCGGCGACAATCCTGGATTTCTAGAAGGGAAAGACTTTTCTCCTGAATGGTACGGCCTCAAAGCATGGATACTAATGCCCGATAATTTACTATATTTCAGGTACACCACAAATCGAAAGCTGTTGGAAGTTATTCCTATAATTCGTAACTTCCCATGGCTCACTAGGTATATTGCACTACTAGTCTGTTACTTTAAGAAGTGTATCTGACTTTATGAACTTGGTAGGCTGGTAAGAGCCGTACCGCGCTGGATTGTCGACAAGGTCAATCCTAGTGTATCCAGCCTTAGTTTACTCAAATTGGTTCGTCTCATCTGTAGACTTGGAGTCGTGAGTTTGTACTAATTGAATGGATGTCAGTTTGGTGAGAATCAAATAAGCAAGATACGGAGCGAGATCGATCAGGCCGAAACAAGTGAAAAGAGTCAGAAAACCTCTGTGTTCCGCCACTTGCTCGAAAGTGACGTGGATGAGTCCGTCAAATCGATTCCACGACTTCAAGGGGAGGCTTTCATTCTAGAAGGAGCAGGGACTGTGACAACCACTTCTACTCTAGTAATGACCACATACTATATTCTTGCTAATCCTGCAGTAGAGCAATGCTTGCGGAAGGAACTCGCAAGTACGATGGGAGACTTTCCCCATACCATCCCAAAATGGACAGAACTTGAGAAGATACCATATCTTGCCGCGTGCTTGAAGGAGGGACTCAGGTGGGTGAATGGCAATGGGTTACGCCACTCTCGCCATCGGTATCTGATCTCCCGACAGGCTCAATCGCCATTTCAGGCGACAAGTCCGCATATCTCCTGATGAGGACCTTCACTACCAACACTGGATTATACCTAAGAATGTATGTTGCTGTGGATTTTGTTGTGGAGTCATGACTAACATCACTTTTTCCCGTAGACACCTGTGGGTATGTCTAACTACCTCTTACAAACAAACGCGGATGTATTTCCGGAGCCCATGAAGTTCAAGCCGGAACGTTGGATAGGACATTATAATCCTGAGATGGATAGGCACTGGGTGCCATTCGCACGTGGTTCTCGGAATTGTCTGGGCATGAAGTAAGTATTGTCATCCTTATTTCAGCGGCCTTTGAAGCAATACTAGGACTTATCATTTCGTTCACAGTTTGTCTATGGCCGAGATGTATATTGTTTTGGGTACCTTGTTTCGCCAAGGGGCGTACAAGATATCTCTCGTAGATTGTGATGAGCGGGATATTCTACCGGTGCAAGATAGTGATATCGGCTGTCCTAGAGCAGACAGCAGGGGACTTAGAGTCAGGTTGGACTAGATTTACAGTTATGGCTGCTGCTCAGAGACATCTGGACACTTATTTGGCTTTCGGCGACCTATCGATGAACAAACCATCGGCCCTTTTCTCAGTTTGGGTGTAAGCGCGTTCTCTCTACGTTATTTGAACTTTGCGCTATGATTCCAGGTCAAGTACGACGTGTTTGGATTATGTCCTACCCCGTGTATACCCACTATTTTCACAAGCCATGCGAGTTTCGGCATGGCTGTCTCCGGACTCAATATCTTCCATATTAGTTCTTGCTTACTTCGCGATATCTTAAGTATCAAGTGTCTACAGGAGTCGACAAGGGCCGGGCTCCGTGCATCCCGGACGGGTTGTAAATGTGCCATGTCTCGATTGCTCTGATTATTTAAACGTGCCTTCCGGCTCTGGTCATTTTCGTTCCCTTATTCTGCCTTGTCGGCTTCATCTTGCGCTGACATCCGCACGCGAAACGGATCTAAGCCTTCAAGGCCTTTATCTGTTGCAACTCTATCATCTCCCTTGAGTAGTACTAAGGCTACTTGGGAGATTATAATATAGAGAGTTTTGGTAAATTATGTCGTCCAAATAAGAATGATTCGTAATTAGCGAGCTTTAGTGCTATGGATTGAATCTCAGAAACTAAGCCATACCTTCCACCTTAGGCCTTGCGCTAAGGATACTCAAGCAGGGGTCGGAAGCTAAGGTTAATCCCCAATTTTCTCCTCGAACCTTAACGTTTTGGTGCATGACATGGATGGATAGACTGGGTTTGTCCTAGTAGTCTTTGAAGCACGTACCTAGAACGCGTTAGTACGTCTGTTGGAGACGGTGCAAAATACGCCTAGACGACAAGCAACAACAAACCATTCCGAGTACTTGCCTCGAGGTCAACTGCGGCCGAATCACATACCAGGATTTTGCGAACTCCAAATACAAAGTCATCAACTATTTGGCTTTCTTCAGACAGACAAAAAAGCTCTTGGATGGTCTCTGGGACAGAGACGGCCGATGAAAGCCCTCACTGCACACCACCCCGGTCTACGCCAGAAAGAAGTACATTGCGCAAGATCAGCTCACGTGGATCCGAGTTCGCTTTAACATCTGCATACCCGTCGAGGTAAAGTTTAGAAACAAACCTTAAAGGTTTCTTATGAGCTATTAAATACCGCATGAACTCGCTGAAGCTAGATATCCTGCAACTCTGGATGAAGAGCATAGTTGCAAGGTTGTAACGTACGTGTGGATGAGAACATACGTGTGGATGGGAACGTACGTGTGGATGCTGGAAAATTCCGTGATGTCCCTACTCTATACTTGTTTGGCTTCTGCTTCTCAAACAGGCTCCATGTAAGACTACCTCCTGCTGACTGTTACTCCCTCAATCTAAAAGCAAGCTGACTTAATCTGTATAGTACACACATGCTACTCGCTGGCATTTCCATGTGCGTTTTGCTAGTCTAGTCCGGCGCCGTCTTCTCTACCTTCTTCCGACACGCTCTTGTGTTGTACTGGACTTGTGACCCGATTATCCATAGTCTAGGCGCAGCATACATGGCCCATGAGTTTCTCAAGCCAAAGAAAGGGCAGATGCTCTCAAAAACATGATAAAGCAGCCAGGAACATCAGGATTGGAGTGGTAATCTCTTTCGGGTATGTCTCGTCTGGTAATCTCTCGCCCTCAGATCCACAGGCTAAGGATAGGTTCGTTCTGATACTACGATGTGAGCACTACATAATTATCAGACCGGCCACCTACCTTGCTCTACTGTCATTTTAGGGGACGAGCGGGCATTAATGGTAATGCAAAGTAGCAATATATATACACGCACTGACGCCTGTATCGGACAGGCTCATGTTCCACTATCAAAGCTTCCTCAACGAGCCAAACGCAGCTTATCACGTGGACGACTGCCATGGTCGGATGGCAGCACACGCCTTACGCCAGGTGCTTTCACACTATCACATAAGACGTGAGACGCGGAACTGGCCGTTCATACTGTAGCTTATGACTTTCCATGCGATTAATATTATGGTTGACCAAGACTAGTATATCATGTGCCTTATCGACCTGGAATGGGTAAGTTCTTTGTCTATAGAGCATCTCTCAGTGCCTTACTGATATATCGGAAGAGGAGTCGAGCAGATACGCGGAGAGCATCTTGATGAGATTAATAGAGTGCGTGAGAAAGTTTATGCGTATGTTTAAGGATGAAAGATTTAGCGAGTATTGTTGCAAAGATCCTTAGGCAGAAAGAAAGATACGACCAGAAGATTCACAGGCTGTCTGTTATATGTAAGGAAAGATTGCACTCTGAAGCTGGGTCGTGAGCCAAATTGGGAAAAAATCTATGTGGAAGAAAATATTCGTGGTACTGCAATGGTCGCTGCCTGTTACCTTGCGTGAATGGCAGTAGGTCTTGCAATATATAACCGACTGATCTCGTATGGAGCGTACGGTCATGTATGCTCTGAACGAGCATAGGCTTTCGAAACATAGAAGAGCATGTCGTGTCCAAGAGCGATGAGAAGTCAGGATATGCCCAGTAGCCTTGAGTTCAATGCTGAAGTACAAGGTATTAAGTCTTGGTCCTCGAAGTTCTAGCTCTAGCTCCAAGGTGGAGAGCCAAATGTGTCTGCAGAAGAAAAAATGTACGTATTCGAATTGCGTAGAAGCAAACATGCTCGTGACCAGACCAATCACCTCAACTTCACCCCTCAGCATCAATCGCCTTTTGCAAATTCACCGTGAACGTACTATCTTTGAACGGCACCGTTGCGTCTCCAAAGTCCGTATCCGTCAGTGCCTACAAGTCAAATCATCAGCACACTTCAACCCTTATCACCCACCAGTACAGACTCACCGTCCTCGCCGCAGTTGTCAGGCTCTCCCACGCCACCAACGGCTGCTCGCCACCCACATCGCTCGTGAACACCATCTGATGATTCACCGGAAACACACTCCGATACCCGACCAAGGGCCTGGCACCGCTATAGCTTGGGCTCGCAGACACATCGTAGTTGCCATGCGCAGAGACGGCGAATGAGAGCGTCGTAGCCGTCTCCGACGCGGCGCTCAGCCATACTACAATGTTCTCCCACTCGTGTCGGTGGCCGAGGCCCGATGACGGCGAGTCTTTGGGCATATACCACGAGTACATGATGGCGTAACGCCCAGCGAAGGATGTGGCGCGTGAGTATACTTGGCCGGTGCTGCTGGAGCAGTCGCCGTCGGAGACACCGGTTGTGGCGAGGCCGCCGCTGTTGATAAAGTGTTAGTGCATGCTCGATGGGAGGAGGATTTGAGTCATAGGGCGGCGAGAGCAGGAAACGAACCCCGTGTCGCCGTTGGCTTGCACAGCAGGGAAGGGTACACAGCCATTGAAGATCTTCAGGAAAGGCTTATATTTGAGGTAGAGCGTGCCGGTGGTGCCTGATGGAACGGTTTGGGCGAAAGGAACCACAGCGTCGTGGGCTATTACTGCGCGGCTCTCGAGGGTGAGGGGAAAGGCAGAAGTAAGGCTCGCAAAGAGGGCAGAGATGACGAACGTCTTGACCTGCATCGTCAGTAAGATGTATTCAATTGATAGAACACTTGCGCGGGTGAGTCGGAGCTGAGAATGATCCTCGCGAGGTTGACTGTCCTAGTAGAGTCGACTCTGAGTGAATTTGTTTCTTGCATAAACGTTTGAACCAGGAAATGTTACACTCTATAACGTAGACCTCTATGGAACACCCTCGATTTATATATAGAACACCCCGGCTTATTAGTCGGGTAGTAGTCTCGGGAGTGAATAGAGGATGTAGGTATACCGGGTTAGTATTATAATAACACGCCTATAACGAGTTATATAAGTAGTATATATATAGATCTACTAACTAATTTTAACCTCGTACGCCTCAAAATAATACTTATATATGTGTTTTTAAGAGGGTATCCTGGTATACTTACCCTTACCCCCTCTATTCGCTCCTGAGACTACTACCTAACTGAGAAAGACGGGGTGTTTCATATATAAATCAGGGGTGTTCCATAGTAACGCACTCTATAACACTTACTATACGTTCCGCCAACGATCTGCAAGACTTCTAGCGTCGTGGAAATTGGCCAGTGATCATTGAACTCAGAACCATGCTTCAGAAGAACTGCCACAAGTGGTAGCACCAAAGAACAACGATGTTTCCTCAAACGACCATACCTCCGAATCATAATATATCCTCCCTGGAGATACGAGAGCATCTTATTGCAAGCGAGCCCCTAGTGCGTGCCTCTTCCTTAGGGCGTTGGAGGCGTGTTGATCGCCCCGGGAATGGCAAGCCAGTCCATGAAGCCATATAGTACCTAGCGCGTAGGTGGCAGTTAGCGTCATTGGGCACTATACAGTCTGCGACTAGGATCGGAGCAAGATACTGCCATCGGATCGTCGTATACTAGGCTACTGCCAAGTTTTGCGGAACAGGGTTCGCCCGTCGGGGATACACTGTCAAATCGGAAGGTCCCAGTTTGGGGTCTATAAGGCTCGGAGCATCACTCGAACGTCGGGGTATTCCAGACTGGTATAGGACATGTGCTATTGGTACACATTAGAGGCCAACATAGGCGTGCTACCAAGTCAAGCACGGATTGGTCAATTATATGAATGGGAGTGAAGCACGATTAGCAGTGCATCTTTGGCTTCGAGGTCAGAATCATCCCTAAGCTATATGAAATTATTTATTAGCGGATTTGAATCTGGTAAGGGGACGTGGTATTCTTATCAGCATACCAAGCCATCATGTATTCAGCGACCGGAGATGGAAGATCTCGCCGCGAAAGTCGTGGCTCCGAATAATCTCTTTCGGATTGGAACCACATACTGTTGTCGTATTTTCTCATGGGTATTCCGTGATATCATCGCATACATACATGCTAAGTCTTGTGGCCTTCCTGAAGTCAATGTTCTCGTGCCATCACATTAGGTTCCCCACCCTGCGCCACTTTATTTTTTGACGCATTCTGCCGCGCCGATTAGTGGCTTATATTCTTCAGCTGAAGATACCTCTTCGACCACCCCTCCTTGTACCACCCATCTCGCTATCTTCACCCTCCCATGAGGGTGCCGATGCTGTGCCCCCTTGTTGTTTACTGCTCTTAATCTCCAGGCCTGCAGCTTTCATATTCAACTGTAGTAAACGAAGACGTAGTGTATTTTCATAAGCCTTTGCAGCTTTGATAGCATCCTCTTGTACAGCATGACGGGAATTGGTTTTGGGAGCGATGAGAAGCTGTGTTATGTTAGTCGTGAGGAGTTTGTAGGAAGGGTAGACGTACCCCCTCCACGAGATCTATGCGAGCTTTGAGGACGCCTTTCTCAATCATTTCGACAAGTTCAGTCTCAATTTTCCCCTCTCCAGTAGATTGGAACGCATTGGTCATCTCTTCAAGCGTAACGCACTCGAATGGAATGAAGTATTGTACTATGCACTTGCTTCTGATCGTGCCGTATAACATGCGCAGTACGGGATTCAGGTAGACATCTAACAGGTAATCGGTCCGGTACGCATCGAGCTGCTCAAGACATGCGGAGTATTTGCTCGAGCAGAAAAGAGAGATTGCGCGTCGGATGTGAGGTTCTAACTCGAGATATTGACGGAATTCCGGGTTGTTTAGGACTTTTTCTCGCAGCTCTTCCCTATCCATGCTTGCTAGCGCACAGAGACCGCCATATACTGCAATGTCATTCTGGGTGAGAACCTCTTTTTGCCATGCAATTTGTCCCTGATTCTCAAGGTTGCCGTATGCAAACTTCGTCACCATGAATTCTTTCGCCGCCTGTCGGAAGTTGCCCATTTCCATGCTGCACAGCCCCATCAGAGCTTTGATGATGGGCTCATGCTCTGTCCTACTGTCGCTCTTCTGGCCCGACGAGTTGGCTTTGATGAGCTGCGACATAACCGACTGCCATTGCTTCTGCTGAATGCCGACGAGTATCAACCGGAATAACATGTCGACAATGTTGTTTGCGTTTGTGCAGTAGTCTCGCATGCGCTGATATGCTTTCCAGCTTTCCGCGAGCTCGCCAGTAGAGTAATAGTGCCGACCAAGGTCTTCGTTGCCCATCTGTGTCGCATTGTCAGTCTAAGGACTAGACGCCCGCCGTTCTTTGACCCCTCGACTTGGATGTAATTACGTACTCGTATGCTCTCTTTGATGAGATTGTTCCGGTACCCTTTCAATTCTTTCTCTAGTCTTTCACTCTCAGCCTTGATAACCTTCAACTTGTGATCAACCAGCTTTTGATCTACCTGACCGGCAGGATCGTTTGGTGCAACCTGGCTTAGCGCACTGGTAGCTGTGAGGTATGCCTCCACATCTTTTCCGCGTTCAGCTTGCTGGACTGCCAATCGAAGGGCATCTAGAGAGAGGACTGTAGACGTTGTGCCGATGAGCATGAGGCGATCGAACCGAGTACGATCTGGTGGCCGTCATCTCTGTCAGCGACAAGTAAAACCTAGCGAAGGGAAAACGCACCATCATAGTGCTGAATATAGGAATCAAGGTCGAACTTTGGTAAGTCTGCAGGTATGTCAATTCGGGCGCCAAAGGAACATCAAACCCGTACGTAGCTGGCAGAGGAAGCTCACCTCTCACGACCAAGCCTCCGGAAGCCAGTTTCTCTTGGAAAAAGGGTGAATCCTCGACGTCCACAGCGCTCGTCATACTGGGCTTGGACTTCAGGGCGCTCACTGAGCCTCGAGCATTAGTTTTCTGACGTTTGTTGGGAGTTGGACTTTTCCTATGAGCTGGATGTTGCTGCGGAGGGTCCATCTAGGAGATGATGCAACCTGGCTGTCGACCTTTAGCGAGCGCGCGGGGCAAGCAGGCTGGACAGTGCGCCGCTACTTCGGGTCTGGGGTTTTCCTGAACGCAAATTATTTACTATGTAATTATTGTGGATGGGTAAGAGATACAGTTTAGAACTATGCAGGTGAGTTGGAGGGCAATGGCTGAGTAATGGTAAGTGCACTTCACAAACTTGGAATGTGCAAGTGAAAATTGAAACTCCCGAGATGCGCGAGCGAACGCTGCCTATGTACTCCAGCTCCTTCACACCGGTCTTGCCTTCAGAGTATTAAAATGCCAATTTCGCCAAACAAATGCTGCCCTGCCAAACGCCGTTTGCAGCAGGCAGAAGCCTCATTGGCCGTTGCCCAGTACGCTGTCTAGACAAGACTTCGTGTTGCCCAAACCAAAGACTATACAACAAGGAAGAACAAAGAAAGCCGACCCATTCACGGTACTATTCAAGTAATTAAGAGCGCGCAGACGCCATCTCCCTCCAAACAATCCTCTACCCATACAGATTCTTGAAACTCAACGCATTTGAACTCAAAGAATATACCGTCTGCACAAGGTAGCTCCTTGCAGTAATGTCACCAAGTCGCCTCGTCATCACCTTCTGTCATAGGAGGAAGGCCGACCCTGTTAGAGTACTCTAAGGAAGAGTCACCTGTCCCACGACAGAAATGATATTGATTTGACGGGAATGTACTCTTGCAGTATGGGATGGCCGCGGCCTCGGTATGAGTAAGATGTAGTCGCGTCCTAGTGTTCGAGGTTAAAAGTCGTGCTTATAACGGAAATGCATGAATTAGGCGTCTGGCCTAGATCTCATAGAGTCCAGCCATGGTCTTCCATAAATCAAACAATGCGACAGAGCGCTTCCAGTATTGTACCTGAAATCCAGGGCTCTCACGTGTGCTCGACCAAGTCCTGGCTAGGAGGAAGTAGCCTTGCCATTTCCTGAATATCTTCAATCACTTCGTTGAAGGCCTCAATAACCTTTTCTGCAATATGAGTACGGTTCCAGTCGTGTCGGAAGCGCCAGATGGCATCCATGAGATGGGCGTTCACTTGCTCTAACTGCTCCACACTGAGACCAGAGGAGTTCTTCGCGAGGCGATCAAAAACTTGCTCGAGGTATGGCTCATCAACTACGAGATTTGGCGCCACATCGTTCAGTAACGCATTGATTGCTGTTGGTTGCTGGGGCAGAGAAGTGACCTGAATTGCTGGAGGCTGGCTCGACTGCGATGGCTGAGAATTCGTCTGTTGACTGGCATGGTGGGGAAATTCTGGGGAAGAGTCAGTGCTCCAGTCACTCATTGACTCGCTTGTATACGTGCCTTGAGTATCGGGAATTGATGCGACTGAGGGCGGCTGCATCATTGAAAAATCGGGATGATCTCTACTAGGGTTACCATTCGTACTTTGAGTGTTATTCGAAGTGGAGTAGCGATTCGAGCGATCGGTCCTTTGACCAGACGTGGTCGTTGAGGCGCTATTATGAAGCTGATGTGGTTCAATGCCAAATGCCACATGGGTGTGCGCCGAGACCTGTGATTTCTGGGTTTGTGTATTGGCACCGCTCTGTGTGCCATATGCCTGAGTCTGATTGTCATGGTCTTGGCTATCGGTCATCGGGGTGTCCTCGTCAGGGTGAGAGTTCACACCTGCACCATTGCCGCCAGCTGTGACACCATTGGAAATACCACTGTATGAGGTCTGGTGGCGAACTGGTGTGGTTGGTGGCATGACATGTCGGCCAGGAACAGGTACACCCAAGATGATGGGACCCGTTCCATTTGTTGTTTCCGTTCCAACATTAGACACGTGCGGTGGCACATTTACAGATCCATTGAATAAAGGCACGCCTGGGCGCGCATGCTTTGTCGCCTTCGCAGCTCGCGCTCTTTCACGTTCATAGACGGCATCACACTCAGCTGCTAGGGCAGGCTGTTGCGCAGAGATGGTATCCATATCGACCTCGACATTCGAGAGGAGCTCTTTTGCTTTGATCATCTTTTCGGGATGACCAAACGTGACCCAATCCTTTTCCATACGCCTTATGTCATCACGATAATCTCGGGGCCGCTTGTAGTACCCATTCGATAAGCGTTTCTCGATGATGGTGATATCTAGATTGTAGTAGAATTTGCCTGTCTCGGTCTCGCGGAGACCAGGAACTCCGTGCTTATCGGTACCAAGCTCGTAAGGCCGCAGTTGTCCTTGCTCCGCTCGTAGTTCTTGAGGAAGGTCTGTCGTGACAACAGTCGGATCTTGCTCATCGTACAAGTACTCTATTACTCTTTCTTCTATGACAGGAAACCTGAATGATCTGTACTTCTGTTTAATTTGGTCCATGACAGGCTGTATGAACATCTTCAGTCGATTCAGCGTCAGCCGGTCATTCTTTTTCTGTGCCTTGAGCTCCTCTTTCGTAGGCTCTACAGGGGCCTTTTCTGGTGCGAGCTCTAGTTGCGCGAGTTTACGTTTCTTGCGATTGGTGGGATCAGTAAAATGAGTTGGCGGAAGTCTGATGAAGCTGATAAGATCGCCAAAGAACTCTTTTCGTGCCGAGTGGTTAGGTCTAGTCAGTTCATACTGATTTCTCCTAGAATAGCCGAACAAATCCTTGACCATATGCGCTTTCCTGGCTTCCGATGCTTTGTCGTGGCCCGCCTCTGGGTCCTCAAGCATTCCGAGGAGCAGGACGCTGTCATCAGGTCTTAGACTTTGGAGCAATGACTTGAATATACTAAGAGCTGCCGGAGGCAATGAATCGTACCAGATATCGACATGTGGAATGTAAATAACACTTGGTTTATGACGTTTGACCTCTTTGAACAGCTGCGCAACGGCAGCCTCGGGTGATCTTGAAGAATCTTCTAGTAAAGTGGCAAGATCAAAGGATTGGACAAATACTCCCTCGAGCTTGTTGAGAAGGGCAGAGGAGAGATACTGCTGTCCCATCCCACCAAGCCCGCGTACCAGTAGTCGAGGCCTGAATACGCGAGCTCGTTGGAACTCAGTCTCCATCATCTCACGTTCGAATCCTTGAGCATCCTCCCGATCATCGTACTCGGCTTCTTCGAGCGCTGTAAGTTTACGTTTGCGAGGTAGTACATCATCAATCATTCTGGTGAGATCCGTGAAGGGTTCGCGTAGTAGCGGCTCGATTTTCTTAGGAAGCGGTGCCGCGGACGATTGCGCGGATCTTTCAGACGATGGGATCATCTTATTTACCGATATCATGAAATCCTTGGCCAGAACCTTGATGGTATTAGGATCCACAATGTACTTCTTGTTGGACTTATATATCTGAGGATAAGTGCCCTGAATTGCATTGAGAGCAGCTTCTGTGCAGAGAGCCCGGAGATCAGCACCACCATATCCCTTCGTTAGTTCAGCTAGTTGATCCTTGAAAGGGTCTTTGAGTGGCGGTTCCCAGCCCTTCGTATGTATGTCGATGATGGCTCGGCGCGCTGGTACACCTGGTAGAGGAAAGTAGAATTCACGGTCGAATCGTCCCGGTCGGCGAAGTGCTGGATCCACAGAGTCGGGCCTGTTAGTGGCTCCAATCACTATTACTTGACCGCGACCGTCCATGCCATCCATCAGAGCTAGGAGGGTTGCGACAATGGAGGCATGAATCTGCTCTTGCTTGCTCGATCTAACGGGGGCTAAGCCATCAATTTCGTCGAAGAAGATGATACTGGGCTGGTTCTTGCGTGCTTCTTCGAACAGCAAACGCAATTGGCGTTCGGCCTCACCAACCCATTTGCTCAACGCATCCGCACCTTTGCGCATGTAGAATGTGACCTTCTGTCCACCAGAGCTGACGCTGGAAGCTAACGCACGAGCAAGTAGGGTTTTACCAGTACCAGGAGGACCATGAAATAGCACACCACGGGGTGGAGTGACGTTGAAATTCTTGAACAGCTCTGGATAGAGGAGTGGAAGCATGACCATCTCCTTCAATTGGTTAATATGATCGTCGAGACCACCTACACCGTCAAATGTAACAGTTGTATCAACCCCGAGTGGATCGCTATCAGCGAGTGCCTTCCGATCGGACACCTTGCCCAGGTTTGCAGGTCCGCCAGATTTTGCTTGAGCTGGATCATTGTTGTGAAGATTGGGCCTGAAGGCTGAGGTTGGCGTCATGCCCACAGCGCCTCCGACGCTTGGTTTAGCCGTTTGATTCTCATCTTCACTACTATCCGAATCTATTCCCCCGACGGCACCGGCACCATCAGCTCCTCCGAATAAAGCACGTGGTCCGTCGTGACCGCCAAAGGGCCCTTGAGTCGAGAACAGCGAACGCCAACCCGCCCCGCCACCTCCGCCACGGTTTCTGTTGCGCGACGGTGTAGCAGCTGGCGCATTGTCTTCTTCGTCTAGTGCTGCAACTAACTCTGGGCGGTAGATACGGTAATCAACTTGCTTGCCACGCGAGCGTAGAGAGGGTTGATCAAACGCGATGTCAGAGACTGGCTGTCGACGGGTGCTGCGGCGAGTGCGAGCTTTGTCCATGGCAAGCTCTTCTGCCTCCTCCATCAGCTCGTGGCGGTCGAGATCATCGTCCGAGTCACTATTTTGCCGACTACGTTGGGATTTACGCGTAGGATACCGGCGAGCTCGTCCGACCGAGTCATCGGATGGGCTTTTGCCTTGGCCTTTCTTTTTCGCATCGTCTGACTCTGATACGTCTTCATCCTCTTTCTCTTCGTCCCCCACTGGCTCGAAGTCGCTGCTCTCTTCGATTGCCCGCTTCTGGGACTTCCCAGCACTCTCACCTGTGCCTGACTTTCGGGACCGCAACGTGCGCCCAGGGCGTGAGACTGGACCCTCTTCTTCCTCCTCATCGTCGTCATCATCTGCTGTGGGTTTCATCGCTTCATCACCGTGGACGGACTCAGAGATTTCAGCCATCTGCACATCGCTTGTGAGAATAGGCATATCAGGCTCCGCTTCAGAATCAGCTTGCAAAGCATTGTCCTCTACTGGGGCGTTCTCTTGGGCATTGCCAATAGCGGCTGCTGGGTTGGCCTGGGCCGAGTTGCTCTGTGATTCCTCTTGCGACGCTTCCATGATAGCACTTGGTGGTTTCTTCAGGCCTTTAGTAGCACGAGATGGGCGCCGTGGCATGTCCTGAGTTTCGCGGTCAACACTGGAGCCACGTTCGAGAACAATATGTTTGCCAGAATTCGAGAGTGAAACGAGGGGTTGTTCTGCTTCATGAGACAAGCGACTGCTTCGCCGGCTTCCAGCGGTTTCGGGTCCTGGGGTAGACCGTGATTTGCTCGGAGCTTTGTTGCCTCGCGTTCTTCTATTATTGGTATTCACCTTCAGCTTGACGATCAAAGTCTGCTTTCCTGGCTTGTCTTGCTTGCCGCGTCGTGGACGGCTAGGCAATTCATCTTCGTCGTCATCATCTTGATCACTGTCGTCCTCCTCGTCGTCACTATCCTCCTCGTACTTGATCTCTTTCTTTGTAGCTTTGCGAACAGCTCGTCCACGCTCATTTGTTTCGATTTCTTCTTCCGTTTCTATCGCGGAGCCGAAAGAGTCGTCCATTTCTAGATCGTCTTCGTCATCAACAATATCATCGGAGTCATATGTCCGACGTCTCTGAGGTCTGCGCGGCTTTGAGCTGGAAGATGAGACTTTTTTGGACCGTTTTTGAGGTCTTGCGGCTCGTTCGTCAAAATCGGAGTCGTTGGGATCAGAAGCATTCGGATCGAAATCTTCGAGGCGACGCTTTGTCCGGCCCGACATGGCGCAATTTTAATTATATGAAACAAATTTTGTTCGACCTGCGGCAGACTTTTAGCAACACCGTAGGCAAGTGGATCTTCGAGTACTGTGCGGTAAATTGGCCGCACAACAGTACACAGAGGTATGATCTTACACTTAAGCCCGGAACAAGCCTTCAGGAGTACTGAGACCACACATCCAGCTGGCAAAGCGATTACGTCGAATGTGCAGCGTCTTGCTGTAGACTTTAACGCGTGGAGGTTGTGAATGGCGTATTCAGGCAGAGAAGCTCGTGAGTGACGCGCTTATTGGTACGAACTCTGATCTTATGAATTACCAGCGATAGGCAGAGAGTCGCAAGGATGGCAGTCGCGACGTTGGCAGAGGATAGGTTAGGAGGTGGACAGGTAGTTGTGAATGTGTAGACCAGTCTCGGGAACTGCTTTGTGGATGCGAGTTAGGTGTTGACCCTTGGACTCGCAAAGCCAAGGCGCTAAGCCTGTTACAGCCCTTCGTTTGACGCTACACCTCGATCCCCGCATCATTTTAGAAGTATTTGCCATGCTCGCGCGGAGCATCTATAAGACGTGTATCTGAGCAGTTCATAGCATTATTCTTAAAGTTGAATATATGGCTATCAGAGCGGATGTTTCGAATCGCGAAAACCGCATTATATATTTCTACAACTTTGCGCATTTCCCCGGTCCCTGCGCCCGCCCTATACGGCCATCCTTTTTTCGCCATATCTTGTATTCCATTTACTTGACGTCCGAAGTGATCTGCAGGCACGAGCAGTGGGGTTAAGCTTAAATTTGAGCCGCATGTAAGGCTTGCCGGGGACCACAGGACGATTTCTTCGTGTCCCTAATTAGCTTTCCACGCGTTGACGCTCAAGCCGGCAAGCGCCATCCCCATGCTTCGGGTGGACTCTCGAGTAACATTCTTTATTAAGTCACTGTCGAAATGACAACTTGTTGATCTCTGTGAACGTTTGACCATGAGTAGATTTGAATTCGTTAATAAAGTGTGGTCTATACAGGACCAGGTTACAACAGCCAAATACTTTAATGAGATCCACATAGGATAGATGATAGCATTGCGAGTAGCAAAATTCTGTTACGATTGGGGCCCGATCCTACCCTGGAATGTAAAGTATCTGGTGTTGCTTATAGGCTATCGCTAATCGAGTCACGTGACCGAGTGATAGGATAACCATTGCGTTCTCCCCATGTGCTACTATTGCTCATGAAGCAACCCGCAGCAGCTGTTGAGAAGCACACATATCAATAGTCAGCTGCAATACACGTAACCTCTAATATTTACAAGTTCTGATATATACAAAGCGTCAAGATTGACGACGCAAGACATGCAATCCCTGAAAAAGCATATATACCTGGTATGGCTCAAGGGTCTTTCGCTGATTTGAACTCTTTCGACCAATCTCTGGCAACGATACGGTCCAAAACTTCATCACGAAATTAGCAAAGGTTCTGCAAACGTGCACTTGTGAGCTTACCTTTCCCCTCCTCTGCACACCACCCCCGAGCATCAAGCTTCCCAATGGTTTTTCCATTCTTCATGGTATCAATCATACCGTCTCTCATAACGGCAACACTCATACTGACAAAGATGTTCCACGAGACTCGTGCAAGCTTCGCATACGAGCGCTGGAAGGGATTCAAAAGCTGGATGGCCTGGTCCTGTGCCTTTTGTACTTTTAGGCGATGGGATGATCGAGCGGCGATGCTATGGACAGGTTCTGACAAGGAGAGCTCTGGTAAGCGAATGATTCGCGTGTGCGTCTTGCGTCGGAAGATCAGATGAGACATAACTCTGGCCTGCAGTACCAGTTCATTGCCACTTCTGACCAATGTGATATTTTTGATCATATTTGCAGGCGCAAACATAACCACATAGCCTAGAGCCGCTATCGCAGCTCCAACAACAGCAATGTATGTATTCTTTGCCCATCCTGGAACCTCAGATGCGATAATTTCCGGTATGAGCATAGCCACGCCCCCCATAAAGGTCAATAGGGTGAAACCAATTAACACACAAGCACCAATGAGGCCTCCTTGATTCGGGGCTTCGTAAAGCAGAGGTTTCTTTTGTATCATCAAGTCTATGAGAAGACGCTCTATACCTCGCACTGGTGCTACTATCGACGGTGAACTCTTTGCAGGTGGACTTTGCGTGATACTCGGCAGTTTCTCAACGTTTTGTGACTTTAACACAGCAGTGTCAATCGACATGGCATCGCTAGTCGAATAAGGCAGATCTGGTATTGCTGCTGCTGCTGCCTCTTCCGCAAGCGGTTTCGAGGTGGGCTCTAATTTGAGTATTTCTCTGGATCTTTCCGTCTCATGTATCCTAGGACTAGCAGCGCTTGGGACCTTCCTTGACTGTTCCCATATGCTTGGGTTGTGCTTTAAAGGGCTATCCTTTGCAGTTGTTTGAGCTGAGAGTTGTTTCGCATTGTATTTTTCCCGCCGTGCAACATCTTTACGAGCTCTAAAGGCAGCCGATGCGTAGAAACGAGCAGCAGCAGCTTTCCGTGTGAAGGAGACAGAGCGAAGACTGCATGGCGGAACTAACGGCGCCGTTTGCGAGCACCTGAATATGGTGTGTCGAAATAGTGACGACGGTGCGGACATCCTATAACATGTCAACTCATCGTTCTTCTTTTTTCAAGACTAGGTATGGACTGACATGCACACTCTGTGCCCAGGACGCACCTCTGTCCGATTCCTGCGACGCGTCTCGCACCCCGATGGTCGCAGACCTGAGTTGTAATTCTGCTTTAAGATGGACCCTGGTACGTAGCTCCGGCTTGGCATATGAAACTTCGGGATCCATGCAACATCCCAACAAGATTATTGACAACTCACGCACCTACGACGTCCTTCGAGCCACCGTGCTCGCGAATTCACGCTCCTCTAGTTTGCTATGGCTTCGCTGGGGAACGTATGCAGGCTCTCTGCTCGCTTGACGAGCTCTCAATTGCGCAACAATGTCTCTGCTCGGGGTAGGCTATCAACGGTTCTAGGTCTCGACGATGCATCAGCTAACTGGTATAGGCTTTCGCACAGCGACAGCAAGCTTTGCAGCGCACAACTTTACTATGCCAGCCATGTCGCCAACTATGACCGAGGGCAACATCAGCAGTTGGAAGGTCAAAGAAGGTAATGCACCAGCTGCATGTCTCGACGATCATAGATTGACAAATCTCAGGTGATAGTTTCTCCACTGGCGATATTCTACTTGAGATCGAGACAGACAAAGCTCAGATGGAGGTCGAAGCGACAGATGACGGTGTCATGGCAAAGATCACTGTGCGATAAGCAGAACTCACCCGCAGCAAAGTCAAGAGCTAATGAGGCCACAGCAAGGAGACGGCAGTAAGGGTGTAAAGGTTGGAGCTCGTATAGCAGTCCTTGCTGATCCTGACGAGGATCTCTCCTCTCTTGAGATTCCCGCCGAAGATACGCCCAAGATATCGCAGCCAGGAAAGTCGGAGAAGCCTACCCAACAAGAATCTGCACCCGCGAAAGAGTCGCAACCACAAGAAGCGGAGCGCAAAACTGAAGTCGGAAACATGCCGTCGAGTGCTGGAGAGCCCAAGCAACAAAGCTACCCTCTCTATCCTTCCGTCCAATTCCTCCTGCATTCCAACGGCCTCAGCAATTCTGAAGCCTCCAAGATCCCGGCCACAGGTCCCAACGGCCGCATCCTCAAAGGCGACGTCCTCGCATACTTAGGCCGTATCGAGAAGTCCTACTCCGCCGAACAGTCCAAACGCATTGCCAAGCTCGGCCACCTCGACCTCTCTAACATCAAGCTCGCCGCGCCGCACGCCCAGAAAGACATCAAGCCCACCACCAAAGAAGTCCAACCGGTGCCAGAACCCCCAGTCGAACTCTCCCTTCCCATATCCCTCACTGCTGTCCTCGCAACTCAGTCTCGCCTCGAAAAGACTCTCGGTATTCATCTCCCTACCTCCACATTCGTTGCGCGCGCAATCGACCTCGCAAACTCCGACCTGCCCAACTCACCCAACCGCAAGCCCACCGCCAACGACCTATTCAATTCCGTGCTTGGTCTCGACAGCCTGAGCCCTCGCACTACTTACGGACATTTCAACCCACAAATCACACCCTATGCGCTCAAGAGCGCCGGGGCCCCCGCGCAGCCCGTGCCTATGCATAAGAGGAAAACAGATATTTTTGATGAGATCCTCGGTTCAAAGCCAAAGACAAGAAACCTGCCCGCGCCAGCAACAGCGAGGCCCGTGAAGGAGGCAGTGAATGTGTTTACCGTCAGTGCGAGCAGAGGCGACGAGAAGCGCGCGATGATATTCTTGGAAAGGGTGAAGACGGCGTTGGAGGCGGAGCCAGGGACTCTGGTGCTGTAGGTGGAAGCTTGTAACCTACGAAACAGGCAGGCATGCCTGATGTCTCTGACAGCCGCTTGTACAGTACATGTATGCTGTTTTGTTTTCTCTTAGCGATATAGAATTCTGCTTTGAACAAATGGCTATCTGGTAAAATTTTCACCCCTGTCTCTCCAGATGCTGCATATGCATATGATGCATGTGGAAAGTACTAAATGCGGCGTCCAAAGCGTGGAAGGACACGCAGGTCTCCGCCGAAGCCATGCATGCACGGAGCGCTTGAGCGAGATGCATAAGCAGGCGTGCCAGACTATCTTCGCAAATGGGGATACTCGTGAAGGGACGTGAAAGGTAAGTGTGTATATAGGAAGACGGCACATCAAACAATTTGCACACTAAGCTTTGGACAAGGACACAGTCTGGAATCAAAACGCAGTAGACGACCCACGAGCAAAGTGCCCCTCCAAGTTTCACAGGTAGTACGGCTCAGAATCATCGATTCGAGCAATGCAAAAGATTTCCACGTTGTTCAAAATCATTCTTCGTTACGCTTTTCTACAAAATGGTATTTTGCCTCTTCATTGTCTTATATGAGAGCAAACGCGACGTTCATCAACGCGTGGGTATATGGGTTTATTTAAGTGGAACAACGCGCTGAGGTATACAACAACGCCTCTCATGCTGCTCATATTCATAATGTTTCTGTTTCGGCAATGCTGGAGCTTCAAGCGCGTCATTACCACGACGGGATTGTAGGGAAGTCATACTCCTACCATCGACCTCAGTCCCTCGATCGTCCCTTGACGCCTCAACCCGCGAATACCTTTCCCAGCCCCAAAGACACTAAACATACCCTTCTTCATGTCCGGACTCGGCGGCCCATTCTCAAACTCGAACGGCAGAGCCTCACGCCGCGAGTCTTCGCTTGACTCACTAGCCCGCGGCAAAGGAGGTACAGTCATCTGGTCGTTGCGGGGCGTCAGCTCGTTCTCGGAACTGCCACTTAATAGAGGAATTGTGGTTGTGACCGTCGAGATGGTCGTTTGCACGAAGATACCACTGCCGAGATCCATTTGACTAGGCAGAGAGGGTGCGCAGGGACCAGCGCGTACTTCGTATGCCGGCTTACGCACGACGGCTGCAGTGTCAAGTGCAGGTTTCGACGCGGTCCTTGAGTGCTGAGAGGAGGGGAGAGAGTTTTGGGATGAGGGGCGTGAGTCCGATACGTCTGAAGAGAGGGGATGGCGGGTGGACTGCACTGAATATGATGAGTAGTTCGATAGCTGGGGCGATGGGAGAGGCCCTGTCTGGGATGCGAAGGCTTGGTAGGCTGCAAGCTGTGCTGCGCGACGATCATTTCTACGAAGGGGAACTGCAGGGGGGGTTGCATCATCGTCGTTATCAAGGTCGTCGAACTCGTCCGGCTCGTCAGTTGGGATGGGCTGTGGCTTGTGAATCGGTGAAGAGAGGTCGAGCTTCTTCATGCGTGATAGGGCGGCCTGGATCTTCGCAGAACCCCGAAGGATAGAAGGAGTTGATATTACAACTTCTTTCTCTTCTGAAGTCTGAAGCGAGGAGTAGTCGCAGGTATGGTTGGATGATGATGAAGAAAGTAGCGCTTTTGGTGTGGCTTCCTGAGGCGAAGTTTCTTGTGACCTGATGCGACGGTCATCAGGACTACTTGTGCTATGACAGCGTATAGACACTAAAGAGCTCGCAGGTGATGCTGCAACAAACTCGTCGGAGAACGTTGGGGAAGATGCGTATGAAGACTTGCACGATGAGTTAGAAGCAGAAGATCGGATATCGACGATATCGTGCTCTTCAAGACTTCCAAGTGTGTCAAAAGTCGGCGTATATACTGTGCTATCCTGCTGTTTCGAGCCCGAGGGGTCTAATCGCACAGCAGAGGATGCCACTTCGTCGGAGATTTTTGCAGAAGCGCGAGGAGTTGATTCATCCAAGGGAGGCAGTATTGACTGTGCAGTTATGTCATCGCGCAGAGAAATGGACAAGAGACGTCTTCGTTCTAAAATTGCGGGATTGTTTTGGGATCTGTCTGCAGGAGTAGCCTTGGCCAACAATTCGTCCGATACAGTTGGAGTCAAAGTAGTATTAGACGTAGACATTCCGGGCCTACTTCCCTCACCGCTATCGGAGTCACTCATGCCAGCGTTCGATCTTATGGGCGGCAATACGTCATCAGACGATGGTGTGTTCATCGTGCCCTTCGACGACGACTTTGAGTTCCAGTTATTTTCCATGATAGATAGCGGTGATAACGGGCTTGATGGCAAAGATTGCCTGCTTCCCAATTGCCATGAAGGAGTCGGACACACTAAACAGCAAAGAGAATAGCCGACACCTTTGGTGTTGCGGACCTCAGGCGGCGCCCGAATAGCATGAATGAGCATCTGCAGTATGCCATAAGTAAGGAGCCACCGAACCTTACGAGCGTCGGCGGATGAAATACGCTCCTCGCTACGCTCACAGCACTCCTTTTCAAAGTACATGTACTCGCGTACGAATGCATTGGAGGTAGCCTCGCGATTTATTGAATTAGTCGCTGCTATCAGAGCCCGCAACTGTGCGGCTCGCTCTTCGGCTTTGTTCTTCCTACTACCAAGTCCTATTAAATTACGACGTCCGCCCAATGATGATTCTCGCGGAATTTCTGGTAACAACGGTAGCGGGTGCGGAAGGGGCTCGTATCGATTGCGAGAATTGAAAGCCTGAACGTTTTCCAAGACACAAACGCCTCCATTGCTTGGGTGCAGCAATGCTTGAGACTCAGTTGATTCAGTGTCTACCAGGTAGTCGTATAGGTTCCGGAAGTCGAAGTACATAGATGTGTAGAGTTCCTTGTTGAAAGCTTGCAGACTCACGGGGGGCCAGTATCCATACCTCCGCACGTAATAAGCGTGGAGGAAAGACCGAAACCGGTCTAGATGGTCTCGGGCCGCTGTAGATAGGCCCAAGTTGTAGGGTGATATGTCTTCTTCTAGGAAGGATCCCATGGCTTCTTCGACGCGCTCGAGATGCACCTTGACCTCGAGGGAGGTTTTCATGATTTGAGACTTGGTGGCTTGACTGACTAGAGCAAACTCCTCGCTGAGATCCAATTCTTCGTTCATACCAACGCAGTGTGCGAATGCATCGATCCACATGTCTTGGATCTGGAACTCTTCCGAGTAGTAGAGTATAGCCAGCGCGTGATCGGGGCAATGAGCAAAGCTCATATATCCCATAGTTCGAGCATAACCCCTCAGTTCATCAAAGATGTCAACATCAGCATCACGATAGAGTGCTAGTCGAGCTTGAAGATCGGCAAGGGACTTTCCAAGATTGGTGCCAACCAAGGGTCTGCCGAACAAAAAAGCAAAGAAGTTTCGAGTCGTAATATGATATTGGAAAGCGCTTTTTCGCGAGTAATGGCTAGGGGCTGGGAGATAGAGAGACCACTGCTGAATAGTGCCGTCTTCGGACGGCTCTGCGACAACTTGCTCATTTAGAGGGGTACATCGTGCAAGATCGAGGGCTGCTCTGGGAATGCGTATGGCAGGGCCTCTTTTGGACTGTCCTTGGGCGTACAAATGAACAAAGCAGTTGCCTTGAGAATGCCACAGTTCCTTGTCCTGCGTGGTTGTGAACAAAGGCGGTGTAGAGAGATTATTGATCGGGAACTCACCTTTCTAAGGCCATCCCACGTAACAGTACTGCGCGAACGGCCGTCGTATCGTTTCACCGTCGGCATGATTGTAGGATTTCTGGCAGTCAAGATGTGTGGGGGAGGACACATTAAGACTGGCATCACAGCCCGTTTGCGAGTGTCGGAATGCATGTCAATACGTCGGGTTCCTGGTGGAGCCGTTACCCAACGGCACGCATCAGATGTGTGCGAAACAGTCTGTCCTGAAGCTCGTGCACTTGCAAGGGACGCAAGGGACGCAAGGGACACAAAGGGAGCTGTTAGCGGCATTCCGGGATTAACAGTATTATGGATGGATCCTTGTATAATATGTTGGAGAAGCCCGGGAACGGATGTTCTACGATCGTCGAGTAAACTCCCACTTTGAGGGTTAGCTCTGAACGAAAATAGTCTTTGCGGTGAGATTATTGTCGAGCCGAGGATCACAGCCAACAATGATGGCGACAATGAGCCTTTCAATACAGGCGTGTTATTATGCCCCGGCTGGACTTGAACTTAGATACTACTGTTGGAGTCGAGACTTTGTTGGTCTTTCTCTCGGAGGTTCTTCCGCTGCGGCGAATCAGTTTTGTTGTACAGAGATGGAACCGTGGTAGCAAAGCATGATTACGCCCTCGAAATTGCGGAGAGACTTGGTTGTGTCAGGCAGCTGCTCATTGCAGAAGTGGAGCGTTGAAGCGGGTCGATGCGGCGTGAGACAGCGGGATGTAAGTGTAGATGTCTGCTAGAATCGTGTCTTGTTTCTTCCTTGCGCAATCGCAAAAGGAGGCATGAAGTTTTTAAGAACCGAACAATTACGCCTCTGATATCGAGCGCTCCTCCCTGGTTGCTTGCCCCCTGGCGGAAGGCTACATTAGGGAATGTGAGGGGAGTAAAGGGGAGCAGAGGACAGTCTGTGGGCCGAGCCACGAGCAATGCAGACTAGAGGCTGTGGCGCACTCAATGGCTGCCGCTTGTTGGCTTGATGGCGAGACGAAGAAGCAGTGGATTGGCCGAGAGGTGTAAATCTGGCTACCTTAAGTTAGGAACAAACGCGTGAGGTCTCACCATCACTGGCATAACCATTGCAAGGGGTGTGGGCGCGCACGCAGAATCTGGAACCATTTGTGGACCTTACCGACGGACAAGGCTTGAGCAGCCGTCAAGCTGAGGAAACCCGAGGGCCAGAACTCAAGAGCTCTCATCTCGACGGCACTTTTGGTCACCCAAGACAGGACTCCAACTCGTCAGCCTGAGAGTATGCAACCTTTATCACAACGCCATCTATCAGATGTCTTGAGCCAACAGTATCAGTACGGCGTTGACAAGCGATGTGTGAGCTTGGGAGGCCACCCTTGCGACAGCAACAAAGGAACGAAGACGTGCCGATGACGATGAATCAAGGGATGGAATGCGAACTGGGAATTACTCCGAGATGTTGGACCTGGGAAGCCGGTCCTGATGCAACAACATATATCGACCTGAGTAGGTATTAGGACGCGGTGGCGGGCGCGGCAGTGAAATCCTTCCAGACAGTGTCCGGCACTGCCTGCGCATCTGCGGACCACGATGTTCCTGGTGTTTGTTCTGGAAGTATACCGTTACAGTTGGAGTTGGCATCATGACACGACTCAGCAGTGGGCATCATTGCATCAATAATGAAGGGTCCGTGACGCAGTGACAGTAGCAGTGATTCAGTGACAGTGACAGACGATGAACTGACCTCTGTGATTATTGACAGTGTGCGTTCTAGGCTGCATCGGTGCATCCTGCCATCCGATCAGTCAGCCGCATCTGCCCACTCTCACCGCCCGCTCACTAGAGACACAACATTCTACAGGTAATTATTAATCAATTAATTAATTAGCCTTCACATCTCAATACCACTCCTGAGTCCTGACGCCGCAATGCTGCATCTGCAATTTTTCACTCATCTGTCCAGGGCTATCTATTCTTAGCCCTTGGCCCAGGCATGTGCCTTACCGTGCATTGACGGTATGTGCGCCGGTATTCCTACGCTTGGTGTCTTATCTATCCATCCTGTCGTCAGCATAGCCAACTCCATTGTGTCTCATCTTTAGAATCAATCATTGTTGTCGAGGTCTATTGCAGCGCCGAGAAAGCTGCTCCGCTATGCATGGAAGTCCAAGCTATCAAGCGTACCATACCACACCATGCGAAACATACAATCAGATAATGTCAGAAATGCCTCATGCGACCTGACCTTCTCACGTCAACCGAGACACATTATTGGTGTTTTTACCTCGCAGCCCTCTTGCCATCAGTGGACATCATTGAGCATCGCATTTCAGTACTTGTCTAATATCTCCTTTATCCTTCTGATTCTCTACTTGGAAGAGTGACTACTTCGTGAGAGACAGTCGCGCAGTCATCGTAGGGTGTAAATCTCGGCGACTATAGCCAGACTGGTCATGGAACTCCGCCATGCGCTGTATCTATCAGGCAATCCTTTTGTGATATATATATATATATACCTTGTCGGATCCCATATACTTCAGGTGTATTAAATGGCGCAAGACTCTTGTCATTACCTTGCATCGATATCAGTATTCGAACCTATCCACTTATGGAACAAAGGACACAACGCGACCATTATCAATTCGCGAGGTCAAGGTCGCAGGCGACAAACTTGGAAGCCAATAACCACAACATTACTAACATGTCCAAACAGATCGGCTGAGGCTCAGGAGCAAACTTCATCCTCGGCTATGCGACCGAATGCTATTGTACTTAGTGGTGTGTCACGTACCAAAGTCCCCCAACGAACTCTATACAAGATCTGCCACTTCCTCTGGTGCATTCTTGAATGCTTGTCGCAGCATGACAAAAGTTGAAAGTCCCATTGGTTCCCTCGCCAGACTACGTCACGTAGCGGGGCAATCGACTGGACCTAATTCGAAAGAGCTTGTTCTTCGAACGACCTATTTCCTCTTGCCAACCTATAGATCTGCCCACGAGACAAATAGTATAGCTTCCACATGCTTTCGGCTTACTTAGTATACGTCATAAGCGTTAGGGACCAATGTACCAACTAGTCTGATGCGCTGAGAGAAGTTGCACTTCCCGAGGCGCTTCGTATGGAGTATGGCACGATGTAGAGCTTAAAGATTGGGTCAAGTCACCCTTTCTAGACCAAGCCTTCATAAGATTAACAAATTTTTACAAATGGTCATGGACCACTATAGGAATAGGAATATCGTGCTGACTTGGGCACTTCTTGCGGCTGCTGTATCAGCAATCGGGGCTAGCTACCCAACAAGACCACAGGACTTAACTACTCCTGTACAACAACGGATTGCAATCAGTGCACCACATGGTGAGCGGGATTCAGCCTTATGTTTCCTGGCTATCCTCCCCAGCAGATATGCTGACTTCCACAGCCGTATCGATTGGCTGGAACACATATCAGAAACTTGACAGGCCATGTGTCAATTATGGTACTACTGCTACCAATCTCACCAAACAGACCTGCTCCAGCAACTCCATAACATATCCCACGTCTAGAACATATTCCAATGCTGTGACACTGACCGACCTTTCGGCGGCGACGACTTACTACTATAAGATCGTGTCCACCAACTCCACCGTGGACCACTTCTTCAGCCCCCGGGTCGCCGGTGACTGTTCCTCTTTCACCATGAACACTATCATCGATCTTGGCGTCTACGGTGTTGATGGATACACCATCGACATGGACGAAACCAAACGCGATATCATCCCGAACATCCAACCCTCCCTCAACCACACAACCATCGGCCGTCTCGCTACCACCATTAACGACTATGAAGTCATCCTCCACCCCGGCGACTTCGCCTACGCCGACGACTGGTACCTCAAGCCCAAAAACATTTTCGACGGTCAAAATGCCTATGAGGCCATAATCGAGCAATTCTACGACCAACTGGCTCCGATTGCGGCCCGCAAGCCGTACATGGCAAGCCCAGGCAACCATGAGGCCGCATGTCAGGAACTCCCGCACACGACTGAGCTCTGCCCCGAAGGCCAGAAGAACTTCACCGATTTCATGAATCGCTTCGGTGCTACCATGCCCTTTGCGTTCTCCTCCACCTCGAGCGACGAGACCGCGCGAGTTGACGCGAACATAGCCAAACAACTCTCTAATCCCCCGTTTTGGTATTCCTTCGAGTATGGCATGGTGCACGTCACAATGCTCGACACAGAAACAGATTTCCCGAGCGCACCGGACGGGCCGGGTGGTAGCGCCGGCCTGAACGGTGGACCCTTCGGAGCACCGAATCAGCAGCTGGATTTCCTGGCGGCAGATCTGGCGAGCGTGGATCGCGGTGTGACACCGTGGGTTGTGGTTGCGGGGCATCGGCCATGGTACTCGACAGGCGATACTGGGTCTCGATGTGCGCCATGCCAGGCTGCCTTCGAGCCACTGCTTTACAAGTACGGCGTTGATATAGCGGTTTTCGGCCACGTGCATAATTCACAACGTTTTCTGCCGTTGTATAATGGAACGGTGGATCCGAAGGGGATGAGTAATCCAGTGGCGCCGATGTATATTGTAAGTGGTGGCACGGGGAATATAGAGGGCTTGAGCAAGGTGGGGAGTAATTACACGGGGAATGTGTTTGCGTATGCGGAAGATTTCAGCTACGGTCAATTGGAGTTTGTGGATAGAGAGAGGTTGAAAGTGAGATTTCTGAGGAGTGAGACGGGGGAGGTATTGGATGAGAGTCTGCTCGTCAAGGATCATACAGAAAGATTTATACGGCACTAGGTGGCACTGGTAGAGGATGTATGCTGCAATTGAATTGGAATTCTCATGTGCTTAAATCTCATATAGTCATCGATCCAATTTGATCAAGAATCTATGGTCTCAGCACTCTCTGTCACGCTTTGATTAAGGTTCGTAGTCTCATTTGGGAATGGCATTGAGTTGAGCTTAAACACTGTGAACATATAATCCGAAATTTACTCCAGTCTTGTACTATCGCTTGCATGCAAAATATGATTTTGGATCGAGCGGCCAGTTATAATATAACGTCGTTCCTCAACGTAACATGGACATTATTAGATTGACCAAGGTAAGATCAAATAGGGATTATGTAAGGGGCTCTCTACTTCTGCCCTGTATTCTGTCTTTTGGGTGGAGGTAAGTCCAGACTGCTGTCAGACTCGGGTGATGTAGACTTGTTGTTGTTGCCTGAGAATTCAATCTCGAGAAACCTCTCCCATTCCTTTTGATGCTCTGAGTGACACTCGCATACTTCATTCTCATTGTTCAGAAGGTCGTCCGCTCGAGGGAATTCCTGTTTGACCAAGAACCTTTCCAGCAGATCTTGCAAATTCTGACAATCCTGATGCTCAGGAGGCACTAGTTCAACTCCGTCACTCTGGAGTTTAAGTTGTCCCCACTTTGGTTCGCTGTACCCATAAAGGAAAAGAATGAAGGTATCCGTAATATATATTGGACTGATCCCGCCTGGGACGTGATCATTCTTTTGGAGACCAAACCTTTTCCCGAACTCTTTGTAAGTAAGCCAAAGACAACGATTTCCATGTATGTCCACCGCCGCATTGATCATGCGGTCTTCTGGAACAACTGGGGATGACGGGCGGTATCTCATACTGAGGGTAGCCGAGCTAGGTTCAGCCGGAGAGCCTTCAAGGAGAGGAGTCCTTACTCCCTCGTACCAACGTTCATCGAAATGAGGCGCCTCGATTATGTGCTCGTGCCTTGACTCCTTGTAATGGTTTTCAAGCATGCTCACAGACGAATTACCCACAGAAATCCACCAAGCCCTGATGTCTTTCCGTAGTTCTGCGCGATTTTCCGGTTTCCCGAGGAAGTTCGATAGACGGGGATCACGTCCTGATCGAGAATCTTTCGGACGACTGACGGACCTTGTACTGCTCCCGACCTTCTCTTTCAAATAATGTGCCAACGACAAATAGACCCATCGCTTCTCGCCGACGAGAGCTAGGACTTGCCTGGTTGTGTACATAATTGACGGCTTTTCTTCGATGTCCTCTTGGACCTCCTGATATCCAAGTAAGGCCTTCATAGCCTCATATGAGAATGTAAGTCTGCGTTGATCATTTCGACGATCAGGCAGCCAATAAGTGATCGACTCGATGTCCGCTTTATCAGAATTTATCTTAGATTCGAAATTCCGCGTGAAGACAAATCTACTCTCCGCATGGTATAGGGAGTTTAACAGTCCATCATCTGTCCTTCCACCGAGCCCCCGGTCGCGGATGATGAAGCGTAATGCATCTTTGCTACTCTTGTTATCTTCGATGGAGACGAGAGCTTGCTGAGGCGTATTCAGGTCCGGACGTCGAAGACTAGTCGTAAGCCAGGCTATATGTTGGAATGCGTGGAGAGCTTCACTAGGCTTTGCTTTGAATTTGAACGACTGAGACGATCTTATGACTCCACCCTCTTCAAGTTCAGTGGTCATTATGTCCATCTTGATACTACTCTGTGGCGCAGTTACTGGTCTCTTGGGACATCCAACTGCATGCCTGAGTCGATCTTCGATAGCAATAACAGCGTTGAGACCCTTGACTTTGGTAGTAGGCCAGACTGCCTCAAAGTATTCGTTGATAGTGGAGGCGCGGGATGTCGCATGATCGCTAACCACGCAGAGGAAGGAGCCTACATCCACCATCTTGTACTTGTCATCATCACTGGTTCTATCACTGATAGATGCATTGATGGACGCTTTTAACTCGTCGAAACCGAATTGTGCAGTGATTTCTACGTCGCATTCAAGATCGTTAGCGGGATTGGGCATCACACTCAATGCCAACTTAAAGACTTCCTCAATTTTCGCCTTGGGATTGATGTCATAACTCTCACCAAATTCTGTAGTAGCTAGAGCCTGAGACATTTCTTTGAAGACATCGATCGGGTGATGGGCAAAGAATATTCAGTGGGGAGTGTCTATAGAGTGAAGAGTGTGTATAGCAGTAAGTACGCAAGACATGGACGCTTAAAGTAGCTCAACAATGTAAGTTGGGAGTGAGGCTAAACTGCGTCTTTGTTTAACATTGCGCGCTCGAAACAATACAAGGAACTGGTAGCTTTCACAAAGAGCCGGTCGAACGCTACAGGAAACAAGGCAATGAACGCCAGAGTGGGCCTTTGTTTCGAAATCAAGATTTCCCAAGAGGTTCATCAGGCCTTGCAAGAGTATTGTAACGCAAGACAGGAATACCGATACATTCAGTAAGCAGGTAATACAGGCGCTACATTTCTTGAATCTTCCCCACTGCTTTAATTTCCACGACTGTTATGCTCTTCGTTCCCATGAAGAATGCCAAATCCACGGTACTGGCGGTCAACGATGCTACCGAAAACTCCGTTGCTGAAAACCTGTAAGCACGTACTACAGTACTTATTAACTTCGCTACGACCATGCTCTGAAGAGCCATTGCTCCGGTGTTTGTAACTTCTTGAGCGCCTCAAGCAAGCAAGAACGCGTGAGCGACTATAAATCAGTTAGCCGGACAAAGGTAGCCATACCGATGTAACTTTCAATCCTGGACCAGACCGTGTGAGGACCCAGAGTTGCTGCCCGGAACTCCGATCCAATGACCAAACCGTACGGCACATGAGACCTAATCCAAGGAACGTTACTAGAGTCAGCCTTAGGCATTGTCAGAAGAGTCAGGTGTGTAGCACACAGCACTCGAGAGATTAATATCGCTGGCAAATAGTATTCGACAGCGGACGAGAACGCAATAACAAGAAATCCAAGTATCGGGAGTCCTAGGTCAGAGAGAGTAGTGTACATACATTAACCAATGACCGACAAGCCTTGTGTAAGTCAGAACCATCAACAGATGCAGTATATGACAAGAATTATACTCCCAGATACAAAGAAGACGTACAACATTGCGCTACAGGCTTGTTCAGAAGTATACGGAGCGGTGCTAACGCCGTAATTAGTGTAGATTAAACGACGAGGCATAGAGTACAATAGATATGATGGCGAGGGCGACAAGGAAGTCCACGACTCTAGGTGCAGACCGTGAGGAGTAGCGCCTAGTTATTGAAGTGCCAATATGAGAGGCACTATCGAAGAAACGAAGAAGGGACAAAAAAGTTATCACGCTAGGATTTCATTAGGATAGAGAATTTTTTTTGCGATGGTGATTCGAGGAGGATCTAACGCTTATGAGCTTTAGACATGACTCAGCACACACTTGAAATGCTTTGACTGACTGTATACTTTTATAGGTCGAGGTTTGTGACTTTAGGGAAGAATCATAAATGCGGAGGGATTTGTCCCTCGGTCGCAGAGTTGTAAGCTCCGAACCAGGAGCCCCTGTGGAGAGGTGGGAGCCTATCAAGGCTAAGAACTTGAGCTTAGCGTGCTGGATCATACACCCCTGCGTGCACTATAATGCCTATCAACTCGGACATTAGACATCCCCGAGGCGGACTCGCATGGTGATTCTTTTGTCGACATCCCGAATGTTCTTCTCTTTGTGTACAATTTTCTCTAAATTCAACAGTATGCTTTCTCCAGAAGATACGCACAGCTCATTCTCATCGCCCTCTGCGTCATCAGCTCGACCATCACCGAAACGCCAGCGGGTCCTTGCCTGCGTGCTTTGCCAGCAAAGAAAGGTCAAATGTGATCGCATTTTCCCCTGTAGCAACTGTTCGAAGGCAGGGGTACAGTGTGTTCCATCTTCACTCACACGACCTCAGCGTAAACGGAGATTTCCCGAGCGCGAGCTATTGGACCGATTACGACACTACGAAAACTTGCTTCGTCGTAATGGTATATCATTCGAGCCTATACATCCAGGTGGAGGCTCTAGCTGTCTAGAGACAGATCAGGGCTGTAGGAACGTTCCTGCCCCGTCTAATCCAACATCTGGCTCGGGCAGAGAGGGTTTAAATGGGGAGCTGGAGTCACTTTCTCGGTCTCAGAAAGACCCAGAGGTGAAGTACAATCCAAGGTACCAATAGCTGAAGTCGCGGATACCTCAATAAAGTTGACATTATACAGGAGTATGTGGCAGCTAATGGGGTCCAAGGTAACGTCGCAATTGCACCGAGCTTAAAATTGCTGACAACCTGACTTCAGAGCCAAGACGAAGGAGACACGGATGAACTAAAACCCGATTGCGAATTAACATCCATCACGGTCGGAGAGAAGGCAGTAAGATCAGTATGGGATCAACTCTATAAGGGGAACGATAACCTACTGTTCGCTCTTCCCGACCTGGGCATGGAACTATACGAACTTCATCCAGATCAAGTGCAAATCTTTAGGCTCTGGCAGATTTACCTTGACAACGTCTGTCCTCTTCTTCGAGTCACACATACTTCATCTCTTCAGGTTCGAATTATCGATGCAGTTGAAGACCTGAACAAGATTGATGCCAATTTGGAGGCATTGATGTTCAGTATATATGCCGTTGCGACCATGACCCTTACTGAGGCTGAGTGTCGTACTTCATTCGGCGAGCCGAAGAAAGAACTCCTTGCAACATATCATCGTGGTCTACAGCAGGCACTCCGAAATAGTGATTTCCTTCAATCAAAGGACCGAGACTGTTTGACCGCTATACTGTTATATCTTGTAAGTCTGTACAACACAAACTTGATGAAAATGCTCAAAGTAGCTTGGTAGATATCAATCAGATCTTATGCACATCCAAGATCAGTATCAACTATGCTTGGCATCGCGATGCGTATGGCGCAGCGTATGGGAATACACAACGAGGCCCAAAACTCGAAACAGCCTGCTATGGAGGCTGAGATGCGTAGAAGGCTCTGGTGGGCACTAGTGATATTCGATTCCAGGATTTCTGATCTTGCGGATGCGAAAACCACCTTGTTGATCCCAACGTGGGACTGCAGACTACCCCTGAACGCCAATGACTCTGATCTGCGTCCGGAGATGAAAAATGCTCCAGTTGCCCATATGCTACCCACTGAGGCGCTTTTCATCGTCGTCCGCTGCAAGATAAGTGACTATCTTCGGCATAGCCCTGAATACCTGGAGTTTGTGGATCCAGTGTTGAAGAGAATAGCCGAGGACCTACGCAACGGACCTTCACAAGTCCACCGGACTTTGGAGAGCTTGGAGAGGGAAATCGAGGAACAGTATCTTAGATACTGTAATCCAGAAAATCCTCTACATTTCGTGACGATCTGGATGAGCAGATGCTTGCTCGCAAAGAGCCGTCTGCTAGAGATATATTTGCTTGGAAACACAGGAGATTCGCTCCATCATATGGTACATTCTGATCGCGATGCCATCCTTACTCAAGCCTTAAGAATGCTTGAGTGCGACACGAAGCTTGCAGCTTCACCACTGATCAAAGGCTACACATGGCTTCTCCACCTCCACTTCCAAGCTCCTGCCTACATCATCACAATGCAGGATCTGGCACGACGGCCGACAGGAGAACACGCAGATCGAGCCTGGGCGATCATGAACGACAACTACGCCGCTCGTTTCAGCGGCTCTGAAGATAATGAGAACATGTTTTCAAAATTATTCGCTAATATCATCCTACACGCGTGGCATTTGCGGACAGCGAAACAGAGTAAATCATCTCACACAGAGATTCCGCCATCCATTGTGATGCATCTGAAGGAAAAGATGTCGCGCAGTAGCCAAGGTGGATACGAAGAATCTAGGATGAACTCTACCGGCAAACTATTGAATGGCACGAATGATCTGGCTGCATGCACCTGGGAGGGAAGACAATTGAGTACGGAAACCGAACATCTGCAGAATTTTGATTTGGAGAATCTTGGTAACTTCCACACCGAGCCTTCAGTGGGGCTCAATTTTGACCAATTGGACTGGATGTCAATGGATTGGAACGTGATGCATGGCAGTACATGGTAAATTCCCTGCCTCGAATCTTCTTTTGCAGTCTCTGCAGCTGAAGTCGTTTTCGTACGATTCCAAATGTGATTTTTTCAGCTCTATGATTGATAGATACGCCTACAATTTGTACAACCTCAACAACAGGAGTGAACCGGGGTGGTTATTACTCTGCTTTTGGCCCCATATCTAGTTTCGGTCCTCCCGCGTTGTCGTAAAGCTACCAGCAGATAAACGGAAGCCGCCAATTCGCTTTAGTTACCCAGACAGCTATAAAGCAAACATGTCATCCAACAGTTCAACAAATCCGCTCGAACCGCTAGCCAACGGGACGCGAGAATCAACTTTCTGACAAACAGACTTGTGGGTCATGGCCAAGAATCACCATTGGTAAATTCTGTAATCATAAAAAAGAGACCAACCCTGTTCTCAAGCTTGAGAGCACCTGGGGCCAGAACATTATATTACTTTCTAGACTCGCCGCCTTTCAAAGCTAGCAACCTCACTCACCTTTGTTTAGGATGCTTCTCATGCTAGAAATATCCTCTGACATGGTTTGAAAACGACACTGACCTAACAATGGCTACTGAAGCAGATTTCGAACGCATTGGCAACTACGCACGCATGTACAACAAAGACCAAGGCATCGATCGCCATTTATGCACGCGTACAACAGAGATGAAAGTGCTCGTACTGAGCATTAGTCGCACGGGAACATTGAGCATGCAATCAGCTCTTTCAACACTAGGGCTTGCCAACCCCTACCACCTCTCGTCCATGTATGACAACATCGGCGACACCACAATGTGGCTCGAAGCCTTCGACGCCCAGTTTCGCGGCATCGGAACCTTTGAGCGCGAGCAATGGGACGCACTGCTTGGCCACTGCGGCGCCGTCACAGACATGCCGGCCAACATCTTCGGACCCGAACTCGCGGCTGCTTATCCGGACGCCAAGATCATTCTCACAGAGCGCGATGTCGATAAATGAGCAGCGAGCATCGATCAGCTATTCACGTCGAGTCTGGGTCCGTTTTTCAAATTGATGGGCTGGCTGGACTATGAGCACGCGGGGCGCATTACGAAGGTTGGGTTGTCGTGCTATAGGTTTCAATTCGGTGCAGAGGATCTTGAGGGGTTAAGGAATGTTGCGCGAAGATCGTATGTTGAGCATTATGCGCTTATCCGCGCATTAATTCCCAAGGAACGAATTCTGGAGTATAAGTCAGGCAGTGGATGGGAACCTTTGTGCGAGTTTCTGGGCGATGAGGTGCCGAAGAAGCCTTTCCCGCATTTGAATGAATCTAAAAGTATTGAGCAAGCGGTCGAAACTCATGGCTCTCTCGCACTTGTCAGGGGAGCGAAAAACATCTTCTTCTGGAGCACGATCGCAGTGACACCGTTGGCAGGAATATGGTGGCTAAGATGGACAGGGATAATTGGGGACGTCAGGAGAGTAGTGCAGTGTTGGAAGTTGTCATGAGAAGGCTTCTCTGTACGGAAGATTGGGATATATCAAGAGGGGTACCTGTACTCGATAGCGCACTGCAACGTTTGATGTGACTGCCTGGTGACGATATACCGCAAGGAAGTGAGTTTGATCAGATCCCGGGGATTGGGTAGAACTGCGGGTAAACTCCAGGAAATCGCTGCCGGTGGGGCGCCGAATTCTGCACCATTGCGACTGAACAGCCATTCTGCTGCAGATTATGCCATCGTCATCAGATCCTAGGCAAACATTCATGTATCGTCTCAACACATAGACGCAAATGTCTCACATACTGAGCAAAGTTGTGACTCTCTGTGTCGATCTTTGTTGCTGTCGGGATCGGTAGTGTGGACTCCATCTCATCCTCGCGAAGTGAAGTGAATATCGCTTGTCAGTACCGTGTTGGCTTCAGCTAACTAAAACTAATTAGCCAAATCGAACAAACAAATTGACGCTGCATTTATTAGCCACTTTAGTATTTAGCGTATCGTTCAGTCACGCCATGGTAGAGCTCCCATCCATCAAGTCCGTCTTTGACACCGATGGCCTTCAAAAGAATAAAGAGGGTTGGTTCTGCATACCAGGCCATACCAATTACATTTTCCAAAAGGACCTTGTGAAGTGGGACGAGATCGTGAGACACAACGACTTGCGCCAACGACTTGAGAGGCGCCACGAAGATGTAAGCCAATCAATATTCTGTCGCTACATGATCAAATCACCGCGAGGCGACTGCGAACTACCAAACTTTGAGATATATTGTTCCACAAGCCTAGTCAACGCCCTTATAATTGTAAAACAATGTAAGAACCTAGACGAGGACGGCAACGGCTTCGCAAATAAGATCCATATGTCTCGAATCATCCACGACGCTATACACGATGCGAATGCAAATTTAGACAAGCCATGGTCTGTGGTGTGCGTCGCTTTCGAACGTGTGGAAAACCTGGAATTCCGCCGTGTCATCAAGAACGAACCCGCTGTCATAGTCCCAGGAGGCGATTGCTCGATCCTGGACGTCCAGACGTTGACGGATCAGGGGCGGGCATTTGTTGCTAGAATCATGGATGAGACTCTGGCCAAACCGATATCACGTGCGCTCAAAGATTACGCACATGAGCATGAATGGAAGAATGACGTGGTCGAGTCACTGGAGCTAAATCCAAATACGTGGTCGAATGTACGCGGTTGGGAGGCCTTTCTGGTGGTTAATTTGTCCTCCTAATCGGCATGCATTCAAAAACAGTCACCACATCGCATGGAAACACTATAGAAGCACATTTGAACGTCCGCTCATTCGAATGTTCAATCATGGAAGGAAGACGCGCTGATCTGCATTTTGCAGACGTGAACAGCAGTGTAAAGTCCGCCGAACTCGAATGGAGGCTGCTTGGTGTCACTGCTGCTGTTCTCATATGTGCCTTCCTCGGGCGCAAACATTGACTCGGCAGTGAGTATATCTTGTAAGAGCGATTGATATATCGGGGGTACTGGGCAAGATCATAGATGAAGCATTCACAGGTGTCTGTCTGTGGCCGGGGTCGAGGCTCTTTCAACATTTCCGACTGATGATCAAATCGATTGATGATAAGTAGAAACAAGGAGGCGAGCTCTAGTACATGCTTCACAGAAGGTTATGGGCCCTTCAAGCCGTAATATCTCGTGAAAATGGCGAACTCGATGAAAATTATTCGTGCTTCTTTCGATCCATTCATGATATGCTCCTGGAATTCTCCTTTTACGAAAATGGCTATGTAGTTTCTTGTTCGTAGGATTCCACAAACACCACACAAACGCGTCGATCATATACGCTGGTACTTAGTCATGGTGAGTGAACGTTCATGTCCTTCGGCCAAGGCCTTTCTGTCGACCTGGTAAGGTGAGGGTCGAAGGTATTACTTTTGGTATGTAAGGAGCTTAGGTATGGAGAAAGAAGGATTACATGCGAATGAAGGTTGAATGTTATTTCGTTCGCAGATGGATGTCTATATCGAGATAATCGCCTTGCTTCACTATTCTGACAGTCTTCCATTATTTCTAATATCAGAATATCCAGCCGATAAACGACAGGTGGCCTCATTCCGATGATTTCAATGGGTCCTGGGGCCAATTCTGACACATCCTCGCTGCAGAATGTCGTTATGCAAATAGCATGGCGTACTCAATATGATGTCAGAGGAATCGAGTTCTCGCTCTCGCTTCTTCGGACGAGTTGCACCTGTCTGTAACACAATTTGATACACGAAAAGCTACATAACGTTATGGTCTGAGAGACCATCAACAGCATGCTTCGTTATACTCGACGATGATAGGCTTCGACGACCCCAGGAGCAGAAAACAAGCAATATGTATACACGTCAAAGCCCCGTGCTAGCCGTACATCTCCGCCGTCGGAGACTTTGTTTCTGGTTAGTGACATTTCTGCTTATCAAGCTCCGCATGATGAGAACATTATAAATCTACTTCTGCACACCCAGGTACTTACCTAGGTACGTAGCATCCGGATGAAACACTACCCCGCCCCCGCATCAAAACATCAGAAGGCATAGCCGCCGATTCACGACGCCATTGTACAACCCTCTTTCATACAAGACCAATAGTTCCTCCTATATACCAAAAAAGTAAATACACACACTATATTACAACGATCCAGACATACCCTTTAACACCGCCAACAATGTCTACCAATCCAACAGAACACTCCGTCTCCTATGCGCCCGACAAACACATCTCCTACCTCGACTCGGGCCCCCGGGACGGCCCCTTAATCATCTTTTCCCACGGCTGGCCGGGCTGCGCCGAAGTATGGTCGATGCAAGCCAGCCACTTCAACCGTCTCGGTTTGCGTACCATCAGCGTCGACCAGCCAGGCTACGGCAACTCGAGCACTGGCGGCGCCCTTTCAGACTACCGCCTCGAAACCCTCGTATCAGCGCTGCACGCCGTCTATAAGGCCTCAGGCGCCGTGGCACCCGCACTGTGGATCGGCCACGACTGGGGCGCGACCATCGTGTGGAGCGTCGCGGCGCATCACCCGGACATCTGCGCCGGCGTCGCGTGTGTCGCCGTCCCGTACATGACGCTGGAGCTTGGGCTGCAGGGCTTGCGCGAGACGATTAATCGTGACCTGTACCCCGCGGATGAGCATCCCAATGGCCCGTGGGACTACCAGGCGTACTACGAGACCAACTTCGAGGACGCGACGCGGGGTTACGAGGCTGATGTCGCGGCGTTTACGAAGGCCGTGCATGTCAAGGGTAATCCGGAGGCTTTGGGGAAACCAGCGCCCACGGCGGGAGTTTCGAAGGAAGGGGGTCGGTTTGGCCCGGGGGCAATCCTGCCGGCTGAGGATGCGATTCCGATGAAAATGACTGTGTTTGATGGGAAGGAGTGGATATGGGATTTGTTGAGGGCTAAGATGCTGAAGACAGGCTATCGGTGGGGAAATGCGTATTATATGAATCATGGCGTGAATCGGGCGTATACGCTGGAGAAGAGCGTTAATGGTGGCGTATTGGAGATGCCGACGTTGTTTATCAACGCCAAGTGGGATTCGGTGTGTAGTTCTGATGCGAGCCCGAAGTTACCGGTCAAGATGAGGGAGTTCTGTAAGGGTTTGACGGAGGTTGATGTTGATGCGGGGCATCATGCGCAGTTGGAAAGATATGAGGACGTGAACAGGGCGATTGAGGGATGGCTTAGGGGCAAGCTGTCTGGGTGGTATGATGGAACGGGAGTTAAGCTGTAGATGGATTCTTCTTGAAGGGACTGAGGTCGAAGGAAGTTTTGTCATTATAGATTGGTTTCAAGAAGACTTACCGGATTAAAAGATGCCGGTGCCCATAGTCTATATAGGGATCTCGATGACCATCAAGTAAGATAACTTGGTTCGAGTATACAGGCTTGAAATCTGTTGTCTTTCTCCTACAGCCTAATATGTGCTTCCGATCTCGAAACCGAACATCGACGACAAATTTTGAAGATTGAAGCCAGATTCTCAGCCTTCGCTCTCCCTAAGCCACACTCCGTTGAAATTCCAAACTCCGCATGCCCAAGCACCCTCTTCGCGGTCTCTATCCTCTCTCTTGTCCCCTCCTCATCATGCGCATGTACCAACCCCAGAAATAAGGTGCTCTCTCTCGCCCTCATACTCAACATTCTCAACGGCTCGAAATACCCCGCATCTACACGATTTCTGGGCACAGGGATGTGGTAGTAGCTCACTCTCCTCGCGACATTCGCCGCGATGCCGTTAATCACCTCCACCAAGATGCCTGCGTCCAGTGGCTCCACACAATGAACGCCCCCGAAGTCGCCATAGCACAAATGAAATCCCAGCTCCGCATCCTCATGCACCGCATCGCCTAGCACCCTCAACTCCGCACAGATATGCTCGCGCACATCGTCATACCACGGCAGCATAACGTCCCAGCCGAAGCCGCCCGCACGTGGGGGGTTGTAAGTATGCTCCATATGTGCAATCTCCTGCGGGATGTCCCACTGGATACACAGATCGTGCGGCGGAATTGCGTGCTGAATCTTGGCGAGGTCGGTGAGTATGAGACGCATATACAGCTTCTCTGCGAGCGCCATATACGGCTCACGGACCCATGCGAGCACGGCATTGATAGGACTGGGTAGACAGACTTGAAACCGCGCGTGCGAGGGCACGATCCCTTGGGCGCGCAGAGAGCAGAATATGGGGTACGAGGTCAAGGCAGCGTCGGCATAGCCTGTGGGCTTGAGCGATTCGAAGGTGAGGACGAAGTCTGGGTCGTGGATCTGGGGGGTGTCGGGCATGAAGCGATTTGTGAGAATTTCTGGCGGGAAAACACGGCGCTGCCAGAGTGTGAAGCAACTGCGTTCGTTTGTTTCGCCGTCAGATACGCGGGAAAGTGTGGGTAAGGCTTTGCAGAAACGGGTGATTGCTTCTGAGGTGGATGTGTAGGGAGAGCTGCCGAGTAGAAGGACGGGGTGGACTTGTGTCATTGTGGTATGTGTGGGGAGTTGATACCGGTCAAATTGAGATTGAGGGAGCTATGAGAGACAGAATGAAAGCAAGAGATGTCGAATGCTGACGGAGACTAGCATTTTAGAGACATGGAAATCGGGCCTGAAGACTGGCTCAGGGTAAAGCACAGTCCTGATCAACGGCCAAGTCCCTCAAGTTTGAGTGACGTCCGTCACGCCACTGAAGTTAGCAAACCTAAAGCTCAGGGTGCCGCAGACTGTTTCGTAGCTCTGTTTATTGAGGTCTAGGGTCCTGTTCGGGAAGTAGCCAGTGGGTTCTTGGTTCTTGTGTATTCTGAGTATGCAGGCATCGTTCAATCATGTAAGAAATCAGCGGTGCAGTACTGACTCCCTTCTGGAGCCCCAATGACATGCAGTAACCTCTATACAGAGTGAAATGTAGGATGTAAGGCTGGAAGACGTTGACACTGCCGAATCGGGATGTTGGAATTTGTTTGCGCCACCCCAGACTCGCCTGTGACAAGATGGAGAAGTGGACCTCCTGCATGACTAGCGGTCGCTCCCGCTGTCAGATTCAGCCATATGACGCTTATCTCTATCTCTGCAGGAAATACGTTTTGTGTATAGAGGCGATCGGTTTGATACCAAATTCTACAATAGAGGCGCTTCCTGACTTGAGACGACCGACTTGAGGATTCCGCAGCGTCACACGGCACAGTGCGGCACAGTTTGATCGTCGGACAGGTATACAAGGATCTCCTGGGTGACGACCTCCTCTATCTCTTGTCGGTCCACTGTACATAGTAAAAGGACCGTACATTGCATCATCCTTCCACAGGGCCACATGGGAGCCCCTCCAGCAAGGAACAAGTCTGGAGACCTGGAGATAAACTCTAGAGATAAGACCCAGAGATATGACCTTAGTATATGGACAGTCCGGATCATCCCTCTTCACCTGGAGTAATCCATTGACAGTGACTGATCAAGATCATTGTATCTCGGTGGAACTTCTGGTGCTATCCAGAACACCTGATTACAACTGATAAGCCCTCGTAGAATACTTGACTAAAGATTTATTAGGATCACCGGATCGGTATAGAAGGAATGAGTCGAGTGTCCGCATCACTAATTATACTTAAGTAGAGAAGACAGCCTCTAAGAGCTCGGGAAGTAGAAAAGTCCGTCTAACTGGTACTTTCCAAATTACCTCAATTACTTGGCAGCTAATGCAGGGGCTCCAAGCCGGCAACATCTGCCAAGAGTTCTGTTTAATTCGACCCACCCCAAGCTTGGGATTCTGTAGGAAGGTCCGAATGCCCGAGGTGCCGAAGTCACCGTCCTCCGTCGCAACGCTAACAATACCACTATGGCTTGTTGTCTATCGTGAGTATTACTTCTTCTGGAATGTTGATGACGCGTAGCACATTCAACACGTCTGGCCTTCATGAAGCTGTCTCCCCCGCAGGAGGTATAAATATGGCCTTGGCTGGTTCGACAGGATGTTTCAACAGCTTAAGACGACTTGTCTACAACGTCAACAGTTCCATCACTACTTTGCAAACTTCAGTATGACTGTCCCATCTCTCAATATCCTCATCTCAGGCGGTGGAATAGCTGGTCATTGCCTTGCGTACTGGCTCTCCCGCACACGTCTCCAGACGTCCATCACCATTGTAGAACGAGCTCCTGTCCCCAGAATCACCGGCCAAGCCGTGGACATACATCAGCCGTCCATCGAGATCGTCAAGAAAATGGGCCTGCTCAACTCTGTCCGTGAATACAACACCACCGAAGAAGGCACCACTATGCTCAAACCCAACGGCAAGCCCTTCCTCCACCTGCGTCAGGCTGACGGCTTCTCCTTCACCAACGAATACGAGATCCTGCGAGCCGACCTCGCTGAACTGTTCAACGACGCTTCCAGCAAGTTCAGAAACGTGCAATGCAAATATGGCGACAGCGTGACATCCCTCACGCAGACGTCTTCTTCCGTCCATGTGACCTTTGCCAGCGGCACATCAGACACGTACGACCTCGTCGTCGCGGCCGACGGGAGCGCATCACGGCTTCGCGACATGATTCTAGACCCATCCGTCACCAAAGGCTGCTACAACTTCATCGGCCAGTACAACGCCTTTTTCAGCATTCCCTCGCGCCCCTCCGACGACAAAATGTGGCATTTCATGAACCTCCCACAAGGCCGCGCACTTATGCTCCGCCCGCATCGCAACCCGGACACTATGGGCGCCTACGTATGCGTCACAACGCCTGGGCATGGCCACAAAGACCAGCGGATGGAAGACGCAATTGCCACAGGACACGAAGCCGTGAGAGGGCTACTACATGAGTATTTTGCCGGCGCGGGATGGCAGAGCGGCAGGATTTTGGACGGCATGGATACGGCGTCAGACTTCTACATCTCGCGGTCCGCGACTGTTAAACTACCCAAATGGACCAATAACCGTGCGTGTGTGGTGGGAGATGCGGCATGGGCGACATTCGGTATTGGCACCACGCTCGCCATTGTCGGGGCGTATCATCTCGCGGGCGAACTGGGCAAGATCAAAGCGAGCAGTGAGATCCCCGGGGCACTGGAGATGTACGAGCAGAGCTTGCGGCCATTGTATAAGGCTATGGGCGAGTTGCCTCCAGGGTATCCGCAGATCCTGTTTCCGCAAACGATGTTGGGGTTGCGGGTGAGGGACTCGGCGCTATGGGCTGTGAGCAAGGGTCGAGGTTTGTTTAAGCTATTTGGAGGTGATAAGGACGATAACAAGTTCAAGTTACCGGAGTATGATTGGGTTGATGTCTGATGAACCATATGTGTTCGACGTTTTAGGAGGAGGATCTTCCCTGTGTGAACCTGATATTGAGCCCTCATTCTTTTCTTTCGTTTCCAGAGGCTCTAATACTGATACATGATGTATACATATAGATTGTTTAGAATTGGTATTACTCATCACACCCCCAATTTTTGATGACACACTCACATGAATGGTGCAACGATGGTTTGAGATGCAGTGGCGGCACAGGAAGGACTTGACCTCTCTCGACGCCGTACGTCGTGCCATGAAGCGCGTACAATCGCACTATTATTGGAATATTTAGGGGAGATATTATAAGAAGACAACTTAGTCGTCAGGGCCAGAGTGTCGCGATAATTGGACCCATTCCTGGTACGCTTTTGCCTATTGTTGCTCTTTCACGGACTGTACGACATATCTGGCATAAGGATGAATTTTCGCCTAAGCCCAATGCTGCGTCCTTTATCGTTTGGGCTCGCACAGGTCATGAACGTTCTCGAAGGCGAAAGGTAATGCCTTGGCTGGATTGTGCCGCATGCGAAGAGATTCCTCAATATCGTTATTTGGACGAGCCTGCTTCTCGACCCATGTGTCCCTCAATAGAAGCATCTGGGATACTGGAACGCTCGACCAGGATTTAAAGTGCTGACCGTATGATGCGAGATAAATGAATAATGATTAGTTGAATCTGAATACGAGAAGAGTGATATGCATGAGGATGTGATGGAAGGAGAAGAGAAGGAAGCGGGGCAAGTTGGTGCTTGTTTCATTCGCGGAAGAAAACACCAGGTGCACAGGCCTTTTCCCAGCCTTTTCTTACCTCGTGTCACACACACTTCTTTCTTCCTCCTACATCTTTTTCATCTTCATCTCTCATTCACGTCTCACCTTGAGGGCTTGGCTTTCCATCAACAATGCTGACTGTTATTGCCTCTGCTAGGCTTCTTTCGATACGAAGCATTGTTGTCACCATGGGTTCAGGCTACATCCGGTCACAATATCAAAACACGTACACACAGCTCTGCTCTATCATTGTAATGGAAGCATCTTAAACCAGCCATAGCAACGATCTTTGCTATCAGTTAGCAAACTAGGAACCATGCGCGAGCTGTCAGATCATCAAGTAAGATCGGCAAACGCCCACGACACTTATGAGAACCCCTATGAATCTGCACCACGACTGATCCCGTCTCATGCATGTCAAGCTTACATGACCGGCTTCCACGTCCTAAGCGACTACCACATCGGATCTCCGAGTGTCGAAATACTTTCTATATTTTCACTCTGGTACACACAGCCTCTCAATAAGACAAGGTCCCATGCAGGCGCTGTGGCGCCTCGGAGGGCTGGCTGTTGTGCTTCTCGTGCCATCAACGGAGCTGTTGCATCCGTATCCTTTCCGATCAACACATATTTCCAGAACACATGGCTTCCATTTTTCATTCTTGTCGTTCGGTGCATACGGCCCTTGATCCGTGACCCTTGTGAAGGCGTAGTGCATGGTCGAGTGAATATCATCGTTATATTGCATCGATACCCGTCATCTTTCACTTCAAAGCTCAAGATTATCTAGCAGCTTGACTGACCTCGAGATTTACTTTCTGCTAAGTGTCTGCCTTTGCGTAGAAGTCTGATATTATCCAGAAAGTCGTACTTTGGATCTGGAAACGCACCGACAAAGCATGGTTGAAGCCAAGGAAACCGCCACCGAAGTTCGAGCTGTGTCCGACACTGGCTCCGTAAGTCATGATGCAAATGCTGTTCATTGGCTGGTCCGATTGACGTGTTCTAGCTCCATAAGAATGCCGTAGAGATCAAGGTCATCACCGGAACAGAGGCCTTGGCCGAGGCAAGAATCAAAGAACCTCCTCAGCTACTCGGTTTTCATGCCTTTGTCCTATATCTCTGTGCCTTCGTCGGTTTCTTCTGTTCCACCTGCAACGGCTTCGATGGTTCCATGTTCAATTCTCTCCTCACTAACAAGCAGTTCAAAGAGTACTATGGTGTCGAAAACACAGGAGCATGGACTGGCATTGTGACTTCAATGTATCAGATTGGCGGCGTTGTGGCCTTGCCTTTTATTGGACCTGCCTGCGATAGGTTTGGACGACGATATGGGATGATGATTGGAGGCCTCATTGCCTCTCTTGGAGTGATCATCCAATCAACAACCAAGCCTAACCACAACCCTGTAGGACAGTTCATGGGAGGACGTTTTCTGCTTGGGTTTGCCGTCCCCATCATCACCACTGCTGGCCCTCTCCATGTTGTCGAAACAGCCCATCCGTCCCATCGCGGGGTTGTGACTGGTTTGTATAACACTTTCTGGTTCGTCGGGTCGATCCTTGCTGCTGGGTCTACCCGCGGGTCGTCGAATCTGAGCGGCAACAAAACCTGGATGGTTCCCGTATGGCTCCAAATCCTGTTCCCAGGCCTCATCCTTGCACTCGCGTGGTTCCTACCCGAATCTCCCAGATGGCTGTATACTCGTGGGCGAAAAGAAGACGCTAAGAAGATGCTAACATACTATCACGGAAATAAGAACCCTGACTCAATCTGGGTTAGTCTTCAACTTCGCGAGTACGACCAATATCTCGAAATGGACGGCGCTGATAAGCGATGGTGGGACTACCGGATCCTGTTCAAAACTCGTGCTTCTCGCTACCGCATGCTAAGTAACATCTGCATTGCTGTATTTGGTCAATGGGCCGGCAATGGCGCAATTTCATATTTCATAAGGTACGTTGAACAGTTCCTCAACTCACTACAGACATTAACCCAAACTCAGCGGCGTTCTGGACACAGCAGGGATTACGGGCGAAATTCAGCAGATGAACATCAACCTAGGTCTTGCATGCATGCAATTCGCATTCGCTGTCTTTGGCGCCACAATGGTCGACAAACTAGGCCGGCGCCCCATGCTCCTGATTGCAAACATCGGGGCCTCCTTTATCTGGATCGCCGCTATCGTGTCCGTGTCCATCAACGACAGGACCGGCACGGCCTCCTCAAGCAAAGCCTTTCTGGCCTTCATATTCATGTTCAACGCTATCTTCGCATTTGGCATGACGCCGCTACAGGCCCTATACCCCGTTGAGGTGCTCTCGTTCGAAATGCGTGCTAAGGGCATGGCGTTCAGTAATATGTCGCTGACAGTCGCGATGCTAATCAACCAGTTTGCGTACCCGATCGCGCTGGAGCAGGTCAAGTGGAAGCTGTACATCCTGTTTGCGGTGTGGTGTCCCGTGCAGGCGCTTGTGATATGGCTGTTCATCCCAGAGACCAAGAACCGCACACTAGAAGAGCTAGACGATATCTTCAACTCGCCGAATCCGCGCAATGCCAGTCTTGTCAAGACGAAGGTTGCGCTGGATGAGCGCAAGAACGTGGTCGAGGTCGAGAAGATGTAGGTACTGGGCATGGACGGAGGAGCTTCAGTCATTAGGGTACATAGAAATGAATTTGGATATGGATATTTCATAATCGAAGACTTCTCAGTTCTTGAGGCTTATCGCTATATACAACCACCATTCCTCAGCTTCGAGGCCCTAAATTAAGAACGAGTCCGGATGCGCATTGATATACTCCATCTGCTCAACGCGATAATCATCTCTGATTACCCCTGGCCCACTCTCTAAGAAATGATACGTCTCTCTGCCCTTACCCGTCCACTGCGGCCAATATGGGATATCGCGCCCATGGTTATTCGGATCCAGGGTACGCACAAACGAAATCGCCGTCGCCTGTCTATTGTCCACGTTCTTAGACAGTTGCCGCGGCAGGTTGGCGAACATGTAGAAGAAAACGTCGAACGCGTGGAACGAGCCGAGGATGGGCAATTTAGTCAGCGGATTGTTGGGTAGGAGGCCCGCGCTCGGGACGTCGACTTCGGTCAGGTAATTCCATGCCGGAGCTGGATAGTGCGCGAGAAGGTTACGGCGTTGGGCCTAGGATGAGAGGGGGCGTTAGTTGGTAGAGGGAGAAACAAGTGGAAGTGTAAACGTACCTCGAAGCTGAAATCCCCTACGAGGGCTGCGACACGCTTGTAATTAGGCGTGGGGTTGTTGAAGATGCCTGTCCCGAACGGCGAGCCCTTTGTCGGGTCGTGTGGGTACAGGTCCATCAGACCGGCCATGTCCTCGTCGCTGGCCTTGGGCCACCACACTGATTGAAAATAGTCCTTGAAGTCCTTTTCTGTGGTAACTTTGAGCTGTGTGAGTAGGGAGAAGAGTGTGCCTTCATCACGCATGTCGCCAATCATGAGTGGGACTTTTGCGAATTTGCCTTGTGCGGCAAGACGGTGAGGAGAGTCGGTGAGATGCTTGCCGTCGGGACGGATGGTCCATGTTGATGCGAGGGAAGAAGCGCCGAGGAAGTACTCTATATAGGCGTCAGATATTGGAGTCTGCTCAGAGACATGGAAAAGTACCTTCTTCGTTTACAGCGGCGGAGATATCTGCGTGATCAGCTTTCTTGAGACACGCGATTTTGTCTGCTGCGTCAGTGCAGCCGCAGTTCGCAACCATTCTATCGAAGGTTGCTTGCTGCCTCTCTGGGCCGTCAACCATGACTGGACCGCCCGAGACGGCGATGGCGGCCCGGAAAAGGTCTTGTTTGCCACCGTCCCACAGCAAGTGAGTAGAGACTGACCAACTGCCAGCGGATTCTCCAAAGATTGTGAGCTTATCAGGGTCTCTACCAAACTACACTAATGTCAGGGCACCTTCTCCTTAATGGGAAATATGGAATCATCATGCCTTCGAAATGTGTTTCTTGATCCACTGCATGGCTACACGCTGGTCCTCGATGCCAAGATTCAGCAGACCAGCCTCCTCCATCTCCTTCGAAGCGCTAAATCCAAACGCATTCAGTCTGTAGCTTATGGAAGCGACAATGATGGGTTGGTCTGTTTCTACTGCAGTCTGGACGAGGCCCGCAGGGCGGTAGTTTACAGCCAGACCCGGAGCCGCCAGAGTTTCGCCAAGCGCTGCGTAAGGGGCACCGATTTCGAAACCACCACCATGACTAGAGAGTTGTCAGCAATATCCCTGGCGCTAGATAGCTTTGGAGCGCTGGCAGGCCTTACATCCACATGATGATCGGAAGCTTAGCATCCGGACGAGTGTTTTCTGGAACTTGGATGTTGATAAGGAGGCAGTCCTCAGACTGGGGCGAGAGCGGATACAGTGCTTCTTCAATGAAGCCCACTGCAGCACCTATGCCCAGATCTCCAGTGCCATTGGCGGCGAGGATCGAGCCTGTGGACTTCTGGGTGCATGCTGGGCCAAAGTGAGTGGCGTCTTGGATGCCCTCGAGCTTCCTGGAAAAGAGCTGTGCATGCTCGAAGCGACCTGCTTCGGCATATGGCATGCCTGTGCACACGTCAATAAGATAATAGCGTGATCCTTGGTTTACTGACCTAGATATCCCCATGAATGGCTCACTGGATCAGCTATGCCCTTGAAAGTGCCATAGTCAAGGTCAATATTGGGAGGCGAGTCTCGTTTCACTGGCTTCGCAAGAGCGAGTGTTGCAAAGCACAATGGCCACAACGCGCGAATACAAGGTTTCATTGTGGAGTGAAAGACAGGTTTAAGGAAAACGAAAGTCTTAGACAATCGATTAAGGGCTAAGGACGAGAATCCGACTATATACTACCAAGGCACTTCGTAGCTTGCGCAAGTCTTAGCTTGAGCAAACATGTATCGTTATGCCCTCGCTCTACATGTTCCTTTCAGGAGACGGATAATGATGAACAGCCGCAAGACCGGACCAATCATCGAGTGTGATGGTTATAACACGATGCCGTCAGTTGTTATAGCGGAGAACCTAAGGCCAACGATTCATCTTGGAACTGACATAGCCAAGCATGATCGAGTAAAGGCTTATTCTTTATGCGAACTAGGCAGGGTAGTAGCAGGCTTGGACTGCGGGGCGCCGGTAATGGTACAACTATGGAGTTCACAATGATTCGGTGTCAGTAGTCATCCTTCGACCCTTGTGTGGTACTAGCTGTAGATCTTCATGCAGGTCTATGGTCGCATCATGTAATAAACAGAACAGTAAGACGGCGTGCCGGCAAGCGAACATTGGGATGAATCTCCCTATGTGGCCCCAGAAATAGGGGCATAAGCCATACTTTCCTTGACGTGAAAGAGAAGAAAATTCTGCAAACTTTGGCGAATACAGTTGGAAGGTGGGAGAGGGAGGAACACGAAGAGTTTCACTTGACCTGAGCGCAAGAACTTCGGCAACCATGAAATCCGGGGCAGAACAGCCCAAAATTACGGTTATTGTTCACCTCGGGCCGGACAGGGGAACCCCTAGCAGTCCCCGCATTAACCTTAAACTAAGCTGCGTGTCATTTCTGGGTTTATCACCTGACCATGTTCGGTTTTCTGAGCATCGGCTAGGCGATCAACTGACATCCTGGTAGATGTCTTATTCCGGACTGGCTCTGTAACTTCCTGTCATCTATATTATTGGTACAAGTCATTGATACATCGTAAAATACACATTTGCTCCCCATTGTCACATCACTACCAGCATACGCCAACAAAGTATGCAACCTACTTCCATAAGACCCACCAGCTCTATCCCATGTACTCCTCACCAGCAACCCACACGTTTCTCACGTTGTTTATAATCTTGATGTCCGCTATGGGGTCGCCCTCGACTAAGAGCAGATCTGCCCTCAACCCAGTTTTAACCTGTCCCCTATCAGTGTACCCAAAGATTCTGGCTGGCTCCTTGGTAGCCATTCTCAGAACATCTGCATTCGACAGGCCGACTTCAGTCAACAATTCCATCTCCTCATGCAGACTACTCCCAAATGGAAACCAAAGCTCTGTGAGGGCCCCCGGTGTTAAGGTATGCACATCCGTGCCCACGAGAAGATCCGCACCAGCGTCATACAATTTCCGCACATTCGACTGAATCATTGTCCAGTTGGCATCCGGATAATAGCCAGCCTGCCAGCCTTGATAGTGCACACGCAACGTCGGGACGTTGACTACACCCATACCAAGAAGTTGCTGTACTTGGTCATCGCTGATGTTTGCGTCCGTAATAGTGTGATGGATCAAGTCTGTCCCACTTCCAAGTGCGCGTACCCAGCTATCGGATTCCGTTGCATGCGTCATTACTACGCGTCCGTACTTGTGGCCCTCGGCTACGATTGCGGTTTGCATGTCTTGACTGAAGCCACCATTCTGACTGCGTAGTTTGAAGAGTTCTGACCCAGCAGCTATATTGTTGGACATGAAGGACGGGATCTGGGCGGTTGAGTTGATGAAATTGACAGATGGAACGCCGCCAGGTGTTGCGAGGTTACTGCTTCCAGGAGCAACAGCGGGGAGACCAGCGGTGATAAAGCTGGTGAGGCCTGGTAGGTTCCTAAGCTGCGCACAAAGCGTGAGATTTTGACAGGATGCGCCGATCGTAGTAGTCACACCAGCAGCCGTAAGATTTTTCATTTCTTCGAGGGAGCCCGGGTGTGCGTGTGACTCGAAGAAGCCGGGGAGAAGGACATGCCCGGTGCCGTTGATATGGGTATCAGGCGTGACGCCGAGATTGGTGCCGATCAAGCCGATACTCGAACCAGAAATGAGCACAGTAGTCGGAGCGGATAGACCATGACCATTGAAATACCGAACGTTGTCTAGGGCAGTCACTTGGGGCGAGGACGTGGTGAGGTTTGTTGCTGGATCACTGCGTTTGCTGTATCTCGCGCGGTGAGCGGCTATGCCGACATCTGAGCCCGCAGCCGGATCATCGCCGCAAGCCAAGATAAGGCGGATGCTTGCTAGAAGAGTAAGACCTCTGTTGAGCTGCATTGAAATCGGTCGAATCGAGCCTCCGAGAATCCTGAGAAAAGACAATAGAAGGTGAAAATTGGTCAAATGGGTCAGATTTGAGAGGAAACTACCTGACGGTTTGCTTGAGATTAAGCTGGCTTATCCAATATGTTAAGAATGGTGTCTTGGTTCGATTGCTTGCTCACGGTGGTCATCATCTTTATACTACTCGTCGCTATGCATCTTTGCCCGGCAACACTAGCCACCGCTCATCGAACAACGTACGTCAATCATGGCTGCGCAGACTTGGCAATCGAAACGAGAGCCTCGAGTCCCGAACGTCCGTCTCGCAACATACCATGCGAAGCTGACCAAGGATATCCGAGACCCTCTGGAAATGTGCAAGAAGAACATGAGAAGAGCAAAGAGGACAGACGGGAGAAGGTCCGATTTGGCACTAATTACTTCCGGCTAGAATCTCTCAAGGCTAACCAAGCTGGAACACCCAAACGCCACCAACACCCGTCAAAGGCTGAGTCCATCCCCTACCCAAATCCTCTTCTCATCGCGGAGATGCAATCTCGGGTCCGAAACGGGGCTTCCTTCCGGCTTCAGTGATGAATCAAGTCAAGATCGTACCGTGCACTGTAGAAGCTTAGGTCCTATACGGTGGTAACCATCGACGTCATATACATACAATTGCACAGTCATGGTCAACCCAGGTAAACGAAGTGCAGGATGTTATACATGCCGGAAACGGCGGGTCAAGGTAAGTGTTCCTCTGGCGCCCGCCCACTGGTCTCGGTAGGGCAGGTGGATCTTCCGATGTCATGCATGAATGTTCATCATTCGCTTGCTAACTCCTTCGACTCAGTGTGACGAACGCAAGCCCACGTGTGCTCGGTGTGAAAAGGCAAATCGTCAGTGTGCGGGCTATCCAGCAGGTACCGACCTAGTATTTCGCAATGAGAATCATATAGCACAAAGAAATGCTCTGCTTGATCTAAATATCTCAAAGAAGAAGCGAGCGACCGAGCCTGATCTGGCTGTCGATTCGTCGTCAGGCGCAGGCCAGATCGTCATCTTTGATCAACGACCTGAATCGACTTCAGAGATATCTTACGTCTGGACACCACCATACTCACGCACGCCTTTACCTCCATCCTCCGTTCTCGAAATGAAGGTGCTTCCTCCGAATGGAGGCCACGTGATGCTCTGCCACATGTACATGACGGAGAAGACGTCGCAAAATCTCAGCTTGAGATTGGCAAGGGATTTGCAACTTCAAGCAGCTCCAACGTCGGCGTTGAATCCACTTGCCGAATCCATTGCATGGATCAATGCCCCAGTCGGATACGACCATAGACATGTCATTTTCAATGCCACCAAACTGTATAACAAGGCCATAACCAGTCTTCGTCGTACTATTGCGAGTCCTACTCCGGCACCATTAAATGAGACAATGGTCATAATACTGTGGATGACAAAGGCCGAGGTACTCTCTCATGTTGCATTCATGCAAATGTCTTTTGGCTTACACCTGTCAGATGGCGATCAGCCCTCCTGATGCCGTTGGTAGCGTCGTATTGTCCCATGTTAAAGGGGCTCTCAGCTTTCTTCGGGCCAGCACAAAGATCAATCCTCTACCCAGCCTGTATGCACCGACCCTTATAGAGCTGATCAACAATATGGTAACAGCACTTTCCACAAATAATATAGATACCAACATAACATTGACCAGGTTTCGTCATGGATCACAGCACCGACTCATATTGCCATGGAACTAGGTAAGGAATTTGAATATGTTCAACAGCTCACAGGGTGTTTCTCTCAGCTTCCTGAAGGTACTCTCGGCTTGGTACAACTTGGCATGACTGCTGCGCAGATCCATACAGAGTTGAAGTTCTATCGAAATACTGCATGGAGTGAGGTCACCCGTGCTGACTTGAAGTCCTTATATGCCAAATGTGCCAAAGCACGTGCTATCATATCTGAATGGGCATATCTTTGGACTCCTGGAGGGTTTGCATTGTCTGCTGATGAGAAGGATAGACTGTTTGGTGCCATCACCGTGTGGAATACTCACAAGGAGAATATCAGTCTATGGGAACGCAAAGACTGGGGACAAATATGCACCTATCGACTATTGACCTACATCTGCACCCGTCAATGTGCAAAGAAGTATCTGGAGCTGGCTGATTCAGAACGAGACAGCACACGCGATCCTTTCGGCGAAAATCTGATAAGTGCCGAAAACGCAATGAAAGAAGCAACTGATAGGATGATATGGGAAATAAGAGAATACATGCGAACATACCTTACCGGTGACATCGGCATCAAATCACCAAGCGAGATGGAGTCCAAATCAACCCCACGTATCGGATCTTACATGATGATACTGCCACTGCGAATTGCGAACTCCTTAAAAGACCTCTCTGAACAAGCCAGAGGAGACCTTAGAGATGCCATACATATGATAGTGCAGTATACGGGTCTACCGCCAGAGTTCTGGATACCTCGGCTAAAAGGAAACATATTTGACTAGGAACGCTAGCGGGGATACATGAACCCAGTGCCATTCACAGATCCGATGGTTCACTGTTTGCAATCCCGCGTCTTGCGTGCAATGTGTCATGAACACGATAATGCCGTACCTTGCCACACAGTAAGCCGACGAGGTTTCACGAAACAATCACAAAAAGCATTGAAGCACTTGTACGAGATACACCCCGGTCGAGGATGGCCCCTCCTTAAGAACGCCCCGAACCCTTGACCCAATCATCCCATCTCGAGCTTCGCAAGACAACTATGGTCATCATGATGAATCTGGTCACTCTCATCACTATTACATTGTCTGTCGCCCTGATTGTAGAGGGGAATCTATATGCCGCATTTACGCCTTCTCTACGTTGCGACACCAACAACCAGACCGCGCCACTCCCGACCCCGACATATGGCACTGGTGGGATCTTCAGTATCTGTACCGAGCAAATCATTCGTGGCTCCATCCAACACATATACACCACTCTTCTCGACTTCCGCGCATATGCAACCTGGAACTCATTCGTCGTCGATGTGCAGCTCCCTGATACCGTCACCACTGCATCCGACGTTTACCTCAATATGCCAATGACCTTCACCACAAGTGGATTAATTTCTGGGGTGAACACGACTTCCAACGAGATTGTGACGGTGCTGTCTGCCCCATCGCCGGGAAACCAGTATGCGCACAAAGCGATTGCGATCAACGCTTGGCGCTGGGACGATGGTCTGGGTGGGCTTGGAAGAGCGGAGCATCCGAATCTGTTGACTGATTTGGGCGATGATACGGTGCGATATATTAGCTACGAGACGTACTATGGGGTAGGGGGTGCGCCCGTGTACGTATTACATACGCAGCTACAGGAAGCCTTTGAACGTCAGGGGAAGAATTTGAAGGACTTCATCGAGGGGGTCTATTAAAATACGTCTAGAGAAGCAAGAATACGATGCTGAAAGCTATTATGAAGCTCGCGAATCAGTTGACTAGAATTACCATGTGTGTATCCACCTGGGCGCGAAGGATAATGTTGGCCAGTTCTTCGTGTTCTCCATGCGTATTTCCACGATGACGGAAGACAGAACTAGTCAAGTTGTGTTTCTCACTTGTTTGTATAATTCTGGCCCTTTTCGCTCTACCAGCTCCTTTAGATCATGGGTGTGGCTCAAAATCCAACGCATCTTGATCAAAATGATGCCATTAGTCCGACCACTCGTCGAGTTGATAGCGTAAACATGTTCTTGACCATGTTAGTGCCGACCAATACACCAGCCTCAGGTTTGTCCACCCAAATACGTTTTCAAACCTCATGGTGAACTACTATACAGGTCAGTACCCGTCACAAGTGTACGGGCATGCCGGACCTACTAGATCAGTGAATCCGACATATCAATTCTTGGAAGCGGCAAAGGCAATTTCATTGTACTCTAATAACAATCATATGGATCGTCAAATGTCCCAAAAAATACAAAACATTCAGCAGTGGGTATTCGCTAGTGGTCACCCACCTAACTACTAATCCACCCCTAACGAGCTTAAATAGGCGGGAGCGAACGGGACCGCTTGCTTTCTGGTTGGTATGGCCGAATGTGCAAGAACTAGTCATAGTATAGAACTTATTTCTCTAAATCTCATTGCACGTATCAAAAAGTAGGAAGGGGTACATGCGGGATCTGAGTCGAGTCACTCAATGAAAAAAACCAATTGCAGGTCAGCTCAGAACCTTGTCACATGGCCGTAGGTGAAGAGTAGCACACGACAAGATCATGTATGATGAACGAGGCCAATATTGGTAAAAATTATTTTCTATGTACAAGTAAGCCTTATCTAGTGCAAGTTCTGTGCTATTTCAACGCCCGCTAAGTGTGAGATAAATGGATTTCAAATAAAGTCAGTGAGCCTTCATCAGGCACGGGACGAACAAATCAATTCCGGATTTATTTCTCGTAGGTATCATACCTCGTGCTCTTCCTGCTCCTGCCGCAGCAGCAGTCGACAAACCAGTACAGCAGACCGATAAACACAGCAGCAGTGCCTGCCCAGGTAAGAGCAAGAAATTTACGCCCCATATCAGCCTCAATACCAACTTGATCACCATACTGATTGATGGCGTTGGCACCGATGACATTGACGGCCGTGGCCACACCACTAGCCGCGCCAGAAGCAACGAAGGTGAGGAGCGAGATGATAATGACTACACACGCTGTGATGCGCGAGCCGTGGGTGAAGATGTAGATGGCGCTGATGACAAACATAATGAAGCAGAGACAGATAGTGACGACGTAGAGTGTAAACATGGCGCGGTACGCAATTCTTAATGCGTCCAGGGCGGTGATAATCTCGTTAGGGAAGTTCAATTGCTCGAGCAATTGGTCGACTGTTATAGTTGTGACATTGGCTCGGTCGAGGGAGTCCTGCAGAGCATCTCTCGGATCGAACCAATAGCTCGACCTTGGTGACGAGCAAACAGTGACGTTTTTGTAAATATCGTCTTCGGAAACAGTCGCGTTGGGAATAGCATTAGGCAGGTAGTCGCCTGCGCAGTAGTTCAGCATATGGGCGGAGTAGAAGTCATCGAGCCCGAGATCTTGGGCGAAAGAATCTGCGGCGGTAGACGCGATGCTTTCGATGGAGTTGCGAACGTCTTCAGGGAGCTCATTGAGGATGTTTGTGATGGAGGATGGAAGGATCGAGTTTTCGCCATTCAACGCATTCTCAGCAAGAGTAGAGCCGATACGAGAGGTATTGAGCTATGACTAGTCAGTGTATGCACACATCAGGAGGCTTGTGTTGTTATACGTTGAAGAGATTGAAGTCTTCCATGAAGCCTGGTTTATTACCAGCAAACAAGCATAGAAACGAGATAACCAAGGCTCCTGCTGAAAGCAGAGCCGGTATGATTGCAAAAATTCTGATCATATTGAGAATGGCGCAGATCAAAACGAAAGAATGTACTAATGCAGATATTGTCGACAGCGGCTGCTGGTAAAGCCTGACGGAAAAGCTGTGAAGAGAGTGGACGTAGCGATGAAGAAGTTTGGGCCAGACTTTATCGAGAATGCTTTGTCGGTCTGTGTGCCAGGTGTACTGCGTAATGCCCAGAGCACCTAGAACGAAACGAACGTAGCTTGGCTGTTGACCAGATGTGTTTGGACGTTGGGATATTGCTGGTGGGGATGAGTGGAGAACAGGATACGATACGCGTAGATCGATACGAGCGAGGCTGCGGCCGGCGAGAAAACAAAGAGGACGATGACGTCGCTCATGGCTTGTGCGGCTACCGGTACAGGGGCAGGCTCTAGCTCTTAGCCCATCAAAGCCTAGCCTGCCTGCTCCCCAGCCACCCGCGCGGAGCGAGCGCCAATCCGGCCCTTATTAGCGGGTCTCAGCAGCCAAACATAGCAGACTCTTAGCCTCCAGCCACAGTGGCCCACGCGGCCTCTACTTTTTCTACTGCGCCTCTGACGACGACAACTGTCAATCATCTGAGCAGCAAAACAACAAGGACTATAGCACTGCAAGTCATCCTTTTCATCACCTCATCGACCCTTTCACTCGATCTATGCAACTCTGCAGATTCTCAACTGCCGACGATCAGTGCCCAGTTCCCGATAAGATACATAAGACACCTGATCTCACGCCGCCCCATGCAAATAGCTTCAACCGCGGGCGCAAGCCATGTTTGTTGTAGGGCGAAACTGCTATGGAGGTATTGGGTTGTCCTCAGAGTTTACACCAGCCCGCCACCTGTATTTCGCCGCCACATGATTGCTTGGTGGTCCACATTGCCCGCGTGTCTGGTAAAAGTTCTCTCTGTAAGTTCCACCGGGCACTGCATATCCATCCCAGAACAGTTCCCTACGTTTCAGCTCTGGCAACACCAAGTCGATGATGTCTTTGAAAGTCTGTGGAAACACTGCATAGGCCTGAGGTAGTCAGTAAACAATCGACGTACAGAGAGACATATCCCACGAACCAGATTGAACCCATCAACCCCAGCTTCTGCAACCCATGTCTCCAGACTATCCACCACCTGTTGCGGACTCCCAACAATCACTGGACCGTTACCACCAATACTGACATGCTCTGCCACGGTATGTTTAGTCCACTTCTTGTCGCCGTCGGAGAATCGAGCGTATGCTTCTACTGTTGATCTGTATGCACGTGAGCTGAAGCTGACTCCACCACTATATCATTATTGCACTGCGCCTACCGTACTGCGTTGCTCTCAACCTGTCTAAGTTCCTCCTCGTCTCCGTAATCGCCAAGGTTTATACCAGTCCATCCGCAAAAAAGAGCTAGAGCACCCTCAAGCGATGCATATGTTCGATACTCTGCCAACTTTGCTTTGGCCTCTTCCTCTGTCTCGCCGACGATGATCGTCACCAGTGCCAGGAACTTGATGCTATCCTCACTGCGGCCGTACTTCTCTTTGGCCATCGTCCGGATTTCAGTGATATTCGAGGCCACCACATTCGGAGCAAACGGCGAGACGAAGATGGCCTCAGCATGCTGAGCTGCGAATTCCTTTCCAGCTTTGGATGTTCCAGCCTAGTCAAGATTAGAATATATGCATGATGCAGTCACTCTATCTGAATAGTACCTGTAGGATCAATGGCGTTCGCTGAGGACTCGGTTGGCAGATGTGAGGCCCAGGTACAGTGAAATACTTCCCCTTGTGTTTAATTTCCCGTACAAGCTCCGGTGAGGTGTAGATACCAGTCTTGCGGTTCAGTTGAACTGCGTCATCTCTCCAAGAGGACTCGAGTAATTTGTAGATGACCTGTATGAACTCTTCAGCCTGGGCATATCTCTCATCGTGAGCTGGCTGCGATGAGTTGAGCATGTTGCGAGCGGCCGAGTCTAGGTAGCTCGTGACTATATTCCAACCCAGGCGACCTTTTGAGAGATGGTCAATCGTTGATAGTCGTCGAGCAAGATGATATGGCTGCTCGTAAGTAGTTGAAACCGTTACCCCGAAACCTATACTCTTTGTTGCTGCTGCCATGGCGGAAACGACACTTAATGGCTCGTTGACCGGCCATTGTGCCCCTGATCTTTTAGCAGCATCTAAGTTCCCATTATAGACATCATAGCCACCTGGTCGTAGTCAGTCATAGTCATACTTCGGCATCAATCAGACGTACCAAGCACATCAGCCACAAATATGCCGTGGAAAGAACCAGCTTCGAGTAGCTTTGCCAAACTGACCCAATGATCTACATCGTTGAATTTCCAAGATTCGTCTTCTGGGTGTCTCCAAAGACCCGGACTTTGATGTCCACTGCCTACGATCAAAATTTAGTCTTTCGTCCAGCCTCCGGATTCGCTCCGGCTAATTACTGCCACTATTACATGTACTCACACATTTCTACAAACGCATTGAGAATCAAAGGTTTCTTCGCAGTACTATTGGCCGGCTTGACAGTATTGGCTTCAGCATCTTGCTTCGTCTTCTTGGTTCCATTTGAAACTGGTACGCTGCCACCAACCGTATCCTCTACAGCAGCGGCTCGTTTCCTCGACCGAGTCCCTTCCATATCTGTAAACTTGGCTAAAATTTAGTTATCGACAGGTTTCAGCTTCGTTTTGTCGTCTCAATGGGTTGACAAGGAACGTCTGTAGCTACTGCATGTTGATGCAGCGATGGCGCAATACTCCCCGCCCGGTAACGACATGAGCTGCGGATCCACCAGGTTTGGCCCTTAAAACATTCAACCCTGGCACACGCGATTCAGCACTGCGGCACGCGGTGATACTGATCCCATGCAAACATCCTATCGGTTTCACCCAAAGATCTACTCCCGCCATCGTTGCAACAGCCGCCACTCTCGTTGCTATTCACAAGGTCACGTTCGACTACGTACCACAAGCAATGAGCTCCTAGAAGAGTGATCTATGCTACTCTCTGATAATCTTTCTTTGGAAATAGTGTTTGCTGACAAGAATTGACATTGCTAAGCACAATTTTGACAAGTGGCTCTTCAGGTACAAGTCAATTGCTGCATAGGTTCTTTCTCTCATTCGGATATACTAGACCATTGGAACAGGTTTTGTAGTGCAATGAAATACGCGGGATCTTCGAGGCAGTAGGGATTCTTCTACAGAAATAACTCCAGCTCAGTAAGTTCTCTTGTTACACGCCTTGAAAAGGCCGTATGAATCGATCGACGCTGCCGCAATTCCTCATACCGTACACGATGATAAAGTTCTTGTCAGAACCAGCTATTAATGGTTAAATCCAATCGACAGGAAAGCTCGGGACGATATATGCTTTGTATCCTGCACAGGTTTTGCGTTATATCTGATGAGACCTCGGGTTCGGTATTCCTTCTCTCCCACACATATCAGGCCACGAACTTGTCGAAGTGATTGTATCCATCACGAATCGCCCGCTAGGATCTGGGACGAAGTCACTTGTCAACCTCCGAGTCAGGATGAATTATTCTACCGCACCTGCACCAATCACATCTTCCAACATCCAACGCGCGTTTTCACACTATGAACTATACTACTATCATCCTTTGTGTACACAGAATACTTCTCTCAATCTATGAGGTGTGAAACGAGATTCTCAATTTTAGCTTATTACGGAGCTACTACATCTGAGGTCTATTGTGTTTGAATCAAGGAATAATGTATTTGACGCAAAGGACAGGAAACGTTAAGAACAATCAACCAGGCTAGTATCAAGACGGGCATTCGCTCCTCATGACTGAGCTGCTCACAAGCTACTAAATCCGATAGCATCTCCAGACCACAGTCTAGACAGTCACAACTCGAGATCTAGACATGTCCGCACGGTTGACCTGCCGTTCCTGACATGCAACAGGATTTCTTTTTTTATGTACAACAGTGTTGAGACCATTTCCAGTGTTCTGGTACTCAAATCAGGCAGACGGGACATCTGATGACAGGGATGATGTTATCTAGTCATGTTGAGCGGAGAGAGGAGATGTTCAGCCGTGAGACGCTTGTGCGAGAATGCTGGCCAAAGACGTGATCGCACTAGAATACGCGTGCGGACCACTGATGTGACAGATTGAAGAGAGGTTGCTGGCGTGAGATGCAAGGCAACAGCAACATACGAGTTCAATGAGGTGATGTAGCTTCAACTGCTAACGACGTGACTTGAAGGCTCTGTCGAGTTCATTTGCAACGATTCAAGTCGGGACAGTTTACAATTACCTTGATCAAAATCTCCGATAAGTTTGACGTATCCTCTTCCGACCCAAGTATATACTAGACCCAATTCGGACGATATGACAGTGATTACATGTACCGCATCGGTCAGCAATGAACGCGGCGACATCGAAACACCGACACCAGTCACCAACCGCGTCAATGGTATCAAGGACATCAATGGCCACAAAGCAGCCTCGATATCAGCTTCTCTTGTGGTTGCAGAGCCCGGTAATGACGAGGCAGTTGCATCCTACCCGAGGAGCAACTTACGACTAGACGAAGACCATCACATTGACGATATTCGCCCCCTGCGCGCTGTGGTTATTGGTGCTGGTCTATCAGGTATCTTAGCTGGTATTCTACTGCCTGCCAAAGTGCCGAAGCTCGAGCTCACTATCATCGAGAAGAATGATGATGTCGTATGTGTATGCTCTGTCAATGACTACATAAGCTGACTTAAGTTACGAAGGGAGGAACATGGCTTGAAAACATCTACCCCGGCGTACGATGTGATATTCCCGCTCATGTCTACCAAGCAACATTCTCACCGAACACCCAATGGTCGCAACAATTTGCTGAGGGACACGAGATTTTGGCGTACTGGAAGGAGCAAGCGCGTAAATATGATGTTTATCGCAAAGTGCAGTTCAGAAGGCAGGTCGTAGACCTCGCTTGGGACGACAGATCGTCACATTGGATAGTGAAGGCAAGAGATACTGTAACGGGAACTATACATGAACAGACAGCGGACTTTGTGCTACCCGCGTTGGGTCGATTCAATACATGGAAGCTACCGGAATATCCTGGTATCCAAGATTACAAGGGACATCTACGACATACCTCCAACTGGGATCCCGAATTTGATCCGAAAGGCAAACGCGTCGCAGTCATCGGCAACGGAGCTAGCGGTATACAGGTAGTGCCCAATATGCAGTTGGTAGCAGCGCACGTCGATCACTATGCACGCAACAAGACGTGGATAGCAGGATCTTGGGCAGGTGATGCAAGGACTTTTGAGCCACAATGGTTTTCTGAACAGCAGCTTAAAGAATTCGAGGATCCGGAGAAGTATCTCGAGTTCCGCAAGGCCTTGGAGGATAAGTACTGGCGCCGCTTCCCTGCTACTTTCCGAGGATCCAAGGAGAACAAAGGGTTACGAGAGGCTTTCATTGAGATCATGAAAGGAAGAGTTACCAAGAAGCCCGAGCTGATAGAGAACCTCATCCCTGATTTCAACCCAAATTGCCGACGCCTGACTCCCGGCCCAGGATATCTAGAAGCCCTGACCGAGCCAAACGTAGATTTTATCCAGACACCTATCAAGAGGTTTACGGAGACTGGTATCGAGACGGCAGATGGCATTGAAAGGCCTGTGGATGCGATTCTTTGTGCAACAGGCGCGCACGTTGACTTTCTACCGCGATTTCCAATCACAGCACATGGACGCGATCTAAGAGATCTATGGCGGCCTGGAGGTGAACATGGTTGGCCGTACACATATATGGGTCTCGCTACTCCCTCTTTCCCCAATCTCCTCTTCATACATGGGCCTCACGGAGCCGGTCCAGCTGGTACAGTACCTCACAGTGTTGAGGTACAAGTCGTATACTATGCAAAGCTACTGAGAAAAGTTTCTTCGCAAGGCATCAAGACAATCACACCATCCAAAAAGGCGACAGATGACTTTGTGGAATATGCAGACGCGTTCTTTCCAAAAACTGTCTTGACAGACAATTGCAGCTCTTGGGCAAATGGTGGTAAAGCTGGGCAAAGAATCCACGGCCACTGGCCGGGAAGCGCAGCTCATGCTACAATTGTTCGCAGGGAACCTCGATGGGAGGACTGGGAATATGAATATATCTCGAACTCTGGTAATCGTTTTGCCTATTTCGGCAATGGCTTTACTAAACGCGAGACGGACGCGGAATATGACATGACACCGTATCTTAAGCTACCAGCCGATGTAGATCTACGGGACCTGCATGAGCAGTGGCATGAGCTACCATAGACACGTGTGAGACATAAGCTCAACAGCCAGATCCTCATTCAGGTCTTCGACTATGTACTAGCATGAATAATCAATTCACATGGCCCTGCTAATTATGCGACACGTAATCGAAAATCAAAGAACTCGATGCGCTAGATCTGTCTTTTCCTCTTGCTCGTTCCTAGGAGCTATTCGGCTACATATTCACGGTATCTCTAACTGCTGGGCACGGAATTCAGTGGCTCGATGTCGTGATATGGAGGGTGGGGCTCGTCTTTGATCAGGGGGCCCTCTAATCACTGTCTGTGTAGGGAGATATATTATCGTCACAAACAAGCACTTCCCGGGCTATGGCAGACTCTCGCCAGCCCTCGGCCGACTGCTTCAACTACCGCGCGGTTGGTGTTCAAGTTACTCTTGTTATTGTCCACTTGACAGCTGAGGCACAAATGGCGTGCGTTACCGGGTTGAGTCAGGACATGTCAATCTCTTACGACCATATATTGCTTGATAGTCTGGCCAGACAGAAATTAAAGTTCAATCCTCTTTGTCCATCTTGAGATTCATTCGATATTGCCATGTCTACCATCCCGACGAGCTCTCCGTTTCTCAGGGAACACCCAGGTGAGTGGTTTTTTAAGACGGTCTCTATTGAACACACCGTCTAATGTTTGCTACAGTCAAATGGTATCGGTCGAGTTTCTACAATGCCACCATCCTCGGTCTCTGTAATTTCGCTGCCCCTGGAATCTGGGGGGCCATGAACTCCCTTGGGGCAGGAGGGGCGCAACGTCCATATCTTGTCAACACGGCCAATGCCCTTACCTTCTGTCTGATGGTTGTGTCTTGCTACTTCTCCTCCGCCATCGTGCATTACATTGGCATCAAAAACTCGCTTGTCGTCGGTACTCTTGGCTATGCACCTTACGCTGCAGGTCTGTATGTCAACAACCGCTACGGAAATGAGTGGCTTGTTCTCCTCGGCGCTGCTTTGTGTGGCCTCTCTGCGGGAATATTCTGGATGTCTGAAGCAGCTATCGCCATCGCGTATCCAGAGCCGTATAATCGTGGTAAATTACTTGGATACTGGCTGTCGTTCAGGATTGGAGGCCAAATCATCGGCGGCGCAGTCAACCTTGGCTTGAACGCCGATAACAACCAAGCTGGGAAAGTATCATACACGGTCTTCCTTGTGTTCATTGCTCTGCAATGTAGCGGTCCACTCGTAGCCTTGCTGCTCAACAAGCCAAATAGGGTTCAGCGCTCAGATGGCAAACGTGTGAATCTTACTATTACGGACGGGCCATGGACGGAGATCCGCCGTACCACACACTTATTCTTTTCTCCGGGCTTCCTTCTCATTGTTCTGTTTATTGGCCAAGCTGTCTACGCAGAAGCCGTCTTCTTCACATATCTCAGCCTATGGTTCACGGTTCGCGCGCGCGCACTTGGCAGTCTTGTTTCTGCACTCGCAGCTATGGTCGCAGGCAACATTCTGGGAGCATTTCTAGACCAAAAGCGCATCAACCTGCGCATGCGGTCCAGGGCGTCGTTCATTACAGTCGCAACACTCCAGGGCGCATGGTGGATCTGGGCGACAATCTTAGTGACCCGTTTCCGGCACACTCGCCCAACCTACGATTGGGTCTCGCCCGGCTTCGGCTCTGCTTTTGGCGTCTTCGTTTTGCTCACGGCTGGATTCCAGATGAATTACCTACTGCTATACTTCATTGTTGGGCAGATGGCAAGGGATGAGCAGGAGGTCGTTCGGTACGCGGCACTGCTTAGAGGCACGGAGAGTGCGTGGCAGGCGGTTAGTTATGGTCTGAATGCGATTGTAGTATTCGCAGAGGTGGGTGGGGTGTATGTCAACTTTGGTCTTTGGGCGGTCAGTCTTGTCCCGTGTTGGTTTGTGTTGAGGAAGTTTGGAAGCACAGCACAGGATCTAGAAAACTATAGGGACGGACACAGTGATGCTACAGATGGGTCAGTGACACCGGTGGAACCCCACAAGGAGACTGTCAAGTATGATGGTAGATAGGGGTCAGACGAGGCGCGACATATGATAAATCTATACTTATGATCGGCTTTGTACACTCCACTCCTTTGGTGTTCGTGCACTCCGCGATCCCAAGTATAATCACCACATATCGATACGGTTCATGGAAAGCTCCTGGCGAAAGTTGATAGCGATGCCCCTCGTTAGTCAACGGCAACATGAACATCCCTGATGCTCTGACGTAGAATTCCGGATTGCGACATTGATGCTAGTCGATCACGTCAACCGGCCATTGATACACCATGCATCACGGCACATAGTTGCCTTATCATTCGAGTATCCGCGTTATACCGTTACATCAACCATCCCGCACTGTGTCTACGACATTGCACAGCTCGCGGCACAGCAATTCCTATGCGTGCTGTTTCACTTTCGGATCGGAAGCAGACTCTGGCTATTTCGGTCCTTATAGTGCATACTGTTAGAGTTGCGCAGAGCCCATTTCTGATAATCATGCCAAGGTACATTAGAGAATCTCCAAACATTGACTGTCCTATCTGCCTAGGTGTGTTGAATTCGTGTGTCTGTCCAAAGTTGGTATTGCTTAAGCAGAAAGTTATGAATGCTCCTGCAAGATCTGAGCTCTGATGGGTATGTGTAGATGATTTTTGTTACTCTGAATGTGCAGCCGGAGGTCGACGCTAGTGATGCTGAAACATGGATTCATCTAGCGCTTGCAAAGGTGTTCCCTTTTGGCAGCATTTGTTACATTGTCCAAAGATACGATCACCGCGCGCCAAGGCCCGCGCGCTTCACAGGGTCTTCCCTGGTGGCTGACTGTGATGGATCAACTAACTCAAGCCCCACTTCCCTAGAGTGCCGATCCATCATTCCATGATTCCTCACAACGCATGAGTTTACCAGATATTCCCCCAGTGCCTCAAGTTTCGGCCTGTGGCCATCGACCCATAGAGACGGAACTCTGCAATGACGCTGCCCAAATTGGAGATCTCGTTCAAGTTAGAAAGCTTGTTCAGCAAGTCCTCCATAGCGATGGCTCGTCATATGGAAATCTCCAGCCTAGACCCGAATGGTTTCGCAGTTCCGTCGCCACTGCTATTGAGCAGCATGAACTCAACATAGTAGAGTACCTCGTCCATGAAAATGTCGTCACTCCAGATGATCAATATTTTGTGGAGCTCGCCGTACGTTGCCAGACGTTTGATATCCTGGAGCTCTTCCTGCAGCGAGGATGGGATATCAATAAACCTCTGCATCGTAACCAGCCACCAGTATTATGGTATGAGCGTTCCTAATATAATCCCTTAGTCATGCTCCATGTCTCATTATTAGGGTTTGCTAACTTCTCGTGGGGCAGGATTCCCCTCTGTGACGGACAGAAGCAGATGGTCAAATGGCTGCTAGATCACGGCGCAGACCCGAACGCGCGCTGCGCCTGGAACTACACGCCAGCATCACAAGCTATGTTATGCGCACCTCTAGACCTCATTGATTACATGTTCAGTCGTGGAGCTGATGTTGCCTACGGCGAACTATTACAATGGGCTGTCATTAGAGATAGGCCGGACGCTTTGGAAGTAGTGAAGCGGGTTGTGGAACGTGGTGCACCAATAAATAAGCTCAAGTATGAAGATGAACCTGCAGTGTTCCTTGAGAGGAAGATCTTTGGCTTAGGAACACCTTTACATCGTGCAGCAGAGGACGGGAAAGCGGATGTCGTACGCTACTTGCTCGAGCAAGGTGCCGACCCTTTGAAGCTGGATAGTAAAGGGCATACGGCACGGTACTGGGCTGACCTGAATGGACATCCGTCCGTAGGCATTCAGCTTATACACGCAGAAGATCAATGGTTTCCCCGTCTACAACGGAGAGACTCAAGCTTAGATATGCATGGAACCATCACGACTGTATATGAGGACATGGTCTATCGGTAGCTCGAATGGCACGAGCTTTGGAGGTAAATAATCACTGCAGAAGCTGTCGTAGGCTTCATGACATGATAAAACGACCATATAAACGGTAACGACAGACCTTACAAGGCTATCATGTGCTTCCTCTAGCCAGTAGTCAGTCAGGCTGTTAATGTGCCAATACTGTCCAATAGAGAGGCGGAGTGTTGCAGGTTGTACCACCGCAGCTGGTAGGGTCGTCCGCTTCCTTATAGTTTTATACATATGTCGAGGGTTTGGGGCAGGTGTATGTCTGTACGAATTGGGATTTGATGTGCCTGCATACGTAGAACGTCGTAGTTGAGTCGCACACCCTAAGACTCATTGCTGAACAAGAGAGGCTCTCTAATTACTGTCAGGTCTACCTTACTGTTAGAGTTACCTTGCTAGCTTGTGTGTACTTATGGCGAGATTATAAGTGTGAAGGTGAGCGCGCAAGTTGATAGCAGCCCTATTATAAGTCTTGACAGGCGATGGCGATAGGTACTGACCCTCTGTAAGGGAAAAGTGACCAGCAACGCTTCATGGCTGTCAAATTCTTCATTCCGCCCTGCTTTCATGAGCGGCCTCATTATCATCATCCTTCACCCCCAGAGGAGGCACTAAGACTAGAGATACAGGGACCACTAGAGTCCATACAGAAGCTTCTTCCTGACATATCCTGGCACCCAATTGTGGACTTTCCTCAGCCAGGAGGGCGGGCTCTTGCAAGCCTTATACACCAGGCATTATATTGAAAGAGTGACCCCTCTCAAGGTGATCCGCCTGTACGAAATGAATATTTGGCATGGGCAATGAACGGAAAGCGGCCATTAGAGTAAGTAGTATTACTACTACTAGAAGGCGCTGTAATGCTATGGGATTAATGTATAGCCATAGCTACATTGACTACTACGGAGTTACCTTCGACCATCTCGTCCCAGCCGATGAGTCAAACCCTAAAGTGCTGGCTATCAGTATTATTAAAGTAGACGATGATGGAGGCTCTTTTGCCAACAAGCACCTCTTATTCTCGGTGGATCCGACAGAATACACTGGGAAGAAAGTGCTCGCTGTACCAAGATGTTGCCAGCGTAAGAAAGGCACGCAGGATCAAAGAAGAATAAACGACGAGGTAGTTGAGAGGGACAACAAGATACGGCAGGCAGATAATGTATAATGTGGGCAGGTGCAAGGATAGCGAGAATGATGCTGATGCAGGAGGAACATTAGGTAGAAACTGGTATCACATAATTTCTAATTAACAATATCACAGGTCGCAGCCTGCGCGAGCCTGAGCGAGTCATTTTTGAACCCTCTACTAGTACAGGTGTACCACTAGTGCTCCATGGAAAAGGTTGAAATGTCTGTAGCTGCCATAAGTCAAAGCAACATTGGCACAATACTCCCTGCCTAGTAAAGACATGAGGTATAGGTCCAGCGGCACGCGGACTGTATTGATTCCGTGCGAATATGCTCTCGGATTCACTCACGGGCAATCAATTAGCTCCCAGACGACTAGCCTATACCATTCTAGCTAATCTTCCATAAATCTTCCCTGGGAGGTAGTGTATATGAGATGAGCTTCAAGTCTGAGAATGTACTGTGCCCCTGCAGATTGAGAATTCTCCCTTTCCAGAGGCTCAGTCATACACTGCAGCATGGCTGAGACTCTTCTTCATACTCATTCCTTCAATACCTGCCCCAATGCCACAGCAACCTCTTCTGCACTCTTCAGTCCCCCCGCTCCATCCACCTCAGAAACTCCCTCAAAGACCCTCGCAATCTCTCCAAACACCCTTGCCCTATCTCCCCAACCCCCTTCCTCCGCATGCGCCTTCCCAATCTCCTCCATTTCACCCACCCACCTCCCTGCCTTGCTCGTACACCCGACAATTCCCCTTTCAGCCCTATCCCTCACTCCAGGTACATAGTCATCCAAATGCCTCTGCAACTCAGGCAACACGCCAGCACGAGACGCAGTCGTATAGCTCTGCAACGCAAGCGCAGTGAAGCCCTTCGTCAATGTCGCAAAGGTGAGCTTCAGGGTACTGGCTGTGCCGATCGCATCGCCGAGGTACGTCGTATTAAGAGCCATAGCAAGAGAGTCACCGTGGACCGGGGCACTGGTGAGAGGGGGTCCCGAAAGAGGTATGCTAGGACGCTTCCAGACGTTTGCGTCTACGAGACTGCCGTCAGCCGGGGGAGTTGGTGGGTTGCCGATGATGCCACCGTCAATGAATACTATATCGGGTGCTTCTTTGTTGAAGATGGATGCGATGCTTCGAGCGGTGTGTGGCGAAATAGCGTTCAGATCGAGATAGTACAGTGGATGAGACTTGCCAGCGCGCAGACTGGGGTCTGATGCATACGCTGATACGAGACGTTGAGCGGTGGAAAGGGCGTCTGCGGGCGGCAAGATGGAGAGGACGTAATCAGATTGGGATATAACAGTAGCATCATTCTCGAGCGGTGTGATATTTGCGGACTGAGCGCGACGACGAGTTGCTTCGCTAGATATACGTCTGTAAGAGTCCTCTCACTGGAACGTCCGAGAGATGAAGAGTGCTCTACCTGCGGCCCTGAAGACTGGTCAACACTTTGTGGCCTTGCGTCTGTAGTACTTTTGCAATGCCAAGCCCCATGGCGCCAATTGAGATTACGGTTACGCTTGCCATTGCTATTGGAAAAATGTGAATAGCCCTGCTTTGGTGTTGAGATGAATCGCGGGGTACAAAATAGCTATGTGTTGGATGTCGAAAAGAGCTTTGCTCGACCAGGATATGGCAGCGATAGGTGTAATTATTGTGGATCCATCGATAACATCAACGTAGCCGCATGTCATGTTATACGTCAAGTGGTGGGCCCCATAGCTGGAGACGTGCTCTTCAAATGAGTCGTTCGTACGCAAACAGATAATGAGTACTATGGAGCGACAGTGTTGTGGCCGTAAACGAAGATGCCAGGCTGCGACGAGACCACCCAGCCAAGGGAATGCTAATAACATGCTCTTGTATGATATATGGGAGCACAAGGCCTATTATGGACCTTATAGCTTTCCAAAACGACTGTTTCCTGTGCTTGACACCGCCCAAGAACCACACGAACGCCACGCTTGAGCATCAAGCAAATGCAAAGTGACTAGAAACTATTATTACAATCGGAAGGATGGCATAACTCTTACTGATGCACTGCTTTCCCTGCATTCACAATTGTTTGCTCGTCGATGCGTTCTTCTGAGCCTGTAGGATACTCCACGCGCTTCCATGTCGTGATACGAGCATCAGCAGTATCAATCTCAAACACTCGAACGCGGCGGATGTATCCATCGTATCCACCATATCCTCCGAATCCACTGCCACCGGCGTAACACATCCAAAGTTGCGGGTTACGCTCCTGATCATGAGATATGGCGCAGTATTCGTTAGCGTGATCATGGCCACAACTCAACACACTGATACCCTGTTCAACCAGGGCATTCTTGAAATGCGAGTTGAATGCGGGTGCAGTGACCCCTTCTCTGACCATGCCAACTACCTCGTTCTCCGGATCAATATACTCAGGCAGCGGAATGTGGATAAAAGCCATGTCTAGATGAATATGCGTATAGTGCGTGTGCGTTTCAGACTTCGACAGTGCAGTAGCAGTGTCTTTGAACCATGAAATCTGATTTGGTTTGATCCAATCGTAGCCTTCAAAATTGCGCTCGTCCGGTGAATAGCCATGTGAGTCAACGAAGTAAAGTGTCAGTGCAGAGTGTCTTCCGCTGCCATGTACTAGGACCTCGACATAGTAGTTGCCAACACCATCAATATCACTAGGACCAGCCTCGCTGACCGAGTACGGTAGCGTTTCGGTGAGAGCCATCATAGAAGCGCGGTTGAGTGATCCTTCATCGTCGTGGTTTCCATAGATTGTTGCATAAGGTATTTGGCGCTTGATAACAAGTTCAGCAAATTTGAATATGGCCTAAGGTAAGTCAATGGACAGGTCATTTTCAAATATTCATGGTAGACTTACGGTCTGTGAATCTGGAGCAGTGTCGCCGTTTACTTGGTCTCCAGAAAAGACCACCATGTCAGGCTTTTCATCGTCCAGCATCTTTCCCACAAATTCCAACGTCCTGGGATCAGCTTCACACTTGCCTCCGTGGTAACCAGCCGGTTCTGGCTCTCTGCAGGCACCTACACCAGTGCTGAGATGGAGATCGGAGACTTGCAAAATCTTGAACTTGCCATCTTTGCGAATGCGTGGTTGTGCTGGCTCCATCTTATGTGGCTTCCCTCGTCGTATGCTCAGTTTAGGCTCTAGTCCGGCCGTTATACCGTCCATCGCTATTGGAATATCTTTTATTTCCCAGCCAGGTCGAGGTTCAACGGCATCGGTACCAAAGAGCACGTCAACGGCTGTCACGGCTCTTTTAGAGTCGGACTCATGCTTCTTAACCGACCGCTTGAGCCAGATCTGACCAGGCCTCAACTCCCACTGAGCACTACTTTCCTCTTTGTCGCCTAGTGTAGGGTTTGTTCGGCCCACCTTGACATCTATCACAACCTTATCATCCTCTGTCAGATCCTCTTCCCTACTCCTTCGAATATGAACGAAAGCTTTCGTGGGTAACCATCCTTTCTTGAGGTACAGGTCTTTCTCGATGCGATGCCATCGGTCCGGGTCCAGACGACAACTCGAGATTAGGTTCAGGCCTGAGCAAGACTCAACTGTAATGTCCGTGATAACAAGGCCAGGGTGGTGCGCAGGTAGGTGGCTATGTATTGATGCTGGTAGTACCGTATACCGTCGGTCTATGAAGAGGAGGACGAAGATGAAGACGGAAGCAAAGACTAGGAGCTGGATGCCCGTCCGGACCTTTGCGCCAGTTAGCAACATACTGTAATGATGAGAAGAATGTAACGTACGAGTCTCCGGGTCATATTGAGGTTGAAGGACGCGGGAGATCACTCGATGCGGCAGCCAAGCACCGTAGATGGTTGGGGTCGTCGCGTTTGCCAGGGGAGAGCTCTTGTGCGGGGAGGGGCGCGCATGGCAAGACTTTGAGAATGATCAGAATCAGATAGTAGAGCACAAGATAAAGCGGTCGTCTGCAGAAGCTGTCAAGAGACCAAGAAGCTAGGGACGGAGGGAGATTTTGTTGTGTGATTCGACGTCTGGGGGGAATTTGGCCGCAGATGGGTCTCCCCTGCATACTAAAAGACGATCGATAATAATCATAGTATAGCTCTGCCGGAATCCGGAGAGCAGTTGAGCTAAGAGGCTTAAGGCAGTCAGGCAGCAGAGTGTTCGCCTGAGGCATTATTATAACAAGCTAATTAGTGCTGCGGCTTCTGCTCCCTGAGCTACGGCAGCTAATTAATTCCTACGGAATCATAAAAAGATACAACGTTTTATCTAGCGCCCGCTAGCGCCCTCACCAAAACCACGACTAAAAATCCACCTTTTCCCTCATAATAAATTAACCACGACCTTCATCGAAAATTTATTCCGATAAATCGTGCTCCTGGCTGCGCCGAGTAATTCTATATACTTTTTATATCTTGCAGGCGCGGCGTCGCAGACGAGTTCTAGTTACAAGCCTCTGGTATCGCGTTTGGTAGCAGCTTGAAAATTCGCACGTCTTAGCCGTGGATTTTCCGGCGTGCCTTAGTGCCTTAGTGCCTTAGTGCCTTAGTGCCTTAAATTGAGACTGCACGCAGTCTGCCGGCCGCAGGCCACCCTAGTTAGTTATTAAAACTATATACATTTCGTCTCTGCGTATTTACTCCCGCAATTTTCATCCCAACACACCTTCACTCGCATGGCATTTACGTTGTGTACACGTCAATCTGGCGTGTACAGCTTCTGCCGTAATGTTTTGCCTCTGAACTTTCGCCGTCATGCCACTGGCGGCAATGTCTTTGCTGGTACGGTAACACATGCCTGCGAAGAGCTGCAGACTGGAGCATACAGCTAACTTGACCTATAGACGGTGACACCGTGCTTCTCAAATACTTTCGACGAGGACAAGATGATGCTGAAGTGCTCGTGAAGCTCCGCAAAGGCGGAGAAGTGCACACTGGTCGCGGTCGGACGTATCACAACGAACTGATAGGCAAAAGTCCTCGCGACCACCTTAAAAGCAGCAGTGGATCTCGCATTCGTGTGATGGAACCCACGCTGGCCGACTATTGCAGATTGACTCCGCGGCTCTGTACTCCTGTACGCTCCTTTCAAATTTCTCACACGGGCAGGACCTGTATTGACCACGTCTGATAGATATATCCTTGGAGTGCGAATACAATTGTAAGTGCGCTAGATATACATCTACCAGAGATTGGAGACAGCGAGACTCCGCCATTGGAAATACTAGAGTCTGGGACTGGTCACGGATCCTTGACTCTCCATCTGGCAAGAGCCATACACGGAGCAAATCCACCGCGCCCTCGGGTCCCGTCGAGCTCTACACCGGAGCGCAACATGGAAGATGCTACATACAATGGACATAGTGCTGACGATGTCTTTGAGCACACAATGTCAGAATGGAAGAAGAATAGGCGAGCAGTAATTCACACAGTTGACAACCGTCCGAACCACGCAAAGCGGGGAAAAGAGATAGTCCGAGGCTTCCGCCGAGGTTTATATGCTGATAACGTGGAGTTCCATGTAAGCGATGTGAGCTCGTGGATTACTCGGGAACAAGAGCGGAGGGAGTCTGAAGAACCATTTCTGTCACACGTCGTTCTCGACATGCCATCGGCACAAGCTCATTTATCAACCATTGCAAGGGCTCTACGTGTAGACGGCGTGCTTGCTATATTCAATCCCAGCATTACGCAAATTGGAGATTGCGAGAAGCGTATACGGCTGGAGGCACTCCCCTTGACCCAGGACCAAGTCATCGAACTTGTATCACCGCGGCCATGGGACCTCACGTGTACCGTGCCGAGAAGTATTAGACCGCGAGAATACCCATCGACGCAAACTTCGGCTGTCGAAACCGAGACCGTTGATGTGCCTACGGAGGAACTATGCACTGAGGAATCAGTGACCCCTGAAACTGAAAATGCTGGAGATCGCTCAGCACAATCGGTAATGAATGCCGAGCGCGTTGAACCAGACAGCGTTATGATTTGCCGACCAAAGTTCTATACCGGAAATACCGGCGGGGGATTCCTCGGGGTCTGGCGGCGGATGCACCTGAGGACAGTCGAGGAAATGACCAAGACACAGGGCTGATAACTATACGCCACGTAAGAGCAGGACGCTACGGATTATCTCACCGGTCATGAATCGAGGCATGAGTGAGGTTCCGGTATCCTTGAGGCTGGGATTATCTAGGAGGTTATAGTTACTCGGCGCCCGGTTCGACGACCAACCTTGAATACATCTCGTGCACAGCCTTGAAGAACTTGAGGCACGCAAAGTGACATTATAACGGGACTCGAGATTGATAGTTGACGTTGCCAGACCGGACTTGCTCTTCTGACGAACAATTTCACGTCCTGGGCAATATATAGATAACCTTCTAGTAAGGTGAATGCTCCAACAGGATTGAACTTCATCACCGGATCTGAGAGTCCGGGTGTACCACGTGGCATTGAATAGGCGAAGATCAACATCCGCAATAAATGCTGCTTCGAACATTTTCGGTCAAAACGTTAGGTAACAAGGGTGTTCTTCCATCCTCCTTCTTCGCTAAATATTTTGCCTACCTCTTTCGCGACTTGCAGAAGATGACGGTCATGATATCTGGACACGACCAGCGACAGTCCAATAGGCATGTCATTCGAGCCCTTGAACCCAGGGACATTTGCAACAGGTACATGCAAAGCCTGTTCCGCATTAGCTATCATGCGATATTGTCTCTATTTAGCACGCGTGAGAGGGGATAAAACGCACCGTCCACATCGCATTGAAAGCTGCACTGCCTGTACTCTTGAGGCCTACAGGCGCTTCGTCAGGAATGCTCGGCGTAAGCACAGCATCATACTCAGATGCGATAGCATCGAACTTTGGACGCAGTGTTGCAATCCTGTCAATTGCTTCGACATATTGCTTTCTAGTAATTTTCTCGTCATTTTCCGCTACTCCAATAAGAAAGGGGTCGAGCTTGTCTCCGTTAGCGTTGTATTCCGACAGGAAAGTTGTTCGTCCTTCGCCGAAGAGCAGTCTCTTGTTGGACTTGGGAAAATCATCAAACTCAGGGGGCAGTGTCAATTCAGTGAGCTTCGCACCATGCAGACTTAACAGCTCAAGCCCTCTCGCCAAAGCATCCTGCGTTCCTCTACCCGCTTGGTCCCATATCTCCGTCTTGCAGAATGCAATCTTGGCGCCCTTGATGTTGAACGTCTCAGGCGATGGCTCATCATCCTTGATCTCTAGGACGTCCGCGAGCATCTCTAAGTCTTCAACACTGCGGGCGAAGAAACCTAATGTGTCGAGCAATAGCGAGTAGACCTTGAGACCCTCACGCGATACAGAATTCCAGGTTGGCTTCAGGGCGTAAACGCCATTAAACGAGGCAGGTCTGATCATGCTTCCGCCTGTTTGAGTCCCTAGAGCGAGAGGGACTTGGAGGTCGGCAACGGCGGCTCCAGATCCTGACGATGAGCCTCCAGGTGTACGACCTGAGTCGTGTGGATTCGTAGTAGCAGGGCCTTCCGTGGTCGACGCGAACTCCGTCGTTGTTGTTTTTCCTATTGCAGGTATAAGTTTGAGTAGCATCGTAAAGGATGAAGGATTACCAAATATTAATGCTCCAGCATTGCGAAGAGTGATGACCGGCGCGGCATCGAGCTTTGGAGCATCGTCCTTGTAGATGGTCGAGCCCATTTGAGTGGGCATGTCTATGTTGCATTAGTCTTAGAGTGATACCAAATCATGCTGTCTCTGATCGAACCTTTAGTGTAAATGACATCTTTGACACCAATCGCAATCCCGTGCAATGGGCCTCTTCGTGCCTGCGGTACTTGATCGAGTTTTCGAGCTTCGTCTAACACCAAATCCTCATCAAAGTAAGCCCACGCTTTCACTGTAGCATCTCGAGCTTTCACTCGTGATATAAGCGATCGTGCATATTCCTCTACTGTTATATTGTTACTCCTCAGGAGGGATGCAACCTCAGCAGCCGTGAGTTTGTACAGATCCTGCATCACGTCAATGACTTATTATGGGAAGAAAGTAGCGAACTTTGAACGACGCCTGTCTGTTAAGAAATATATATACTTATTGGATGCCTAGTCAGGCTTATCTTAGAAAGCAAGGATGACTGTTGAGAGTTAAGTCGATCACCCGGGTATGGCGGGTGCTGGAATCCGCATTTACGTAAAGCCTCTCTAAAACTAACCCGTAGGGGGTAACCCTGAGCGCCGAATGTCTCCTACGGAACATATCCGTATGTCCTTTTAGGACCATTCGAACATGAATGAGTATTTACCTGGACGATTCCAGGACGTGTAGTGGTGGTAGGCGTGATTTCTGACTGTAATTCTACTGATCACGGATCGCTGTCCGATGCGTCGAACGCAATTCAGGCATGCCGATAAGGGTGGGTCTATGGTTCCATCCCTCGATGCAGTCAGAATCGAGCGAGATCACTGTTATATATCAATGTACGAGTATTAATCAAGTACACTGCCATGTGAGTGATGTGTGAGATGGGATGGAGCCGCGGAATTGCCTGAGGTGTCAAGGGGGTGAATCGGGACGCCAAGGTTAGACAAGACCCCGCCCGATCCACTATCCATGTCTCCATGCGCTCGTTCTTTAAGGAGCAAATCCCTCTCTATCGAAACAGAAACCCTCTAATCCAGACCGACCTCAACAACCATGGAGGCCAACAATGGCCTTGCACCTCCTCCTCTTCATCTCCCAGATGGTGCCTGGACCCAGGGCCCCGTATCCCTCGCCCGTGGCCGTTCTGCAAAGGACCCCAGCGCTCAGACAGCTACCTACACCGTTCATTCTCTAGAAGAGTTCGAAACAGCTCTACGCGCATACCTTGATGACCCACCTCCCGATCCCGAACATGCGGAGGGCCATTTTCATTTTTGGCTCGGTGCGAGCTTCCTCGTGCACCCCCCGGTGCTGTCACCCCAGGAGCGAGTAGCTCTCGAAGCTCATGCTCGTCGAGTTGAGCAGCAAGCAGCACAGCAACTCCAGGAGGAGGACCAGCAACAAGACCCAACAAACCAATCGGCATATCCTCCTACAAGCCTGGACGCGCACTATGCTGCTGCTGCTCAGGCACATCGTGCCGCACAGAGAGCAATATACGCACAGAATGCAAAGCTTGGCCCTCGACCCGATGGACGTACTATTGTAGCAAGATCAGAGGCTTGTGGTCTGCCATCGACCAAAATCTCCATGAGCATCTTAGAGGCCCTTCAACCTACGGCCGATCCCAAAGACCGTATGCGGAAGCAAAGAGCAATAGCGAAGGCCTGTATTGAAGCCATTCAGCGGGTAGATGGCTATCGGTACAGTTTCCACAACAATTGGAACAGCAGAGAGGACGACGCTTTCAGGTTTAGTTATTACTGTAACGATTCCCTGTTGAACAAAGATCGGGCCGCCAATGGCAAAGGTCAGAAAGTTGGTCAGTAGATCCACCTTACATGGTGAGACTATGCTAACGAATAAGCCTTAACAGGTAAGAGGGCCACAAAGCCCGTGTATGACTGCCGAGGTGTGCTTGCTGTCAAATTCTCGTCCGTGAAGCAGAGCTTGGAAGTCCACTATAAGCACATTCCGAAGCATAAGACGTATGAAGAGCGTGCCCCGCCACCCCGACGAGATTCCAAAAGAAGGAAGCGATTGGAGGCAGACGATCCAGACGCGTAAGCAGAAAGAACATTTGGGTTGTCTGGCACAGCTGACCTCATGAGCAGTGTACCTCAAAAGAAGCCGCGTCCGCCGCCTAAGGAGAAAGATCTCAGCGCCCTGCCGAAGAAGAAGAAGGACAAGGCAAATAAAGAACAGCCTGCAGACTCCATTGAAAGCTCTCTTAGGGCACAAAGTCTACAATCCTTGCTTGAGCTCATACGAGTTGACGGGCCCACCGGCAGTGGAACCAATGGTGACACTGCTCCAGCTGTTGATGCTGGGATACAAATTTTCCAGGCCACCCAAGCGAGTCCTTCCGGTACTCCAGATACTTCGCACCCTGCCAAGAGGCGACCGAGACTTGCCTGTGATCAGTGTAGGTCGAAGCGAACAGCATGTGATCATGCTCGACCAACTTGCAAGTCTTGCAACACTCGAAGTCTTCAATGTGTCTACAACGATATGGCAGACAAAGCCTCTCGACAGTCTCTACCTGCAACTGGACAGTTGGCTCAGGCACCCAGCAACAACATATCAACTCCAAACACAACATCAGCACCACCCGTCGTGCAGAAAGCTGCTGGCCCAACGCCATCGGATGACTTGATTTTGCAGAAGATGAAAGCTGACTTGGAAGCTGCTCAATTGCGTATTGCTCAGTTGGAAGCCGAAAAGAACACGAGTCCAACCGTGTCGACCCGCACCGTGACGCCGAATACTATGAATAATATCACTCCACAGCCCCGGCACCGCGAAGTACTTCATCAGCAATATCAGCAGATGCAGCAGAGTGAGTGGATATAGATTTCAAGTATTTTGTGAGGCTAATGATCACAGATAATATGCACCCTCGCCACGACTATCCTCGCCAGCCGGTGCAGCCACAGGGGCAAGCGCAACAAGCTCCAGCCCAACCTTCACCGCAGCAACATCAACATCAAACGCACCACATGCAGGCCTCACAGCAGACGCAGTGGCCCGCACCTACATGGAACTCATACCAGTATCCGCAGACGTCGCTGCAGGCTCCGAGACAGGATCAGTGGAACAGTCGAACTAATACTGGCAACCTGTTCCGCCAATAGAGTGCATGGTAGCTGCCACTCTCGACCCTTAATATGTAATTTTGTCAATGATGTTATGATTAGCGTACATTCTTCTGTTCCTTAGCGTCGTCTTGAGTAGTTACTGTTACGCGGACTTGTTGGAAAACTTTCGGGAATATGCGTTTGGATGGTATCATTCTACGGGTTCATGGTATTACACCATCTTATGACAGCGTTTGATTTGGCGGTACTTGTGTGGAGCTTCCTAGGCGTTTGCGGAGGCTGTCCGGACCACAGCGAGGCAACAGGTCGGAACACGATGTTGCTCACTCATTCATTCACACGGTTCTGAGTTACGAGATCAAAAGTTCTTAAAGTCATATAATCGTCACCTATCATCTCGTTTAGTCATTCATGTAAGCTGATTTGCCCACTTCCGGACACGACCTTCGCAAGTATACGCCCCATGAAAGTGAGGATCCTGCGTGAAGCCGGAAGACGGTATGAATGTGCGTAGGTAAGGTGGAATATCTAAGCAGTGAACTCGAGGTGAGATTGTACAAGACAAGTTCTTGGGTTGTTCATCGTCACGGTCTGGACCCGATTGGTGGCGCTGCCCACTTGTTCTTTGTTTCTTCCTCAGCTCAGCCTCACGTCCATGGACTCTACCTCGAATCATCCGCCAACTCGTCATCTTGCTCTGCGTTACGTGCGGACATAGTATGAGCGCAAGCATAAACTATGACATCCGTCTTCGGCGTCTCGGCTGGCGACTTCATAGCTACAGGCATCTTGATCAAGAACCTCATCCAAGCCTTGCGCGTGTCCGCCGCCTCCGAGCACCTCGAGCTCTGTTCAGAGCTCGACGGACTCAAGCGCGCGCTCCACGAGATCGAACATCTGAAATGTAGTCCTGAGCAGGAGCGAGATGTGAATGCTGTGAAGGTCGCAGCGCTCCGCTGCCGGCATCCTTTGGAGGACTTCGAGAAGAAGCTCGTCAAGTATTGGAGCATTGGGACACAGCCGACGAGTACGACTGGACGGATAGTCAGGATTGGTCGGAAGGTGCAGTGGAGTGTGAGTATGCAGGACGATGTGGATAGGCTTAGGGCAGTGATTGCGGCGCATGTTGGGAGCTTGAATATGCGTCTTCTGACGCTGGGACTGTGAGTTGCTTGTGCTAGTACTATTTTGCTACCGTGTATTGATTTGTGAAGGAATGCTATACTGTTGGAATCTAGCACTTTGGCTGATGCGTCCACGTCCTCGGATGCGCTCCAGCGGGAGATGCCTGCGATCCGCTCGGAGATTATCAACATGAGTGGAATGGTGTCAAAGAGCACCACAATGCTGTCGTCACTCAAAGACCTTGTAACTCTGTAACGGCCGTCGAGTCTGCCTGCTCAGGACTGACTGCTAACATTTGAGCAGGAATCTTGTGCCGCAACTCTCCCACTTGACTGATTTTGCACTCAAGATATGGACGACCAATTTGGATATCCTGGCAAAACTTTCGGATGTATCTAATCAGTTGGAGATAGATCTAAAGCACACTCATTTCCAGGCACAGTTCATATTCGAAGATGCATCGGGGAATATACTGCCTTTGCCGCCCGAGCTCGGATGGAGGGTACGTATGCCTGACTCCAGCCTCCAGACTCCAATTTTATGAACGAGACATGAATGAATGACCCTTACCATTTACCACAGGGCATGAACGCCATCGTAAAGGACCGCTACCTCACCGGCCCAGGCCATCGCAAAATCGCCGCTGGCGAGTACGAGCTATTCCACACACGAGACCGCAACCAGCTCATCACAAGCGATACATACCCTCTCCTGCCGCCCGGATCGCGCATAACGATGTCTCTGATCATCGGCCGCTACGAAGACTGGCAGTCGCGGAATTGCTCGCGGCCGGGCTGTGCCTCGCGTAGCTTTAGCCGGACGAGTGCTGGTGGATGGACATGGTGAGCGAGCTCCACGTCCCTACATGCCGTACCGTTCTGTCAGTCCGCAGTGTTCTAAGTTTCCGCAAACAGCGATGCGTGTGCGGTCTGGTTCGACAAATCGCACACCATGATCCCCCGACCGTTCCGCGAGCTGCACCTCGACGATCTCGACGACGTGTCCGCAAGCCTCCTCCACGCGCATCATGTTCCGGGGGGAGGCACAAAGCGCCGTGCGGCCGGGCTTGCCGAACGTCGTCTCACGGTGCGACAGATCTTCGATATGATCACCACACTGCGGGACGACCGGAAGTGGTTTAAGAATATCTCGGTTATCGAAAGTGATCTGTCGGATATCGAGGCGTATATCAGCTCGGCGACCGTGGCCGAGCATGGACGGCCGAAGAAAGTGCCGAGAGGAGCGCGGAGCTCGAAAGTGCGGGCGCCAAAAGGGGCGATTGAGCGAGACCGGGAACTCGTTAGCAAGGCTTATGCCGTTGTGAGCGATCTTATAGGTTATGATGTGCTTGATGAACAGATAGAGGATTATGACACGACGTTTGCTAATTTCGGCTTCGATTCTCTCCTGGCTGTCCAGCTGCCGTTGTCACTGGAAGAAGCGCTGGGGTATCGAGTCACGATAACACCATATGAGCTGATGAGCCAGGAGATGACGATGGCAAAATTCAAGACGCTAATCCTGAGTGCCAATCCGAAGGCCTGATGAAGTGGCTAGGGTTGGGCTTATACATAATACATAGGAGGTCAGGTACACACTCTAGAGTTCTGTCAGTTTTGGGAACGTAACGCATCGACACCGGGCTCGATCGAAGATGTACCGAATGCTTCTTTCTATAAAGCGACAATTGAACGCCTACCTAATGCCCCCCTTATGCCCCCCTTATGCCCCCCTTTTCCCCCTTTTCCCCCTCTCTCCCCACCTACCTCCCTCACTCATCCAAAACCCCCATAACCCCCTCCGAATCCCGCACCAACACCGCCGTCCGACTCAGACTCGCCCTGACCGGCTTCCGCGCACAGAAAATCTCCGTCAACTCCTCCAAAGTTCGCCTCCGCGTCTCCACAAAGAAGAAATAAATAAACACAAACTCCAGACTATCCCAGCCGATGAACAGGATATAGTACTTCCACCCGGCCCCCGTAAACGCAATCTCCGTCACAAAAGTATTGTAGAACCCGGCCAGATTGATCACGAAATTGTTGAACCCCATCCCCTTCGCCCTGCTCTCGTAGCGCAGACATTCCACCGGGTAGAGTGCTTGCAGTGGTGTGTAGCCGGCCGAGTACACGAATCCGAAGATGAAAATCAGGCCGATGATGGCCTTTGCCTGCGCAGGGCGCTGCACGGCAATCGTCCCGTCGTCAAGCGTAATGTACGCGCCCGTCACGCCGTCAGTCCGCAGATTCGTCGCGTTCAGCGCCGCAATGGCAGCAAACAGCACGACAATCACAAACGTCGACACCAGCAACTGCGGCCGCCGGCCCCAGCGATCCGTAAACACGGCCCCGACCATCGCGCCGCCAAACGACACAATGTTCTGCATCCCGTTGTACAGCAGCCGGATGTTATTCCCCTCGATCCCGGCGCCGCGCAGCATGGTCGGGTAGAAGTACGAGACCGGCCCGTTGCCAGACCACTGCCCGAAGACCGCCATCGCCGCGACAAGCAGCGTCCGGTAGCGCGTCTCCCGCGAGTCGAACAGCTCCCGGTAATCCCACCAGCGCTTGTCCGCGCCCGTGACGCTGATGTCCTCGACCATCTCCTTGTACTCGAGCTGCACGATCGGACTGTCGCGACAGCCCTCGCCGTGAAACCGCGCCATCACATCCAGCGCCTCCTCATGCCGATCGTTCGCAATCAGCCAGCGCGGCGTCTCGGGGAGGAACGGACTGCCCAGCAGCACGGCCCCGGAGAAGACAATCTGCAGCCAGATGGGCAGGCGCCAGGATGCGGTCCCGGGGAGTGTGGAGGTGGCAAAGGGGACAAAGGCGCCTGGGATGCCGCCGAGGAACCAGAATGTGTTGTAGATGCCTGTCATTGTGCCGCGGTAGCTCGGGTGGGCCATTTCGGAGACGTAGGCGGGCCCGGCGGAGGCGCAGATGGCGACGCCGAAGCCGAGGGTGAAGCGGCCGAGCATGAAGAGGGAGAGGTGGGTGCAGGTTGCCTGGATGGCGGTGCCGAGGACGATGACGGCGGAGCCGATGAACATGCCCCATTTGCGGCCTGCGGGATTGAGTGTCAGCCAGTGAAGTGGAATGTAATGGAGTTAGGGGGACGGGGGAAGTGGTGTTATATACCTCGAAAATCCGTCGCAGGCCCAGCAGCAAACGACCCAAGCAGGTTCCCGATCGTGTATATAGCATACACAATCCCCGTCGACGGCGTGCCCTTATCAATCGGGAAATTAAAGTAAACACGGTACTGCTCATACGTGTTTATCCCAGCCATCAACGAGCCATCATAGCCATTAATGCAGCTATTCAGCGTCGCCAGCAGCAGACACGCGTACAGCTATTCTCTCACACTTTTGCGTTAGTGACTTCCCCCCAGACGTACTATGGGTTTAAGTGAGAGACATAGTTACCGAAAACATATTCCGCGTCCACGGCGAGGGCTTCTGCCGCTCCGTCGCATCCGTCAGCGCGACATTATACGAGTGCGCGACCTTTGCATCCTCCTTTTCCCGCCCTTCCTCCTCCTCCTTCTCGCCCCCTGTCGCCGAACCCCTCGAGCGCAGCGCCCGCCGGCCCCGGTACAGCCCGCTCTTTATCGCAAACTCGCGCTCCTGGGACGACAGCGACATGACGGTAGCGGCAACATGGGACGGGTATCTCTCTCTCCTTCCGAGCAGTTTGTTTGCGGAAAGAAAAAAACAAAAGGAGAGGCTTTAGGATACTGTGTACAAACTTGAAGCCATGTAGATGTATGTAAGAGCGAGAATTGCGTGAGGGAGAGGAGGGTGGTAGTTGGCAGGCGCGTGTATATATGCTGGAGGGTAAGCTGAGCTGAGCTGAGCTGAGCTGACGGGTAGGTAGGTAGGTAGGTAGGTAGGTAGCAAGTAGGAGGTGCAGTGTTATATGTAAGCTGCGCACGCGAATGAGGAGGAATAGACGAGACGATGGCGGACAAGGGATGGATGGAATGGAATGGAATGGAGATTACCCCCGTCTTACAGCGCGCCACGGTTCTACAAAGGTCGGAAGATGGGGCCGGGGGGTTACAGTTGCGGTGGTGGGATGGTGCGTTGAGAATGGCATGCTGTGGTGTCTGGGTTGGAGTCGTGGTGCATGAGGACATGCGATTTGCGCTTTCGGTTGGTGTGAATGCATGGCATCTAATTCTCAGCCTTGTGGATATGAATGTAGATATAGATCCATATGAATCCATACAGACACGCAGCCCAAACACACCCCCCTCCCACCGCCCCAAACACTCATCCCAAAACCCACCAACAAGACAATCCGCACAGCCATCCAAGCAACACCTTCCATCAATCCTACATAGAGACCACAACCCCCCTCACCCCACATACACAAGCCACCCACTCCGTGTATCCCAAACGATTGAAAGCTTAGAAAAAAAAACATGGGTGCGTCGCATCCGGGCATTGGCAGCACGTAGCAGCCGTGCTGGGGAATATACGGGTATCATGGAATGGGTGGAACTGCCATGGCAATAATGGCATGGGAGGAAGATCACACACAGACACGCATACACACACGCATACATCCGGGAGGATGGATACAATGTGTCGCGTGTGGCATGGTAGAGGTCGTCCTCGACGGTCTGTCTGTTCATGCATGCATCGAATTGAATAAGATACAAGCACCAGTCCCCGCTCTCCCCCACAAAATCGCAAACTAGCCCAGCCAAGCAGCCAGGCCAGACGCGGGGACGCGAGCCGGGGGTGGGGGGCGGCGGCGGCGCTGTCAAAGCGGCTAAAGCGGGCCGCGATCCATCGTTCTATTTAATTGACATCACCATCAACGTTAGAACAATTATCATCCCTGGGTAATTAACAATTAGCTCTTCTATTCCGACTGCTTTAAGCTCGATGGTTAATACCGTTTTCTTTATTACTACGACCGCACATAGTACATAGCACGAACGTCATCGTCGTTCCTCTTCTTCCTTTCCCTTCTTCCTCTCCCTCTTCCTTCCTCTCCCTCTTTCTTTCTCCTTCCTCTAATTATAATCTAGGCCCTATGACATGATAGAATAGGACACGACATGATAGGACACGACATGGCACGACACGATATCTCACGCCCAACCACGACACGATATACCACGCCCTACCACGACACGATATACCTCCCAGGAACTACGAAAGTAGGCTAGGTAGGCACTGTAGGCTAGGTACATACATCTATATCCTAGCACATCTTATACCCAAGCACAGCTTATCCATAGCTTACCGCCCAGCTCTATAAGAATCTATACCTAGGCAAGCACGAACATCTAATTTCAATCTAATCTAATCTAACTTGAATCTAATCTACCGTATATCTAACTTACCGTATACTCAATACACTGTATATCTACTTACCGTATATCTACTTACCGTACTTCTACTTACCGTATATCCATTGGCCGTATATCTAACTTACCGTATATCTACGTACCGTATATCTACTTACCGTATATCCATTGGCCGTATATCTACGTATTGTATATCTAATCCACGGATATCCGATCTGCCGTATGTCCACATCCATCTATATCCACATCCACATCCACATCCACATCTATAATCCACGGATATAGAATGGCTAAGATAGGGATAAAAGCGGGGTAACGACCATTCGTTTACTTGTTTGTTTGTTTATCCATCCATTCATTCATTCATTCATTCATTCATTCATTCATTCATTCATCCATTCATCCATCCATTCATCCAGCCATTTTAATCCTTGTATTCATCCATCCATTCATTTTCATTCCCATCACTTGAAACCTGAGCCTCGAACCTTGAGCCTCGAAGCATGAAACTTGACACTCGAGCCTTGAAACTTGAGCCTTGAGCTTTGAGCTTTGAGCTTCGAATTGTCGAGTTGTTCCTCGAATCGTTCTTCGAATCGTTCCTCGAATCGTTCCTCGAATCGTTCCTCGGATTGTTCCTTGCACACTACACTACACCACTACCATACCACTACCATCGCCACCACCACCACAATGCCACCACCGCCGCCATTGAGCTGGCTTGATCTGGTCTGAACTGGTCCAATTTGGTCTGATCTGATCTGGTCTCGTCTGGTCCAATCTGGTCTAATCTGGTCTGGTCTAATCTGATCTGACCTGGTTTCGTCTGGTCTCGTCTGGTCTGGTCTGGTCTGGTCTGGTCTGGTCTGGTCTGGTCTGGTCTGGTCTGATCTGACAGGACGAGACGGGACGGGACGTGACGTACAATATGGAGTATACTGGTTACTGGTTGCTGGTTGCTGGTGACTGGTTACTGGTCGCTGGTTGCTGGTTGCTGGTTACTGCTCGCTGGTCGCTGGTCGCTGGTTACTGGTTGAGCATGCAAAACTGAGAGGATTAGGGCGTTGACTAATACGGGAGATTGGTATATATATATAAATATGCATCACTGACTGTGGCGGAGAGGCTTGGTATATATCGGACATGAGCTGGGACTATTCCATTGCGTTCCAATTCCAATTCCAATTCCATTTCCATCCTAATCCACTCCATTCCAATCCACTCCACTCCAATCCACTCCACTCCAATCCACTCCGTCATCACAATCCTCGGAAACTCCCACGACCTCCCTCTACACCTCCCTTCCCCCTCCCTCCATCCCCAATCCCTCCTCCTACACATCACAATCCCAACCCCTCACCCTCTCACCCCCTCTCCCCCCAAACCCACGCCCAATCCGTCTGTCCCAGCCCCTGCCCCCCCTCCCCAGCCCACCGAACAACAGCCCAACAAACCGCACCAACAACGCCCACGCCAAAAACCACCATGCCCCCTCTCACAACCCCATCCCCAACATCACAAAGCCCCAGGGGATCTCTGGGATCAACGCTGACACCAGCCCAGTTGACATCCCTCCCGCTCAGACCACCAGCGCCTCCGCCATGCCTCACGACGGCCCATTCGGCGTCCTTTGGCAGAGGCAGACTCTTCGCGTACGAGCCCTCGCGCGGAGGTGAGGATGCTGAGGATGAAGTGGGGCGACCGGTCAGCGCGGTGGGCATGACGCGGCCGTTGCGTACCTCTTCGAGATGCCATCTGGTGCGCTTGCCGTGCTCGAAGAAATTAAAGCGTTCGCGTTCGTTGCGGAGCGAGCGTTGGAGGTCGGTGGCCCACTTGGCCATGGATATCCGGGACAGGCGTTCCTCTTCCGCGGCGGTGTGTTGGCTGAAGCGTGTGAGAGCAAAGGTATTGGTTAGTGGAGATGGAAGGTTGTCGGAATGTATGGAACCCGGGTACGAGTAAAACGGCGATGTGCCGCATGGAACAAGGACCTCGGAAGCTCGAGGCGATGATAGGAGTGACGATGCCGCTGATGTCTGGCAGGCACCGAGAGCTGAAAACGGTGTATGTATGGTATGAGGCGAGGAATCGGGTGATGATATGCCGGTAGAAGGTATCTTGGATTGTGCCAATTTGACATACGCTTTATGCCATGAAATGTACCTCTTGGCGGATAGATGTCGGAGCCAGGCCATGTTCTCAGGATCAAAGAGCTGCATGGCAAGAGATGAGAGGTCGGATTGAAGAAGGGGTTGGATGTAGTCAGAGGACATGAGAAGCGAGGCGTCCATGTTTTCGGTGTCGGGAGCAGTCTTGCATGATATGGCGAATGGCGCGTTTGAGTCAGTGTACCCAGTCTGCTCCGCACTCTGATCCAGACATGCAGTGGTCTCGGTGACAGTATTGGTTCGTGCCTTTGGTCGATTGGCAATATCCTTAGCGGTCTTGATAAACCGTAATGGAGGTTGGCCACGGGATACGAGACAGGCCATGAGCCTGTCCTTGAGCTCTTTCATCGCAGTCATGTCGAGTTCGTCCGCGTGCCCGATCAGCGGAAGGACATTCGTAATTTCTGAGAGACGCAGGAACTCCTGGACTTGGGTTTCAATGTCATGATCTAACAGCAGGTCAGCTGTGACACGCTTGGGACGCGCACATAGCCACTTACGATGTGAGAATACGAAGAGTACCAGGTCCACCTGAGTGCCTCCACTCCCACTCAGCATCGCAAGTACCTCCGAATCCGACGCCGCCGTACCGGTCCCTTCATTCCTCAAATAGGCATCCTCCACGCACCTCACTATTCCTTCCCTCCTCTCGTTCACTGGCCCTGCGTCAAGGCCTGGGGTATCGATAAAACACAAGTTTCGCTCCAGAACGGAATCACTCATACTCTTCCTCCGCTGTTGCAACGTATGATTCTCCAACGACTCCGACCACCACGATGGGTAAGTCTTGGTACTGGCGTACGTTTCCATGACGATGTTTCCAACGCTCTTCCTCCTCCCACCACTTTTCCTCCGGCCCTCTACCGTTCGAGTATGTGAGGCTACGACGGGTGGGTCCACGTGGACGATGTCCTCGCACGACTGCACGAGCGATCTTATCAACGCCGTCTTTCCCACCCCGCTGAAGCCGGCAACAAGGACCTTGAGCCGGCCCATCTCTTTCCCCCGAGCCGTGAAAGGCCGTCGTTTAGGCATCTGTATGCTGGGCATAACAAGCTGAGGCATACTGCCACATCGCTCCCCGTTGTGATGACCATTGTATCGCCTGTCCTCTTCCTCTTCCTCGTCACTGGACATGATCGCCTGGCTCGTCGTATCGTCCGTCACAGAATCTTCGTCGGACAGGCGGAGGGACTTCATGGACAGCGATTTCGGCGTGTCTGGTATTGTGGACCGGGAAGCTGGGGAGTCGAGGATGTTGGGAGAATGTCCTCTCGAGTCTTTTGTGCCACTGCTGCAAGCTCCTCGAGCACACCCGTCTCCAGACGTATCATCCAGCGCCTTCCCTTCCTCCACAACACCCCGATTTAGCTCCTGATCCATCTGCTCCTCAGTTCGCAGGAAGAAAGTCATAGTACCGTTCGGTCCAGGGTTGGTAATAGGCGTGAGGTCTGACGTTGCCGTTGCAGTCGTCGCACCAGACTTACTGCGGGATCGTAGAGCCGGTCGGTCAAAGGCGACAGCGGCCTCGACCTCGACCCCGGCCGGCGGTCGCATTTTTGGTGGAATATATGTGTGTCGGGAGAGGGTGCGTGTAGTAGAAAGCTAGTATGTATGTGTATATGTACGCCGCTTTCGTCTTTTCGTCAAAAAGAATCAAAGGTAAACGAACGTGTCACAATGTTGGAGTGGACCTCTACTTGACAACAGCCCGGAGGTAGGTAAGTAGGTAGCCCGGGCGGCGGGGTACTTGAGCATGGACCACCACATCGACGTCAGTTCAAGGGGCAAGGCCCCTTGGAGTGCTGTGAATGCTATGATGCTTCACCATGCCGCCCTTTTCTTTCAGGTTAACATGCTTTGGATTGACCTTGGCTAAATGTCACTGCAGGTGCAACAACTTATCAGTGAAGGTGTTTCGCCAGGACATTAAGCAAGACAGCAGCGTAAAAGGTAACTTTTTGTAAACATCTAGAGATTTCCATCCCTAGGAAGCGCAGCATGTGACTGAGATGCCTCCTCTATCATACAGCTCTAGCCAATTCTGCCCTCTCCTCCCAGGAATTAGCCCGCTTTCATAGTTGTAGTAAGTTTCCTGTTACTCCGTCTCCGTTCCGTCATTTTCTCAGGTGTTGTAGGACACGACGCACAAGCGACCTCCATTCGAATCTCCTTGAAGCAGCAAGCCCCTAAACGAGAAATCCACAGCCATCTTGAGCCCTCGCGGAAAGATATAAACGAAGATACATGATGCTGAAATTACAGGCAGAAGGGAAGGGGAAAGGTGTAAACACAAAAGCCAACGCTATGCAGCAAATTGAACAACAGAGGGGCTTTGAAACTAAAGGGGTACGGGGCATTGGGGTTACCCGTAGACGCGCCGAGAACGAAAGCTTAACTTTTTCCACCATGTCCGGGGTGTGTTTCCACTATTGCGCTAAGTGTAGTAGGTAAAGTACAGGCGTAAGTTCGTGACATCAAGAATGGGTTTGGGTGCTCATTTTTTCAATTTTAAGGTGGCGTACGCTTCCGTTGGTGAATCAAGAACGGTCGAAGAGGGGGGGGGGAGGCGTTGGCGAACTGCAGAATTCGAGTGATGAGTCTAGGCAGCCTGGCTGTTTCCGCGTCCACGAGGAGTGGAAGTGCCACCACGTCCTCGAGGGTTGAACCCGCCCCGGCCACCATCCTGCTTGAAGCCTCCACGGCCTTGGCCAGCTGGGCGGGCATCACCGCGGCCGCCACGCTGGGCACCACCACGCGGGAACGAGTTTCCGAAGTTACCCTGGGCAGCGCGAACGCGACGCTCTTCGACGAAGACGGAATCCTCGCCAATTTTATGTGGGTTGGCAGCTACAGCTGACTGGAAGCCAGCACGGGTGGCAAAATCGACAAAAGCGCAATTCTATAAACTATCGTTAGCTTCATCAAGAGGTCAGGGGCTTCACGTCTTACCTTGCCACGGCTAATGTCCAGATAGGTGATCTCACCGTGCTTCTGGAGTGCTGCCTTCAGTTCATCATCCTTGACGCCCTCGAATACGTTTTTGATGTAGGCGCGCGTGGTTTGTTCCTCTGCTTGGGGCTGGCCAATGGACCGAGATTGGCGCTTGCTATGGTCGGCGCCGGCCGTCTGCCATCCAGCGGCAGAGTCGGCGCCGCTGGTGGCGGGAGAGGGGTCTCGCTGAACTTGCGCTGCGGCCGGAGCGGATGGAGCAGAGGGTGGAGCTGTGTTGGCAGCGGGCTGTGGCGCCGAAGCCGCTGTAGATTTCGATGCGGCAGATGTGGATCCCGAGGCAGCTCCGGGCATCTGAGGCATGGCGACTCGGTTCGCAGCAGCAGCGAGACTGGCCCAGGACTTGGGAACAGCAGGCTTCGCAGGAGTAGGGGCCGGGGCCGGGGTAGCCTTTGGTTGCACTGGAGTCGGCTCGGGATCTTTGGGCTTCTCGGGCTGCGTTACATCTTCTTCTTCCTCGACGGCGGCAGCGGCAGCCTCTTCTGATGGCTTCTCTTCAGTAGAGGTGACAGCAGCAGCAACGGGGGCATCTTCAGCGACGTCGATCTCAGCGTTATCAGGAGCTGCAGTGCCGTTGACAGCAGCTGGCGGAGCAGACACCTCAGGCTCAGCATTTGCGTCGGTCGCAGAAGCTTGCTCGTCATCCTCATCAAGCTTGTGTGCCGTCGCCTCATCGTTGTTACTCAATGATTCGGCCGGAGTATCGTTGGCGGTGGACACCGCTTCAGTGGTGCCTGCGGCTTCGGCGTGGGATGCATCTTCTGCCTCAACCTCAGCATCCTCATCGGAGATGTAACGGAAGATGTCATTCAGGACAAAGTAACCATTCGTCTGCGCGGCAAGTACAAAGGTCTGAACGAACTTCTTGTGCGGTTGTTGCTTGTTGGAGATTTCGCCGATGACTTGGATTACTATGTGTTGATCGGAGCCCTGAGAGTCGACATTGGTAATTCTGACCTTACAGTCTTGGAATTCGAGCTCCTTGATGCGTTCGTTGATGGTCTGTCGAGGGTTGGGGTTAGACATGATCAAGCTAGAGAAGCAGAACCGATATACAATAGTACCTTTTGACCGATGCAGACTGCAACCTTCTCCTCTTCAGTACCAGAGACGAATTGGGAGCGTTTGTTGTAGAAGAGCTGAAGACGGATTAGCAAGCTTTTGACATCATGATCCATATTATCCGCTACTCACGAAAAGCTTCTCCGGGCTTCGGCTAAGGGTGGTGTAGTATTGCTCGACAAAGTACCAGCCGACCTCATCCTTGGGAATGTCGCTGCCACCCGATGAAGATTGAGAGGAGACGCCGTCTTTCTCTGTGCTTCCGTAGTTTTGCTGATGAGGTGCGAAGTTGCCGTTTGTAATCTGTTCGGTAGCCATGATTCCGATGCGGTAAAGGTGATGTGGAGTCTTGAACGAAACAGCGATGTGGAAAGTGGGCAGGCAAGGAAGGGTGACGAAAGACTGTCTGAATAGATGAGGGCGTCTAAATGAGACAGATGTCTAGTACGTACGCATGTCAGCTTTGTTTGAGGACCTCAAAGCTTACAACGACGTACTCGGAGATCGCGACTGGGAAGATTCAAAGGTCGAGGTCAAGCTGGGCAAGTAAAGTCGGGGGAGCTTTGCTTGGTAGAGAGGAAACGGAGTGTGCGTGGGCGGTATTATGGATGTGATGGAGAAGTGTATAGAAGAGACACGATAAGATCTAAGGTCAATTCGCGCGTAGAGAGATGGAGAGAGGAAGTCAGACGTGTCTTGATGCTGAGCAAAGGTTGTGGGGAGAACGACAATGAATCGAATTCTATCCTAGCCGGAAAAATGAGTGGCGACTAGGGAGCAGGCACCCTAGCTCCCGCAACTAATACCGCCGACCGAGCATATAAGATATATCCACGAGCGACAATTGGGCATGCAACATGTATGTGTCGTGAATTTTACATCTGAGTACGAACTATCCACGCAACTATCGTCATGACATGAGTCTGCTGTCCGGTCAATTTTTATACATCAAAGCTGGCATGAGCGCCTGCTCCTAATCACCAAATATTTTTCTGCCAAACTCGTGCCTCAGGCGCCAATTAGAGACCGGAATTGGCGGTAAACCTCACCATTCACAGCATCCGTCAACCAGCATTCCACTGTTTCAGGATCTACGCCATGAAAGCAAATCACACACAACGTTAGGTACTGAGCTCATTTTTCCTTGTAACTGTTGGTGTTGTCACCGTTAACAACCGATGCGCCGCGCTTAATTCTCCTTCACAGGCAGTGGCGAGGAGAGCGTCTCCAAGTGTTCACGGTGCCAGTACAGTATATACAGCGTGCGGACATGTCTGCATGAGTTAATGTATAGAATATATATGACGATATCATCTGCCAAGATAATGATGCTTTATACTCGTCAACGTGACTTCATCCCTTCCACCCTTGCAAACGTTCCAAGCATGGTATCTCCCCCCCTTTTCATTCGTCCCGCCCTTTAGCAAACCAGCCCCTGAGCCCAACTCCCACGGCACCCACGGCAAGAGCGGCATTGAAAACCGCCATCATCCAGAACGGCCCTCCCTTGGCGACATCGTCAAAGAGCCAGCCACCCAACTTCGTCAACAAAAGGATCGCAGCGCCGCCAAGTAAGCTGTATATGCCTGCTATACTGCCTTTGAGATGGGTGCGTGAGGTGGGCTCCGGATCATATGAGGGAGGATCGGTTGGTAGCAGGGGCGCAGCTTCAAAGTCTCTTGAGTTCCTGGCAGTAGTCAGTGAGGCGCCGTTGGGATTGGCACCTGAACTTGAAGGTCGGGTATGGGAGGCTGAGTTTGGGTATGAAGGGGCTTCGCGATATCCGTTGACATCGTTCGAACTGTTTGATCGTGCGCCACCTGCTTCTCCATGTATGCCTCTACCTAGCAATCCTAGACTACAGACTATCGCTCCAATCTGGCTGATACCCAAGAGTGCGGCAACGAAGTAGATGCCGCCTGAGCCGTCTTCACTCTTGGGGTCGGGCGATTTGACAAGCGCAAATGAGACATAACCCGCAATGCCAGTCATTGAGGAGACCAGTAGTGGTATATTGAACCGGTTCGAATACTTGGCCGAGAAGTAGCCAAAGATTGGTGCGCAGATAAGCGCAACCAGCTGGGACGAGCCAGTCAGAGTGGCAGCCAGGATGTATGCTCGGCGACAGTTGTCCTTCAAGTCTGGCGGTAGGGCCTCGGGGGGTGTGTCTGATGGGGGACATTTCCCCGTCGAGATGAAGTATGCATTGCAAAACAGAGGTATGAATAATGAGATGGCGACAGACGAGGCGCGCGCAACAAACCCGCCAAGATAGCCTAGTCCAATGTTTCGATCTTGAAAGCCAAGTCGTAGGGCTGACAGGAGTTGTTGTGCGTACGACAACACGGGCGGCGCGCTGATGCTTGAGTGTGAGTATATATCGTCTTTGTGAGTCTTGTGTTGCCAGATCTTTCGCATTGATTTCGTGTCCTCACCCGGCAGGTGCCTCAAGCCAATAAAGCAACCAATCGCGACAGCGAAAGCCACCGCCCCGACTACGTAGAAGGAGTCCGCGACTGCTTCCGCTCTTGACTTGCCAGCCTCTTGAAATGTTGTAGGGAGTGGTAAAAACAGTAGCAATGCGATGAGGGCTCCACAGCCAGTGAACATGCCCACGAGTCCAGCCAGTCGCGAAGTCGATGCGCCGCTATCATTATCGGACTGACTCGGTGTTGAGGGGGACGTACTCCGCCATCTCGCTGGTGTTATCGTGAGTTCAGACGATATCGAGGGAGTAACGTTGTGACGCTGGGCGGGTGATCGCGAGTGCGAACGTGTGTCCGGCGTGGGCTGGACGATGTACGTCATGCTTGGAAGGATCGCAGTAACCATTGTAGCTCTGCGCATTATGATATGAGCATCACTCGACTGTACCAGAACTGCAGTACTTACGTTGCGGCACCTCCCAGGCTGAAGAATATCCTCGCAAGAAGCAATTGCGGGTAGACATTCTTCGCCTGCACGAGCACGTACAGACTGCATCCGACAATCGCATAGCCCATCACTGCGACCGCCCTCACGCCTATACGGTCGCTCAATACGCCCCATAGAGGACAAGCGACTAGTGCGACGAGCTCGTCGGCGAACCCAAGTGTGCCCACGGCATTGCCGACTTTTTCGCGGTCCCCAATCCGCTCGGTGATGACGAAGCTGATGGATGCGTTGAGGAAGACGAGGAATGATATGCTGAATAGAGCGATACACAAAAGATAGGTAAGAACCTGTGTGCGGCTCGCGGTGAAGGATATTGCTAGCATGGTGCTACCAATGAAGGGGGGGGGGGGGGTTTGCGGCTTAGCAGGTGGGTATTTGTGCGTTGCGGACGTAAAGGCAAGATGATGGAGGCCGTAGCATCTTCCAAGTGAGCATGCGACAAAACGATAGGATGTGGCCGAGTGTTGATGAAGAGTTGTCTGTTCCGACGAGCGGACGTTCCCACTTGCGCGCGAAGCCTTGCTTCAGGAACAATGGAAAGGTGACGTGACTCGTGCAGACCCAATTTTCAAGGAAGTGCCTGGGCGGAGCTTTGCTATGGATCAAGAGAGCTACGTACTGTCCTTTGCCTAATCCGTGCTTAGACTGCTTCTAAGATTAGCTTTGTTGACATTAATCACTCTAGCGTAGTAGCGTCGAATCTAGAGAAATGCCGCTAGAATCTGTCTATGATTCAGGGAATGGTTGGTTGTAGCTGAAGGCACGAGGTTGACAAAGATTATAAAGAGCTACAATACAATTACGATTATACTATGAACGCAGACACAAACGCGAAACAGCCGGGTAGAGTCGGCATACTGATGATATGTATGTACATTATGTGCTGCTGTTCCAACCCTCCAAGCCGCCACGTGAATCTTGTTCTCATTTTCTCATTTTCACGTTTTTTCCCCCTCCTCATTTCTCATTTTCTCGTTTTTTTCACATCCTCGTTTTCTCGTTTTCCCATTTTTTCGTTTTCCCATTTTTGGTCAAGCCAACGCGATATAAAGACAAAAGAGGAGCTGCAGTCGAATTTATATCTCCAAGGAGGTGTGTATGTTCAAAGCAGCTCATCGTCGAAAGTACTTTTTTTTTCTTTTTCGTTCCTTCTCAAAACAAGGTGTTGTTGTATGTGGCAAGGTGCTGTACAGATTAATACTGCTCGTAGGCGGGCTCTTTTCCTTTCCTCTCTGAGGTGCCGCTGCTAATCATACGGCCAATCCTGCTCAGTGTGGAGCGGAGATGGGCTCTCCTCGAGTCTTCTGTACCAGGCCGCTGGATGGGACCATACGACCGGGCAGGAGACGTGAAAGGGTCGGTATTGGCAGGCGATGCACGCGAGACAGTCTCGTCACCGTCCATTGGACTGACGCTCTGGTGGCGAGCATAGCCGGCGTTCCTGGATTGCTGCTGCTGTGACGTGGACGAGGACCATGGACTGGGTCGTGGTAGGGTCGCCTGAATTCGTTCAGCGGCCATGCTGAACGTAAATTCTGATGAAGGGGCTTGCAAGTGCCACGGGACAAGCGGCCGATCATTGACTCCGCCAGGCCCGCCCGCAGAGATGAAAGTCTGCGCGCAAAAGTCCTGGCTGGTCGCGCGGACATGGCGACTTGGTCCGCTTTCGGAGCTTTGAGGCGATAACTGACTGCCCAAGGCTGGTTCCGTCTGCGAGCGGGGAAGAGGAGTGCCCGAGGACGGAATTGGAGGCAGGGGTTTTGTGTATTTGTGACCGAGACCTGGAATGACAGCGGTGAATGGCATAGGGCTGATGTCTCTGAAGGATGATGTTCCGTCTGGATACGTCTGGGTTGGGCCGTAATATCGGACTGCTGCTGGCTGGGGAGGATCGTGGCGTGGAGTGAAGAGGCCCGCTTCAGGGTTGAAAGTCTGGCTGGGAGGCGATACACTGTTCGAGGAGTTGTTGCATAGAGACGTGGAATGCTGAGCGTGGCTACGTGGCTTGGTTGGAGTTACGGGCATAGACTGATGGGCATCGCTGCTGCCCCAGGGCCAGGGATTGGTGGCAGGTAGGCATCCTGATGGCCTGGGGGGATAGGGCAGCCCAGGAGGGGGCTTCGGACAAGACTGTGCAATGGCTGTAGTTGGCGTGGCTGGCAGTCCAGGGCAAGACTGTGCAATGGCTGTAGTCGGCGTGGCTGGCAGTCCAGGGCAAGACTGTGCAATAGCTGCAGTCGGCGTGGCTGGCAGTCCAGGACAAGACTGTGCAATAGCTGCAGTCGGCGTGGCTGGCAGTCCCGGAGGCGGTTTGATTGAGTATACCTGGAGAGGCTCCGCATTCTGAACGCCCCTTTTGCCGTAGTCCGGATCGAGTTGACAGGGGCAGGGAAGACGACGAGACTCAAAGTCGCGATTGGTACAGCTCTTGAGACAGATGCATCTGCTGCGTGGATCTTTCCTGCATTGACATTTCAGGTCTTGGCTCGTCGATTTGGGAGCAGTCAAGCGGGATGGCGAAGTGCGGGACGGCGAAATGTGGGATGGCAAAGTGCGGGATGGCAAAGTGCGGGATGGCAAAGTGCGGGATGGCAAAGGGCGGGATGTGTCGGTGGTAGAGTCGGTCGAGTTTGTTGAACTGTGTGTGCTGCCGTCGTGCATCTTGTACACGGCCTTGGGGATGGTCTGACGACGAAGAAATTCACGTAGCTTATCAGCGACTTCCGCGTGCTGGGAGGAGGAATGTCCGGCATGTTGGATGCTTGTCTGGACATGTTCTCCGCCATCTGACTGCTGTCGGGCTTTTTCTCGCGTGATGTAGCGATTGATCTCGATGGCAATCATTGCTGGCGCCAGCTTGTTCATCTCAATCAGCCCATCCTGCGAGAGCACATGGCGCAAAAGACGGACGGGACCGCGCAACGATTCGACGGCCCTTAGACTGTCGGTGAAAGTTTGAGAGTTTGAGGGATCCGTGGATGGAGTGGCTTCTGAGAGCAGGCCGGTGAGGTACTGGTTGATCTTGACGTGCATTTGCAATGCGGCTATCAAGTCCTGTTTCATGAGAAGTAGCCAGAGACCATGGAGTCGGGTGACGAGATCCTGAACGGTGCCAACGTCAGGCCAGATGCTAAGATTGGGCCAGGCGACCATTGTTTCGAGGGATATGAAGCCGCTCCTGAGTCGGAGATGCAGCTCGTCGTAGAGTTGACGTATGCTGGAGCAGGTTGCGTAGAACAGGTAGTCGAACTCGTGGAGAGGACGGCGTCGGTAGTTCTCCAGACCCAAGGCTGGCCTCTCAGACGTTGCTGGGACCAATGGGCTGAGGGGTCTATCGAGCGAACTGAGTATCCAAGAGAGCTGGGAATTGGTCGCCTGGACATGGCTACCGAAGAAAGGCTGTATGATGTGGTCAGCTTCAACTGTTTTCTCCCTTGATACTGCGAGATCCAGCTAGACTTACAGGCTGTCTCTCTAGTGACAGACACGAGACGCAGTCGTTGACGTGCTGAGCAGCGTGCCAGATGGATGCTTGCGCGTTCGATTCGCTCATCTGAGGACGTGTATAATCATGACAGAAGGGAACGATGCGCAGTGGTTCTAGATGCGTTGACAGGATTGGATTAGTGGCACCAGAGCCAGCAGTACCCGAGCCAGCAGTACCCGAGCCAGCAGGCGCATCGCCGTTTGGGAGGGTAGAGGTGGGGGGACGGTGCGAACCACTCATGGTGATTGATGGAGAGCGGTTCGGGTAGGGTTGATTGGTAGGAGGATATAGTGTGTGTGGAAGATGTGAGGGCTGTTTTCAGGGATGAATGTGTGTGAAGGGAAAAGGGATGCGGAGACAGGAACAGGGAAAAATGAAAGAAGGAGAGCAATGGGGAGACATTGTGTCCGCTCTTAAGTACACACAAGGCGGGCGGACAGGCCGGGCAGCGAATAAATTTTTTTCTATTGTTGTAGTGAATCCATGGTAGCATGACGCGCTCTGAACGGAGACGCGCTCTGAAGGACCAAGCGCAGGTGAAGATGCTTCTACGCTCTGAACAGCGCCCCCCCAAACAGCTTCAGCAACTTCTGTCAGGGCGGGCTCGAGGGCGTCGCGCACCTCCTTTTCCGGAGGGGACGGATAGCTAGTCGTCTAGTTTACTGAAGTTTCCACGGATCTGTGTGTATGGAGGAGGGTCGAGGAGAAGAAAAGTTTGCAAGCAGTGGGTGTTCTGGAGTGGTAACTGGATTGGCAACACACGGGCATGTTCCTGCCATGTCTGCCCTGATCATCCGGTTCGTCTGTAGATTGGGACATTTCAAGATTCCAGGCTGCAGCACATTGTTCGAGGGATGCAAAGGTTTGTTAGGTGACGTAGGCGAAGTGGTTCCCCATGGATGAAGGAAATGGATGGGGTTTAGGTAGCTTGGCATGAACTGGAATGGGACTAAAGGTCAGCCAAGCTAGGAAGGAGCAGAAATCAGAAATCAGAATTCAGCGCAACAGAAATTCCATTGATACGTGCATTCTCCCTCCTTACAGATTTCACTACGGCGCCCTTTAATGCGTGGTCTACTTGCTGCCAACGCTCAGGATTTGAACGTGATCCAAAGCTCTTTCAGCTCACAAAAAGGTAAACAGTGCCATGATATATCAGACGTATGCTGATTTTATAAAAAAAAACAAAAACAAAGATAACAAAAAAAAAGATGGCATAACAGTAGAACAATCAAGGTCGTGGATATTGTGTAGAGGAGACTCGGAGCATGCCACAGCGGGCAGCTGGTCTAGCATGATAACGATGCGATATGCGGAATGATAATGATCGACGTGTATGATTGAGGTGGTGGTGGTGGTGGTGGTTGAATGGAGGAGCAAGTCTGTGTATGGATGGATGGATGGCTGGATGGATGGAAAGCGGTCGGTCATACACATATCGATCAAGCCAAAATCTTCTTCTCGTCAAAAGTGCGGGACTTGAAGACGGCGTCCTGGCCACTGAGTCGTCGACCGAGGGCACGCTCGAGTTTGGCGCCGAGAGCAAGCTTGCTCATGTGGTCGGTCTGCTCGGGGGAGACGGTGTATCGCTGCTGGGACAGGCGCTTGTCCTCCAGACGGGCAAAGCCGGCATTCCAGCTCTTGATGTCCTGGGCACGTGGATCTTGGGAGTTGACGGAGTCACCGGACAGGTGGGAGGGAGCGATTGAAGGAGCCAGAGTGGCAGCGGAGTAGGTGCTGAAGCGGATGGAGGCGCGCTGGTTCTGCTGCTGCTTGGCGGGTCAGGATGAGGAGTGGTATGGAGGAGAGGGATAGAGAGAGAGAGAGAGAGAGAGAGAGACAGAGAGTGGTACGTACAGCAGTGAGCATCGGCCTCGACGACTCGACAGAAGAGCCCATTGTGTAGAATGTGTGTGGTGTGGTGTGTGATGTTGGAGAGAGAGAGAGAGAGAGTGGGAGAAGGAGCAGGTCGGGATGGAAGGTCAGCCGGGCGTGGAGAAGCGAAGGTGTCGAGTGTTTGTGGGAGAGTGGCAAGTTGACGAGATGGAGAGTGGAGGAAGATGGTGATGATGATGAAGGAGGGTAGTAGGGTTGAGGCAAGTAAGTATAGATTTAGTGGTGGTGGTGGTGGTGGGTAAAGGGAATGAATGAATGGGAAGAAGCCAGGCAGACAGGACAGGACAGGACAGGGCAGGAAAAGGCAGGAAAAGGCAAGTCAGCCAAGAGGATGGGATGGGATGGAATGGCACTATGGCCGCTTGCAGGCCCCCAACCCGCTTCCTCGCTCGCTACCCTACCCTACCCTACCCACTAAAACTACCCACTATTACCCAGCTCGGCATCACTTTACGCACTCCATACTCAGTAATACGCCGTCACCACTACTCGCTACTCATGCTTGCTCGTGCGCGGCTGCCTGTCGCCCCGAGCAGTCGGGAGCTTCTTGGCTGTGTTTCACCACTGCTGTTGTCCCTTTATGCCCGTAGCCTGTCCTGTCATGCTAATCACTCTCTCTATGCATACACTGAGCACTCTCACCACACTCGACACACTCGACCCGCACGCCAGTAATAGCAGTAGTGGTGGTAGTAGCAGTAGCAGCAGCAGCACAAGCAGCACGACTCAGGGTCTGGGTCTGTGTACTGTGTGCATGTGCATCTCCACCTCACATGATCTTCACGTCGTGTGCCCACCATCAGCCATGAAGGCGTCGAGGCACGTGTGCAGATGGCCAGACGGGCAGAGAGCGTCAACAGCATCAACTACCCATGTCCCTGTCGCTTCTTGCGATATTAGATATGATGAGGCGATGAGAGAGATTTATAGAGATGAAGATTCTGTCGTTTGATTATGCTTGCTTGCTTGCACCGTCTGGTGGGTCTGTCAAAACTCTATTCTATAAATGTCGCTCTCGACAAGCTTCCGGCCCGTTTTTGCTGCTATTAATTACAGTACTACAGTACTGTACGGTGCCATGTCGTGCTGCTCCATCTTAATCATCTATTTCCATCCATCGCTTCATGCAATCAGCACAATCAGTGGCCTGATCTCGCACTTCCTCTCCATCCTGAAAAGGCTGAAGGCTGAAAGGGTCGTAGATGTGTTGATGCAAACATAATCATGCGCTGATCATCTTCTCTCCTCCACGTAAGCACATTGGTCGCCGCCGCAGACAAGGTCGCTCCCCCTTGTTGACTCAGCGCCCCGCCACTACTGCCACGTGTTTGCCACGCGGTCGCTGATGCACCTTTTTGCCTTGTCTTGCTGCATCTCCATTCATTGTCGTCCATCCAATCTGCTTGTTCTGCCTCTGCTTCACCACCGCCTTGATCGCTGCCCTAATAAAGGAAGGATTCATCATCAGCCAATCCATTCCACCAATCTACCTGTCCGGATGCCTTCCATGCCGCCCCCTTCCGACCTCGTCAGTCATTTCCAATTCTAGCTGATACCGTAATATTACCATCAGCATCGCAGGTGCCATGCCGCTCATGCGTATACCTTGACGCTGTTGACCAGCCAATAGCTTTCCCGGAAGTTCTGTGGCTGCCGCGCAACATAGCTCGTGCAGCTCGTGTCCGAATTGTAGCAACTCGTATACTGACTCCACACGTTGCCAGCCCAGTCTCCGCAGAACTATAATACCACTGTCAGCTTCATACTCCATTCTTCGACTTGTTCGACACACTGACCGTAATGTCAAAGATGATCTGGAGGTTCTTGAAATACGAGTCGAAATTGCATCCACCGTAGAAATTCGCCTGCGGCTTCGGCCACGACGCTGGGTTCGGATTACCGTTGCGCACATCAGACGGCACATCTCGCTGCGCCCAGTACCACACCTGGATCGCCGAGCTGGTCCAGAGTGTCGCGTACACACCGCCGCCGTTGGCATTAAAGGATGTGCCATATGTGTTGGCCTGCGTGCTCTTGACGCCGCACCCGTTGTAGCCACTGCCGGCACCACAGTCCGAGTTTGCAACCCGATAGCCGTTCTCGCCCGCCGGTCCAACGCCGGGCGAGCATCCAGGCGCAGAGTGCAGCGTCATCTGGTTGCTCGAGTCTGTATGGACGCCCTCGATGATATCAATCTCGCCCGAGTTGGGCCAGTTTGGGCCCAGCATCCAGAATGCTGGCCACGACCCGCACTGCGATCCGGGGATGTGCGCAAAATCGCCAATGATGAGGCCGTGGTTGTACGACGGATTCGAGTGGATCCTCACACTGTTGCGGCCGGGTCCGCTCGTCGATATCACATTCGTGTTGTCCACGCCAATGTAGACCTGGTTGTTCTGCGTCTTGTACAGCCCCAGTCTCTGAGCGTCGGCTTGGTTGAGGTAGTTGACAAAGCCGTGAGCTACGTCGCGATCAGCCCGTCTCTCTTGAAAGTGTTGTTCCTCCAAGTGACCTACTCGGGTCTGCTATGTTCTCAACAGTAAACTTGCTAAACCAGTTGCTGGCATCGTACGTGTCGACAAGTCTGTACGATGCCGCCGAGTCTATGCGAGGATTGCTCCCGTTTCCTTGGAATGTCTGTGGATGCACCACCTGCACAGGCTCAGGCTGGGAGAGATAGAGACCGTCCCCTGGCGCACCCGCAGGGCTAGGAGCAGCTCTGGCAGAAGACGTTGCGCCAAGCACAAGCAGCGAAGCAAGACTCCGAAATGACATGTCGATGCCCCGGAGAAAGAGAGAGAGATATATAGATATATACAACAACAAGCCCGGAAAAAGCCCAGAGAAAACAATATTCAAAGAACAACCTTTTCCTGGATAGCGTGCCGCAAAAGAGGATCATGGAGCAGACTTATACGCCCTCCTATAAATCTGCTGTTCCCCAGCCTTTTCTCTCCCATCGTGACAATGCCAGCCATGCGTCCTTCCCAAACGGACATAACCTCCCACCACTAATTAATCCATAAGCCCTAATTACCCACCGTGTAAACCACACAAAGCACGCGCAGAAAACAACACAAGATGCGGAGATCACACGCACCCAGCGTGTGCGCGCGCGCAACGTAATATATACTGCAATGGATGGATGAATGGATAGATCGCCCTGCATGCATGCATCTCGCATGACATTCCAGACGTTCCACAGCCCCGGACTACAGATCTCATCCTCTCTCCTTCCCTCTATCGCTCTAGCCACAGTAAGGCATCTACCCGGTATCCGGTGCAACCCACCCTAATTATTTCCCTACCATCTACTCGCACATCTGCCCTCTGCACCAGTCAAGTAACACAATACCCACGAATCAAACCTTTGCCTTTGTTCCTCCAATCTACCCTGCGCCGTTTTGTAGTGCAGTGCAGTGCAGTGCAGCGATGATGGCATGGCATGGCATGGTATAGAAAGCGAGAGTCATATGCACGCGCACGCGCGAATCACAGTTTGCATCGCGGTGGCGCGTGCCCCTGCGTAGGGCTATGGATCCATCCATCCCGTAGTGCGTCGTTGCATTTGCTGCTGTGATGTGTGCTACGAGGTGGGTTTTTTTTGCTAGGCTAGTGCGCTGGAACGGGGACATTCATGGAACTTACTAATTACAGAAACCTCTGATCATAGCTAAAGGGGAAGATGGATAATAAGGGTGTAGCGAGGAGATAAAGGAACGGAAAAGGAAAAGAAAAGAAAAGAAAAGGCTAGAAAAGGCTAGGTGTGTAGAATAAAGAAAATACTGTTGTGTGCATGTCCAGCCAGGCACGCTGGTTGGTGCATCTAAGGATGATTAATTAGTAGGTTTGATGGAATGGTTCAGTCGATCTGACTAGCGTGGTCTGGGGTAGTTAATTACATCCATTCCTGATGATTATCTACCTGAAATTAATTAATTACAGGGGCGGTCGAGGGTTTGGATTGGGTGGATCTGGACGAGTGCCTGTGTGGTAGGTTGGAATGTCAAGGACTTTCCTCTTTCCTAGTTGGGGTTGGTCGTGTGTGCTTCTTTCGGCTTAGGGCTGGAGTGGATGAATGGAGTAGGGAGTGAGGAGTGGACATGCGGCGGGGACATGTGTATAACTGACCGATTAAAAAGGTAAATACCACGGGGAGGCCAGTCCGGTATCTAAAACATCCCCACTACGTCTGCGCCTCTGCACACGAGGCTTTCTCACACGTCCAGTGTACTTTAATGTTTCCAAACGCTCTAAACAAAGATTTACAGAGACAAACAAATGCCATCACAATCCACTAAACACACACACATCAAAAATAGCAAAAGCACCAAAGTCTCCCGCCCAGAACAGCAGGTACACGCGAACCTTTCGTCTCTCTCTGCACGTCTGTCTGCCTGTCCGTCTATCTACTTAATTACCTAATCAGACGTCAAAGCCAGTTCCATCCAATCCATCCTGCTGTCCCAAAGAAGCCTAGCTCCCGCGCCCCCCTCCACATGTTCTGTCAACTAACTACTTACCCCGCCCCCGCATTTCTGCAAGAGGAAGACAAGACAAGAACCCCGCGCGCGCGGCTCGGGAAGCGTAGACGTGGTGAACGGCAGCTTGTGGCGGCAGTGGTGCAGGCGGGGACTGAATGGACAAGTCACTGCGGCTTTGCACGGTTGGCCTTGTTGGACTGGCTGGAGAGGGATTTGTTTGGTCTGGGATCTGTTGACTGGATGGATGGTGGAGTGAGGGCATAGATGGGTTGAGTGAGTTAAGGGGGTTTGCGCACGCGCTGAATGCAGGGTGACGAGGTGGGCGGGACGTGCAGGGTGATAAGGCGAGACGAGTGGCAGGCATAGATACAGAGGTACAGATTGAGAAGATGGACATGCAGACAAACAAACAAACAGACGGACAAACACACAGATGATAACAACAGCGGCAACACTCGGCCAGAACGGCGCAGTAGTTCATTCACCAGCCCGACCACGATGCCGACGAATGATCCATGCAGCCTGATCACCGCAAACAACATCTAGCTACTCGGTACATCTTCTCGGTCCCAGCGGATGCTGCCCCCCCCCTTTTGCCCGCACGCACGAATGCCATCTCCACCTAGGGCAGTTATACCCCAGTGCCACTCCAGGCCTTAACTAGGCGTCTGGGCATCTGCGCAGAAGGAATAAGACCGGTGCATGTCCCTGCTCGGCTCTGTCGTCAGAAGTACCAATCCGGCCACAACGAGAGCACGACACTATCGTATAATACTCAATCCCCTCACATACCGGAAACACAGAGTCCAGGGCCAAACATGGCGACCAAGACAAAGGCAATCGTCTCCTACGACACCCACGCCAACGGCGGCTGGCGAATGGAAGATGTAACCGTCCGCGCACCCGGCGAGGGCGAGCTCCTGGTCGAGATGGTGGGGTCAGGCATCTGCCACACCGACGTGCTGGTCGGCGGTCTCCCGGGCGGCGCGGCGCCAATTGCGTTTTATCCGCGTGTTCTGGGGCATGAAGGTGTGTGTGTTTTTCTCATTTCACCGCGAACAGCACCCTATACGCCGCTTTCCGTCTTCATCATAATCATCAGAGACCCGTGCAACTGACAGAATTTGTTTGGATTTACAGGAGGCGGCTACGTCAAGAGCATCGGCCCGGGCGTCACAGTCGCCGAGCCGGGCGATCCGGTGCTGCTATCCTACGCCTTCTGCCAGAGCTGCGCAATCTGCACGGCCGGCCACCACTCGCACTGCCCGGAGTTTGCGGCGCTGAATTTCGCGGGCCCGTACGCCACGTTTACGGACAAGGAGGGGGCGGATATCTCGGGGCATTTCTTCGGGCAGTCGAGCTTTGCACACTTGTCCGTTGTGAAGCAGTGTAGTGTTGTTAATGCCAAGGGCCTGGTGAGGGATAGGCGGGAGCTGCAGCTGTTTTCGCCGCTTGGGTATGTGATTTCTCTGTTTGATTCGATTATGGTTGAGTCGGTTCGATTCGATTCTCAGGGGGAAAGGGGAAAGGGGGTTACGACATGAAGCAGACTGACGCTCCGCAGATGCGGCATCCAGACCGGCGCCGGCACAATCATCAACGCCGCCAAGGCAACCCCCGACGACATCGTCGTCGTCATGGGCCTCGGCGGCGTCGGCCTCAGCGCCATCATGGCCGCCAAAATCCAGCGCTGCCGCATGATAATCGGCCTCGACCGCGTGCCCTCCCGCCTCGCCCTCGCCCACGACCTCGGCGCAACCCACACCATCAACGGCTCCACCCTCGACCCCTCCAAAACCCTCGTCGAAACCGTCAAAGCCCTCGCCGAAGGCCACGGCCCCACCGTCACAGTCGACACCACGGGCGTGCCCGCCCTGATCCGCGACGGCATCCAGTTCACGCGCAACTGCGGGCGCATCCTGCAGGTTGGCAGCGCGCCCTTTGACTTCAATCTCGAGCTCAACACGTTTGAGTTTATGATGAGCGGGAAGCAGTTTCTGGGCGCGATTGAGGGCCAGGCGTATCCGCCGGAGTTTGTGCCGAGGATGATTGGCTGGTATCGCGAGGGCAGGTTTCCGATTGAGCGGTTTATGAAGTTGATTCCGGCGGGGGAGTTTGAGCTGGGCTTGCGGGAGATGCATGATGGGACGACGATTAAGCCGATTTTGTGCTGGTCGTAGGGGTGCCGGGGGGGGGGGTTGTTGCGGTGAAATGCTCTTCTTCTTTTTTCGATGCTAATTGATCATTTCAGAGATTTGAACCTGACGGTGTAGCCAATGTAGGCTTGCATTAATGTAGTAGTATCGCAGTATGAGATACCGTGAAGCTATTCATAACATGTGCCATTCATGGTTATTCAAATTTTAGTTATTTTGGAATGAGTTGCTCTGTAGATGGCCGCACGTAGTTAACTTTACCAGTGTCTACCTACATATAAAGTTCAGGCCTCCTTCGGGGAAAACGTAATCACGGAGACCCGGTCCGGAAGTGGGTACGTACCGACTAGCCGATCCAGGCAGCCAACAAGTCCGGGAAACGTATCTTCAACATCTGCAAACGTCCCATGCCAAAGCATGTCGTTCCCCCAAGCAGCGCCGCCCAAGAAGCCCCTCGACGAGTTCGTTCGTCTAGCGGATAATGTCTTGCTGTACGCGCCCTCCTCCTCCTCTGGTGCGGGCAACAACGTGTCCAATGACATGCTCATCGTGTCGTGCACGTGGATGGGCGCAGCATCGAAGCACATAGCAAAGTACACAGATGGATACAAGACGCTCTTCCCGTCCGCCGCAATCCTGCTAGTCCGCAATAACCTGTCAGACATGCTGTTCGCGTCCAGGGCCGACAAACGACTCGACCCCGCGCTGTCCGTCATCAGGAAATATGCGCAGACACGACATTCCAAAGCGCCGCCCATGATCCTCATCCACTCGTTCAGGTGAGAGCGGACCCGACAATAGCCCAATTCTCAACCCCAGACTAAGTTAACACCCCCAGCAACGGCGGCGCAAACCAACTCATCAGCCTCTCAACCCTCTTCCTCGCCGCCGAACACCGGCCCATCCCCGCCCGCGCCCTCATCCTCGACAGCAGCCCCGGCACCGCAACCTGGCAGCGCAGCCACGCGGCCATCACCCTCAGCCTCCCGCGCAACAACCCGCTCATCCGCATCCTCGGCGCCCTCCTCGTCCACGCCCTGCTCCTCGCCGTCGCACTCTACCACATCCTCACCCGCTCCGAGCACCGCATCACTACTAACAACAGACTGCTGAATGACCCGGCGCTGGTGGATCGGCGGGCCAGGCGCGTGTATGCCTATTCGAGGGCGGATGTCATGGTTGGGTGGGAGGATGTGGAGAGGCATGCGGGGGTGGCGCGGGAGAAGGGGTGGGGGGTGGAGTTGGTGCGGTTTGAGGGGAGTGCGCATGCCGGGCATGTGTTGGAGGATAGGGCGAGGTATTGGGCGGCGGTTGAGCGGGCTTGGGGGGGTGCATGAGGGGACGCTGTGTGTCTGTCTGCGTGAGAGGAGGCTGGTTGTGGGCGGAATGGGTTGGATTGGAGTGGGTGGGATAGTCAGAGTTTGGGATGATGTTGTTGATGTGTGCACTTTGGGATGATATATGGGTTGATTTGAGGCTATTTGGGTTATTATAGGCGTTGGTAATTAGCTAATGGTGCTTGTATTTATGTAGGGTTTTTCATGCTGGTGTTCGTAGGTACTAATTAAGTTAGATCTTACCAGTAGTAGGTACCTTACTGGGATTCAAGGTTATGTAAGCCAGATGAGCACATGAATCCACTTCCTTGGCATGGAAGCCATCACATCTTCTCTTTGTCAACGACAACAACCATTTTCCCGCCTGTATCACCAAGACTTGTCTATATCCATCGTGATATTATCGTCCCCATCGCAGCCCAACATGTCCACGTCCGAGAGGTCCTGCCACTTACAGCTCTTCCCCCTTGAGACATCCATACCGCCACGTCCTCGGTTAGCCGAAGTCCAAGGTGCTGTGCTTTAAATTAGCCAACTGGGGGCGATCCCATCTCTGTTTTGGCGTTACCCGATCTCGTTTACGCCGCGACTGAGGATGATCTGCATTCAGGCTTCGCCGGACCGGGTATGGTACAGGGGCGCTCTCTCTGGCTTTCCGACGTGTTAATGCACGCTGTTAATTATGTACGAGGTGGGTTCTTATATCAATCAAGATGGATCTCACTTTTCGTGTCATGATGCGTGTGTGAGACTGCTCCGCCTTGATGTTTTTGAATCGTGATTGAAGTTGTTGCCATCATGTTCTGTCAAGGTTTCCTTTGTTTATGGTTCTGTGTTCTGGTATCATGTATCGCCGGTGCGGTCGCGTCTACGCCCTCCGAGGGATCCACCCAAGCACTGTATGAACGCGCGCCTGTTCCAGATGGGTACTCCTCGCCCTCGTATTACCCTACCCCGAACGGCGGGTGGGCCACGGACTGGCAGGACGCGTACGAACGAGCCGCAGTCATCGTCCGCAACATGACACTGGCCGAGAAAACGAACATCACGACCGGAACAGGATACTTCATGGGCCGGTGTGTTGGCAACACGGGCTCGGCGCCGGCGAAGAATATGCCCCAACTCTGTCTTCAGGATGGACCTCTGTAAGTTCCCCCGGTATTGTGTTGCAATAGGCCTTGTGTGTTGATGGCAGAATCCCCAAAGCGGCGTCCGGTCTACCGACAATGTGACTGCGTTCCCGGCTGGCATCACGGTCGGCGCAACGTGGGATAAGGACCTGCTGTATCGACGCGGTCTCGCGATCGGGGAGGAATTCCGCGGCAAGGGCGCCAACGTCCATCTCGGTCCCAGCGTCGGGCCTCTCGGCCGCAAGCCACGCGGCGGTCGAGGCTGGGAGGGCTTCGGATCAGACCCGGTGCTCCAGGCCGTCGGCGCGCGGGAGACGATCCGCGGCGTGCAGGAGCGTGGCGTGATAGCGACGATCAAGCACTTCATCGGCAACGAGCAGGAGCAGTACCGGATGTACAATCTCGTGCAGCCGGGGTACAGCTCGAATATCGACGGCAGGACGCTGCACGAGCTGTACCTGTGGCCGTTCGCGGAGGGGGTCCGGGCAGGGGTTGGCGCGGTCATGGCTGCGTACAACGACGTGAATGGCTCTGCGACGTCGCAGAATGCGTATCTGCTTAACGGGGTACTGAAGGACGAGCTTGGGTTCCAGGGCTTCGTCATGACGGATTGGTTGTCGCAGATCTCGGGTGTTGCTGCTGCTCTGGCCGGGCTGGACATGAGTATGCCTGGAGACGGCGGGATCGTAGGGATCCCGCTGCTCGGAGGCGCATGGTTTGCAGATGAGCTCTCGGAGGCGGTGCTGAACGGCTCGGTCCCGGTCTCACGCGTCAACGACATGGCGACCAGAGTCGTTGCGACGTGGCTGAAGATGGGCCAGGACCAGGACTACCCTGCGCCAAACTACTCGTCTTTCACGGCGGACCGCGAGGGCCCGTTGTATGCTGGCGCTCCGCTGACATCGCCTAGGGGTGTGGTCAATGAGTATGTCAATGTGCAAGGGGATCATGCCGAGCTTGCCCGCGATATTGCTCAGGATGCGATAACGCTGCTGAAGAATGAAGGGGGGATTCTGCCTCTTGAGACAAGCACGCCGTTGAAAGTCTTTGGTGACGATGCGCAGGCGAATCCGGACGGGATTAATTCGTGCTCGGATAGAGGCTGTAATAAGGGGACGCTGGGTATGGGATGGGGTTCGGGAACAGCGTGAGTAGTCCAGGCTTCTGTGTTGTTGAAGTGATCTGTATCGTTCTCTTGGCTCATTTTGTTGCAGAAACTACCCTTATTTCGATTCCCCGATCGATGCAATACGAAGCCAAGCCAGCAATGTTACCTACTCGTCGAGCAACACCTTTCCTTCGAACGTTGTAGCCTCCCCGGGAGACGTAGCGTTGGTATTCATCAACTCGGATTCGGGCGAGAACTACATCACTGTCGAGACCAATCCGGGAGATCGTACGACCGCAGGTCTGTACTCCTGGTACGGCGGTGATGATCTGGTCAAAGCAGCTGCGGCAAAGTACGAAAACGTGGTGGTCATCATCCACACAGTCGGACCCATAATCCTAGAGAACTGGCACTCCTTACCGAGCGTGAAGGGTATCATTATAGCCCACCTCCCTGGACAAGAAGCCGGACAATCACTGACCAACGTCCTCTTTGGCCACGTATCTCCATCCGGACATCTTCCATACACCATCCCCGTCTCCGAAGACGACTACCCAGACAGCGTCAATCTCATCGGAGGCCTACAGCTCGGCCAAGTCCAAGACACATACACCGAAGGCCTCTACATCGACTACCGCCACTTCAACAAAGCCGGCATCAAGCCCCGCTACGCCTTCGGCCACGGCCTCTCCTACACCACATTCTCCTACTCCAACGCCACCCTCACCCTCTCCACCCCCCTCTCCGAAACCCCTCCCGCTCCTCCCACTAAACCCTCCACCCCAACATACCCAAACACCCGCCCGGCCCCCTCGGAAGTCTACTTCCCCCCCAACTTCCCCCGCATCGACCGCTACATCTACTCCTACATGGACGCCGCCGCCGCCGACCTCGCCGCCGCCATCAACCCCTCCTCAACCCCCTACCCCTACCCACAAAACTACACAACCACCCAACCACCCACCCACCCCCCCGCCGGCGGCTCCCCAGGCGGCAACCCCGCGCTTTGGGACACAATCTACACGCTCGCCCTCACCATCACAAACACCGGCTCCCGGCCCGGCAGGGCCGTCGCACAGGCATACGTCCAATTCCCCGACGGGTTCCCCCACGACACCCCCGTCATCCAGCTGCGCGATTTCGCAAAGACGGCGGTGCTGGCGCCCGGCGAGGGTCAGACTGTGCGGTTGCGCATCACGCGCAAGGATGTGAGTGTTTGGGATGTGCGGAGGCGGAATTGGGTTGCGGGTGGGGGTGAGGGTGGTGGGTATACGGTTTGGGTTGGCGGGAGTTCGGATCGGTTGGAGGTGAGGTGTGTGGGTGAGGGGAGTTGTGATGTTGGGGCGAGGGGGCCGGTGGATGGGTAGATGGGGTGGGTGGGTAGATAGAGGGGAGTGGTAGTAGTAGATTTATGGAGATTGGGATACCGGATGTTGATTTATCATGTGAATGGGACGGATTCGTGCATCTCAGTGAGTAAGAGGTGTAGTACCGAGTGCACGGGCACACGACCTCGCTTTTACGTATACTTTTGAAAAGGATATGATTTTGGTCCTGGAAGAAGCCTGCATGAAACGGTTTCGTGGTGTAGTTGGTTATCACGTCAGTCTAACACACTGAAGGTCCCCAGTTCGAGCCCGGGCGAAATCATTCATTTTGCTTTTCTACGGAGCAGCAACGCACTTGATCGATTTATCAAACCCAAGTCTTCGTGGGTGCTACATATAAATATATCTTTTGTGGGTTGCGCTAATTACTGTATGCGATTATGTGGGGATATTGCGGGGACTGGGGCGCTAAGCGTGTCTAGCGCGGCCGAGGAATTTCGGAGTAGTCAGACGGAAGACGTCCAACAGCGGTGTATTATACTTCGCCTGTTCATCTCGGATCTTTTGCATGGGACTCTCTATTGGGTTCGCGAACGCACTCAGACGCGTGAAAGTTTCCGTAAAGCTAACGTTAAATCGCAATCTTTCTCTGGGGCACGAGGGAAGGTGGATGATGGCTCTACAATGGCAACTAGAAGTGCATACGACTCATCATCCTTCCTCGATCGCTGAAACCTTGGACTTATTGCTATTCCACCCCATCTAACGTACAAACGCCTTGAGAACAATGTCAGTCATCACTAGCAACACGCCCCTGACGCAACTCCTTCTCGTAGGGTCCCGGCTTCACTTTATATTGGCGCTTCTTCAACGCTCTTTGCCGCGACCACTGATCAATGACGTCCCATTTGACGCAAGTCCGTTCTCCAGGGGAGCGTATCTCTTTATTCGGCAGCGACTTCGAATCGGCAATCCATGTGCCAACATACAGTGACACGTCGGGGTTGCACATGACTGTCCGTCGGATCCATTCGATGCAGTGCGCTGTTGTGTTGTTAGCTGTCAAAAAGCTTAATTGCTTTTTTGAGACTCCACTGACTGAGATGCTCTTCCGAGGCCGCCTCCATTTCTGCGGTTATATTGGGGTAGTAGTGAGATCGGAGGACCATTCTACGCAGTGCATCCTATGATTGGGTAAGAAGATGTCGTTGTATCATGGCGAGATGACGTACCAGACAGTGCAGTTCGTGAAAGAATGAGAACACTCCAATATATCTGCCATCATCGAGCTCCACGGTATCTTCGTTGACTACGATGTCTACCCTCTTCAACTCTTCCTCCGTTTGATAGATGTTCATGGCTAAATTCATCAGCTGCTCTGGATCCTTGCGTATGCAGCATTGCGATACATACGTTCTAATAGTCGTTCCCAATTCGGTTGCGTGTCATGGGGATCTCCTATGAATCCATCCTTCTTCACCTCGTCTGCCGTCGGGTACAGCGTCTGGCGCTCGTATGTCAAGAGACTTCGTAGGGGGGCTAGACTGCTATCAGCGATCTCATGCACAGTCGCCCGAGACTGGAAAATTAGAAATGCTCACAGTAGGACTGTGGTACGTAGCCGTGGTAGTACCAGGCTAATATGGCTATCGACGCTGTGATGTATACCGTGGAAAGAATGTTGAAGAGTCGCTGAAAGGAGAAAAGCTTTCGTGTCCGTGGCGTTTCCGGTATGTCGAGACTAGCATTACGGTCAAGCAGAGGTTGGTTGGATTCAACATCCTCGGCGCCCATCAGTGGTAGCTTAGACTCTTCCATTTCCTCCGTGATATATCTCAGCAGATTCCTCGAGTACGCTGATGGTGGAGCTCTGTCCTGGAGTAAGGTAACGGTAGAAGCATTTCAATCCAACAAAGAGTCGGTCAGTCCAGACTACTATCAACGCACGAGGAGCAGCTCACTTCGCAGGGTTGTCCTGTGAACTATGCAGCAATCTCTCGAATCGGAAACTTTGTCCGATGCGAAACGGCCCTATTTTGTGTCCGATATAGATGAGAGCAGGGCTCGACTGGTGTGATGAGACCCGTGACTGCAGGCTTTTTTATTACAGCTGTTGGTTGTTCCAGCTACTTCCTATAGATGATTTGCTGGGTCTCGCGGCGTTTGCATAAACTTGACAAGTAATACCCCCATCAGGACAAAGGTGCGAATGCATGACGATGTGGGACGTTGTGGATCAGCAAAATCTGTGCCAATCGAAGGAAATGCCGGGTCGATGCGTGGGTGATAGTGACACCAACGTCGTGAGCCTTGCCTCATAGTCCCACTCTATTGGCCTCGTTCGTCTAAGATCCAGACGTAAGGCCATACAGACAGCCTTGTATTTCAAGGCAGATAACTGTGCCGCATACCTACAGGCAGGCCGTTCTGGAGGCCTGTCTTCCCAGCCTATGACGAGGCCGGTAAGAAGCTTGTACTGGCTCCGTGCAACCTCACGTCCTGTTGACCTAAACGACATATTATAAGTATACTCCTTGCCACGGATACTGGCAGCCTCTGTTACTCACAACCACTACACCGACTTCTGACCTCAACCGTGTCGAGATTAAACTAGCAACCATGAAGATCATCATCTCTCTTCTGCTACTGGGCATATTGGGCGCTACTGCGGCACCGACGAGTATGTTATCACAGCCACGCAAGCAATTCTCAAAGGCTAACAGCTTCAAGAGAACCTCCTACGCGAAGACAATGAAGCTTTTGTTCCTATCGTTGCAGACGGAGGACTTGTAGAAGCGCGCGACTGAATGGTATGGACCCCTCCTTCTCTGTCCGTGACAGTGACAGTGCTAACAACTATTGTAGGTCGGACCGTCAATGCTCAATGATCGACATCTGAGGCTGAAACGCCGGCTATGCTCTTACCGAGGTTACATTGGGGGTGTTGAGTAGCAAATATTTAGTATTCTTTCTCGCAATCTACACTTTGTTTCCACCAAATCTGAGTCATTCAACGACATGTCGAAGTATTCTCCATTAAGTGGTAGGAAAGTGTCATCAGTCAAGAGTTGTGGGTAGAAGGATTGATATGTATATCCACTCAGTCTAATGCAGCGGTTCCATGTTGGTTATGAATGCAAGGTAGGTAAGAGACAGGGGCATCCAGTCTCGACTGTCATGACCTATGTTGACATTTCGACCAAATTTTCTTTTTCCACTTTTCAGGAATATGAGGCAACGAGACTATACCTTTTCACGTCCTAGTCGCCCTCTACCAACGACCTCAAATTCAATCTCACCCGCCCCATGTAGAGGGATAGGACCTGTCAAAGCCTCACACGAAGAGCGAGGAATATCCCGTCCTCTATACGAGAGTCGGAGAACTGTCTCACGACCTGGTTGATTATCGGAAATTCTGATACTGAGGCTGGTAGTGGCAGAGTGGATACTGAAGCCGTGTGGGGTCGTGACGGGCCGGAGTTGTACACGGTAGTTATTCACGGAAAGATGAAGCTCCCGGTCTATCCACATATACGAAGATGGGGGTTCATCAACGATGCAGGGCCGTTGACGATGGCCAGACGGGCCTCCCGAGAGGGATTCCAGTTTCTGTGCTGGGACAGGGACATGGATCAGGGGTGAGTAGCAAGGGTGACCGTTATCGGCTCCACACGATGCCTGTGATGCGTAACATCTTCGCTTACACTGTACAGGCTTACCTAGCAGCACTCCCTGCAGTATGGCTCTAAAACCTTGATCTCCTTCATCTCCCGTGCTGACGCCGTGTTCAGGCGCCTTCCCCATGCAAACAACATTGCGTTATGCTTACATCTCTAACCGGCCACGGTGTTGCACCGTCCCATGCCCTGTGCACACCGTTCTGGGATGACATCCTACGCCATGCTCTGTCCTCGTTTTCACTGTCTTGTCGCTACAGGGTCTTCTGTTCGCGGACGTGGCGTATTCTATCTCTTGTACAATCCTTTCGATCCCTTGAGCCTCTTAAATGGCTGGCCAGGTGCTTGAAGTTGACTAGCGCATCAACGTCTTCATCTCTAAAGATCAAAGCTTGTGGCAGTAGTTGTTGCCTCACGGTATCTCACTTTAGTGCCTCAGCATCTCCCATATTTCGCTATGGTGTACAACAACCCCGATGGCATCATTGCTGCCACTGTGATTGTGCAGTTTCTCGTCATTGGCATCGTATGTTTGCGGATCTTATCTCGACGCAAGCAAGAGAAAAAACGTCTCATCTCGGATTGGTTGATTTTGGCGGCCACGCTGATGTCTATGGGACTCGCGATTGCACAGATCTATGGTAAGAGGGGGTATATCCTCGAGCCTTTCTGGCATTAATTTGAGTGCACTCATACTGATTGGGATTTTTAATAGGAGCTGCGAATGGACCTTTGGGGTTACTGCTGGCTCCAAGGCTCAAAGCCGATCCGTCGCACGCGGCCGACATGGTTCAACTTCTCCGAGAAGTAAGTTCAAATATGCTCCTCCGAGTGAGAATGCTGACTCTCCAAAGTATAACTTCTCCTTCATTGTGATAGGCATAGCTGCAATCGGACTGATCAAGATATCTGTATCCCTGCTCTATTTACAGATATTCAGCACTCGTAACTTCCGACCGTATATTATAGGGTGGACCGTAATCATGGTCATATGGACCATCGGATTCCTACTCACCTTTCTTTCGCTCTGTGGAAGCCATGGAACACTAGCATCCTACAAGTTCACGAATGCGAAGACCGTGGACAAGTTCTGTGGGACGGAACGAGTAAAGCAGATGGACTTTGCACTTGTTGTGTCTGGTTCTATCACTGATCTGATAACTGTCATGCTACCAATACCCATGACATGGTCTCTTCAACTCTCCCTTCGACGGAAAATCTCGATCATTGGCATATTCTTGGTCGGTATGCTGTCTGTCGGAGCCAGTGTAGCCAGAACATACATCAGTCTGGACTCCAAATTCGGCAAAGGGACGCCCATGGACCAAGGCCTCGGAGTAACTGCGACCTGTCTGTGGACCCTGATAGAGATCCAACTTGGAATCCTAGCTGCCTGCTCGTTGACAATTCGACCTATTCTTCACGAAATTGCAGCCCATGGGCCGATCCACAGTCTTCTGACTTCGACAAGAAGTCTCCTGAGCGGAAGAGGCTCACAAGCTGATACTGGCGCCAGCAGCTTCACCGAGCTTGCCGACGGGAACTCTTTCCGTCGTCGGAGTGAGAGCCGAAGCAGAAATGGCTCTGCGAAATCCGGCATTGATCGTTACAATGATCCACTGCCGAAGAAGAATGGAGTTATACACGTTTCAACCGACTTTAGAGTGGACACCAGAGATGCTTGACTGTCCTTCTTGTGGTTAAGCGCCTAAATGTCTATCGCACGAAGTAGCCTGATCGATACATATATTTACCATCAGTGTTGGCTATATAATGATCGCAAATGGAATTTAGGGCACTACGGTGAAAAGGCAGTAAGAAAGTGCCATATATTAGATCAGTCGCATCAATACCATATCATCGCAATGCTCAAAGTATACATAGAGATCTCCCAAGCAATCATTGCGCAATACGATGTAACATAAGGAATGGTCAGCAGTCGCATCCGGTCTTAGCTGCCCCGAGTGCGAAACCGAAAGGCCTGTAAAGTGCTGGGGCGGCGCCACGGGATGACGAAGCCAGGATCAAGGATATCACAGACCACAATCCCTCGTCATCCTAGGGGAACAAGTATGCATGAGTCTGGCAACAAGCTGTGCCACTCAAGCATCGTACAGTGGAGCACCGAGTATCTCTCCGGCTACGTAACACCGCATCTAGCATTTCAGATAAATTCTACCAAGTGTCTTCATCGCAATCATGTCTATCAGCGTTGGCTCTCCGGAGTGGTACCGCCAGATGAAAGATGTGAAAAGTGATGTGGGCAGACTTACAATCAATCATTACGGATTCAAGCAAGCAGCGAACGGCGAGCTGATATTCGCGCCGCTTGACTTTTCCTCGGCACCTCGCAAAGTGCTTGATGTCGCGACAGCTGACGGTACGGAACCAGGACTCTAGTTGAGTGATTGTCCCTGATAGATAGACCTAGGATTATGGATGCGAGATGTGCAGTCCTCAATACCAGCGCCTCCACATGGCGAGCATGTCTTTGTCGGTACCGAAATCAACGAAGCATTCTTTCCCTCCTCTCATCCGGAGAACATCTCATTTGTCCTACAAGACATGAACAAACCCGGCCCAGAATCATGGAGCCAGGCGTTTGATCTCGTACACATGCGACTAGCATTGCTGGCTGCCACTTCGCCGCAAGCCGTGATCGAAGAACATATGAAGTACCTAAAGCCCGGCGCGTGGCTTGTGATTGGCGACTGTGACAGGGTTTGTCCGACGAGCGAAGCTGAGAACCCATACTACCATATGTTCTTCAAGGTCATGCGCGCAGTACTGACGAAGATGCGCGCGGATCCAGACGTGGCACTCAAGTCAAAGGCTTGGTTAGAAGAGGCCGGGTTCGAGGATGTACAAGAGCACATGGTCATGCGGCAAGTTGGCAAGAGGAATCCGGATGAAACCATGGCTGAAAAAGCAGCTGAATCTGATCTGATCATCACGGCGGGTATGGCAAATAACGCGAAAGGTGAATCGTAGATGCACACTTTGGGATGTGTAGTCCTGCTAACTTTGACAGGATTGGACTCGTCATTGAAACCCTATACTGATGAGATCTTGGATGATTTAGCAGCCAATTTGGGAAAGGAACTGAGAGATCAGGGAGCACTTTTTCCCATGCGGTTCATATGGGGTAGAAAGCCTCAATGAGCTTAGGCTTATGCTTGCTCAAGTACCTGTTCGTAACGGGTATATAGATTTATGATCTACGATGTCAAATGTGTTAACGGTATCCCAGCTGCATATCTGGCATTTCCAGGTCGTATGAATGCTTTGTCGAACATGGTGCGTCACTTAGTCGGCAACGCAGATTATCTCCGAAATCATATTTTGTTCTTGGAAGTGAGGATGAAGAACAGACAGTGTTGTTGATATGGTTGATTGTTGATCAACATTCACAACTGAATGAGTTTTTTCTGCGTGTAGAATTCCTGCCTGAGCAGAACCTACCAAGTTCGCATAATGGCTGACGACCCACCAACCGCGTTACTTCTCAAGCCGTGCATCATGATGCAAGGATACAGTGTTAATGCTGTTCACGGGAACACGAAGATCCTGGCGTGCAGCTGTGACACGACCAAATGCAGGACGTCGGCAGCAGGGCATCTCCACCTAAGTCGTCCCATCGTATCGAGTGGAGTCCACGTGGAAACAAGAATGCGGAGTGCATGCTGGGTATACGATCATAGTAAGCAAATATTAGATTGCAGCGCTGTGGGCTGAACAGAGCTATTCAGCTACCTAACAGGGCTAACTATTACACTCGATGGCGACTCGATGCTTACATTTAGCCTGGATATCATTTTCAGTGTATTGACGCCCGCACGACAGGAGAAATTTTCCGAGGCTGTAATCTAAGCATTTTTTCCAGTAACAGTACACAGCTCTATCAAGAACCATTCTTCCACGCTGTTTGTCCTTGGTCACGACGATCTTCCTGAATTGATCCTGCACACTGCTTCTTACTTTCGTTGTCATGAAATCGCGTCAACCAGCCACTGCCATGAAGCTCAGCATTAACTCATTAGCAATCTTCATTGTCGCAACATTATATACTAATGTCGCGGAAGTGCTCGCAGCCGAAGATACGTTGACTTTGACTGGCAGATACTGGGACTGCTGCAAACCATCATGCGGCTGGGACAATAAAGCAGACTTCGGAAGTCCTGTGCAATCCTGTGATGCGAGAAACAAACCTCTCTCAGATTTCAATGCCGGAACAGGGTGCAACGGTGGGACTGCATACGCATGCTCGAATCAATCCCCTTGGGCAGTGAATGACACTTTTGCATACGGCTTCGCTGGAACCTACCTCAAAGGTGTGCTGGAGGACGCCTGGTGCTGCTCTTGCTATGAGCTCAAATTCACGACTGGGAACTTGACCGGGAAAACTATGACTGTGCAGACGAGCAATACCGACTACGACGTTCTGAATGATAACATGTTTACCTTGGCGGCATGTATATCATCGTAGAAAGCAATGAGCCTCTACTAATGCTACTAATAGATACCAGGAGGTAATAACAGTGACTATGGTGCTTGTGATGGACAGTACAATATCGACAACAGCGTATTTGGGAGTAGCGGAACCGGAGTTAGCTCTGTCGAAGATTGCGATAACCTTCCAGATGCGCAGCAAGAAGGTTGCAGGTTTCGATTCACCTGGCTACAAGACATTGATAGACCACAGTAAGTATGAGTCCGAATAATTGAATGTTGTATACCAAAGACTCATCAGGTGACAGAGCGAACTTTCGACGAGTCCAATGTCCAGTGGAGTTGACAAACATTACGGGCTGCATACGCAACGACGATACAAACTTCGCTAACAGTGCTTCCCGACACGTATTTCCATCAACCTTGGTATCCAGTATTATATTCATGGGGCTCTTTCCTTTCATTTGAGAAAAATATATACAAAAATAATGCTCTCTCTGGGGCTTGATTTGCTACTGATCATATCCATAACATTCATGACACAATACTTCATGAATCTTAGCTTTATCATAACGATCGGATCAAACCTTGTCTACCCTCAGATCCGGGACTTGTGCTATCTCGCTAAATTTGGTTCTTTGTAACGTAATAAGCAGTCAACATACGGTCACATCTCTGAGGGGCCCCTGAATCAGCCAATAGAATGATTCTGACCGCGTGGGGTTCAAGTGCAGCACTCATTACGATTATCTTGCCAACTACACGATCTATAAGCCCGAAAACATCGGTTAGAAGATCCGTGGCGTATACCGCATATGCCAATTGCGGGATTGCGCATCTTGTGTGAGACCCCTTGGAACTTTTACATCGTGCCCTCCAACCTGGCGTCCATATATATTATGTCACCTCATTGTGCCAGAATTATCTAGACTAGATACTCGATATAGGCTTATGTGAACAATTATCGCACATACAACTTCCTCTTCTCAGTCAAGCACATGCACAAGGTCTTGTTAGCGAGCTAAGACGACCGGACGACGACGACGACGAAGGGGTCGAAACTCTGGAAGAAAAGCTCGGATTTGGCTCGATTAATCAAGGCCCGGAACTCAATATGCTGGTGTTGCAATTATCTTCGCGTGACCCATCTATTTCTACTAGTATTGCTACGTCCTTTAACAAGGCCAACTCAAACTTAGACCTAACAGTAACTGCTAAATCGAGCATACACCTGACTATCATGTTGCTTTCTTCAGATTACGACCTTCAGACTAACGTCTCGAATTCCACGCAAGTCTCATGCCACTGTCGTCGAGCACAGTTGTGTCGAGGACTTTTCGTTGCTTTTGCGTTGGCTGTCACATATCATTGGAGGAATATTCTGTTTCGGCTACCAAATCCAACAGAAACCTTCGCTAAAAAGGAATTCCATGCCTTCCACCCATCATTCACGATGGACCAACTGCTCACTGTTCCACATTGGTGGTAAAAGCAAAGCCTTGACTTTGATCACCGTGCATCCAAAACAACTCGCTTACATTAAACAGATGGGGCAATTTATGTTCCGCCAGCCCGGCAGCCTTCTGATCTTCCACAGAATGCTAGATACCAATCGCTCATAGTACTTGCTTGCGCAAGAGCCGTGCCCCCCAAAGGCGTAGAGCCAGCTCCCAGTAACAGCTAGGAAAACAGAAGATTTACCCCAATAATGCGGGGTTGATATAACCCAAAGTCATATTCAGAGCTTTCTAAGCTGCTGTGCGGAATCCACGCAAATAATGAGTGAGAAAGCAAGGATTCTCACTTTAGCCTAATCACAAGACATCGCACCTCAAGCTCCTTGAGCGAAGCAAACCGTACACGAGATGTCACAGAAGGCTGGCAAGTGGGCTCTAGTCTTACTCACAGCTGAAAAGACATCCCAGAAGAAAAAAATACCGCCCCGTAAGACGGACTTAAAGCGCTCCGTTTACTCCTTCTCTCACGGCACGGAACGTTCCATACTGGCGGCAAGTCCGCTCATGACTCATATGTGGGCAAGAATCAAGCCAGCCTGGGATTATAGATCGTATACATGGATCTTCCACTCACTGTGACAGTGTCAAGCAAGCCACGTCACCCCATCCTCGTGCGATATAGGCAGGGACGTGATACACCTGACCTTAATCCTCGGGAGTGCATACATGGAACGTTTGAATGGTGGTTCAAGTGAACATTCTTTGCACATGATAGACACTTGAATACATCGTTATTGTCTCGCTCGTAATTATACGGCGGCACTTCAACGTTGTCCCATGACCTATCTATCAAATGCACCCTCTTATCCTTTACTGGACACGTAATATAGCTCACAGAATGCGCTCATCCGTCTGCAATATTCAGCGAGATCTCCAATGTAAAGATATACACCGTGCTGATCTTACGTATCGCCCCCCGACCCTCCTCCGTATCAAACATGATATGCAGCGCCTTCCATTACTCTTCCACATCCACGATCATAAACATCGCGTCGACGATTCGGCCTAGGATAATTGCTCTCCACAGAGCGCCATTCTAGATTTACTAAGGCTGTGATGTGAAACTGGCTGCAAGAACATGGTGACACATAGCCAGAGTCTACACTCGGCGGCTCGAAGAGTTCAAGAGTCGTCACAGTGGTATACACTCATATATACTCAGCATGCGCTTTATGATGAAGACCAATTACTCCACTATGCCTTTTACGTATCTTGATTACTCCATGCTCCTGAATGTCTACCACTAGAACCATAGCCTCTGGCAAGTTTTTTTGTCAGACGCTCATCCATACAAATCGCCTTGTGCACCTTACATTTAAGCACCTTACGTACCGTACCGGCGGATATGTTATGTGCAAGACCAACCATTGGTACGGCACTGGCTATAGAACGGGAGCTTCGGATACCGACACTGTGGAATATTAGATGAGGGCATGTAGCATAGTTACGTCGGAGAAGATGCAGCGTAATGTGATGCCGAGAGAAAGATGAAGACTGAATGTCAAGTTTACGCAATGTTGGAAAGGAAACAGATCGTAGACAAAAAAACGACATAGATGTGATCAGAATTTTGGTTTCAGGACCTGGTATCTCAAACAACAATCAGAATCATAAAATCCCACTCTTGACCGTAATGAATTCCATATCATCGACGCTTTTCACTCTTGGCATTGTCGCCTCTCCCTCCACTGAGGGTCTATGCGCAGTATAGGTCTCTGTGCTGTTCATCCCCTGTTCACCATCACTGAAACTTTTCTCCCGCCCAAGAACGCCTAAACTGCTGAATGTCTCCACATGCGTAATGTCCATCAGGCCAACCATCTTCTCCTTATCCAACGCCGTCTCACTAGCTGACGTCAAGCTCGCTGGCGACGTCTTGACCGTATACTGGAGCGGACGCATACCACCCAGTCTACTATCATTCCAGCTCTTACTGACTCTCGCATTTACCTTGGGCAAGATTGGAATCCAACGTGGACGATCGGACGTGGTATCAGACCTGTCGGAGAAGCTGAACGTGATGATATCGCGCGCTTGCGGAGACGTAGGCCAATTCCTGCGCATCCGGGCATCTTCTTCGTCCATGGGACGTGATATCCAGCGCATTATGAGACCCCGCAGCGCAGGGATGCACGCGACGATGATCGCGACGTTGTTTTCGGCATGATTGATGCAAAATGTGATATTGTAGGTCCAGTCGTTTGCCTGGATGTTGTAGAGACGGTCTTGGTATGTGAGGTGGATTTTTGCAGCGCCGATCGCGGTTACGCTGTTATGTGTTAATGAGGAAGTATTAGACATGGAGGTTGAGTATACCCTAGACTTGTCATGAAGAGAAATATAATTATGAAGCGGGTCCGGATGCTCGTTCGCTCCAATTTGCGCATCAAAAGGAATGGTATTGGAAGGACGAGTAGGTCTGTTAGGAGGTTGGCGCTCGTCTGAAAGACTTGTACTTGCCCTATTCGTGGTCGATTCATGCAGTGTAGGTTGCCGAAGACGCGAGGCTTCCATGTGTTGCCTGTCTGTGGCGGACATTGGAAGATGAGTATTACGAACGGAATGATGCAAGCCAGTGCGTTGAAGGCGAATACCGCGTAGAGCGAGCGTCTGATGATTGGGAGGACAGATGAAACGCGCATGAGAAGGATGATGATGGAGGCTTTCACGAGAGGTAGGATCATAGTATTGAGCAGGTTGAACGAGAGCAAGATCTGGAATCTGTTAGTGTCCTCAGATACAATAGGCTCAAGAACACCCTACGATATGGAAGTCATCGTAGTTAGGTTCTATGCGTCGTTGATCAACGTGGTATATGTGAACTCCAAAGTGCCACATATGCACAAATCTGACGCTTGGATATATCAGTGCTATTGACAACACCTAGAAGAGTGTGAGTCATAGTTCGAGCTTCCTGCTTCAATCTCACTCACAGTTGCCAATATAATTGTATAATCGTCCCATCCTAAGTATGTCGCAAACTTTCTCCTTGAGAATATTCTGAGCGCGACAAAACCAGCTGCCAACAAAGGCGTTCCTATGATAACGGCCAAACACACCTCTTGTAATGGATATGAGGGCATTGTGACTTTCCTGAATCAGCCCTGGAGGACATGGAGACGATGACTGCAGGTGGGGCCTCTAAAGCTCTGATCAGGAAGGTGCCTCTACAGATTTAAGACTCGAAGAGCCAATTCCACAATGACAAGGCATGTAAGCTGGCGTGTTCCAGTGTGCAAGGGGTAGACTTTATCTTAAGAACAACTCGCATCTCGGTTTCACGAACAGGTCAGCTCCCGAGCTCCGCCATTGGAACGTCAAGGCTATAGAAATGACTACGTGCAAGTTGAGGAGAATAAGTCGAACGGCCATGTATATTGCTGCATGACGTTAATCAGCGAGTCGCCTGACTCTCTGTGATTTCAGGCGGGGACAGCATTCTGCCGTAAAGCATAGCATCGTCTAGAGTCGGATGCCTTCCCCTAAATCAAGGAGCGGGCCGGGTTAGCCCCAATCAAAGAACAGCCAACCTTGTCAGAAGAACAAGTAGGCGTTGGCTTGGCCTAGGGTCAATTTTTCGCCTGTAAGAAAATTGTATGCATGCTTTTGGGAGCGCGGACCGTAGTTCATTTGCGTGTTGGAGTTTCAAATGCTTGCCACAATGGAGCATACAGGGGTTTGCTCCAAGGAACATGCATCGTTCGTAATGACGCTGTAAACGTATTCAAGACCTGTCAAGCTCCTTTCACCTAGAAGTTGTGTCCGGGAAAATTTCACATCGTACATCGGAGGACAAATACCCGAAACATTCGAAGATTATCACTAGCGATGTTGATGGGTGGAAAATGGAGGGCTTTTTCAGAACAAGGATTAGACAGCCTCCCAGGCTTATATGCGACGCCACAGCACGATTCGTCAAGGAGCTAGTAGGATAGACCCGCCGAGTAGTCAAACATGCCATTTGACCGAGTTCAGGCATGACGACTTGGAAGTGTGGGGAAGAATAATCCGGGGAAACGCTCTTGATATATTACCCGCGAACTTTAGTTGGACTCGTCAGGTCATATGGTCTCGGCTGGATCGAAAACATCCACAAGTCTACCGTATCTAATACATCGGGTCGAATGTTGTTTATACTACTTCGTCATTGTGATTATCCAAAGTGGCGAAAGGACGGCCATTTCTGGAAGTTGGAGTAGGCCTCGAGTTTGACCCGATAATGTTGATTCAAGATATCTATAAGATCATTAACATGGGCATCACATGGAAGCAGGGTATCACTGGCTAGAAACAGCTAATGCGTGCGACCTTATGCAGTATTGAATTACGTTTCATCATGCGCTGAGCCATAATTGCGTATTGTAGATTTTCAAGGCGACATAGTGGCGTCAACACAGAGTACGTTTTACTATGTCGTTGCTGCCAGGAATTGCTCGATCGTAACCTTTTCAAGCGTTGAAAGCTGATGTATATTCTCAGCAGGCCATAACGTTGTCATCAATCAGCTTGGTGATAGCCCAGGGTCGATCTACAATATCTGCCGTGATCTGTAGCTCTCGCCCTACTTGGCCATGCCAATGAGCAGTCCCACTGGGTGCAATGCTCAACCACGTGGAGCTCAGCAGGTATTGCTCGAGCTGAATAAGGTATAAGGTCACTCGCCAGATAATTCTTTGATAACACCCTGAAGGACGGGTCCCGCGCCTTCATTGCATCTGACACCGTAGCGACCATCATTGTCGTCAGGCAAGTCGGCGAAAAAGTTTTCTTCGCCTCGAACACCGCCGATGTTGATGACGCCAATTGGCATTCCACGCTCTTTCGCCCGTTTAACGAGTCGCCATGCGGAGTATGTCGCCAGACTGCTGCCAATGATGAGAATGCGACTAGCACCATCAATGGCCGCCTCAGCATCGATTTTCGTTGCGGCAGGTATGCTTTCGCCAAACATGATCACTGCAGGCTTTAACACACCACCAGTGCTACTGGTAGTCCAAGCGCCATCAGCATCGACCGCGATCTTCGGTGGCGATATACCCGTGGGCGTCTGTCCACTCTCACACGTCGGGCATGGAGGATATCTAAATGTAGTATAAGGAGCATTAGGGACATCGACATCGCCGTCTGGATTTGCCCTATAACCTCTTCTGCGCCGCTCAGTCGGATTCTCAGTGTCCAGTGCGCCAGTGGTAAGCATCTCCTCTAAGAATGTGGCCCATGCGGGGTTAAGCGCTGTAAGCCGCTTCTGAAACGCATTACGAGGGTATTCAGTATGGCAGGTCAGACAAACGAGAGAGCGTAAGTAGCCGTGAAGCTCGACAGTAGAAAGGTTAGGATGGGCGTTGGGGTGAAAGGAGTCGACATCTACAAGAAAAGAGCCCAAGAGGGCAATCGTCAGCAAGTTTCATTGTTTCAAATATCGATAAACATATGTGTTTCACGCTCATGCGGCTGCTAGGGGGGTGCGTAACCGCTGAAAGGCGCACATGGAAGTCTGCGGGCCTGGGCTTGAGTGGAGGGGTCGAACAGGATCGTACTTTGTGTAATGACGCTGCGCAGAATGCCCATGTCTCCAAGCCTCTTGACAGCATGATGAGCCTCATTCGGTTTTGCTTTGGCTAAATTTGTCCACCCCAAAAAGCTACGCGCCCAGTATCTCTTTCGAGCTTCATGGTTCTCGCAGAACTCATTATAGTAAATGGGGCGATATGTCTTGTTCAGGGTATAAGTGCCACTCGTTCCTCTATAGTCGGCTAGACCAGAGGCGACTGATATGCCAGCTCCAGTGAGCAACACAGTCTTATGTTTGCCCTCGGCTGAAGCTCCGATATTCGTCAAGCTCGGGGAAGGCGTTACGCAAAGGAATTCACGGAGAGCTGCTATTGCTCCGCTCGTACTGCTCGCGACCGCTGGAAAGATCTTTCCTGTGGGGAGCGGGTCGGTATAAGGGACACGAAGCAATGGCATCGCTTTGGTGAAGGCATCGTGGTGTTGGTGTTTGAAGTTCGACCAATCTCGAGTCCGTGGTTAGCGCGCTGGAGATGTCGTAATGGATATATTCATCCGTGATGACGCCGGGCCCGTGCCCCATTGGTAAAGTCGGCAGAAAAGATGTGACCAATCAGCACCCAGCAATAAAAACCATCCACGTTCACAGTACTGTTGACATGCCGACACATTGACAGAGAGATACACTATAATGATTTGATATTTTGTAATTGAAGGAAGTAATGGCAACGTCTGAATTGTAAGATAGTAGATCGATCATTAATCCATTAATGCTGTGGCTTCGCTCGCCATGCTCGGTGCGCTCTGGCAACAAGATATTCGACCCCTATCACTCTCTTGACATCCTCGACTAGTACAAACTTCTAAGATCGGTATGGTGCGCAACGAGAGTCGTAAGTTTCCAGTCAATAACTTCAAATATGCGCCGTAAACTCCAGTTGTGGGAATGAGGTAATGGAAACGCCGGGGAGGATGCCTTTGCTAAGCTTGAGGGCCGCGAGGAGATGGTGATAGCATGGTCTGAATGCTCATTCCACCGCGGCCATACAGATTTTGAACAAAGGGGGCCTGGTGAGCAGAGGACGGGCTATCATCTATGTCGTTCTCAGCGTCCAGGTCGATGCCGCTATCGTCTCCGTAAATACCTCGCTCCTTTCGCTGCGCGGACCGCTGCGCAGCCTGAAGGTTCTTGAAACCCTTTTCCATGCACTATATCGATTAGTCTTTATTTCTTCTTTTCGACTCAACATTCAACTAACTTTCTGCTCGACCAGGGTCCATTTCTCTCCTACTCGATTCGCGAGAATCTGCCACATCTCTCGCCTGCAGTTCATGTACTCTACAGCAAGTGTTTCCAGCTTGACGCCGTCCCACTCCTCCGCATTACGTCGTTCCATTAGGCGCTCGTGTCGCTTGCGGCAAGCATTTGCCGTCTTTGCAGGGAAATGTTTCGCCGAGATTGGTTGCCAGTTCATGCCGGCCGCTCGAGCACTCATGAGTATCTCATCATCTGCGTTGGACCATGTACTGGCGGTGCGAGGCTCACTAGTGACTCCAACAGCTTGCATGGTTGTTTGTTGGCTGTGGGCTCGAGTGGACTGTCTGACCTCCTTTGGCATAACTCTAGGAGAGGAGATACGAAAGGAAATGCGAAACAATGTCTTTCAGGTCTGAAGTCTGTGTCTCGCTGCTGAGTACAATCTGAAATATGGGATGTGAAAGAAACGCGAAAGACAGGCCAGGTTACCAGTGAGTGACTTGTCGATGATATGCCAGAGATAAGATAGGGTGCGAATGGACGGCAACACAGCTGCCTTATGAAGCGAAGGTATGGAGGAAAGGAAATGTAAACAAAACGAAACAAATCCGCGTGCTATGAACTGTCTGATCTGATGTTTGGCAGTTTCATGTCTGGGCTACATGCGACTTTATAACCTAGAAATCGCCCAAACTCGGCAAGGTTAGACTGCTAGAGACGAAGAGACACAGATAGTCCATCTCGCGGAAGCTGAAACATGCTTAGTTTCTTTACTCGCCCAAGTATCTACACTTCCTAAACGGGGACACTGAAACGTTATGGGAGGAGGCGCAAACCACAAAGAGGTGGGCGGTTCGTCGAAAATGTCGAGTAGAACCACTTTGGTGGCCGTTGAATGGCCCACTGTTTGGCCAAGGCTGTTGAACCAAAGCTCTGGGATATGCGAAGCCTGGATGGGCTTTATTTGGGGCCTTTGGCGGCAGTTTGATGGGAGAGGTGTGCGGGCGGCTCCAGGACGTCGAGCTGGGCGGCTAACAGCAATCCTTTTTTTTAGTGGCCAGACAAGAAAAGGAGCCGCACTGAGTGGATATGCTAGACATAAACACACGAGGACGGGACGACCCTCCATGTAGCCGTGGTGTAACCCTCCGTGGCCGCAGCCTTCTTCGAATGCGGCGCGGGTTTCAGAGTGTTAAGGACATAAAAGCACCGACTTTGGGTCCCTCAGCCATTGGCAGGGGAGATGTAAGCGCGAGATGCGCACCTAAGACGCATGGGGGTAGATTTACTTGTTGTCAGGAGAAAACTTGCAGCGCTTGTCAGGAATAGAACTGATCGCATAAAGAGCATGGTGAAGATGAAGTTGTACCAGTGAAAGACTTGATAGTGTGGAAGAAGAAGGGTTTAGACTGGGCCGACGGTCCACCAATCAACGGCTCAATGTCAGCAATCTCTACATTTCAGCCAATCAGAACGACTAGTTTGAATATATATTGTTGTATGATTCCAGACACGCCCGCGGTTGCAAGACCATTTAGACAGTTCTTGTGATACCTCAGATGAATCTTCGAGCATAGAATTATCATTTATCTCTATAGTACTACTTGGAAACCATGGCGTGTACAGTCAGCGGCTCTCGACAAGCCGACACGTCTACGAGCGATGATCGGTGGAGAATCGCGTTGTACAAAAACAGGTTGGTCAGATGTCCCCTTTACTGTTTGAGGGACGCTGTTCTTCATCCGAAACAACTCATGGCTGAATTTGGCTTAAGTCAAGCTGATGGTTTGCCTGATCTTCATTTCATGCATTGAACATGCATATATCTGTTCAAACATGACTCTTCCACAGTGTGCTCGACGCGCATGAATCACGCGGTGTTCTCAAGTGAGCAAGGCCAAGCAAAGCCCATTGGTATCTATCGCATAGTCAAAAAGCTTGTATCTATCCTATGCAGATTCGTGCGAAAGAAACCTTGTCTCTTCACTCGCGAACCTCTATATGTCCTAGTTCATGCATCGTCCTCGTCGTTGATGTACTTCATTTCTGCTTGTTCTGCCCTTTCTCGCTCTGCGTCATCGACATCCCAGTTGGTAGTTTCCACGAACTCCCCCAGTACTGTCTCATCATCTCCTTCCGTTAAGTCAGTATCGTCGTATGTGTCCATATCCTCAGTATCTTCGCAAGACTGCGTTTCTGCTTCGTCTTTCTTCGACTTCGGTCGTGGCCCATTATCTGCGTCGCTTTCGGAATCATCTACAAATACACGCGTCTGTCGTTCCATTTCCCTAACCCAGCTGCCGCGCCTCTCACCTTGGGCTTCAGCCGCACGCTGATACAATTTCGTCATTTGTGGACTGCGGAGTTCAAACATCGAAAGAGGTCTGCCTTCTCCAGTAGGTGTTGTGGTGTATGGAGACGTTGGCTTGGACCGAGGCCCGTGTCGCGGATTGATGGACGACCACCAATTCGAGAGTCGTGATGAAAGAGCTGGAGATGGTGGTTCCTCAGCTGTGGTCTTCTCGTCCATGGGAGTGTGCGACGGTTCATCCTTCCTAGTCTTGCTAATGGAGAGCTTTGGATGAGAACTTGATTTCAATGAGGTTTTCATCAAAGGAATTGACCGCTTCTTATATCGTGGCCCTTCGTCGTCGCTGTCGGTTTCCGCTCCGGACCATGGGTTTGATACTACACCATTGTTCTTACGTGCTTCCGTGAGCAACCCTTTCAAGTCATCTTCAGACAATACTGTGTTCATGCCATCCTGGTCGCGGACCCTTGATGCTCGTCTTCCTTCCTCGATCGCGCGCTCTAACTTCGTACGATTACCAATAAACTTAAGCTTGGGGAACGCGGACTGTTGCCCAACATGGATCATTCGTGCAAGTCGAGCTGGTGTAGGGTCTGTAAGGATGTTGTAGAAGTCAGAGGGAATGGACTTCGGCCAGATGGTAATGGTCCCACTAAAGCGTTGGAGCCATATTTCACTCCAGTCCTGTCCTAAAGGCCGTGGGAGAAGCTCCAGATGCCGCAAAACCTTTAGCCACTTCGTAAGGTCAAGTTTGATGTATTGTTCCGTGGCACTGCCAAGAAAGCCGCCGCGCCATCCGCGACCTCTACGGTGAGTGACGGGTCGACCGACCGTTCCGCGGGATGAGAAAAAAAAGAGATTAATGTGTGGGTTTACCTGCGAGACAATACTGAACCGCACATTAAAATGCAGATTCAGTGACTTTAAGGGAATGTCAGTACGGAGTGACCCGTCCTTCCACTTGTGTCCAAAAGAGTACGGCTCCAGTTTGCCGCTTTTGGTTTTTTTCATAAGGACGACCGGGTTCAGGATCCCAGGGACAGCAGCAGAAGCCAGAACAGCGGACCAGACAACACAGTCAGGTGCAGTCATGTAATTTGCTAGGATTGCCGGCGAGTGAGGATCAGATGGAACGCAGGAGACGTTGAGAATCCGCCCGGTGCGTTCGTATGCCTCGCGGAATGTCCTGAAAGTGCTAGTAAGTACCAGAGGAGAAGCGTATGGTCGATGTTACTCACATTGAACCTCGACAGAACCATTGGCATCTTGCAGCCCAGTCAATGCTGTCGAAGCGCGCTCCTGTCTTCCACCAGCGTCTCATCCACGTCCACGTTGCGTCCTGACATGCTGTAATGCGATATGCTAGAGCTGGAACCAGTAGCTTCTTCAACTCCGTATCAGTTCGTGTAGTGAGGAGAGCTGCAACCAGAGCACCGCCAGATGTTCCTGTAATGACCTCCGGTAGAAGCTCTGCGTCGAGGAGAGCTTTCGCAACCCCAAAGTGGTAGTATGCGAAGGTAGCTCCGCCAGATAAGCAGAGCGCAGTCCGCCCAAAGTTGTGATGGATATGTTTGAACAGCGCGTGCTTACTTTCGGGGTCCAGCTGATTTGTCCTTTGCAGGAAATGTAGCGACTGAGTCACCTCGTCAATGAAACGCTGAACAAGGTCTTTCGTGCCGTAGTAGCTTTCGCTATATAGTCGAGCGTTCTCGAACCCAACAAAATTGTGTTTGACTGATGCCTCTACCAAGCCTCGAAGCTCGTCTACAGCACGAACCTCCTTCATCTTGTCATCAGACAGACCTGTAAATCCTATCTCGTCCATTTCAGCCCGCTCCCGAAACTTGCTCATGTGGTTCACAACCCGACGAATAGTTTTACTGTCGTAGTATGCTGTAGGGTGTCAGTGGATACAATCTACACAACTGACCAGATAGTATATACCATAGTCGTCTGTTTTTTTCCACTCGTCGTTCCCAAGATGGGTGTCCAGCTCTTTTGCGGCCGCTACCCATTCCTCATATGCCTGCTTACTTCTGAGGCTTCTTCGCAATATCTCTCTCTGGCCTCTCCAGGTGATCCAGTGCTCGTAGAGGAAAATGTAGACTCGAGTGAGGAGGTATGATACCCCCAAAAATCCGAGCCAGCCGAACACTGTGAGCAAAAGGGGCCACTTCAGAAGCGTATATACAAAGCCTTCTCTTGTCTCGTCTTTGCCACGCCGGGGAGCTTTCCTTTTTCGTTTTCGTACGCGTTGATGAATGGGTCTCCAGTCGTTCAAGGCCGTAATGAACCGAGGTCTGGATTTTGTAGACGCAATGGGGCTGGTGAGATCATCGTGAGAGGGCGACTGTTCTGGAACAGCAAGAGCCCTCGCGAATTCGGTCAGCTCTTCTTCCACAACGAAGTCATTGTCGAAATCCGGGAGCTTCGTGAAGTCATACGCGTCTGTTGAGTACGGCGATAGGCCGTCGGTGTTGCTCTTGACGTTGGCCATGAGACTATGGTGTCAAGCCATGGCATACAGAATTGACGAATTTGGCAAGTAGTGGCTATTGGCCATATCTGTTCTCACGAGATATGGTGTGAAGCTCTTGGACTGTTGGTTGGGGCAGCACATGTCGCCCAGAGTCCGCACTGATCGACGTCACGGTGCCGAGCGCTGGGAGCAGACCAGCCACACAGACGTGGCGCCGCAGTCCTACAAGCCACTCTTTAGCGGGAGCCCCCTTTGTCAGCGGCCTGAAGTCATCATATTCTGTGTTTAATACATACAATGTACACCCGTACCGCACCATGGAAATCACTACGCGGACTATTACTCACATCTCGACATCCCTGCCCAAGACTCAACACTACCCTCCACACGCTCCGCAGTTCGTTGTGCACGCTCGCGATCGAAACTTCCTGCGATGATACTTCAGTCGCCGTACTCGAATATAAGTCAGATCCCCGAGATCCTGTATTAAGACAAGGCTCCCAGGCGAAACTACGATACCACAAGACACTTACGTCTAGGAACAAACCATATGGAGGCATACACCCAGTCGTGGCGCTGGAGTCGCATCAAGAGAATCTAGCGATTCTAGTCCGTGAAGCCCTACGCTCATTGCCAGATGCTGCTCACGATGAGTCCACCAGCGTGAGATCAATATCGGTTAGGTGCGAATCTAGGGAGAACACGAACAAAGTGATACCGGACTTCATATCAGTCACGAGAGGACCAGGAATGCGCTCCAATTTGAATACAGGACTCGACCTTGCAAAAGGCCTCGCAGTCGCCTGGGATGTACCATTGATCGGTGTCCACCATATGCACGCACATGCCCTTACACCGCGTTTCCTCTCTGCCTCGGACGTGCTAGGCTCAAGACAAGACGATACAGAGGTCTTGCCCGAAGTTGCTCCTGCGTTTCCATTCCTGTCGCTATTGGTCTCCGGCGGTCATACGCTTTTGATACAGACAAACTCGCTCACTGAGCATCGCGTACTTGCGACCACCATGGACATTGCCATCGGAGTTTGCCTCGACAAGATTGCGCGAGCCGTACTTCCAGAGCAAGTACTGAACTCGTCACCGAATACCATGTATGGAGCTGTGCTAGAGAGATTCGCGTTTGCGAATGGGGCCGAAGATCACGCCTATGAACCCCCTGGGGGTCTCTATGGTCCGACAGTCCCTAAGCCATCGCAATACGGCTGGACTATTCCTGCGCCATTCAACAAGATAAACGCACAGAGCATTGAACGTCACAAGGCGAACAATAATGAATTCGCATTCTCATTCACTGGGCTCACAACCTCGATTGAACGAATCGTTGATACTCTGAAATTAAAATCGCCGTGCACATCGGAAGAGGACGAAGTGCAGGAGAGGCGAGCGCTGGCAAGAGAGGCCATGCAAGCCGTCTTCGAGCACGTAGGTCAACGCATCGTGCTCGCGCTTCGGGACACGCAAAAGGAGAATCCAGAACTAGCTTCACGTCTGCAAACATTGGTAGTCAGTGGTGGTGTTGCAGCCAACAAATACCTTCGCTGCATGTGAGGCCCACCAATACCCGCACCACACACTCATTCTTCCTACTAACACCACCCTTAGACTATCACCATACCTCGCTGCTCGAGGCTACGCCGATATGTCCTTTGTGTACCCGCCGGTCGAGTACTGCACCGACAACGCCGCCATGATCGCGTGGGCGGGCATGGAAATGTTCACAGCCGGCCACACGACTTCCCTTGCAGCACGCAGCATTCGCAAATGGCCCATAGACGCCATTCTCGATCCGCCCTCGACTTAGACGGGTCTTCTGTATCGTATGCCCACCGCCCCCTAGGTTGGTCCGGATGTAATTGTATCATGTAAGATAGTTTGTATACATCTCCGTATACACCTCTGTGAAAGTTTCAAAGCTCATGTGAGTTGAGATGCACTATGTCGAAGAGCTATATACTGTGTACGATGTAGGTAGATGAACGTGCGTGAGATGTTCCAATGTGCGTCTACGGTCGCGATCCAAGTGCTTAGCTGGACAAGACGCGGCACAAGGTTCGATGTTATGACTGGAGAATATGTACGACTATGTGGAAGCATCGAGATGGAACGTGGAGTTGTTTTGAAACATATATTTAAAATATATGTCACTTGAGTGTCCTTGTAATCAAGGATAATTTTTGTGGTGCCTGATCGATTCCCCTCCATTTGATATTCTGAATGTGCTGCTCTCAATCCAACAACGAACTTCGCCACATGCACTTTACTTATTCAATGAGTCCAGCGTTCATGTATCCAAAACACACGTCCTGTCTTCACGCCTCAACGTCAACTAAAGTCCCTACAGCGCCCACGCTACTTACGCTGCCAAAACTTTCCACTACATCCCCCTCTCCACCAGCCATATACGCCGGATCAACCTCAATAACATCCGAGTCCTCCTCACCCACACTCTTCGGCAGAACCACCTCCGCAATTCGCCACACTTTTGCCGCCGCCCTCTCCACACTCCCCGGCACCCGTTCATGCATCCCCAACAACGCCAAATACCTCAACCCCCTCATCCCACCCACCGGCGTCAGCACCTTTTCATCAATCTCCCCACCACAACAATCCAGGCCCAGCACCTCCAGCCGCGGCACGCTTGTTGCCAGCGCGCCAAACAGCGACCCCGCCGCATTCAGCTTATGACATCTGCGCACCCACAGCTCGCGGAGCTGTGGCGCCGCAGCCACCACGCCGACGAGCTGCCGCACGCTCAAGTCGCAGTTTTCGAGCTGTAGTGCCGTGAGCCGAGGCCAAGCGCCTGCGAGCTGTGTCCATGCGTTACGTTCGTCGGCGCGGGTGCTGCTGCGGCGTGGGCAGTGCAGGGTTGCAGTGTCGTCGATGCGGATGGTCAGGACGCGGATGTTTGTGAGGCGGCGGAGAGCTGGGGTGAGCGCGGCGGGGAGGGTCCAGAGGGAGAGGGAGAGGGTGCGGAGGGAGCTGCTGTAGCGGGTGAGGATGGAGGAATGCAGGACGAGGTGGAATTTGAGGAGGGTAGGGAGGCGGTGCAGGTGTGGGCGGGGGATGATCGTGGAGATGGCGTGAGGGTCGAGGGGCGATTCGGAGGGTTGATTGGCCTTCGTAGGGGATTTGTGTGTGCGGGAAAAGGCTGAGTGCGTTGATGTTATGGCGGGCAGGTCCCAGGCTGTGAGACGTGAGGTTGTGCTTGCGGCGCGGGAGGTGTGGATTGCGAAGGAGAGCGTGTGGAGGCTGGAAAGTGAGAGCGCATGGGATGATCGCGAAGCAAGTGAGAAGGAGAGCAGAGCGCGGACCGGGAGAGAGGCCAGGATCTGGAGGAGGAGTTCGGGCGGGAGGGACAGCAAGCAGGGTGGTGAGGGTGTTGCCGGCATGATTGATTGGTGTTATAATGCGGCGTGTCGGATATGTATATATTCGAAGACTGCTGATATAGTCGACTATAATGTCGTGGACAGAAATGAAGGGGTTAGGAGGGCAATTTGGAGCAGCCAGACGTTGTGGTTCTTCGCGAGGGGTTGGTGGTGTTGAGTAGACGATATGGTGGCACAGTGATGGATGTAGTCACGTCCCGAAACGGTAACAGCGGCAGCCCAAAACAAAACCTGCAATTTCGTGGCTCTTTCTGTCGGGAGTGTAGACCCGTGGAGGTAATGATTTAACGCGTCTCGAAGACGATGTGACAGATACAATGATGGATCTGTTGTGATCTGTCGCAAATAGCCAGAATGGCATATGACAACATATGACGCCTGAAATGGTCAGCCCTGTCGGTACTCTCCCAAGCGCAGACACTACCTAGAACTAATAAACCACCTGGATGGTTGCACAGCTTGCTTCTAGCCCTGGCGACGATCAAGCCACACGCTAAGCGATGAAGGAGATAGAGCTGAGATTCGAGGTAAGGCGGCTTGTACGATAACGACAAAATGCAAGTTATATGAACAAAGAAGTATGAGGACCAGAAGACTTACAATGCGGCGGGGGGTTTCAGAGCAGGCAACTAACTCAGCGGAGATGATTTATACTCCAAGTCTCGCACTCACAAACTTTCTACTCCTCACTCACTCTCATCGGACATTATTTCCAACAGTGGGATTGCGGCACGGGGGCGGGAGGTTACCTCGATGGTGGTAGCCAGTCATCTCTCGGTATCACATATAGAGGTGGGAGTCTGCCAACATGCATCTTTCAGGCTGAGTCTGCCACGCCACTAGACTGGGGCAGAGAGGCCGGCATCGGTGAGACGATTGGATCCTGGCGAAGAAGCAAGCAGAGTACTTTATGCTGCTGGCGGTTTGCGGCCTGAAGAGGATGTTGGCAGCTCCAAAGGACGACTGTTATTGGTGTTTTGTCATTTGGCGATGCGGCGGGTGGTGAAGTGAGAAGACGCAGCCTCAGGTGTCCAGGAATAGGTGCATGAATTTAATATCTGGTAGTACGCTAGTCTACTGATAGACTAGTGCTGCCCCGCTGGTCCCAGTGCCGCTCTGTCGGGTTTCTCGCTCGTGCTGACGGGTCACTGTTCACTGCTGATGTTGATGTTGTTGTTGTTTTTGTTGTCTAAAGCGGCTTATATGGATATCGTCTATCGTGTCTACCCTATATCCCTGTCCTTACTTTCCACTCAGCCTTATCATATAGACTGCCATCTTGTATTGGCTCGTAGATGAGATGTGCAAGTCCTGAGACGGACCGCCCTCGTGGAGCCGCCAAGGTGGGTTGGGACGGGAAGCAAACACAGTAGACCTTTAGACCTTTAATACTGCCTATCTTTCCCCGGCACATCCAACTCTCTCTCTGCATCATCCTCTCGCCAACCGCTGCCTATCACAATTGCCCAAGCATGCAGTCCCAGTCTCCGCTGGTCAATCCATCCAATCCTGCAGCCCTGCGGCGCAGCCGATGTGTCTCTATCTGTGTCGTTTCAACCATGCACAACAAGCGAATAGATCTCGAGCTTCATGCGCCCCTAATGCTCCCTGCGCGTCCATTCTACATATATAGTATCAATAAGCTGTCCATACCCTGTAGAATATGCACCCGCATCCCGCTCATTCGGCCGACTTTCTCGTGTCCGTGGTTGTCCATGCTGTATCCTCTTCCTGCATGGCTGAGCCATGGGATGCATCTTGAAACTGTTCGATACTGTTATTGCATATCAAGTTTCCAGTGACTCTTGCTTGACTCTAAAACTGTGAGCGTGTTCTTCAATTTACATTCGTATATGTCTTCATGTCTGTCCGTCCACGGAGTGCAGTCACTAGATGATGATAAGCTTCCGAGAGACGGTAATTTCCCGGTCTATAGGACGACGATCATATGGCCGCTTCTTGACCTGCACCTTTGTTCAGATGCATCAATCTACCATTGTCAGAGCTGCTTGGCCGCAGTACAGCTTTGGCATCTCAAAAGGTGATATACCGTTCTTATGACTCCAGCTTTGTCCTCTTTCTGCCTCCCTAGTATCACTGTCTCGCAGAAAGGAAACGCCATCGCTACTCTGAGCATCTCGCACGCAGTATAATGCAGACTTGAGCCGATCGAGTCGTAGGAAAGCCAGCTGGCACAGATCACGACTTCGCAAAACACACAGAAACCAGGCTGTGCCGCTTCTGACACTGTGCTATCCGTAGCAAGTCATCAATGAATCTAGCGTGTCCTCATCATTGCATCTAGATCCCAGTGTGTACAAACACTTCCATCCAAGTTCGACATCTCAAATATACCCTGCCTACACTTCGCTGAAACCTATAGTCCCTTAGTCACACTCTCATTGATCTGCATAATTCCTCCCTCCGCATGCACCCATGTTCTCCCCCAGCTCTTTGAACTTCTTGCTGCACGTCTGCGCCGCAAACCGCCTGCTCGCCTGCGGCGGCACCATGCGTGCCGCGACGCGGCTCCAGCGCAGATTCGCCCCGTGCAGTGCGACTTCCTGGGCATGGGCAGCGAGCAGGAGAGAAATCTGTGGTTGTATTAGCTGTCCTTCGCACATTCACGTCAATTTGAAGACACCATACAACCGACTGATCTCATACATTGAAGCAGGGGGACGGTAGAGATAAGCAAGGAGCGATAGACGTACATCACCTTTCATCCACCGCGGCTCCCTCACACGCTCCTCCTTACACTTTGTCAGCGCACGATACCGCCCGCGCAACGTGCTTTCTGCGATGCCGAAGCCGCCGTGTGCTTGAATCTGGCGAAACGTCAGGCCCTGGGCGCGCAGAGAGAGGATGAGGGCGTCGGATGAAGAGCGCTGGGCTGTGGGTTGTAGCGTTTTGGCGGGGTTTGGGAGTGTCTGTGGGGTTTCTGGCTGGTTCAAGTCGCTCTTGGGAGTTGATAGAAAGGGGTTGTCGAAGATGATCCCGGTAGTAGGGAGGTATGGGTCGTGTGAGCATGGTGGCTCGAGCGGATTCGTGGAGTCGTAGGTGGACTGGGGCGGAGCGGAGAGGTCTGTTGCGGTGACGGGGAGAGATTGAGGAAGGTATGACGGCCAGCGCATGGCGGAATGATGGGTAGTTGTCCTGTGCTGAGCAGATCTATTGTTTTGGGTTCTGTGTGTGGAGAATTGGCATAGTGCGGGCTCAGGCTGTGACGGCGTTGGCGGAGCGCTGTCGAGGATCCTGAGGTCGAAGTCGGTCCCTGCTGATGGTATGTACAATTGTCTTTGCGTGAATAGGTTATCTTGATCAGGGCAGAATTTATTGCGTGGAAGACTGCTGTGGTCGAAGGGCGTGTAACGGATTGTCTCTGAATAGTGAATGGTGTGACTCGGTTCATGGTGAATTTCCGCTGGGCTTTGTTCAAATTGTGAAATTGGATCATAGTCACTGTTGTTGTTTGTCAGACAATCTGTATATGGCTCTTGAGAGGGCCAGTGGAGCCCATCGTCCATCATGTCCACAGTCAGATCGTAGTCCCACGCTTTGCATGATTCTTGCAAGACCATTTTCTCTGTCCCAACTTCATCAATATTCCTCCTCCTTTGCTTGACTTTGTTCTGGCAGCCAAAGTGATGCACAGAGGAGAAACAAGCATCTTGGCCAGCTCCACTGTAGCCTGATATAAGAACACAGGCTGCCTCGAGAAACGCACGCCACGATACTAGACAGGCGCACGATGGCATTCAGGCACTATATCTGGTGAGCATGGAAAGACAGGCGCCACGATCGTGCGCATCATGTGTGTTCCTTCGGCATGGGACGATCAGTACTTCCAACAAGTACTTTCGATGTTCGCAAACGCGCTAAAGGAGAGAACACGGTCAGGTTGAAAACAAGGGCCACGCAATTAGCGTAATCGCAGCGAACCCTTACCGATTTGACAAACTTTTTCTTCATGCAAAAAAATCGGACTGCAGGTTCAAGGCGAGAGGCGAGGCCGAGATAACAGTATAGACGGCGACTTGAGATTGGGTACTGGCATGAGCACAATTTCTGCCGAAACAGTGATACATCATCAATTTTTCTAATACTGAGTCCATTGTAGCAATGACTGTAGACTTGTGCCGCATTATTTGCTATATCACTTGTCTATCATTGGTTAGAATGGACACCTCTTATGACAGACCAGACTGTTAGATGTTTCGACTAGCCTCTTGATGCCACTAAAGTGTGTACACACATAAGAAGCCGTATTAGGATGACTAGGTCTAGATGTCATATTCCTGATTCAGAGGTGAGGTTTGTCTAACGGCGCTACTTGGTTTCGTGGAATACTCAAAAAGTCCCACACATAATGAAACCTGTCATTGTTAGCTCGCTTAAGACAAACACGGCACAATGATTATACCTGTCACTTCCAAAGAAAGGTTCCTCCTTGCCGTCCTGGTTGCGTATCCACATGTATGGACAGCCAAACGCTCCACGCTCCAAGGCTGTCCTTGTGTTCTCATTGAGCTTTTCTTTGATCTCTGTCGTATCAGCAGCCTCTAGGATTTTAATGACGTCCTCTTGTTGGAAGTGTCTCGAGAATACTTCAGTCAAAGCGTCCACTTTACTGATGTCAATGCTCTGTTCCCACATGGCGACCCAAAGCTCATTGTACATCGCAACGACCTTGCTTTCTGGGTAATTATCCTTCACGAAGACCATAGCTCGTTGCGGCTGTACGTGTAAGTAAATTTCCGGTGTCGGGTCGCACGTACAGACTCACAAGAAGAGTTAGATTGGGGAAGAACGAAGGAGTAGTGAGTTGAGGTCTGCCGAAAGCAATTTTCGCTCGTAAAAGGTCCCACTGCAAGTATGCCCCTCTGGCCGGTAAAGATCCTGGCGGTTTGTTTCCAGTCGCTCGATTGATACCTCCCAAGAAGACAGGGATCAAGCTGTGGTAGAAGAACAAAGGTTAGTGAATGTTGGGATTGAGCGGCGCAATTGTCGTAGACGCTGTCGTACTTGACCTCCACATCATGAGACGTCAGGATCGCTCTATTCCTTATGAGATAGACGAAGCCAAAGTACGAGTATGGTGACACTGGGATTGTTGGTCAGCAGAGTCTCGTGCGGCGCATGATGGACTTACCGCAGTCGAGATATGCATCGATCTGACCCTTCATAATGGCATACTCATAGCTTTTGCATGAAACTGATAGCGCTACCTGTCAACGCCGATGTGATTACATCGTGGTGTGTCGGTGCATCATCTTTATAGTCGTTGCCCCGCGCGAGGCTAGCTGACGACCGACTGCAGTGCATCCACGGACGGATTGATTAGAATACTAATCATGAGTTCTCCCAGCACCGCCAAGCCCCATAGCACCGAGGCATTAACGATCCGCCCATCTGGATTCTCCGTCTTAATTATTGAGTTTTCAGTAATCACCTTTCGAAGTGCATCGAACATATAGATGTGATCTATGGCTACAGCAGCTGGTCGCCAGCTTCAAAGGATCGTACCATCATGCCGAACAACGGGCAAGTCGCACTCGTAGTAGGAGCCTCCAGAGGCATAGGACGTCAGGTCGCTATAGACCTGGCGAAAAAAGGCTACAAGGGTATGCTTGGAACGAAAACCGGCATAGCTAAGAAACCCTTGCTGATATGAACCTAATAGTGGTTGTAGCCGCCAAAACAACCTCAAATGCCGCAGAACTCAAATCATTCCCTCCCGACCCAAACTCATCACGATCCACGATAAGCACTGTAGCGCGCGAGATAAATGATGCCGGTGGAGAAGCCACAGCAGTGCCTGTAGATACGCGCGACTTTGCGAGTGTTCAACGAATGGTTGAGCAGGCAATCTGCGCGTATGGCGGGCTCGACGTTCTCGTATACAATTCTGGAGCGATATGGTGGGCCAGTGTGGAAGATACGCCCATGAAGAGGTTCCAGTTAATGCAGCGAGTCAATGTGGAAGGCTTATATGGCACAGTCCAGGCTGTACTGCCCCATTTCGCCAATAATAGCTGGAAAGGCAGAATTATTGTCGTTAGCCCGCCGATCTACTCTAGGTTCTTCAGAGGCAAGACGGCTTATGCTATGGGCAAAGTCGGCATGTCTATTTTGACAAAGGGACTCGCCATGGACTGGATACGCCAAGGCAAAAATGACATGGCAATCACCAGTATCTGGCCTGCCGCTGCCATACAGTCTGCTGCGACGGCAGATCCAGCTATTCAGAAGGAGTTACGCAAAGCTGTACGGTCCGGAGGTGTCGTCATCCGTACCCGAGCTGACTTTTGCAGACAATATTTTCGGACGCGATCCTTGCTATGCTGGCAGCCCCAGCTGCCGAAGTGAACGGATGTCTTGAGCTTGACGAAGACTACCTTCGTAGCAAAGGCATCACTGACTTCAGCCAATATGCCCTCTTCCCAGGTGCATCTCCAAGACGCATCATGCCAGTCAAGCTCCCAGATCTTACAGTAGCCGAACAGGACGATGAAGGCCATAGAATAGACAGTGCCAGGTCTCGCGCGTCAAGATTGTAGATTGGCAAGAAAGGGCACAGTGATCTCCAGCAAATGACATTCTTGGTCTAAACCGCCTTTACTTTGAAGTCATCCCACCAGCAGGATTTGTTTATGAGATAGCCGTCTTTGTCAAACTTGACACCCTCTTTCTCGAGTAGTTCTAGCTTCATATCACAATTCATCCCGCTCGGAACGGTGCGCCAATCGCCTTTGAAGCCACCGAGAAAACTAAGGTCGACATGTCAAGCACAGATCATTCGGAATTCAAGTACAGTCGTGTGCTTACCCTGTAGAGGCAATGCATCGATGACACGGCACCTGCAAAGCCGTTATTGATATCTACTACTGTGAAGGGTATGCTGTGAATTTACCTCTGGTGCGAATGGATTATTCCTGCATGCCCCACCAACCGCACGAGGCGATGAGTTCAGCGCTCGTGCAATTGCAGCATACGATGCAATTCTGCCTTCAGGGATTTGTTGAAGGCAGTCGTACACTCGTGTCTGAAACTCTGTGACTTTCTTGCTCATGTTTAGACTCTCGTGCGGAGATCTTGTACACACTGGCTTGATGAATGAAGACGGAAGGCCTCTTCTTCCACGCGCTGCTGAATATAACTATGAATTGAGCGCGTAAGCTTGGGTAGAAGATGAGTCAACGCGTTCGCGGCACGCTGTCACGAGACCGCTGGTTGTTGCACTTAAAGTGACCAATTGGGTCTGCCCAAGCTAAATCGACTTGCTTGTCGACAAATAAGATTTTCTGGCGTGCGCTGTCAACTTGTCAATCGTAATTTCACTGTTTGGCCGAAGCACCACAAACCTAGTCTGAAGCCTGCTGTTGCAGCCATTTCAGTTATTGCTTGGGATAACCCATTCCTACTTCTTGGCGTTGACATGCCTTAAGATCATGATTCCCATCAGCATTGTCACAAGCTTCATATACGGGAACACATTTGAAATAAACTTGCCAGAACGTTGTCGGCGTATACAGGACTCATTGCACCATGGACGGACAGGATCGCGTTGCAACTCCAGCTGAAGAAACAACACCACTACTCACAAACAACAACACCGATGTGGCACAGGCTCAAGACGCTGATAACAATGACCCATCACAAGACGTTGAAGCCGGTATGCCAGCAGCGAATGGTCAACCAAGGACACCGCGAAGTATCATCGTCATGACAGCTCTGATCATGCCTTTGGCAGTCTTGGAGATCGCAACATACATTGCAGGGATCCCCCTCGGTCAGACTGTACCATGGTGGGCCACATACCAAGTACAACCTCTCATCACTCTTGTAAGCTCCGCCCAGATATTACATCCTCAATATTATTCGTTGCTGACCTAGTGTAGACTATCCTAGCCTCCGTTGCCGCGATAATTAATATCGTCCTGATCCGTCGCCGTGGGACTCCATTAGCATTTCCTCTCAATCTCATCATCGACATTGCTCTCGGACTTTCTATCTGGTCTTCTGTGGCGCCAGTGTTGGACCATATATTGGGCAGATACCCTGAGACATCCGAGATATTGCTGATCTTGACATTTGTGTTCGGATTTATCATTGCGTAAGTCTAGTTGTGTCTTTACTCTGTACATCGGCTTACGTCTCATCAGGTTATTGTTCTTCGCCCTCTTCATTGTGCGCTGCATCGCTTTCATCCGAGATCAGCGTCGACAGAGCACCTGGAGTGTTCCGACAGGAGGAGTGACATTTGAGTTTTCCATCAAGTTCTTCAGGCAGGAGAACACGGGGACGCCTGCGCCATGAACGTAGACCCTAGGCCCGACTGCGATGATCCACTCAGAATTGGTAGCCTGGGGCAGCAATAAATTGTCAGCGGGTAATATCAAATGACTTCTGACAGTATAACGCTGAGTAAATATCGGGCATGGACTTAGCCGATCTGCAAACTAGCTACTGTCCAACTTAGAATATGGACATTGTTGACAAAGTTGGTAGATTCGAGAACTTTTTAATGGCAAGCACTAACCAAAAATCATCGATATGGTTACGTACGTTGTGTACATGTGTACAGTATTAAATGCGTGGACTCTTGTCCACTTTGTTGAAGATCATCACCGTGTCTAGTGGATCATGCATTAACCTGGGCATTCTCAGAAAGCATAGAGTAACCAAGGGCACTAGATCTGCAATTCGGACGCACCATGACTTCAAGAGGCCTTTTGCGATGAAAACCTCCGAATGCGCCTCGGTCCTCATGCCATCAGCGCTATCTGGGCTGCAAGGAGGGGCACTACTAAACAATCTGCCATAAACATAGGACTTTTTTGACCATGCCCTAGCGAATCATACGCTGACCAGTACCACTGGCCTCGAGGGATCCGAGACGAACATCTACCTGGACCTACTGGAGACAGTTTGGACCTTTCGACAGGGAGGCCATAGCATCTCGTCTTGCTGGAGGACCCTATAGTTCAACGCTCCGATACTTGTATATTTGGTTCATCACACCAGCTTTCACTATGACAGAAATATCAGGAATCGAGAGCCTATCAAGTGAAGAGGCACAAGCTCTTTTGTACGGCCGAATGCACCCATTACCACGCCTATCGAAGGCTCCAGAACAGAGTAATGACATTTCTGAAGTTTTGGTCGTTGGAGTAAGTCCTCACGCATTTCTGTCGAATATATACTTACGAAAGCTACAGGCTGGCCCAGCGGGCCTGTTCATGACTTTGAACCTCGCTCATTTGGGACTTACCGACACTTCTCTTCTATGTATCGATGCTAAATCTGGTCCGACACCCGCAGGCCATGCCGACGGCCTGAACGGACGCACGCTGGAGATCTTTCGCACGGTCCAGATTGAAGGTGACATCCTCCGTGACGCCCCTAGTATATGCAGTTACGCATCCTGGTACCGGCCAAACGGTGACCCAGACAGCTTCCATAAGGGCTCCGAGCAGATCGCAAACACAGTAGCCCCAGCACGGTACGGTGATTATAAACTTATGCAACAAGGCCGTCTTGAGCGCGTCTTTTTGCGCGATCTCTTCGACTACTCGACGCGTGGTGTGCAGTATTCAACTCAGTTGGTTGACGTCAATCTTGACGAGACGGATCCGGAACGGCCAGTGACTGCAGTGGTAGAGACGGACGGACATCGAAGGACTCTACGGACGAAATATCTCATCGCTGCCGACGGTGCTCGGTCTGGCATCCGCCAGAAACTTAACATCGAGCAAGAAGGACAGAACTTACCTCGCGTATGGGGCGTCATCGACATTGTTGTCGACACCGACTTCCCGGACATACGCAAGTTTACTCAGCTGCCTGGGCACCTTGGTGAAGGGAGAGGGCACGCGTTCATCATCCCTCGCGAGAAGATGAGCAACGGCGAGCCGATGACACGGTTTTACGTCGACTTGACAGACTATTCGGAGTCAACAGAGGGCATGTCGGACACGCGGGCATTCCGAGCGAGCATTACCGTCGACAAAATCATGAAGAAGGTGCGCGAGAAACTACACCCATACCGCGTGGACATGAAGAAGGGCACACGACCGATCTGGTGGGCCGCGTACCCCATCGCTCAGAAAACGGCAAAGGAACAAATCGTGCGAGACTCCCAGAGCCACCCCCGAATCTTTCTCGCAGGCGACTGTACGTCACACCCTCCAAGTAAACCCCTTGCACCGCTAACTTGTCTTTCCCAGCAATGCACTCGCACTCACCCTCTCAAGGCCTTGGCATGAACATGGGCATTCAAGACGCCTTTAACCTCTCCTGGAAACTTGCCTACGCTATACATGGCCTCACGGTCTCGCCAACCTCCCTGCTCGATACATACGAATCCGAGCGCCGCCCGGTCGCCCGCCGCCTCATCCACCTCGACCGCGTATGGAACTCGACCGGCAAGACAGAGCAGCCCATCGAGGCGCGCCTGCACGACATGGCAGAGTACATGACCTGCTGCGGCATCGAGTACGGGCCCAGCATGCTCGTCTCGCAGCCCACCAGCGCCGCCGAGCACGACTCCAATACCGCATCCCGTCCGCCCAATTCCGCGTCAACGGCGCATGGCCCTGTTTCCGGCACAGACTATCTTCACGGCGTCCTACGACCGGGCCGCCGTTTGCTCAATATCGCACTGCGACGGTTCGCCGATGGACATGGCTGGGACATACACGACGACTTGCGCGCCGACGGGCGGTACCGGGCTGTTGTGCTCGCCACAGTGAATTTTCCGCACGGGCTGCGAGATCGAAGCGCTGTGGCGCATGTGTGTGGTGCTACGGTACATGCGTTTGTGGCGGGAGGAGCTCCTATCGTCGAGGCGGTCATTGTGTATCCCGGTTCGGGGGAGTGTGGGTGGGGCTGGAGGGATGTACCGGAGGCTGTAAAGAAACATTGTGAAATGAGGGTTTACGGGGCGCAGAGGGAGGAGTATGAGAGGTATGGTGTGGATGTGGACAGAGGCGCTGTGGTTGTTGTGAGGCCGGATGGGGTTGTTGGGTGGGTGGGTGAGCTGGATGATGTGCAAGTGATGGACGAGTTTCTTGGGCGGGTGCTGAGGAGAAAGAGTGTTGACGAGCTCGTGGACAGGAGCGAGGCGGTGGATTGTGATATTGGCAGTCGTGGAGTGCTGTGTGGGTGAGTTACCTAAGTACGTAGCAGTTGTTCCGAGGACAGCAGGGTCAAGAACGCATCCATTGCTCATCCTAGCATACAGCCAGCTACTCCATCTTCCGTCATACATTCATCGATCTATCTATACAATCGTCCATGCTTCATGATAACCCCCTCACATAACAACACACCAGCAACTCTCGTCACAGCCACAGCATTCACAAGACTCGCCACACGACGTCTTTGGCCCGGCGGGCTTGATGATGGATATGATGCTCGAAGCGGTGGATGGCGGCATGTTTTCGAGCTTGACTTTGAAGATGTGGAAATGGAAGTGATTGGGACAGGTGCTATGTGAATGTTATTAGGAGGTGCCATGGGAATGTGTGTAATGAAGAGGGCAGATAAGACGTACCGTGTGCGTTGTCTGTTTTGGGATGATATGTGTGTATGGCTGTGTATGTGTGTCTGTATGTCGAAGATGTAGTTATCTCACTCCACGAACCACGAGCGCGCAGCCTGCCTTTATACACACTCGCTCATTCTTACATCCCACGTCCCAGCACAGCTCACGCCAGCACTTCCCATCAGGGAGGGACCCGCCAGACAGCCACAGCCACGCATGAAACGTGGTCTACGCAATTCGCTCGCCCATTTTCAGCTCGCCCATGCCCTGTGAATCCACTATCTGACCAATAACCCACTCAACGTAGCTCGCCGCCGGTATACCGCATGCAGCAGCAGGTTTGTAGACTAGCGATTCATACCATACTATACCATACTATGCTGTATCACATCGCAAGGGCTGTCGTCAAAGCGCCATATCTTGACCGTATACATTTAGGTTCGTCGGGTTTGTCGGGCGGGGGCCTGTGAAGTTCACATTCCACTTTCGCGCCACTATGGCCACGGCTTGCCTCTCTCTCATTAGAACGTATCCACGAAATGCCTCATGCTAGATAGAGTGGTGCGTTGGCATGCTGATACTGATGCCGATCTACTTCAATTTACCTACGCGTTCAGCAATCTGCCAGCAGTACTTAGTGAAAGGTCACGAGCTAAGCTTTCTGCCAAGACAGGGACTGAAGCTTGGTGAAGCTTACGCGTCGAGGGCCCCACTTGCTTGCTAAGGTTCTGCTGGGCACGCACAATGAGCTGCTGCTGCAGGGCAAGGGGGTGTTCTAGGTCTGGGTGATGCATGGGGTGTACGGGCTAGTGATTGGATGGCCTGGGTTGTGTATATATCCATGTGAGTTTGGCGGATACTGCGCTGCGGTACAGGCTTGGCATATCAGGAGGATGTTTATAGAGAGGCCTTGGAGAGGAGAGGATGTAGTCAAGGCATGCAACGCCTATGATGCTTTCTGTGGTAAATTTGGAAGAGCTGACTACAGAGAAGATGCAAGCTGCGGTCAAGTAATGGCGTTGTGAGTTGTGGGTGGATCCTGTGGCTGAAGGATGGACGGGAGACGCGTAGATGGGTGGATGCAGTACGGCTGAGCGGCATCGTGGTGTTTGTTTTGGCGTGTGCATGCCACACCTTTCCAGGGAGGCAGGAGGAGTGACATCTTCTCAGGTTGATGTAGTCGGATAGCTGGACATTGGGTGTGGATATGTTGCTAGTTATGGCTAGTGTAGCGCTGATTTATTGATAGCATGCATAAGGTGGACGCTCAGGACAAGTTTGGAGCATAGTACGACCTGTATCATGAAGATTGGGGGCTGATTAGAAATTTTGAATATGTGTGAGTCGACGCAAAACGCAGTCTACTTAGATGCTAATCTGACGCCCGAAAGATCTTGAACACCATACCATGCAAGTCATCGTCCTATATACAAGGTATCTCCGATCGCTTACTTCTACCGTGCCAACCTGAACGCTTCCCTAGATCTTGTGTTTCGCAGGGTCGATCATGGGGTTGGAGCGCAGGAGTTTTGGTGCCAGCCTGATGTTGTACTCCATTGATAGCTCAGCGTGCTTGTCGCCCTGCAGAGGCACGAAGTCGACAACGAGGTCGTTCTTGACGGCAAAGACGGAGTCAATGCCAAGGTAGGGGTCGTTGCGTGGGTAGATCTGGTTGACGACGGTGCGGTAGTCCTCGTGGGTGATCATGAGATGAATATGGGCCGGTCGCCAGGGAGAGCGGTCCATGACATCGAGAAGAACACCAGCAGGGCCTAGGTGTGTGTGTTAGCTGAATGGTAGCATGGAAATTGCGGAAGCGTGCTTACCATCAGTAGGTAGTGAGTATGGAGTAGGCTTGAGACAGTAGAACCAGTACTCTCCATTCGCATCTGTCCTGAACTTGCCCCTCAGATTGTTATCTGACTGGCCTTCAGGGTCTTGGAAGTCGTATTTGCCGTTGCTCGATGCCTGCCAGATGTCGACGACAGCATTCTTCAGCGGCTTCTGCGTAATCACATCAACGACACGACCGTGCATTTTTGTGACCTGGCCATTGTGAGGGTCTTGGATGATGCTGCCACCGATTTGGCGCCATGGTGCGTTTGGCGACCAGAAGGGGCCGAGAATTGTGGTTGATGTAGGGACTTCGCCGCTGTCAATGATGACCTTATTCGCGATCTCGTCGACGAGTCTGTAGGAAGACGAGAAGGGTGAGAACGTGTCGGCCAATCAGATAGGGGCTTGGCACTGCTTACGATTCTAGACCAATCACGTCACAGATGCGGTGGCCCTCATTCCTCTTGGGTGTGCTAATCTGTCCGATGGAGTTTAAGAATTGCACTCCCATCATCCATTCTTCAGTGGTCAGCTCGACTTCGCGCGCAAAGTCGTGGATATGCTTGATGAGGCTGCTGAGGACAACCTTTGCGCGTGGATTTGTCGCTGGACCAAAGGAGTCGAGGACTTGGGGAGTGAAGTCGGGGTCGAACTTGTTTGGGGCGGGAGCGGCCATTGTGTGTGATTTGTGTGGTATGATAGATATCAGCTGGGGGAGCAGCGCAGTTGAACAGGAGAACCAGGCAGAGAGAACTGAGAAGGACGAGAGAATTATCAATCTAGCACGACTCACGCGGCGCAGTTCACAGCTATATAAACAAAGGATGATTCCAGTGCAGCACCATGCCGTGCAGATAGGCCGGTCGGTTGTCACAGTCTGTACATCCAGTGCTTCACGGCAGATCTGTCGGCTAATAGTTCTTAGGGCTGCGGGTTGTCGGGGGCCCTGGACAACAAGCGACAAGCAACGAGGAGAGAGTGGCATCATGCTCGCATAACAATAACGGTATCATGGCCGCATAATTGACGAAACACGGCGTAGGCTTTCATGGTCATCATCACTCATCACTCATCACCATCACTTGCCGCTCCATTCGCCGAACACTCCTCAACTCAGGGAACCCCGCAGTCTGGTCTCATTAGCTGCTCCCCTGCCGTCAGCCCTCTATTACAACCCGCCTCTTAGCTCTCACTGCATGAACGAGTCACGACGTCGTCTTTTTCGGCTACTATTAATGGGATTTACGTCGCCGTGAATATCCGCCTTCAAATCATGAGGCGCCTAACTACTGGGTCTTCTCTTTGCTCAGCAACCTAGTTGCCTGTTGCTGTACAATATTTGGTGGAAGCGCAAGGCTCGATTGATGCTTGTCGGCACAACATGCTGCATCATTTGATGGTTGGCACATGGACTCCTCCGGGCGCCATCTTCACATTCGAATTCGATGATGAGAAACTCACCTTGAAGCTTGTCAAGAAGACTGTCATACCGCATGATGAGCCTATATCATGGATGACCTTCAGTGTAAGCTTCCATCTCCACTTTCGACGGCACTGTGGCTTACAGAATGCAAAAGCATACCAAAAAGACCATATATGGCGCCGCCTTGAAGAAATGGTCAAGCTTCACCGTCAAGAGTCCGACAGAGATTGTACACAATGGGTCCTTTCCGATGGATCATGATCGTAGGTGTGCGTCTGAAACACCAGTCGCACTCGCTGACAAGTCCATCTAAGCTCGAGCATCCCAAGCAGACACCAGAACTCGTGCCATCTTTGTTCTTGCAGCAAAGAAGCCTCCATACAACGTCTACGGCAACCCATTCTACGAATATGCCGGACACGGGAACGTATTCTCAGTCACCGATGAGGGAGCCTTAAAGGAGAATGTGCAGAATTACGAATACAATGAGCGTGCAGCCATCCACGGCATGGTCTTTGACTCACGCGAAGAGTACATGTATTCCGCAGACATGTGGGACAACAAGATCTGGACGCATAAGAAGAACCCAGAGACCGGCCATTTGCACACGGTCGGCAGTGTCAATGCCCCTGCCTCAAATGATCACCCCAGATGGGTTGCTCTTCATCCAAAAGACACGTATCTGTACGCCCTCATGGAATCTGGCAATCGTCTGGGCGTATATGTCATAGACGAACAGTCTCATCTGCCGATATTCACGTACATCACGTACCCCCTGCTACCACCTGGAATGGACAGGTCTTTCCCAAAGATGTATCGATCAGACGTCGTGTTCTTGTCACATAGTGCCAAGTATCTCTTTGCTACTGCACGATCCAATAGCGCCTCACTTACTGGGTATATCTCCGTGTTCGAGCTTGGTCCGTCCGGTAACATTGTGCGCCATATATGTATGAATCCTACACCAACTAGTGGAGGCCACTCCAATGCGATCAGTCCATGCGATTGGAGCGACGAATGGTATGCGCTTACCGATGACGAAAAGGGTTTCATTGAGATATATCGCTGGAACGAAGGGTTTCTGGGAAGGGTCGCACATTGCGATGTTCCAGAGCCAGGCTTTGGGATGAATGCAATTTGGTATGATTAGGCAAGAAAGCTGCATAGACGGAGATAGACGGCATGTATACGAAACAGAAAGATGTCATTATCCGAGTCGCGAGAACGTGCACATCTCACCCAATGTGGCCGCCACCAACCAGCCGCCCTAAATGCCGAAGCCAGGGGCCGGGGTCTTCTCCGGACCTTAGCGTTAGCCTAGCGCAACTCCCCACATCTAGCCCAGCTTACCCTTACCCTCCTCTTCCCGTCCCCACCGTCAGGCCTCAGAGCTCTACCAAAGGCTGCACGTTGACGCAGATCGAGACCGCATACACTAACCGGCAACCGGCTTCGGTCTGGTGGGCCTTCAGAGTGAAGATGAAAGATGGCGACCATCGATCATTCCAAAACAACAAACATCTCAAATCCAACCACTCGTCAAAACCTATGTGATTCAGATTCTCACCTTGCCGACCATACCTAGCGAATAAGCATTGCCACCGCACCAGATAAGTCCTTGACACGAACATGGCACCTCAAGCTGGCATTCTCTATGTAACGATGGCCCCCCAGGCATCACTGCCTGCAGCTCAATTCCACGATTGGTACGACAACGAACATGGTCCCCTTCGATTGCGCCTTCCCTACATCACGAATGGCTTCCGCTATCGTGCCAATGACATGGATGGGAAAGACCCGACAAAGGAGCCGGAATGGATGGCTGCATACGACGTGACAGACATGAATGAGATGACCAAGGAACAGTATACGAGGCTTCGCCGGGAACCAATACAGACACAACGAGAGCGGGATACAATGAAGCAGATCAAGGTGGACAGGAAATTTTACGATCTTGTACTTGTCCGTACATCATCAAATTTTGAAGATATAGAACAAATTGGTGCACAAACGAAGGACGTAGCGAGCGTGCTTGTTGCGCGTATATTCACCCTAAAAGAAGGAGCAAAGGACAAAGAAGAAGAGTTCCTGAAGTGGTACGACGAGGAGCATTTGCCCATGCTGGAGAAGGTTCCCGGTTGGCGTCGTGGACGTGTTTACAAGTCCAGCTCGATCGAGCCCGTCAATGAGGTGCAATATCTTGCTCTGCACAACTATCTACCGGAGAATGGCTTGGGAGGAGAGGAATTCCAAGCCGCCATATCAACACCATGGAAGAAAGACATCGTCGCGAATGTGATTGATGACAGGTCAAGGCGTACATTTGACTTGTACTACACATTCGGTCCAGCTCCACGAGATCTCGCAGCGCCAGCTTCCTTAGACGCGCTTGCGTCTTGGAACTACTCAGACGGCGTGACCAAAACATACAAGGAGAAAGAGCGTGCAATCGTGGAGTCGTATGTCACAACTGCTGATGGTGCGGTACTTCCCTATCGTCTTGAGGGCTCTACGAACCCAGAAGCTCCTCTGATCATTCTCTGCAACTCCGTGCTGGTGACATGGGGCATATGGGATGCATTCGTTGAACACTTCTTATCCGACCCCAAAAACCAACACTTCCGTATCCTGCGCTACAACTCACGTGGCCGCACCGCAAACACCGGCTCCCAGAACATCACTCTCGATGTGCTCGCAGCCGACATAATCACCATTCTCGACGCTCTGCGCGTCCCGAAAGCCGCTAGTCTTTTCGGCGTTAGCCTCGGCGGCGCAACAGTTCTCAACGCCGCTCTCAAGTATCCGTCTCGCGTTGGCTCGTTCATCTCCTGCGATACTAACTCCAAGTCGCCCGCAGGCAACAGCACAGCTTGGGCCGAACGCATCGATATCGCAGAGAAACAGGGCATCAAAGCGCAGTCTGGCGAGCCGTTGGTCGGCTCCGAGCTCGCCGAGAAGACGGTGCGTCGCTGGTTCGTCCCCGAGTCGTATGATGGCGGCGTTAGCGAGAAAGAGATCCAGCGCGTCAAGGACATGGTAGCAAGCAACAGCCTAGATGGCTTCAAGAAGGGCGTCAGAGCACTGTTCGACTACGACGTGGAAGGTCTCATGCGATCCTCCAAGGTAAAGGGTGCATTTGTCGTCGGCGCGGGAGATGGTGTGCTGCCGAAAACGATGGCGGAGATGGCGAAGAACTACGGAGACGGTGTTCATTTGGCGGTCATCGATGGTGCGGGACATTTGCCTATGGTTGAGAAACCGAGGGAATTTGCAGACGTGGTGGAGAGATTTATGGCTGGCTAGGATGTGCGCAGGACTCGGAGTTAAAGCGAGCGCACATGTGTATGTATGTACGCTATACGCAATACACTTCTATCACGTAATCACTGGGTGTTTGCATCATAATCAAACACTCCCAAAACGTCAGCAAAGCTTCCCTGAATGGTTCCATTAGCACTAGACTTCTTCCAGTCACTTGCACTGTCTCATAGACGCCGTTCTGACCTAGTTATATGTATCATGATACAGCAGTCACGCAGTGGAAGTATATAAAGATAGATACCAAGGACGCTTATCTGGTGTTGTTGTGGTGTACAAGCTCCATTTGCTGCTGCTTATCATCATTATTATTATTAGCATCAGGCATCACAGGCACGTACGGCAGAACTGCATCTTCCCCCCCGCCCAACTAACAGCTCGTGATGATAGTGCGGCGCGTTCGTGCGATTATGGGAGATGGTATGTCGTTATCGAAAGACGCTGATAGTAAGGACTAGTTGAGGTACGATGTGCTGGCCATACGCTTCGGCATCTCGTGCTGCTATTCACCGTCACTGCACTTAAGGCTGGTAAATATCTGCTCTGACCTGAAGTCGAAGATAGGGCAGGGGTAGTGGTATAGCATATGTACAATATATCACGAGTGCTAGGTGGTTACAGAGAGTTTTAGCGTGTGTGGATAGGTAATAAGCGTTGAAGAGTAAGATGTGGTTTCAGTTGGGAAGGAGTTGAGAGTTCTGCATACGTACTTTTTCGAGTGCAAACCGGGTGGCTTATGCTCGTCGAACAGTGTCGACTCATACGTATGCAGTGTCGACTCAGCATGTAATAGCTTGAGAAGGCGTAGAGGATAGGAGTAAGAGTGACAGTGACGATGCTGCTCTTAATTCCTCCTGAGAACGTACCCAGCAGTTTGGAGTCGCAAGTACGTGCATATATATGCTAAAGCCTTTCGCCCCGAAGTTACATTCAAGTATAGCTGCCTCTGACTTCCCTTACATCAGTCCATGTACAGAGAAATGTCTCTCATACCAGTACACATATCAGTACATAGAAGTGCTTAGTCCATGTCCCGGACTTGCATCCGCTCTCATACCGTACACAATCATCTCTTCTCTGTACATGCGTGCCCTTCTTTCTCTCGTTGTGCTTCAAATGCTGCATACTAGCATTGTTTCTTCGATACTGCGGATCATCGTGTCTGCGTGGTAATGCTTGGTATCAGCGTTCTTACGTATTTACATACTCGGTGTGTTTCCGGCGTCTTTGGGCCAGAATAAAGGGCCGCGGACGGAGGAGCACATAGCCCGAGAGGTCAAAGTCTACTCGATGCTGTGCGCCATGAAAGGTTTGTCCAGGTTAGCTGGTGGAACTGGCTGATGGAGCTGGCTGATGAGAAGGAGGAGGATTGGGTTGTGATGGCAGAGTTTTATAAACATCCAGGGTAGTGGGGGCTGGATGCCGGGTACTTGTGCGTGGCGGGTAGGGTGATTGGAAGAGTAGGTCTGTGCTATGTGAGCCAGTGTCGGTCTTGCTGGATATGAAAGTTTTGTGAAAGAGAAGCTATCTGCCGGGTTTGTTGAGCGGCGACTTGATACCAGACTTTCTTTGACTGTGTACTGTCTACTGCGTATATAGGGTTGGTCTTCTGAGCGTATTCCACACTCTCTCTGGGACAAAAAGGTCGCCTCCATCAAAGTATACAAACCCGTGGCAGGAAATGCGGATTAACACTCGACCAACTTTAACCAGATGCGGTGTGCTTGAATTGTGCCACGCAGGACACTACGTGTTCATTCAGTGCTGGAATCAAGGAATGTGGACCATGCTGGTATGTTCTGCGCTGCTGATGATTTTCATTGGTGTTTCATTTAGATAGTGCCACACATTGTTGCTCGACGTTACTAATGATGATGATTGCTTTTTCGCGCATGTGATTTGTTAAATTCTTCTGTCATATCTAACAGAGGTTGTTTCCCTCGGTGTGCCCTTGCGTAAGACTTCATGGCTAGATATTGTGCTTCTGCTTAGGTTGAGGTCTGAGGGTGTGGTATGTGACTCACACATGTGTACAGTTTCTGGTCAGGATTAAGATTATCTTATAGGGGTGTGTTTGGGAGGATCCTGGTAGAGCTATGAAATCATTTAAGATGGCGCGCATTACTGTCCTTTATTATATGAGTGATTTTCAGACTAAAGACAGAGTCCTTCATAAGAGCAGGTTTGCAGGTTGATACCCCTCCTGGTATCATCAGTGTACCAGTTCAGACACTTTTCGAACCATAGATGAGATGTTTATGATGGGCGCTAAGACTTATACACAGACACAGGCACAGTTGCGAGGGCTTTATTGGGATATCAAGCCACATATGATAGAACGTGACTATGTTGATTATATGTAGAAATCATTGATCACATACGCATGTCTGTCGAGGTGACTCGTGTTGCTGCATCTTCAATACCAAGCAGCAGATACAGACCCAGATATACTGAGTCGCATTAGCAATGTGATAGCTTGCAATACCGCTGTGTCGCGGATATGCCACTACGTGGTACACAATATACCTAATGTCTTCTGGCTTGATGGACTATGTGATTAATTCACTAGACTGCATGTCAAGCAGCTCAATTGCTAAAAGTCGTTCTCGTCGTCTTACTTAGGGGACCGTAATATTTCATTATATCGAATAAAGACAAACGGCGGGTATAATTCATCTATATTCTTAGGGGATCATACTCTTTCGAGGACGTGAATACATGATGTCGAAGTAGAATTCAGCCCTAGCTCTTCTACCGGCAGGTATAGACCACTATGGATGTGGGCTGATGGAATTTGTGCAGTCCTACTGGACCCGAGAGATAGTTGGGTGTACTATTTCTTATATGTATGGGGTAAAAGTTTAGATTCTAGTAACCAAAACGAGCTAAGATGTAATATATAGAATGCTTCTTCTCTATTGTATCGTGTCTTCATTCTTCTTCATATGGCGGGGGCTCTGCATCCCAAGATTCCCCTTGTACAGGATTTTCTTGGGTTTTAATAAGAACACCGTGTCGAACATATCCATCATTGCCCCGATCATCAAGCATTATCCCGAATTCTCTTGTCATCACAAGCATGGCAAGGTATACTATATATCCTTCGTTAATGCCTATTTAGAGTTATAGAAATAAGATAAGTATTTATTACTAACCATAGTTTTGTACATTTCTTAATGCAAAGGTTGTTTCCAACTGTACACATTGGGACCATGTAAGGTCTTGGGAATCTCGAAACACTAATATATATATTAGTATAGGTATAACCCTACTTTAGGTATATCGGACGTACTATAGAACCCCGACGTAAGTAGAAGTTGATAGAGTATTGTTAGACTCATAATAGTATTTGGTCCTAGGCTTGAAGGATTTGAAAGCGCATGATCTAAATACTCTCCATCGTAAAAATCGAGTAAAGTCGATTTAGGGAGGTTAGAGAGCCTGTCGCAGATAGTGATGGTGTAATGCCTCTGATCCCGACTCCTGTATGTGATAGCGCGCATTTCACTTGACTCCTCCGGGTATACATGTCTACACTTCGGTTCTTCCGTCTCCATGAACAGGTACTCTTTATAGTACTGATTCCCGTAGGTGTACTGACTCGTGTAGGTGAACATGGGAGTCTCATCTTTCCATCTGCTTGTATTTGGTCTTCCGTCCATTCTTGGTGGATAATCAGGCACTAATTTCCAGCGCATATCGCGGTCGCAGTAGATACGGGTTATCGGTGGCTCTAGAGGTGGTGGCCCGGAGTCATCAGGTTGCTCGATTGCGATGTCTTTCATCTCTCCTAAGCGACGCATTATCTTTAACACATGCTGAAAGGTGCCCTCCGTTGGGTCCGTGATTTTAAAAAGATGAAACATAAGCTTTCTAATATTTTCATCGTTCTGGAATACCTTCATATGAGACCAAGTTAGCTGTGCTATGTATATTGCTTCCTCAACGGCCGTTTGGACACCTGGCGTGTTGTGGGCAAGACATGAGGAATCAAGATAATAATATGGTAGAGCTGTAACTAAAGGTAGATGAAGAAGATAAGTAAAGAGAGTAAATAGTACTATAGAAACCATCGTGTAGTACAATGAATGTTGCGAAGAGATTTGGAGAAATCATTAATAGTTTATATTATAGTAAAAATTCAAATATTATAATTATATTCAGAGACACGAGTGAGCGATTTTTCTATCTCTCTAGACCAGTAAGACTTAGAAGTAGACATTCTGAGTTATAGCATGTCCTATAAATAGTAGTCTGAATATAAGCCTCCGCGTTTCATTTTTTAGTGTATATTCTAGGAATATCCCTGTAGATGAGTCTTCGCTGGATCGCACGCGTCACGGGTAAGTACCACTAATAGCTAAGCTTTGGATTCCACTATAAGAATCGGCATATATAGTCACGTCTAGATTAGAGGGATATATGATATTCTAGTTACACTATTGACCAGGGTCTACTTATACCGTTCTAGACATCAACTCCGGTGTATACCACAAGAGCCTGGAAGAGCGCACGGGCGCAAAATTCATACTGAATGGCGGGTATTGTGACACCGTATTTACTCTGCCAAGCTTATGATGTTCTCTTATCGGCACTCGTTCAATTTATAATCACACATGCGATCACTTCGTCAATGAGATGAGTAGACAATAATTCCTGAATCATTTCCGTCATCGGACCATCCTTATGTATAAGAGCAATCGAGGTTATCTACAGTGGTTCAATGTCGTCTCGTCCTGATGTGTCCGATCCAATCACTCTGCAAGGTCCGATACATCCACTGTGCAAATCTGACGGCTGGCTCATCGATGAACTTTGTTCCCAGCTCCGCAGCCCACAGAGTTGACGGCAATAGTATGACTTGGCACGCCAGGAAGTTGATCTCCAACCCCAGAGGCCCTGCGTTTGACAGTGGATATCGGTTGTACCAGCCTGGAAATTCGACATCATCTTGCCCGGCCTTGCCAAAACCCGTCGCGACATAAAGGCGCATGGCGATCGTCGTCAAGATGGCACCGTGTAGGAGATAGAGGGCATACGATATTCGACCAAGATACTGGCAGAAGTTTGATTCGAAGAACGATTTGAGGACGCTTATGCGCGGAATGCACATCACGATTAACGTCGATGCGAAAAAGAGCGGCCACCTATTCTCATCAGTGTCACCCATTCACAAGCAGATAACATACTTAGACTCACCACTTTGCATCGCTCATCGCTGCTGGCCTGGTGTCAATAACCCAGCTCCACCCGGGACTCTTATTCCAGTAGAACATGTCAAAGGAGTTGCTCGGCGCGCCTGCAAGCAACAACCCAAGCACAAACAATGTGCAAAACAACTTCTTCTTGTGTTTTCCCAATTTCCTAAACATCGGTGGCAAGTCGTCCGCCGCAGCATGCAGATCCATCTCTGCCAACGCCATACCCGCGACAAAATACGCATTGCTCCACCCATCTACCATCCACAGAAAGTAGCATATCATTGCCGCATATACGCACCAACGACTCGAGCGCGTAAAGTTGCTCGTACTTAGCGCGAGGATATACACCACTATAGACCCCTTAAGCTCAATCGGAATGCTCCACGTATGCATATTGTACGTGAGCCACGGCGGATCCGCAGTGCGCCATAGATAACTCCACTGTCTAAAGTCCGTCCAGAAGTCCCTGACTTGACCCCAATACGAGTCCACGTTCTTCGCCATGACACCCTTGACGCCCGTGACATGGAGGCCAGTGAAATAGACCACCGTCGTGCCCACAATCGGCAGATAGAGTCGCAGCCAGCGCCGAAACAACGCACTAGCCAGATTGTCGCCCAGACGCTCTTTTTCACCGCTGAGAATATATGTAAGCGGCTTCTGTGTCAACACGTACCCCGAAATCACATAGAAGCACGCCACTGCAACATGCCCACCACAGAAGAGGATTCTGACGATGGGTAGAATCGCGAAGTAGTGATTGTCGTCGTACCCCCACGCATTTTCGAATACGGCAGCTAGATTCTTGACACTGTCGTCGTGGTGCGCCCATAGCTCATGGTGCTGGATATAGACGAGCAAGGCGGCGAAGCCGCGCAGACCGTCGAGGTATGCGGTTGGGCGCAGGGTGGAAGGGCGATAGAGGTGTGAGGACAGGAAAGAGGGTCTGGCAGCGCGGAGAATGGATGATAGTCCTGTGACAATCCGGAGTGTGATGCTGGCCGAAGAGGGCGCGTTGCTGTGGAAGATGGACTCCTGAGAGAGAGGGTTATGTTTTTCTTCATCGTCCATGGCGCGAAAGCTTGTTAGGGGAAAAGGACTGAGGATCCAAGTCTCTCATACAGACGAGCATGTAGCCAGGGTGGCATTGCATTTTTGATTTCCGATCGAAGTTTAAGCCCTGGTATGAGGCCGAGGAAAGAAGATTAGCACTATTGAGACTAATACGGTCCGGCTATGATGAACACGGATCTGGCCCTTGCCATCCTGGTATCAAACACAGGGATACCAACTCTGCTAGATATATAGTGTGGGGAACCATATGGGGTAGTCAGTCTGAACAAAGTTAGTGTGCGGGTAACCTGAGGGTGTGGAGAATCGAGACCTGCAGCTATAGACTTGACGCTACTGGGGTAGCCAGTGAGAAGTATGTTTGGCGTCTTAGTGTGCTCAGTTGGACGCCACGATGTCTCACATGCAACGCGCGATCCGCGTCGTGTGCACGCCCTGTAGATCACTGAGGTGCATGTGCTTCGGAGTCGATCATGGGAAATATCCAATTCTCTACGTGATGCACAAATTCACATAGGCTTAATTCATATGAGAAAGTCATACCGATCTCGGGTGGTCTGCAGGCTGTATTTGTGCGATGATTCACCAGAGTAAAGAACCTACTATTGGGTCTGGAGGCCAAGTAGTCAATAGACGTCTCACTACCCATGTGGTCCTTCTCCAGCCTGCCCAGCTAGCTCTCTCCCCAGCATCCCATGGGGTCATATCTCATATCTCAAGATGTATTTTGGCCAATGTAAAACGTTCCAGCAGCGCACGCAGACTGCATTTGATCCACCAGGCACATGTTTTGCTACACTCTTCTGTTAACCTCTTTGCATAAGTCACTCCTTCCTGCTGTCCTTGCAATTCCGGCCATCAATGTCCTGTCCGACGGCGTTGAAAGCCAATGATGAATATCTCACCAGTTGCATCGCTCGACATAAACAGTCGTCCAAGCGTCGTCCAAGCGAGCCCAGTGGGCCGAAAGCAATTGTCTGGGCACTTGCTGTTATCTTTGTTGGTCATGATCTTGACTTCTGCGGTAGTGCTCATGGACTCTGCGCGAGGCTGCCCATGGTGAAAATCAACGGAGCTGAGACGGTAGCCATCAGGATCATCACGGTTCCTATCAGTAATCAACACAGGCATGTAGATAACAGCAACGGCACCTACCAGCTACCGTGAAACGTGATGTATGCTACTCGACCGAGGATTCCAAATTTGATGTCGAGTGGCGCTGTGTGCGGAGTGAATGATAGTCGTGGGGGTAGATGCTGTGTTCGACACATCTCATCCGTCAGGGTGCTGTTTGGTGTGCCTCGTACGAACTGTTGCCCCGTTTGGATGTTCGGAATGCTGCTTAGATTTGTGGTATCCCATGCGGTGACACAGAGAGGATATCCAAAACTTGCGCCGTGCTCGACGCCTTTTCTAGAAAGGTCTCCGTGAAAGTTTAGCTCCTCTGCGGGATTCGTGTTGTGCATGTCGACGTTGTCTCTGGTGAGCTCGTCGGATGAGTTTTCCACGGACCACTGTACTGTACTCAGCTAATGCTATGCTTATTGGTTAATTTGGTCACATGGACTTACGATATTACCGGTAGTGGGATCCTCACCGACACCGACGCTGTTTCGCAAGCCATATCCTAAGACTTCGGCAGTGTTGTACTCGATTGGATGCTTGGCGACTTCGGTGACATTGAAAATCCTGATTTGAGCGCGACCCGAAGCGATATCAGCTGAACCATCATCAATGTTATTGACGGAGCCTCGTGACACGAGTAATAGCTCCGGATGTTTCTTCAACAGTAGCAAAGTACGTGTTTGGTGAGTACCCTCTTGAGTCATTCCAGTAATCAAGGTCTTGCGGGTTCCGACTGTGACTTTTTTTGCGTCGTAAGGGTAGCTGAAGACACTGTCTTTGTTTGAAACGTATAGTGTTTTGCCATCAGATGAAAGAGCGATACCATGGTTGAGCTGTGGCCCAGTGAATCAGAAGGCATTGATACAACGAGAACGATATGTCTTACCGTTGGGTCCGGAATCAGCTGCTTGTTGCCTTGCACGCAGACATCGGTATCCAGGTGGTCTGCGAGCTTTACATGCCTAATTCCACCAACGACATCGTCTCTCTCTGAAAATATGAGATTTCCCTCAGTGTCCACCACCATGTGTCGCGGTGATTTGAGGCCATTCACGACAACGCGCGACTCGTACCCGGGGCTCATCACCACAGGAAATTTCGGATGAATAATATCGCATGTGGCGCCGTAAGCCTGTTGTGTGAGGCTTGCGATTGCGAAAGCATATCCGAAGCTTAATGTACTCCACATGATGCCTTTGGATGTAGAGCAGAATGATATGCTCTGTTACAGTGTGGAAGATGCCCGTGAGCTGAACAACACTTGAAATATTTGTGCGGCTTGAATTACCGGGCATCTATCAGCCCTGGAGAATGAGAAAGAAGCCTAATGCCAAGTTTAGTCTCATGGCGGACAACAAAGAGATATAAGACATTGCGACCCACCAGATGTTGTGCTAAGCCATGAACAGGCGCCATGAACAGGCGCCATGAACAGGCACCATGAACAGGCACCATGAACCCTTGCTTTGTTCGATGCGTAGATGTTACGATCAAACGACGATTGGGCGAGTTTCTGAGGAGATCAAGAATGCCAACTGCTGGTTGCCCATGATGTTTGATGTTCCGGTTATTATAAGTAGAAAGTAGACGTGATTGAGGTCATTGAATGTATTCTATAATTATGTATATAGCTAAGTTCTAGGGACAGAGTCGAAGCTATTTAACCGTTTAGACACTAGTCCCATTTAGGAAATAGTATCCCTTACTTAAAGTGCCTTCCGATAATACTCCCCTATACTAAGTATATATATATACTTAGTAATAATTAAATAAAGAAAAGCTTAAAAGAGTAATAGTAAGAGATAGTACTAAGAAGAATAAAGGAGAGATATAACTGCGAGAGAAACGACTCTACTATAAACTAATTATCGTCTTTATTTAATCTAGTAGTAGTAAGGGTAGTCCTTTTATTCCTATATTAGTAACATTATTATAACTTATAATATACTATATAGATATAACTCTATTAGTAAATAATTTACGGACTACGTAATAATATATAGCTATATATTTAGACTATACCGTGATTTATTAGTTTTAGATAAGTACTATAGTAGCTTAATTATCTATAAGAAGATAAGGAACTAGAATATTATAACTTATAAAGATCTCTTTTATACCTAGTAGGGCCCACTATAAGTAACTTATAGCCTTTAAATAGGCTATATACTCTACTTCGTATATCGACTTAGTAATATATAATTACCTCTTACTATTCTAGGTAACTAAGCTTCTATTTAATTAAAGGATATATATGGAGATAGACTTAGCGGTATTAGAATCTAAACTCTAAGAAGTATCTAAGAACATATTAATTTCTATTACGCCTTTAGATTTCTTTAGTATAAGGTATTAGTTAATAGTATACTTAATATATTATAATATACTAAAGGCTATTTAAGTATATTACTCCGACGGATTCGTATTAAAAGTAGTATATATTCCGACTATAAAGGTAAGATCTAGACGCGTACTAGTAACGAGATAATTAAGTAACCTAATTAGTTATATATATATAAGCTAGCGTTCTTAATTAATGATTTCTTCTAATCTTATTAGAAAGGTATTTATATCGACTAGAGTCTTTCTACTATTATAATCTATTATACTAAACCTTTTTAGAATACGTTAAGAGTAAGCCTTTTAAGAAAGCTTAATTTAGCTTTCTCGAGATTAATTAATCTTAATACCTAATATTAAGCGCGCTTCTCTAAGATCTTTATATTTTATACGTTCTATAACCTATTACTTAAAGTATTAAATATAAGGTTTCTCCTCTATAAGTAGTAGGTTATTAATATAGATAGTAATAATAATATATCTAATAAAGACATATAGATTAAACTACGACTATTAGAATTTAAGAGATTAAAGGAGGTTACGTAAGGTATAAAACCATTTCTAACTAGATTATTTTAATCTATAAATTACCTTTTAGAGCTTAAGAATCTTACCTAGTTTTTTAAAGCCTAGCGGGTATCGTATATAGATATTTTCGGATAGACTACTATTTAGATAGATAGTATTAAAATCGATCTAGTAAATATACTTATCGAATTATATAGCCTATTAGAGTATAATACGAAGAGAATTATATTTAATAATAGGTGTAAAAGTTTTATTATAATTAAGACCGTATTTCTACGTGAAGCCCTATATAACGAGACATGCCTTATAAACTTTAGTATTATCCGTAGTAGTCTTAATATTAAACACCTATCTAGAGCTAACTATTATAGGGACATTCGTAGTAAGTAGAGCTTCCTACTATAATTAATTAATCTTATAACTTCTTAGCTCCTTTTTAATAGCTATTTACTACTAATACTAATTAGAAGAATTCCTAGCCTCTTTTAGGTTTAAAGGAACGTCTATATTTAAGGTAGTATTAACTAATAGAGTATAGATTATTTCCTTCTCTTCCGTATCTACTAAATTTATAGAGTTATTAAAATAAATTATACGCTTACGTTTCCTCCTAAAATAAGATATATTAGAAGGTAATCTTAATAGATATAGACTTTCGTGTAGTAGGTTATAGCTAGAGAAAGATTTAAATTTTAGTTAATTTACCCTAGGTGTAGTAGAAGGCGTCCTACTATAAGAAAGGGTAGATAATCTCCGTTAGGGTATCTTAGTAAGACTCGTCGTATCTTCTATATAGGGCTAGAGGTCCTATATATTTTAGATTACGACTAGTATATCGCGAGATACTTCTCTATTATCCGACTCTTCTTCGGAGCTATCTCTTTCTATAATAATTAAGGAAAGAGATTACTACGGAAGTAGTCTCGGATTAAAGGGTACGAAAGTAATATCTTATAACTCGATAATAACCTTATGGTTAGGAATATAGTACTTATAGATTTTATCTAATTTACTATAGCTAACTAGAATACCTTTCTCTAATCTATAGAGGAGCTTACTACCTAGCTTTCGTGCTTCTTTCGGAATATATATATAGTAGATAACTCTAAATAGATATAAGTTTTAGATAGAAGGCTTCTTACCAAAGAGAGTATAATATAGTATATCGACTATTAGGAGAGAGGCATATAGCACGATATTCTTAATAAACGTTATTATATAAATTACTTTAGCCTAGAATTTTAACTTAGTATTAGAAGAGAGAATGGATCTTACTAATATTTAAACTATACGGTTAAACCTTTCGACTATACCGTTCGACTCGTAAGAGTAGATAGGAGAGGTAATATATATAGTGCCCGTTTTACGAAAGAAGTCTTAAAGACTTTTAGTAATATATTTACCGCCTTAGTTAGATACGAATTCTTTAATATCTATATCGAACTACTTCTTAATATATATAAAGAATTATATAATAACTTTAGGAGCTTCGGACTTATACTTTATAAAATAGACCCATGTAAAATAAGTTAATTCTTTAATAAAGGAGATATAGTACTATAACCTATTTAGAGACTTATATGGTATTTTACTAGAGAGGTCGCTATAAACTCTACTAAACCATATCTTACATTACCTATTCGAGCTTAAAGGCTTCTTATACGTGGATTTAGATATACTATAACTCTTATAGTAGAAGTTACTTAGCCGCTTAGGGATTATATTAAAATCTTTATAAAGTCTTTTAGAATTTATAACGTAATAATAACCTATAGTATAATAGAATTCTTTATATAATGCAAAGTATACTATAGTATATAATAGAAGCGGAGAAGATATATGGCGTAGGTAAATCTTCATAAGACCCTTATAGAATTTTACCTATATTACTTTAGATCTATAGTAGTCGTATAAGAAGAGGTTATTCCCTTTTACTCTTAAACTATACCCTTAATTCCTAATATATAACTAGGAGAAAAGGCGTATAGAATTTAGTTACTTACTAAAGAGGATATTAGTAAGTTTAACCTTTTTCATAGAACCGTCTAAGAGAATATAATCTAGGAAAACTATTCTAATACCATTAATAGGAATCTTCTAATAATTTATAATTAATATATTACTAGAGGTACGCGGTTCTAGTAAGGTAAAGTCATCTATATAACCCGATATATATCGTGATACACCTAAATTAAAGATCTAGTTATATATATCTACGGTTATATTAGAATTTGTAAGGAGTCTAATAGCTTTAATACCTAGGTCTAAAAATATTACTAAAATAAGAGGCTAACTTACTACTCGAGATCGCTTACCGTTTATATTAGCTATAGTCGTAAAGAAACTAACGACGTTATTATTAGAGTTAGATTTAGAATCTAAAATTTTAATAACTTTAGCCTTATTAGCCTTTTATTACTTACTTAAGGAGTCCTTTTTAGAGGAAGACTTAGAAGACTTCTTATCTAACTTATTATCTTCTTTAGAGGCTTTAAGTTTACGATAGTCTTAATACTTATAACCTTTAGAAGAAAAGCCGCGTTTCTTATACTATATATATTTAGTATTAGAGGTAGAGGTGGAGGTAGAGGCGGAGTTAGACTTCTTTAACTTAGAAGGTATAAGAATTATAGACGTAGGATAGTAGTCTAACAGGTCATAGAAGAATTCGGGAATATATTTAAAAGGGTAGTCTACTCTTCTAACGAGGTTAATTCCTAAAGAGTAGGAATTAAGTGTATACGGCCTACTTATATAGTGGTCTTGTAAGGAGGCGGGCTCCACGCACTAACTAACTATACTAAAGGACCGAATCTTAAAGCTACTGCTTCAAGGGTGGAGTACACTGCTTATATACGACTACTGCACACATGTATAATCAACTGGCAGGCACGTGCCTAACAGGTCTCGCTTATTCTAGCTAGCTTAACCTAGGTCCACCTATTACAGACTATACTAGACCATAGTAGTCTAGTTAAGTCTATCCTAGTATTAGCCCTAATAATATCCTTCTTCTTTTTATGCTTCGCCCTAAAGTACTTAGCTATATATAAATCCATAATTCTATAAGCATTATATTTATACGCGTATCTAATTAAATCCATATAATATTATCAATAGTCTTTATATTAGTAAACTTAAGCTCTAGTTTACTTTTATTTATATACGCGCTTATCCCTTACTTTATAGCTACTACCTTAGAGATAGCTCCGCGGGTTATATAACCGCTATATTAACTAAGCTTATATTTAGTTCTCTTATTCTAAATTTTCTTCTCTAGTATATCTACCTTACTCTTAAGGTAAGTTATTAATTTATATACTATCTCCTTTAGTTTAGATCCGTTTAGGTCTAGAGTAGTCTATTTTTATTAGAGCTGGTCCTATATAATCTATTTATGTTATTATAGTTACTAATTTAGCTTCTTTAATCGCCTTTAAGACTAAACGAGTATTCTACTCTTAGATCTCTAGCTAACGTATATATATAGATATCTAATACTAGTCCTATTCCTAAGCCTACCTCCTCCTCTTATAAGACTTACTCTAAAGAGATTACCTCTACCCCGGCTATACCGGCTAAAAAATCTACTTATTATAGTAGTATAAAGGCGCGCTCTAAGTTAGAGAAGAAGGTAGCTAAGGCTACTACTACTATTACTACTAACGTAGCCACTAGTCGCTCTAATCTAGGTAATCCTAGTACTAGTATTGCGGAAGAGGTGGCTATAAAGCCTATCTATACCTA